ATATTATGGTATTTTTTTAGTTTATTATTTATTATAATGCAATTTAAATCTCATTAAAATACAATTAAAATGTTATTATTTGAAATATTAATTTTTATTAGGAAAAAAAAAATTATAATTTAAATTGAGATAAAATATTATAAAAAAAATTCATTTTTTAACCGACGAGCTTTTTTTTTTTTTTGCTATTGGCTAGGGGGGGTATCCTTTTTTGACTTTCAAAATAAGCTTTGCTATCCCCCGAAGTCAACCCATGTACAACCATACTAAATACAAGGGGAAGGTATATTTTTCCGGCTACAAGGGGAAGGTATATTTTTCCGGCCAACCCCTTAGTTACATTCCACAATTCTATTTTAATGATAATTATCTAGTATTTATTGATACTTTTCCTCTTAATGCCAAAAACAATGACACTTAATTAAATTACTATACAATAACTTTTAGTAATTCAACCTATGTATCAACTTTCTCATTTGGCAAAAAAATAAGTTCGGTTTAGTTATATAATGAGCACTTTGTAAAAGTTCTGGAACATAATCTTTATACTTCATATTCATACACTTTGGCATTGACTGCAGAAGGAAAGTTTAGAGTTTATTCGACAACTCTAAATTTAATTTAGACTTTTGTTCTATCTGATATAATAATTGAAAGTGGAGGAGAAATAATCAATCAATAATTTGTTGATTTTAATTTCGTTTAAACTCCAACTTATTCAAGCTATACTGCTACTATCGATTTATTGTTTTCATCTTAATCTTTGAATTACAAGTTTTAATTAGTGTACGATTCCTATAATGCAAAGGTTATATCGTTTAAATATAATTATGCTTTAAGTAGATATTTGGATGCCGAAAACTTGTTTGGATTATTTATTGATCGTTAATTATTATAAGCTGCAATCCCATATAGATATAAAAATTAACTAGTGATATCAGTATATTAGCTTCCTAATAATTCTGTAAGTGATTAAAGAATAGTCTATTCTTATGGTGGAATTTCTTAGTATCATGATTTTAGTAATCCAAACAAAGTAGCCTTTTCGATATATAAAAACGTATTTTAATATATACTATTTTAGATCCTTGCTGTTGGTTTAACTTAAGACTATTTAGGAAAATAGTTTACATTAAGTTATTATCAAGTTGACTTAAGATATATTATCTAAGTTGATGATCAAAATGGAAAACTATATGAATAAGAAGTGGCTTTAGAAATATCAAATGATCTTTGTTCAGAACCTCTTTTATTTTAAATTTAAATAATTTCAAATGAATTTTAAGATTAATAAGATAATCTAAATTCAATTGAAACAAATAAGCGAATTCAATGATTAATCGAATTATTCATTATAAAATATTTTTTAATATTATAAATCCTTTTGCTATTTGTATAATTAAGCTTTCATTTTATTTATCAAACTAGTTTTTTTTAATTATAAGAATTTCTATTTTCTATATGTTAGAATTAGTTGTATAAAAGGCTACAATTAATTATTTGAATAATTAATTTATATAATCTTAATTTGTATTCAAAGAGACTTTAGATAGGAAATAATTTCTCTAGATTCTTTTTAAATCATTCCTCACAATCATAAATCAGTCATACTTTAATTAAAATACAAGATACAAAATTTTCTCTTATCTAATAAGAAAATTAATTTAAGTTAAAGCTTTAATAGATTAATTAAATATAAGTAAAAAATAAAAACAATTAGATTGTTCTGTAATAAATATAATAGTTAAATCAGAAATTAATTGCCTTGAATTATTAATTTAAAGAAAAAAAAAGTTTGTCAAATTAGATTAATATTTAAGAAAAGAAACAAAACAAGAATATTTGATATAATTATTTTAAAACATATTAAATATTAAATAAATAAGATCAATGTTATCTTCGAGTCGATTTATTTTTAGCAATATCAAAAATAGCTTGAGAATTAGATTGCCCAGTATTCAATACAAGTTTAGAAAAGTAAGTTTGTTTATCAATATTTATTGAATTTAGAGATTATGCTAAGAGATTAAATGGTTCATCAAATTCTATAACATTTCCATTTTCAATGACCAAAACTTTGTCATAATCAGCAATAGTATTTAATCTATGTGCAATAGTAATAAGTGTACAATCTTTAAGTTATTATTTAAGCGTATTTTAAATGAAATCATCCGTTTTCATATCCAGATTAGCAGTTGCTTCATCTAAAACAATGATCTTTTTTTTATATAATAAAATTCTAGCTAAGCAAATTAATTATTTTTATCCAACAGAAAATAATGAATTAATATCACTGATATCTGTTAATAAACCATTGGAAAAAGATTTAGTATATTCATATAATCCTGAAACTTATAATGCTTACTAAATAGCTTAGTCGTCATACTAATCAAATGGGTCTAAATTTGATCTAAGACTTCCATTAAATAAGAATGGAGATTATGGAATAATACCAATACTACTTCTTAATTTTTATAATCCTAATAATTTAATATTAATTCCACTAATTTCTATTTTGGATCCTTACTAATCTTCAATTTCATTCATTCTAAAAATTGCTTATAAGATTGAAGATTTCCCAGCTCCTGTTCTACCAACACAACCAATTTTTTATCCACTTTTTATTTCGAATGTTAATCCTTTTAATACTAAATCTGAATTCTATCTATATCTCATATAAACATTATCAAATTTAATATTACCTGATTCTGGAAAATTTGATAATTTTGAATCTTCTTCTTTAACTTAAGGTGCCTCTGATTCAACATCTATTATTTAGAACATTCTATTATACGAACTCATTTATGTTGCAAAATTTATCAATTATTTTAATCCTAATGATAAACCATCATTATATGTAGTTAATAATAATACACCTTATGAGAAAACAGCTACATCCTCATAATTCATATTTAAAAATATGAATAAACTGATTGAGGATGCAATAAATCCAATAAAATCTATATTAAAACAAAATGATCTTGTTTAATAAAAATAAGTTAAAGCATTTAAATTATAGATATTTGATAAATCTAAAAATTGTTTCTTAAATTAGTTTTATTATTTATAAACCTTAATTTGAATTGAACCTCCTAATGTTTTTTTTATAAAATCAAACAATGGACTTCTTTAAATTAATTCATTTTCTTTCAATTAACTCACAATTTAATTGTAAAAATTATATTGATAAAGGTTTAAGGCTATTATAAAGAATATAACAAAAATAAAATATGGTTATAAAAAAGCCAAGGTTATCAAAGCAATAAAGAAATTTCCTATCATTTCTAAAATATCTAAACAAACTAAGTTTGTTGAATTATCACATAAAGATAAATCGTTGGAAAATCTATTAATAATTCTTCCTGAAGGATTTATATCAAAATATGATATTGGAGCTTATGAAATAGAATTAATCATTTGATTATGAATGGTTTATGTTGTTGATTAAACTTATTTAATACTAATAATATACTTAATAAAACTACAAACCATTAATCCAATAACTAAACAAGACAACATTAAAAAAATAAAATTAGTCTAACCATTTTTTTCATAAGTTTCAAATTATGAGATAATTCTTTAATAAAAAATTTTACAAATTTCATATATAATCTCCAAAACTAAAACAAAAATAAAAGCCTAGCCTTTCCAATTTTTAAAATATCTAAAATAAACCGATAAATCAATAATTTATTATGTATCTGATTCCAAAACAGTTAAATTTCTAGTTTAAATCAAATTAATTTCCTCTTTTTTCTTATTTATAGGTTATTTTTCTAAAATATTTTAATTTGTAGTTTCATCTTAAGTTTTATCTAATTATTGAGCTAAATCATTATTAATCATTTCTAAATGGAATTTGATTTGTTCATAAGAGCCCTTAGCAATTAATTCTCCATTACTTAAGATAGCAATTTTATCACATTTGATTGCATATTAAATTTAATGAGTTGCTAAAATAACAATAGGTTTTGGTTTATTAGGGTTAATAGTCATTTAATATTCAAAAATGAATTATTTAATAGCAATTGTAAATATATTTTAAGCAACACTAGCATCAACAGCAGATAAAGGATCATCAAATAAATATAAATCAGGTATTTAATATAAAGCTCTGGCTAAAGAGATTCTTGCTTTTTATCCTCCTGAAAGTGTAATACCTCTTTCTCCAATTTCAGTTTAATCTTTAAATTTCATTAATTCAAAATCAGATTCTAATTATGCAACTTAAGTAACTTTTTAATATAAAGTTTTATCATATGTTTTTCCAAATAGAATATTATTTCTTATAGTATCTGGAAATAAAAAAGGTTCTTATTCAACATAACCAATTGTTAATTTGTTTTATTATGGTTTTTATCCATCAAACAACATGATTCCTTTATAAGCTGGAATTTCACATAATAATGAATGTAAAAGAGTGGATTTCCCACATCCAACTCTACCAATAATTGCCCATAATTCACCTTCTTTAATATTTAAATTCAAGTCTTTTAAAATTGCTTTATCATAATCAGATACTTAATGTGTCCAATATGCACTAAAATTTATTAATTATATTCTATTATGTTCTTTTTCATTGTTATTTTATTTTTCAAATTAATAATCATCAATTTTATGCATATCAAAATTTTATAGATTCAAAATGTTTGAAATTCTTTCAAAAGTAACTTTAATTTAAATAAAAGCTTATATTCCATTTGAAACCATATAGATACATGAAACTCTTAATACATTTAAAAGTTATAATGTAGAAATCATCTCAGCCATTCTCATTCCATTTCTAAAATCCCCATAATATAATAGAATAAAAAATAATAGACTTGTCCAAATGTGGGAAGTTTGAGAAAATAATCTATCTACTGCTGTCCTTATAAGTATTATTAATAAATTAAAATATTCTAGTTGCCTAATCCCAAATATCATTTTTTAAAAAGCTTTTTCCCAAGCTTACATTTTAATTAATCTAATTCCTTCTATGAATTGATTAGTAATTCTTAATCTAGAATCTTAATTAAGCTTAGCTTTTTTTAAGGTTTCTTAATTGAATGATTATATTATGATTTAAATAGGATAAGCAAGAAATAATAATAGAACTGCCAATAAACCAATAATACCATCAAATCTATTCCATAATATAAAACAAGCAAAAAACATTGAGATAATTACAACACTACTTGGAAATATCATACTAAACATTTATTCTAATGTATTAATGTCTCCAGATACTATATTTAATATCTTACCTATATTTGCTTTTTTAAAAGAATAAGAATTCAATCCAATCAATTTTATATATACTAAATTTATTAAACTTAGACGAGCTTTCGTAGAAAATATAACTGAATAATTGGCAGCATGATGTCTACTCAATAAACATATCAAATTTAATATTACTAGTATCATTCCATAATAATGAGCATTATCATAATCATGTTGTGATACACTAACTATGACAAAACTCATTATAAAAGAAATTCCATTTTTTGAAATTGATTCTATGACATATGCTACAATGCATTTTCCTGTTATCCATTTCAATTCATTAAAAAATATCAGCTTAACTAATGTTGAAAAACTTATTAGGTTTAATTTTTAAATTCTGTTTTATGAATTTTATACTTATTCAAATAAATCATCTTCAGGAGATAATTTTGGTAGATGTTTATCTGTAATTTTAAGTCTTTTGTTTAAAACTTCGCTTTTTAAGAGTAAAGCATAAGAAGTGTAATGTAAAAAAAACAATTTTGAAATCCATCGATTGTTTTAACCAAGATAATTAGAATAAAATTTATGATCTTTCTTTTATTTTATATCTGTTGAAACACAATTATTCTTAGATTTATCAAGGGACTCTTATGATGGAAAATTTTGATTTTCATTAATTAAGCATGTAAATTTATTGTTTTTTAGGAATGTAGCATATGGGATCTTTTTTGCTGATATTCTGATTCTCTTTGTATCAAGTTTTTCTTATTTTGTAAGACTCATAATTTAAAATAATATATAATAATGTATTTAGTTATCCTATTCAATAATTAAATAGATTGTATTGGGTTAATAATAATAATTATTTTCTAATTCATGAATTCTAGTTTTATTAGAAATCTTGGGTATTACTAATATTAAGTATAAATTTTAAATTTTAGATGTTGTTAAAATTCTTAGGACAACATTTTTTAATTAAATTAACATTATATTCTAATGATAAAATAAGAGATAAATTTCAGATGTGGAGCTAGATCTGAATGCAACTGTATATATATTAAATAGGGTTTACTTAAAATGTTAAAACAGAGAGTTAAAAATAATAAAATGAGAATGACTATTTGAAATTGAAAATCACAAACAAAATAAAAGTGCAGCTTATAGGAGAAAATTAGATTTTATTAAAAATTATTATGATATTAGGTTATCATCAGTATAGTGAAGCTAATATTTATATCTTATGCATCATTTGATTATATGTTGATATTATTTTTAAATATATTTATTTTAGAACTATAAAAAATTGTTTTAGAGTTGTTTAAAATCACTTTTAATCTAGAATTAGGATTATAAAATAATGTATAGAATAATTAACAAATTAGATGATTAATATAAATTTTGATTTAATCATATCTATTTGGTTCATTTTATAATAAAAAAAATAATCAAGTTTTATCTATGATTTTAAGTACTTGTTTAATTCACATACATAAAAAATTTTCAAATTATAGATTTTAAACAGATATTAATTTGAAATAAAATATTAATATAATGATATGAGTATTAATATCACTTTTTGTAATTAAAACTTAAACAATAAATGTTATGTTATTTAAATAGTTCAATTTTGAATTATCTTACTTTAAGAAATTTAGAATTATATTTATAACTAACATTCTTAATAGTTTTTGTTAATTTGTTTTCGTTCTTTGTTTAATTTATATTTGTTTCTGTCAATAATTCTTATTTTAGTAAAGTTTTTGCTTTAAACTGAACTCTTTAAATATTATATTTTAATTAAATTCTTTTAACATGGTCGAACTTAAAATTTGAAAACTTTCAATTTTTCTATTGATTCTATTTTATGAAAATTATTAATTATTAATTTATTTATATCTAATGAATAGCATAAAATTCTTTATATTCTTTTTATAAAATTTAATTAGAGTTTTTGATTTGTGTTGATAATGGAGCGAAGAGATAATGAAATAATGAACACTTAATCTAAATTACCTTAAGAAAAATTTTAAAAAACTATAATTATATCTAATAAATTCATTTATATTTAATATGCTGTATTCTTTATTTTTTATCATCAATTACAACCCTCTTGCTTTAAGTTAATCAAGATTCAACTTTTAAGAGGCTTATTTTAATAATCAAAAATTTTATTGAAAGGATAAAATTTTTTTTGATTTACTAGATATTTCATTTGCTTTGATACTAAAATTAATTATGTTTATATCAATCATACTGTCGTAGTACTTTAATTGAAGATCTCTTAATAAGCATAATAATTTATAAGTCTAAATTTAATTTTAATATTACGCTATATCTCTATATTATTTCAAATTCTTGATTTAGACATTTCAAATTCCAAAAGAATACTAATTTCCAATTTAGCAGAATTGTAAAATTTTTGATATTAATTTAAAAATCAATTTTATTAATTCAATTTGAATCCGATTATTACAAAAAATCTAATTATTTTATTTTAAAATTTTTCATACATAAATTAATATTAAGATTAAAAAAAGTTAAAATCTATTTAATAAATCACATTTCAATTCAATAAATCTTATGTTGATAAAATTTATGTACCAATTGTCATTCTCTGAATAATTTGATATACTATTGAAAAATCTTTATTATTATTCTCGTTAGAGTAAATTAACTTTTATTGTTTCAAAAACATTTCTATTTAAATCTCAAATTAAATAATTCAAATCAAGTCAATTCCTATTATTTCTATAGCAAATTTTTTTCTGATTTTTATTAAAAATCAATAATGAGAAAAATAGTAATCAGACGTTTATAAAATCTTGAATGAAAAAATTCATTAATTAAGACATCAGAATCTTTTTTATTTTATCTATTATTCATTTAGGTTTNGATAAAATTTATGTACCAATTGTCATTCTCTGAATAATTTGATATACTATTGAAAAATCTTTATTATTATTCTCGTTAGAGTAAATTAACTTTTATTGTTTCAAAAACATTTCTATTTAAATCTCAAATTAAATAATTCAAATCAAGTCAATTCCTATTATTTCTATAGCAAATTTTTTTCTGATTTTTATTAAAAATCAATAATGAGAAAAATAGTAATCAGACGTTTATAAAATCTTGAATGAAAAAATTCATTAATTAAGACATCAGAATCTTTTTTATTTTATCTATTATTCATTTAGGTTTAATATTTGTAATTAATAAATATTCTATTTTAAATATACATGTTATTTATATTTAGTTTTAATAAAAATAATTTTTTATTAAATTATTCTATTATTCATTAGAAATCCACCAATTTATAACACAGATTACTTTTTTATATTTTTATTTGAGTAAAGTATTTCCTGAGTTATAAATATTTTTATGAAGTATAAAATCTAAGACTATGTTTAAACCTTATCCTTTTAAAAGAGGATAGGATACAAGTAAAATTTTATATTTTAACTCTTGTGTAATAAATCAAAAAAACATTAATAAATTGAACACAGTGCTTAAATAAAATATGATAATAATTTATGCATTAAAAAAGAAATTACTAAATATAACTAAATATTTTTAAATAATTTTTTCTTACTTTAATAATTTAAAAGGTTTTTGGTCATTAACAACACAAAGATAAAATTTTACTTCATAAATGATTTAAAATAATTTTTGAAAATTAGATTAAAATAATAAGTCAAATTTTATTAATTATTATAATAATAGTATTTAAATTGATTCTTCAAAAGTTCTAATTGTATTAGATCCTTAATAATAATTAAATCCTTTATTTTATAGAAAGAGCAATTTAAATGAAACAAAAATTTCTTTTGAAACTCATTATTTAAAAAGGCTGTTATTTTTTTACATTTAATACAGTGAAATTTAATTGATAAGATTCACTTTAATTAATCCTAATAATTATGATACATAAATTTTTGATGGTTCCAAAAGCAATTTATTCATAAGTTTATTATATAATTTCTTCTAAATTTACTAAAAATCATAAAAAAGATTTAAATAAACATTAAAAATTACTGCAAAGGATGATCAAGCTTATCCAGAAAAATGTAAGAATTGATATTCAATTAATAAGGTTTTCGTAATTAAAATCTAGAAAAATATTAAAATGCTTTAAAATACTATTACGAAGCTTTATGAATTAATTCAAATAATTAAGATGCATATTGGTATCAAATGTTTAAACCAAAGTTGAATATTTAGAAATAACTTTTGATTATTTAGAAAAAATTTAAAGGATCTAAATTTGTTTTGAAAAGGCCTTTCATTACAAAATAAATTTAGGTGATTATTAAAAAATTGAATAAATATTAAGAAGCTATAGGAATTAGGAAAAATCTGAATAACGTATTCCAATAATTTTCGGGTTAGATAAATATAAGTTTAATGTGCATTCTTAATTAACTATTCTAAATAATGCATCGCTAAGTCATTGAAGACTGACGTAGTAGTATTGAAGCTCTTTCTATTGATCTATAATATGCTTTTGCTCTTTTAAAAAAAGGCATATTAATTTTTTAAAATTGATTTAAGTTTTTTCAACCTGAAATAATACCAAGATTCTATATCATATTATAACACATAGTAATTATTAATCTATATTGATAAGAATAAAAATACAATAATAAAGAACTCTAATTAAAAAGAATATTTCTAGGTTATTGATCAATAAATTAATATCTTGAAAGACATATGAACTAATATATTATGAAATAGAAAAATTTAGATTTTTTCAGATCAAATTTCAAATAGTTTTTTTTCATTAATTTTGTGTCCCATTCATTCTAGAGAATTTTAAATAAACTACATTACACTAAAAAATTTCTTGATAATTTTAAAAAAATGGACAATCACAACAGAATTAATTTTTTAATCATATTTCAATACTTAGGTCAAAGGTTAAGAATTTTAACTAAGTTGCTTATCATATAAAAAATGTAATTATTACATTTTCAGAAGAACTATCAAATAACTGATAAAAAATTTCAAATTAAAAAGAAGTTTATTAGATTTTAAGATTAGAATGCAAAAGAACTAGATTTGCAAATAATCTATCTTGGATTAAAGTGAAAATGGATAAAAGTCAAAAAGGATGAACAAATTTCTTAAAAATAAACGATAAAAACTTAATTAAACTGATTTAAATAATTATCAATTATTAATTCAAAAATTATTTCACAATCCAATTGAAAAAAATAAAGAATAAATATTATACAATTTTTACAAAAATATAATTTGGTTTTTCCATTAATTTAGTTTTCAATTGAAAATAAGTTTAGTGGTTAATGGATTTGCAATAATCATGTTTATTAAATGTAAATCTACAGTATCTTTTAGACATATATGCCAATAACAATATTAGTAGATTTCAATATAAAATACCCATAATAGTTTATGAATTTGAATAAATATAGTGGGTAAAAAGTAATCTTGATGGAAATAAATAAAAATAATATAATTAAATATATATATTTGATCATGACATTACTATTTATTATTCTTGCATGTGGGCTGAAAAACTGATATCAATAATCAATTATTCGAAAACTCCTTTTGGATTTTCAAAATTTAATTAATGTCCAGCGTTCTCAATGATTCTAATTTTAACATTTTAATGATTGTTTGCTAGATTTTATGCTCCTTTTTTATCCATCCAATCTATATTACCAAAATAAAAGTAAATAGGAATATTGTAAATATATTTATTGTGTTGTGTTAATATATATTCGATTGAATCCCAACCTCTTGCAATTACTCTTGGAAATTATAATAATAAAAATAATGCTTTCTCTGAGCCATCAGGTAAAGCTAACATTTCATCTATATATTATTTCCATACTTCATATTCTTTTCCTTACAATGACATCCTTTTTTTGAGATATTTTTTTATAAAATAATTTCCATACCATTTATCTTTTAATTATTATGGTGTAATTTATTCAGTCCATTTCTTCTAAGCATAATTAATAAACATTCTTTTTAAAAAGGAATATTTTGTTGTGTCCTACAATTATCTTTAAATTAATTTTATTATAAATACTTGATTTCATTATCATCATAATAAGTACCTCCTGCAGGACTTAATAAAAAGAGTCTAGAGAATAAATGAGGGTTTCTTGTAAATAAATGAGCTGCTAAAAAACCACCAAAAGAATGACCAATTAAAATTATTTTTTTATCCTTTATAACATTCTCAATGAATTTTGATATAGTTCCCATAAAGAATTCTATTGCATCTTTATATGATTCCATTAATATATCTGATTTACTTGAATATCCCATGCCTGGCAAATCTATTGAATAAATTCGGAATTTTCTTATTAATTATTCGTAAATCCTACAATAATGAACATTTGATCCACCATACCCATGAAGCATTAAAATAACTTCCTTTAAGAAATATTATAAAAATTAACCTTATCTTATTCACCACCACAAAAAGTGTGTATTAAATATTGTTTTCCTAGGTATTCTACTTCATAATCAAATAAATAACAATTTAAACCAATTTTTATATCTAATATGATAAATTGAATAGATACTGTAATACTCAAGTAAATTTATTTCCTTTCTCCATCTCAATTATTTTTTCTATTCTTCTGTCATTTAAACTGAAGAGGATTTACAACTACAATTAAACATTTTTTTTATTATTAAAAATATTATTCTAATTCTTAAAACTTTCCACATAGATTTAAAATCATATTTGAATATATTTAATTGGATTATTTCATATTTAAATTTATTATCTTTATTTTTTTTACATTAATCAATTATTTGATTTCAATACATTAACTTTTTAATCAACAATATAGAATTCAATAAAAAGTAATCTGCTTAAATTAATTTTGATAATATTTTTATTTTATATATTATAAAATATTTTAAACTATCTATTTTATTATTCTAAGGGCATAATATAATCAGATTCTAAATTTATATATTACTTTGTTTCTCAAATCATTTTAATTATAAATTTTTTTTGACATCTCTTTAAATGTCATTAAAATTATTTGTTTGTTAATTATAAAGTCTATGATAAATATGGTACTTTATTTTTAAATAGAATGAAATTATTTTATATGTAAACTACATATTTATTTAAAAATATGTTAAATAGAAGTTAAAAGGAACAAAATATTAGTAAAAAATCAATTATTAATGTATTCTTTAAGATGAAATGACAATTTTTAATATATTTATAAATGATATAAAATAATAATAACTGATATATAATATTATATCAAACATTCACTAATTTTTATTTTAGTTTTTCAGTTTCTTTTAAAACAAATTCTAAAATTTAAGGTCTCATAGATTCAGTTAATTCTGAAATTAATGGTTCATTTTCAACCTCTGTTCTTATGTAAAATATACATAAATATTAATTTTCAATATCAATCCAATTTGAAAATCCATGAATTCCTGAACTTGAAAAAATCACAGGTTAATTATTTTAATTTGTGTCATATATCCATGCTCCTATACCAAATCCATAAAAATCAGAAACATCTCCTACTACCTCTTTCATAATTTTTTTAGAAACAGGTAAATCACTTGTATAATCTTAAAGCATCTATTTAACAGTTGATATCTTTAAGATTTACTTACCATTAAAAGTACCATAATTAAGAATCATTCTCATAAAATTGGCATAATCAATCATTCTAATTAAAAATCCATCTGCAATAGCAATATTTTAACCTTTTTGTCCATCAAATGCTGTAAATTCTGCATTTTTCATTTCTAAAGGTATAGCAATGAATTCATTAAATAATTAATGAAATGATTTTCCTGTTATTTTTTCTGCCATACCTCCTGCTATTTACATTCCTATATCACTATAACCAACTTTAGTCCCTCCTTAAAAATGAACTTTACTTGCTGGATATTTTCCTCCTTTAGCAATTCCAATTACAGATTCTTATAAGGAAATATCTAAATCCAATATCCATTCATCAGCTAATTCATATCCTGATGTATGAGTAATCAAATGTTTTAGGATTAAATTTGGATTAGTATTTCTAAATTCAGGATATATATCAATCACTTTTGTATTAACATTTACTAATCCTAATTCAACAACTTTCATTATTGTTGCCATTGCAATCCATTTACATCCAGATGCTATATGAATTCTAGTGTTATCATCATAAGGTTGTTTTCCTTATTCACATAAATGTTCTTTTATAAATATTTCACCATCAGCTCCTTATACCAAAAAACTCATCTTATGATTCATCATTTAGAGATTTTATTTTAGTTATTCTAATAATATTTCTCTAGTTATAACTTTTTTCTTTTATTATCCCTTTTATTTCATAATATATACTATTTATTGATATTAAACTAAATTATTAACAAATACTTCTTACTATCACTATTCAAAAATCTTATAATAATTCAATAATCAAATTTTCTAATAATAAAAATATTTTCTCATCTTTTTTATTAACAATATAACCAAATTAGTTTATTTTATTGTTTTCTTTTGATAATTAATTAATCAAAAATAATACTGTCATTATAATAAACTTCTCAAAATTCAAAGAATATAGAAAATATATGATAGAATATGAGCTAGATCTTGAATATTTTTGTTCAATTATTAAATATAAAAATCATTCGTTATTATAATGAAGCATTTAATTTTTTTTCCTTTGTTATTTTAAATCAATATTTTTTTTAATTTATAAAAATTTATAGATAAAAATATTAAATGTTTATAAACATCTTTAGATTTATAATATTTATACCAAAAATTAGCTCAGATTATTTTGGTTATATTTTCTAGCAATATTAAATATTTAAATGCGTTTAAAATAATATAAAATCAAAGGTTAAAATTTTTTTTAAGATTTAAGTTACTACTATTAGTTTTAGAAAATTAAATTATTACATTAAATCACAATCAATTCATTTTTTATTCTTATATATAAAATTAATTAATTTTAATTTAATATATTATTTTAGATCTATAAAAGTGATTTGTTAAAATTAGTTCTGTTGGAAATAGAAAGACCTATTATCAATATTTTTTCATTTCATTTTATTCTATCATATAATTACTCATTTTTAAGTATGTAAGGTAAGAACTGAATATCAACCAATGCTTTTTTTAAAAAATCCCAATTTATATTATTTCTATTGAAATTTTTTATAGCTTAGACTGAACATCCATAAAAACTAATACTTTATATATTATTAATCTTTAATAAATGTAGATTTATACTAAAATAAACTCAGATTTATATATTAAATATTTGAATTTATTATTAATTTGAAGATGAATCAAAAATAAAAAGATATATATAACACAATTTTAGAATGAAATCTCATAAAATAAAATAATGATGAATTATTATTCTATATGGTGTTTTAAAGAATTTATTTTAAACAAATTTAGGAATTTGAGATAAATTTTAATTAAATAAATGGAATTAGAACACTTTGTAATAGCTTGTTTGGTTATATTTTTTAGTATCCTAATCTACATAGGAATATAAAAATCTAAGAAATCACAATAAAATAAAGGAGAATAAACAAATAATATAAAATAGGAAAAGAAAATAAATAATTAAGATCTATTAATTCCAATATCAATATATTTTGGATCATAATAAGGTACAGCAGCTCGATTTGCAAATTAATTAGCTGAAGAAGGAAAAGAATATGGATTTATAACAACCGAAATAGATCTTAATGAAATTGAATTTACAAGTGAGATGAAATAAGGAAAAGTTGGAATATTTTGTATGGCAACTCATGGTGAAGGAGAGCCTACAGATAATGCAAAAAAATTTATTGATTGGTTATAATAACCTCAATCATCTTTAATTGAATATAAATTTACAGTTTTTGGACTTGGAAATAGGTAATATGAACATTATAATAAAATTGGAAAACTTACAAATGAATTATTAGAAAAATAAAAAGCTGTTAGATGTTATAAATATGGTGAAGGAGATGCCAATAGTACATTAGAAGATGATTTTATAGATTGGAAAAAAGATTTATGGAATGAATTGAAAATTTCTTTAAAAGATCTTAAAAAGTAAAAACCAGAATCAAAAGAAAACTCAGAATCAGAATCAGAATCAGAAACAGAAAAGTAAAAACCAGAAGATGATGATAATAAAAAAAGAAATAATATTAATTCTATATCTGGTTCAAGTTTTAGACTTGTAGTTAATGATAATAATTAAGAAATTAATTTTGATTAAGCATAAGGATAATTTGATTTTTAAACAAAATAGTTTTTAAAAGCAAAATGTATACATTATTTAAATAATATTTAGATTGTCAAGTTATATCAATTAATTAATTAAGATAAAATGTTTAAGATGGTTCAACACTTCATATAATTTTAGATACAGGAAGAGAAGGAATTGAATATAAAACAGCTATGAATTTAGGGGTTTATCCAGAAAATGATGATTAATAAATTTTGGATATTGCAAATTATCTTTAAGAGAATCTTGATACAATTTATAATTTGGAACTATTATAATAAAATAATAAAGCAAAATTACCTTTTCCTTCTCCATTAAGTGTAAGAAAAATACTGAAGTATTTTGTTGATTTTAATGGTTAATTAATGAAAAATACAATAATAAAATTATCAAAAATAACTAATGATGAAAAAATAAAAGATTAATTAATACATTTAACAACAGAAGAAGGAAAAAAAGAATTTTAATAAATAGTTGATATATAAAAAATAACAATCTTTTAATTAATTTAAAAAAACAATATCCAATTAAATTTAGCATAATTTATTGAATTATGTCCAAGAATAAGTCCAAGATTATTTACAATAGCATCATCAAATATAAAAAGTCCTTAATATGTTGAAATAGCTGATAGTTTATTATTTGATGATTTACCAGATGGAACTTAAAAAATAGGTTTATGTTCATAATATTTTTTGAATATATAAAAAAAATTATAATAAGGAGTAAATATATTTAATAATATTATAGGAAAGTGTAAAAGTTAGAGTTGATTTCAGAGAATCAAGTTTCAAATTACCGGATGATCCAAATAAATCTATTGTAATGATAGGACCAGGAACTGGAGTAGCTCCATTTATTGGATTTCTTTAAGAAAGATAAATATTTTTATAAAGCTAACTTTAAAAACATAATGAATATATATTATATTTTGGATGTAAACATGAAAATGGCGATTTTATTTATAAAGATTAATTAAGAGAATTTGAAAGAACAAATATTATAGATTAATTTTATACAGCATTTTCAAGAGATTAAGAAAAAAAAGTATATGTTTAAGATTTGTTAAACAAAAATTCTTAATGGATATATAATAAAATAAAAGAGGATAGTATTGTCATATACATTTGTGGGTATATATATATATATTAATTTATTTTAGATCCACTAACATGGGGAATTCAGTTTAAAATTTAATTAAAGAGATTTTAATAGAGTATGGCAATTAATCACCTTAAGAAGTTGAAGATAAAATATAAAATATGGAAAAATTAAAGTTTCTTATCAAAGAATTATGGTGATTAATTTTATATGTTCATAAATAAAGTTATAATAATTTTTATAATTAAATAAATAAATGAGAAAAAAGTAACTTGAAAGAGATGATGAGGGAAATTTAATCATGAATGAATAAAATATAATTGATATTTGTGAAAAAGAAGGTTTATATGAGTATCCAGAACTTAATACAAAATTATACTTACATTTTAAAGGTAATTTGATATTTTGAAATTTAAAAGCTTTTAGAAAAATTGGAGGATTAGACAATTTCTTAAATGTTAAGACTCTTTGGTTAGAAAATAACTTCATTACAAAAATAGAAGGATTAGATAATCTTTAGTAATTAACACATCTATTTCTATAAAATAATCTTATTACTAAGATTGAAGGTTTGAGAGAAAATGTAGAATTACTTACATTAAATCTATCTCATAACTGTATTAAAGTAGTTGAAAACTTATAAAAACTCTAAAAACTTTCTAGTTTGGATTTATCAACTAATAAATTTAAATCAGTTTCTGATATTTGGGAATTAGAATTAAATTCTTAAATATCTAATTTAGATTTATCAAATAATATGCTTGAATTTGAAGGTGAACATGATGATGATCCATTATTATTAGTTTTTAAAAAAATGAAAAAATTAAAATGTCTTTACTTATAACAAAATAATTATATAAGACATATTTAAAATTATAGAAAAGTAATAAAATCTAATTAATTTTAGTATTATCTAGCAAATTTACCAGAATTAACTTATTTAGATACATAACCAGTATTTCCTTAAGAAAGAAGAATAGTAGATGCATGGGGTAAATTTGGAAAAGAAGGAGAATTAAATGAAAGATAAAGTATTTAAATAATTTATTTATTAGAAATAAAAGAAGAAGAAGATGCAAAGAAAAAAGAATATAGAGAAGAAATAAGAAAATAATTGCCTATTCATTTGTAAAGCAAAATTAATTTCTTTTAAAAAAATATAATCACTATTGAAAATGAGATTTAAGAAATGGAACTTAGAAAATAAAATCATTTAGTTTAAAATAGCTAAGAAATTGAAATTACATTTTTAGAAGCTTCTATAAATTAAAAATAATCTTAACTTAATGAAATGAATGAATTATTAAATAATATGAGAGTAAGACAAATAAGATAAAATTCACTCACTGAATCTCAATTAATTGGATAGTAAATAGATCAATAAGAGAAAATACAAATTTAACTTGATGAATTAGATTGAAATATCAAATATCATAAAATTTAAACATTCATTCATATGTTTTTTAATATTTTTTTGCAAAATCTTTCATTTTGGAATCCTTTTTACGAAGTAATATTATTCTATAAAGTGCAGAACTAATTTTTTTATTTTCTTATCTCAAATGATATTACTCAAACAAGGATATTAAATCTTTATTTTACATAGTAAAACAAATAGATAAATCTTTAATTTCAGCCATTTATTATTTAATTATCATTTCATACCCATTTATACCTATTTATTTTTCTAAAAAATTAGATAAAATTTATAATTCTAATGTAAGCAATTCAAAATACATTTCTTAAGGAATATTTTATAATTTGTTAATATCAAATATACAATAAAATAATCCTATTAAATTTATTAATTATAAATACCTTCAAAAAATAAAGAGATGAATTAATCATAAAATACAGAGATATAATTTTATGGCAATTTCTAATTAAAAATCACAAAATAATTTTTTATTTCATCTATTTTATGAAGCAAAGACCATTCTGATTTTTATTGATAACTTTTGGGATCAGTCATAGATTTTAAATCTTGATGAATAGGAGTAAATAAATTTGGATAAATAATTTCGTATATCAAAATTTTGGAAATATTTTTGCAAATCGTTTTTCCATAAGTATTAAAATCACTATTCAAATATTCTAAAAGATCTAGTTTTAATTAATCCTTTAGATACTAATATTATTATTAAAGATAATTAAGATTACAAATTCTCATCATCATTTCAATAACAAGATGAATTTATTTTTTAGCTAATTATATTTAGTCAACAGGTATGTTTTATTGATTCTTAGAATCAATAGAAAACCATAAAAAATATTGATTTGATTTTCCTTGAAGATCTTATTACATTTATTCTAAATACATTAAGATTGCATTATAAAAAAAATGTTCAATTTTGTTATTGATAGTTTTTTTGAATATATTGTCTTTTTTTAAATTAGAAACTTACTGTAAAACATCTATTGACTTACATAAAATAGAACAAAACTCTTCAATACATTTGGTTTGTTTTGATTGAATTAATTAATTTTGAGATAAAGTATCATCAATAAACTTTTCTTTAGAAAGTATAGATTATAATATTTTAAATTTATTTTATTGAGATTATTAAAACCATATTTCTAAAGATCTTCCTATAATTTAGAGTGTTTTTGTGATTAAATTATATGGTAAAATTTAATCATCAATTAAAGCTAAAGTCAAACATATATTAAAAGCACTTTATGATATTATTATAATACCTTCCATTCTTATCTTCTGAAATCAATTCATTTTGAATGCAGAGTTCAACTTGTTCAAGTATTAAAAATATCTCAGTAAATGCTCCATTCATAAAATAGAAGAAAAATAAACTCTATTTAATTTCTTTATCAGGTAAATGCTATTATATCCCTTTTTAAAAATAATCTATATATGGCTCTTTTAATTCAAGACATTCTTTACAAATAATAGTTATTAAATTAGATACTGAATTAAAAGTGTTATCTGATATTTGATTTTGTTGAAATTATTCTCTTTTAATCACCATACTATAATAATTGTGACCTGTTTGCTCCATAATGTATTGAATTAATTAATTTATATTTTAGCTATTTGTAAACTAAAGTGAAATATTCGCAGTAATATAAAATAAATTCATAAATGCTGAAAGAAAAAATTAATCACTAGGTAATTAAGACCAAAAATTAGTTATAAGTCCTAGTAGATCTTTATATAATCTATCTAAATTCTTTTATTTTAATTTCTATTCTAATAATGTTTTGTTAATACTCTTTTCCTTGCTAATAATATCACATAATTACAGAGTTAACTATTGTCATATAATTACTTCATCTTTGATTTTAAAGTTTTTTATTCTCAATTCAGGTTAAAGTATTTTTTAATAAACTAATGAAAGTAAGGTTATACTGACATGAGCTGGTGAAAGTCTTAGTACATCTTATACAAATTAATTTATTAAAGGTATAAATTTTATATCTATTTAAGAAGGTTTAATGATTGATGATAGTATAAGCTCTAATAAGCATTAATTTAATGGATAAGAGATTTCTTCTATTTGAGAATCAAAATTTATTTAAATTAAATCATTCTCATCAATTATCATCTATTTTAGTAGATTAGTAAAATATTTTTTTTATTATTCAAATTAAAAATTTTATACCTGAAATGCTTATAATAACAAACATTAAACCCAATAATTATTTATTGTTGAAAATAATAATAACTTTTTTAAAATGGTAAAGAATTTTTAATTATTCTAAATTTCAACATAAAATTACGATTTTTTTATGATGGTTTAAGAATCTTAGATTAAAGTAATATAAATAGAACTTGTAATACTTGATTCCATATTTGAATAAATGGCATTTGAAAATGATTCCAACATATTCATAACATCTAGATTGATTTCAAATTGATTTTTTATATGTGTTATTAAAAGTGGCCAATCTTAATTTACACATTTATATCTCAACATCATTAATAAAATAAATTATTAGAAATCTTACTGTTGGAATTCCTTGGCTAAATCCCTTATTAATATATTTGTTAAATTACATATTATATGGTATTTAATTATTAAATATTCCAAGCTAATCTTTTATAATCATTGGTAATGGCTGAGTATGAATATAAAAATAATATTATTTTCTAATTTCAATAAGTTTATCTTTATGGGATTATACTAAATTAGTCTCATTAAGTAACTCATTTTATTTTGCGGGTTCTTTATTTCCATTTTGATTAATAGATTAAACTTTTTAAAAACTTTTCATCATTTCTTGAGTAAATTATTGTGGTTAGACAATATCTAAAAATTAGATTGATAAAAGGAATTGTTTTCCAATAATATCTGTATACCTTATTTATTTTGATATTTAATACTCTTTTTAATGAATGTAAAACTTTTTGAAGGAATCTATAATTTTAGTATTTTTTTTCTTTTCTGTGTTAATAGCTGTTTCAATATTGCTTTACATGGTGATTTTAGTAACTTATGAGAATTGATCAATAATCTATTTTTCAACATTTTTTATACTCACTAATTAATCTCTTTCCTTTCTTTATTAATCACACTAAAATATATCTTAAATCTACTTTTTACATAACTAAATCTTTATTTTATTTTATTTCAAGATAAGTTTAAAAAATATCTTATTCTAATTGATTAATATTTTCTTATAAAAGTCCAAGAATATCACTAATCTAAGATGTTGAGATAATATTTTTATCTATAAATTCTTTAATAGTTTTATTTTCATATTCTCTACAAGTAACTAGTATTATGTGTAAAATATACATTCTTTTCTGGTCAATTTAATTAATTATTCAGAGATTAATTTAAGAAGGGCTGAATAATCTTTTAGATATGAACTAAATTCCTTTAAAGTTTTCTTTTAATGAGACATCTGTAAATTAATTTGTTCTTTTGTATACTATATTATAAGGTATATGTTTACATCTATTTCTTAATACAATAATTTTTTTGAGATCATTTATTATATTATTATTAATATTACCCGTTTTAATGAAGTTTGTTATATTTGTCATAGTTGGTCTAGCTTTAGCAGGTCCCCTTTCAGAAGATTTGGCTTAATTGTCACTTATATAAACACCAAAAGAAGAGGTATTAGAACAATTAGGTGATTTATTAAGTGAATTAAGAAAAGAATAAATGATGGATGATACTTAACTTGCCTAAGTAAAATTATATAAATATTGTATCAGACAAATGCAAAATTAGAAGCTGATATTTTAATATCATAATCATAACTAGAAGCTTAAGTGAACTAATTAAAAGCAACAAATACATTAATAGGTGATTTGAGTGAAGAAATCTACACAATTTCTAAAACATGGGCTAATTTAAATTAACAATTAACAGATTTAGGAGCTAGAGATATTTAATTAAGAGATTCATTAGCAAATGAAGGAGCAGCTTTTGATGTAAATCAATTAATAATTATTTTTAGAGTGAATCATCATAAGCTAGAAGATCAATTAATGGTCTAACATAAATTATATAAAAATTAACAGATGCTGTATTATCTCAATAATCATTAATTGAAAAATAAGAAATTGTGAATACAATGAAATAAGAATTAGGATAAAAACATCCTGTTGCATTATTAGTTGAAGTAACTTCAAAATTTGATAGAGCAACTGTTTAAAATATTATCTTAAAATTAGAACATATCTAATCATAATAAGAATAACAATTAATTTAATCAGAATAAAATTGGACTGTCTAATAATAAACATATTAAACTTTACTTAATGAAATTTCTGAAGTTTCTAAAAAATTGAGTTTTGATGCTTCCACTGCTAAAACTTCAATTGCTAAAAAATAAAATGAAAAAGTAACTGCAGATAAAAGAAAAGCATAACTTGAAACAACCATTCCTTAAACTGAATAAGTATTAACAAATCTAAAATAATAATAAGAATCTTATAATTTAGCATATTCAGCTAGAAAATAAAAGAGGTATAATTATCTTATAATTTTATAGAACTCAAGAAGTTGAAACTTTAAAGAGTGCTTTTGAATTGTTAGAAAAAAAATTAAGATGATCACCATTAAAATTACAAATTAAATATTATATTAAAAAGTTCTTTTTGTTATATCTAAATCTTAATAATTATTTTCATTCCAAATATAAAATTTAGCTTATTTTGAATGAAATGATAAAGTATAATAAACAAGACTCTTCAAATAAATTAATAATTTATACTTAGCGTACTAACAGTAGATATCTATAGTTTTGTTATAAGGTTATTTAATAATTTTGTTTTTTTCTCAAGTTAATGCTATAATACTTTTAGATGTTATAGATTTATTTTCTATTTTATTAACAACTTACTCAATTTAACTTATATATCACAATCTATTATTGTGAAGGTCTAATCTGAAAATTCAGAATAGGATTCAAAGTTATATAAATTTATAATTATAAACACAATTGTATATGGATCTAAAAATTAAAAATAATCCTCTTTAGTGAATTCTATCAAGATTTGTTTGAAAAAGTTAATGAACTTAATTTCAAGAACAATAATTACAATATCAATAAACTTAAGAGAAATTCAATTTAGTTACTAAATTTTTTATCATCAACAATATTTATCCAATTAAAAATATGTTCATTATGTTTTTTTATTTAAATAAATATTTTATTAACACTCCTTTAAAGGACAAAAATAAACTACAAATATAAATTTTCGAATTATTTTCTCAAAATTTAAAATAACTGAGAGTGGAACTATTATTAATAATTAATGAACAGAAATAATTGAAAATATTGTATTGGGTAATTGAAAATACAAACTACAGTAATTCTAGTAAGAATAAAAAAGTTTATAATTTTATTATTAACATAAATAAGAATGGATAGTAGTCCTAAATGTCCTTTTGGATTTTAGACAGAACCAAGTAAAGATTCTCCTGTGAAGAAAGTGAGCTTTAAGGAATTTCTTATTCAGAGATAAAGTGATTATAAATCATCATTACCTACTGTTGTCTAATCTAAGACTAGAAGATGGGGAAAACAATTAAGTTCTTTATTATCACCTGAATTATTCGCTTTTAGATAAGCATAATCAAATCAACAAATACCATTGAGTGAAATAGTTAAAGTTGCTAGAATCACTCATACAAAAACAAACAATGAGTACAATTTTAATTTTATTGTAGCAAAGAAAAAGAATACAAGAAAATTAAATCAGAATCTATATCAATACCGTTGCTTAATATACCAATTACACCTACAAATGGCTTTTTTAAATTTTAACCATAGCATCGTATGAGAAAAACTGGAATGTATAGTCTTAGAAATTGTAATGAACAATTAGAATAAATTAATAGAAAATAAAAGTCTAATGTTAACAATTTTTCTCTACCTTAACTCACTTAAGAGGAGATTATTACATAATTTTTTCAAACCAAATTTTAAAAATCAAATGAAAATGATGTAATTTATGATTCATTTACAATTAAGGAATTATTACATAAACCAATCGGATCCAGTGCAAGATTAGATTATGAAGCTAATATTCTGTTTACAAAGATTACTTCTGATTATACTTTATATTAAAAATACAAAGGAAGACATATTAGACATTTGAAAGAAGTTTATCGTAGTTTATTAGGTGTTGGATATGATAAAGAAATTATAATGGATCCTGGAAGACTTAAAAGTATCCATTCTTAATTAAATATAAAAAATGATTAGTTTTTAAGATTTAAATACTTATTCATTAATTAGTTTCTCGAAATGGAAACTCCTTTGGATTTATTTTTTAAAGGTTGTCACAAAATAGAAAGTTTTAAACCATTAGTTTTAAATAAAGTAAATACACATTAAAATTTATAAATAGCCTTTAGATTTCGAAATCTATGGTTAAGATGTAGGAATTAAGAAAATTACAGAATCTATGTATGATAAAATATTTAAAGATTATACACTTTCTCCATATTTTATATTGATTGATAAAGAAACTCAAGCAAAGAAATTTTCTCGTTTATTTGCATAGTTAATTGATCATACTGATTCTCCAAATTATACTTTAGAAATATTAAGAGAAAGACATATTTAATATAATTTAACTTTAGTTTAATTTGCAAATTTTAAATTTTATCTTTCAATGACTTTGTAATAATAATAAATAGGATTCAAACACATTAGATCTTTATTGAGAAAAATGGATACTTATAAATATGCTATTTTAAACAAAGAAAGTTTATAAGAAACATTAAATGCTTTTGGATATAAAGAGTTTATAGATGGATTGGTTAAGTAATGTTAAACTGAGCCAATTTTATTTGAATTATTTAATAAAAGAGGTAAGCACAGATTTACAGCTCATTGTGAAAATATGATTCATTTTTTTTTTCGAGATAATGTAAAATCAATAACAGATTAAGATATAGAATAAATACATAAATGTAATGCCATAATTACAGAAAAGGTCTTTTTAAAAATGAAGGAACATACATTTTAATCCCTAAAAAAAATAACAAAAGATGCTCTTATAATTTCTGATTTTGAAGAAGATTGGGAAGAAATAACACCTTTTATACTAAACCGATCAAAAAAACAAATTGTTAAATAAATGGGAGGCTAAACTTTCATTAGTAATCTTGCCTCTACTTTAGCCTTTGAAATGTAATAAAGACCATAATTAAACAAAGTTTTTGAGGTACAGATTAATTAATATAATTATAATAGGATAATGATACTTGTATTGTATAGAATCTAAGATGTAAATTAAATTTAATGCTTTATGGAATTCATTTCTATAAAAAAACAGAATTAGAGGTTCTTCATAAAAGATTAAAAATATCAGAATAAGTTTATTTTGAATTTTAATAAGTAAAAATTATTAAATTAATAAGGCCACTAAACACATTCTTGAAAATTTTCCTAAATTGTAATGGTTAAATAAAATTTTGGAAGATTATAAAAAACATATTGTTTCTGATTGATGATAACTTTAATGCATATTTTATTTTTGATTATAATGGGTATTTTTAATAAATATAATAATGTTTTCTGCATCAGAACACTCAAAGTCAGTTAAGACTTGTTCATTTAAGGAATTCATAGAACTTTTATCAACTGATAGAAAGTAAACGCTACCAATATTAAATAAACGAAAATCACAGTAGACTCTTGGAAGCATTATACATCATCATAACGATAGTGCATAACTAAAAGATATCCAATTAGCTTAAAATATACGACATGTATAAAATAATAATATTATTGAATATGCCATAAGCTTGTCGTAGTTAAGGCATGATAGCTATATAAACTTAACAATAAGACTCAGAAATAAATAATAATAATAATATGAGATTCAAGTAAATAATAGATAGTCCTTCATATAAGAGCTCGAATCATTTAGTTTCATATGAAAAAAGTAGTTTTAGTTAACATTTTCGGATAACATCTTAAAGATCAAGTCCATAATAGAAAAAAATAAGTATTATAAGAAATCATCAGTTGTTTGTTGATGTAGTTAAAGGGTCTGAGAGAATAAAAAATGATATAGGTTGTCCTCATAGTCCTCAACTTTAGAAGTCGCAATAGTAGATAATTTCAGGATATTTGAAAGATTTAGCAATGTAAATTTACTAATTAATTAATAAAGAAAAAGAAGAGTCGTATAAAAACCATAAGGAATAGATGCAAGATTGGATTTTGAGACAGAATTAATTTATTCTGCTTTAACATAGGATGGTGATTTAGCTAAGAAATTTTATAATAAAACAGGATCTCATGTTAAATAAATATTCAGAAATATATTAGCTACAGGATATGATTAATAGATCTATTTAGATTTAAATAGGATTCGAAGTATTCATTTAGGTTTGAATTTAAAAAGTTTCCATTTCTTCAGATTTAAATATCATTTTATGAATAGATTTATGTAGATGGGTATACCTGTAGAATAATTATTTAAATGTTGTGAGAGAATAGAAAATGTGAGACCTTATATTTTAAATGAAAAAATGGAATATGATGTATATGGTGGTTAAGATGGTATTGAATTGTGTGCAAATTAAATGTATGCTAAAATATTTGCAGATATAACATTGGAATATTATTTTGTGGGAATTGATAGAGCAACTTAGGCATCAAAATTTGCTAAACTTTTCTTTTAATTAATTTATCATATGGATTCTCCAAATTATACAAATGAAGTTTTAAGAGAGAGACATGTTAAATACGAATTAACTAATGTATAACTTACAAATTTTAAATTTTATCTTGCTTTAACTTTATAAGAGTTATAAGTTCCTTTTAAATATGCGAGTGCATTACTTAGAAGAATGGATATTTATAAATATGCTATAATTAATAAAAATAGTTTATAAGATTATATATGTAATTATGGTTATAATTAATTTATTGAATAATTTGTTAAAAGTTGTTTAGAAGAGCCAGTTTTGTATGATTTAATTTAAAGAAGAGGAAAGGCTAAATTTACAGGTCATTGTGAAAATATATTTCATTACTTTTTTCGATATAATGTTAAAGCAATTACTTTAGATGATTTAGAAGAAATTCATTATCATAAAACAATAATTACTGATAAGATTTTTATGAAGTTAAAAGAAAAAGCTATGGCTGAAGTAGCTAAACTTACAGATGATCGTATTGTTTTAGAAGATTTTGATGAAGATTGGGATGAAATAAAACCATTGATTTTAAGTGATCCTAGAATGTCTTATCTAAAAACAAAAGATAGAGATGTTTTAATAAATGAATTAGCATATAATTTAGAAAATGAGTTGTATTCACGATAATTAAACGTTATTTATGAAGTATTTTGATTTATAATAATATTTAGACAGAAGAAATAAATATGATGAGAAATATCAAAAGCAAGTTGAATTTGTTAGTTTATACTATTAAGTTCTTTAAGAGAACTGATTTAGAAGTAATACATAGGAGATTCAGAATCAGTGAAAGTTAATATTTTGATTTCTAATAAAGCTTTAAATCACTTTTAGAGAAAGTTCCTGAACTTCACTATATTCATGGTTTATTAGAAGAATATAAAAAATATATTGTTTCGGATTGATATCTTAATTTATTATTTTTACAATTATTTTTTATAATTTAATTTCATAATTTAAATCATAATAAAATATTAATGAGTGACTAATTCCATTAGTTGAATGATAAATGGACAATATCTGAAAAGTATACTGTTTAAAATAGAGATGATGATTATAAAAAGACAATTGTTGATATATGTTCAATTAAAAGTGTTGAAGAATTCGCTTTTATAATGAAATAAACAATCTATTCAAGTTTGACAGATTTATTTAGTGAGCCTCAAAAATTAAAATAGTATAATAATGATATATATTATATTAGATTTAAAAATTTTAAAAACAATGCAATAGAAACATAAATTGAAGCAATCCAATTTTTTAAAAATGATATCAATCCTTGTTGGGAAGATCCAGAAAATGAGAAAGGAGGTGATATATAATTTGAAGTACCTCTTACTTCAATTGATATATACAATTAACTCTATACTGATATTATTTATGAGATAATAGGATAATCAAAGGAAGAATTAAGACATGTAAATAATTAAATTAATATAGGTAAATGGAGTTCGAGTTTTAGATAAGATAAATGCAGGAAAAGGCAATATAAGAATCGAATTGTGGTTAGATATTGATCCAGTAGATATGAATGAATAAGTTTAGAGTAATATTAAAAAAATTGATGATTGGATTCTTCAATTGGCAGAATAATATGATATAAGATAACTTAAATTAAAAACATAATCGCATAAGAAAAAATGAATGGTTGTTTTTGCAGTTTAAAATAAATAAACTTATCAAAATATTTATGATATACTTTTTTTATTAGACAATCAATTTATGAAACGACTAATTTCTTAAGCTAAATTAGTATCATCTTCAATCGGAGGCATATGACCTATACCAGGTCTAATTATAACAGTGCATTTCTCTTCTCCAATTTCTTTAGCATTACCTTATGCTTAAATGTATGGTATAACTAAATCTATTTCTCCATGATAAATTAAAACTGGCCCCTTAATTGAAGAAGCTTTATTAGTTCCTCCAGAACTTAAAAATATTTGTAATAATACGATATATCAAATTGATTTAAAGCCCAACAAACATCAGTATATTAAGTTTATAAAAATGTTTCATCCAATAATTATTAATATTCTTATTCTTCTGGGTATTTACCACTATTGAATAATAACTTATCAAAAATGATTCTCATAAAGTTTTTATCTTTATCATTTAATTTTTATTATTATAAAGCAACTTTAGGATGTTCTTTAACTTATTGTTTTGTTTAACATCTTACTTAACCAATTCCATCTTCTGCCATTAAAGCATAACCACAAACACTTCCAGATGCAATTAAAATAAGTCTTTAATATTTATTTGGATAATCAACTGCTAATTACATACTAACAATTCCCCCTAAAGACCATCCTGCAAGATAAACATGCTTTTAATAATATTCTTCTTCATTTTTATCTGATAGTAATTAATTTAACAAATTATCCACATCATTAGATAAATCAGTGATATGTTCTACATGATTATTAATTTAGGATTATCCAAATCCTCTTAAATCCATACTAATACATCGGATTTTGGAGTTTTGTTATTGAATTAAATTTATCAATCTTGTCCAATATTTATTCGATATAAGATTTCCATGAATCAAAACTAAAATATTGTCATATTCATTATTATTAGAGTGAGTATCCAAATAATATAACTAATTTTTATTATTCATTCCTTGAAATATCTAAAATTTATTTAATTAAATGTATGTGTAATAATAAATAATGGATATTAATTAATAATATAATTGAGATAAATAAAGATCTGAAATGTTATTAGTTAATAATATAAAAATATCGATTTGAATATACATATATATATTATTATTTTAATAAATATGATACTGATAGCAATGAGATATTAGAGACCACAATTCCATGCAAGTCAAGTAGTAAAGAATGCTATTCAAAGAAGAAAAGGTAAAAGAATATGATCTAAATTGAAATTAGAAAGAAAGAATGTAATGTAAGAACATTTAGAGAGATTAGCTGATAAATTAGAATATAAAAGCTTCCCATATCATATAACTCATTATGATCCAGCACATTAAGATTATATTCCTGCTTAGAGATAGGATTATAAATAAAGATTAACAGTGGATACTCATAATATGTTGGTTGATGGAGTAAAGAGAGATGTAGCAATGTAAAGATAAGTTGATGAAGCAATTAAATAATTGGATAGACCTTATTTAAAAGGTAAAAGTGGAGTAACAAAAAATATCACTGGTGGATTGAGAGATTATTTTCCAATAGAAATGCCATATGCATAAACTGGTAATTTAGAAAATGAAGAATTGGAATATGAAAATGTATTTAGAAATGAAAAGAGATGGATAGCATAAACAATTGCTCCAGTAGATAAAACAGAAAGTGAAAAAAGACATGAAAAAGAACTAGAATCTAGACCAGTTACTAAGAAATTCCATCCTGATAAAGGTTCAAAATATGATGTTGAAACTCCTTATCATTTGAGATTCCCTTATTTAGCAGATAGATTAGGACATCCTGAATTTTTAGCAAATCCTTTTTAAAGGTTATTTAGATTAGAAAGTGATATGTATCATCCAAGTTATAATGATTAACCATTTGTTTAACATCCATCAGGTGATCCAGATCCAACATTAAATTTTGAAGAAGGTGAAGTAATCTATGAAAACACCAGATTATAAGAATGGCTTAAATTTGTATGGTGGACTGGAACATTTAGTTTTGCATGGATTTGTTGGGTATTACCATATAATATTGTATACAAAACTAATTTAATGTTCGATCATTAAATAGATGCTTCATTTTATCCTTATCATTTATAATCTATTTATAATATGGATTATATGAGAATTAATGTTTTAGCAGCTACTGCAGCTTCTGCATATTTATGGTATTTCCATCATATGTCTATGAATGATATTGGCAAAAATTATGTTACTAGAGTTTAATATAGTAAAGATAAAGAATTAGTATTTGTTACAAGAATGGGATCATTTGGAGTTGTTAGAGAAGATGTCTTTGAAACTCATCATTTAGAAGTCTTACCTTATTATACCAAATCTGGAGTTTAAAATATGAGATAAAATGTAAAATTATTTATCTAAATATTATTAGGATCTAGGTATGTATGAAATATCTTGCTTAAATAAATAAGATCTCATGTATCTTTATAAAGAAGATGCCTTTTGGAATCCTAAACTTAAAACTACATTCCTTACAAATCATTCATAATTGATTTCTAAATAATATTTTGGATTAAAAAGGTAATTATCTTTAATTTTATATCTAGAAACGAAGAAGAAGAATATTAAAAAACTTTAACTCTTGGAGATTTACCAGTTAAAGATTTATAAGCTCCATGAAATATTTCTATGCCATCAAAATTATTAAAACAAAATCTTTTTTTAATTTTTATCATTTTATTTTTATTATTTAATATTGATAATTATAATATTCAATCCATTTCTCAATTTGAAAAATATGTTTACTTTAGTTCATCAAATTATTCAATAAATTCTTTACTTGTACCTCTCTTTAAGAATTATTCTATTTACACTATAGAACTTATTGAATCAGTCTTTTAAAATTAACATATCGTTTTAAAATGATGAGGAATACTTTATACATCACATATTCTATTTATCAATATACACATCAAAATTAACAATCTAATATATGAAATATTCTTATCTTCTTAATTATCAAACAAAGATAAAGTATTTGTTAAAATATATCTATATGAACGTTTGATCTCCTCAAAATTACTGATCTCAGAATTCTATTTATATTTATTAATATAATTTACATCATCCAAATATTTTTCAATAAATTTGTATAATTCTTTAAATAAACCATCATTTTTATTCTATTCAAGCACTTTCTTTAATTATATATAATCCTTCTATACTAACATTTTTTAATTAACCTCCAAGTCAAATTTCATCTTTCCAATCATCTTTTTATACTCTTCAGAACTTTAAATAAATTTTAACCACTCCTATTCAGGAATATTATAAACATTCTAACATTATTCTAACATAACTTAATACTCTCTCTTTAAAATTATTTATGCCTTTTTCATTCCATATATTGCTATATTTAATAAATAATTATTGTTCTTCTGTTAACTCTATTACAATTCCTCAATAAGTCTTGTCATCAATGAAAAACGATACAAATAAAAATATATTTGATTCCATATCAAAAAATCCTAAGGTCTGTCAGAATTTAAAAATGGTAGTACACTTAACAATAAATCATTTTCCAAAAGAGAACTCTTTATTTTTTTTTCTTCAGTATCATACTATGTTTTTGTTTGATTTAAATCCTGTTACACATTACTGACAATCTAATTTTAAATAAGATTAAAAGCTTTATAATTACAATCTGATTCAGGAGGATAAAGAGAACTCATATTTTAACTATTTCCTTAAGATAAATCTATATAGCTATTTTTTTCTATTACTAAAGGCTAAGAAGTTATAGGCACAGATTCTTCAAATATTTTCTATTAATCAAAATATATAATTATACCTTGATTTATTAAGTTTAAATTATATCAAAATTTGAAGTTTCTTCTAATTTATTGTTTGAATTCTTCTCTCTTTTATCAATAATTTTTTAAACTGTATTCTTTAAGATATTTTATTTGTAAAACTATTCTTAATGATGATAGTATTAATTGTTTTTAAATTTATTAAATAATTACGAATAATCGATTCTTTTGTTTAAATCTATTGATAACATTGATATAACTAATTTTTTCAAACCTTCTGAGTAACTAGTTTATGCAATAGATAAATTGATATCTGATGAAACCTCACTTAAATTGCTCAAATTGAATTTTGGTAAATCATTTCCAACCATCAAATAAAATAATACTCTTCCTAACAAAAAAATATCTACTTTTTCAGTGTAGGTTTAATTGTATACAATTTCAGGAACTTAGAATTCTAAATCTGGATAAAATCCATATTCCATCATAACACAATGTTGATTTTCAACAAGCAATATATTGTTAACATTAAAGCATCTTCCTAATAATCCTTTTTAATGAAGAGTAAATAAACCAATTAGAAGATCTTGACAAATTTTTAAGATCACTTATTCTGGCAATTATTTAAGTTCTGATAAAAGTGTGTATTCTTTATATGACTCAAAAGCATAAAAACTCTGACTTATAGTTTTATTGTATTTTCGTAAATATTTTATGTCATTTTGCACTTGAAGATCCCCAGCTAAAAATTCATTTGATTAGGATATATTTAAATTTCCCTATTTTGGTATATATCCAAAATATGTCTTATCTTTTATATTTACTAAATAAATATTAAAAGCTGTTGATTAGATTCTAGTTAAATTCTAAGAGGAATCCTTGATTTAATTCATTAAACTAATTCAATTGTAATAAATTAAAATAAATATGCATTAAATCATTAAATTCTCAACCCTTAAATTATATAATTATATAATTTATGAAAATAAACTATAAATCATTATGAATCTATCTGTTTTTAAGAACGTAAATTTAATTATCAATATTATTTTATTATAATTTGTTTAAGTACATCAAAAATTGATAGATAAATTCTTTTATATGTATTCTCATAATGAGGTTCTTCTTTTTTTAATTATGAGTAAAAAATCTAATTTTGAAATCTTGTTAATTTAATTATTAAAATAAATTCTATTACATAAATATAATTCATAATAAATATCTTTTTGTCAAATAAAGCTTTAAAACCTAAATTTACTAATCTTATAATTAATTATTTTCCAATTTATATATATAGCTTTTATAAAATTAAATATTAATCAATAAATGATTTAATTGAAATAAAGAAACAGATTTCAGCTAAAAGTAAAATAGGAAAATAAAAAATTGCATTTAGAAAATTTTAAATCTCCGATATTTAATTTGATATAAATGTTTTTTATCATCTAAATAATAAGAAAAAAACCAATTACAAAACATGAAACAAATCAATTATTAAACAATCTTTCTGATCTCTTTTTTTTGAATTATTTTGGTTACTCATTTTATCTTCTTATTTCATTAAATAAATCCTCATCCTTCCCATTTTCACAATGATTACAATTACAATCGACAGTACAAAACTTTTTTCTAATATAACATTCACAATATTTTTTTTAACATCTTGTTTTTTTACAATTACATCCCCAAACATCTTTTGTTTCGAATAACTTTTCTTAAGTGATTTTTTTATTTCGATGTGCTTTTTTTCTAATATATTCAACTGCGTCATGTCTTATATCTGTGTGTTTATCCGTATTTTAACATTCTTCACATTTACATAATTCTCCACATTTTTATCCATTATGAAAGCATGAACAATACATCTTCAAACATTTTGTTTTTGTACAACTACAAGGCTGCCATTTCGTGCTTCCTTATTTTGGACTCTCTTCTTTTTTTTCATCTAAATCTATTTCTTTATTAATCACTTGTTGAAGTAGTTCATTATTCTCTATTGTTGAATTCCTATCATAATTTAAATAAGATAATTACAATTTTCTTAATTTAACTATTTTTGGGGATTATTTGTTTTCCAAATCTATTTCGCTAAACTCAGAACATTTACTCCAAGCTAAAAGTAATCTAGGAGGTCTATTGTCTTCTGAGAGTTCATGATTACTCATAAGAAAAATTTAAATATTATATTTTTTATATATAATTTATTATTGAAATAAATCATAATAAAATAATATTTTACTTAATTACATAATTTTAAGAGGTAATCTCATAATTTAAATATCATTACTATCATAAATTGAATTTAAGCAATCTATTAATTATTTTTTAATTATTTTTAGTTGTGGTGAATTTTTTATAATTATTCATCCTTTTATAATAAAAATGTGCAAAGCATGAATATAAACTTAAAAATCACTTTTTGTAAACTTCATATAAATCTGTGACAGTCGTTTTTGTAATCTCAAAAGTCTTTATAAAATAATCAAAAGTAAGAAACTAATTTTTTTTTTAAATTCATTACTCCAAATTCTTTAGTTCTTTCAAAAAATATATTTTTTGCTTATCCCCATTTTTCTTAAACTTAAGGTTCTTAAAATTTCTAATTTAATTCTTCATATTTCTGTTTAAGATTGTCTGTTATATCTATTCATTATTAAAATTTTCTTACATTGAGTAGTTTCACTATAAGGCTTATGCTCTATTGAAGGTTAAATTGTTTAATTAACTTTTTATGTTGTATTGTTGCTCATTTCTGAAATCTTTTTAATCTAAAATTAATATTGTTGATATTTACTCAAAGAAAGCTTTAAATTAAAAAATCTTATTTTTTCTGATAATCTCTGTCTAATCTTATTAATTGAAACTCTTTAAATTTAGAGGAGTTTATCTTCAATTTTATCTTGTTCTAAACATATAGTTGTTTTTTTAAGTAATAAAAATAAGGATAAACAAAATCAAATAAAAAATGAATTTTTTAAATATTTTGAAACACTTATCAAGAAGATTTATTTAAATTGATAAATATTTATTTATCTAAACTTAGTATATAATATTTGTTTCATCTAGTTACTAATTTTTCAAATTTGAGTTGATAAATGAACTTCACTTAAATTTATATATCTTGAGAATGCTATTTTAAGACAAGTTATCTAATATATTTTTATAATTGATAATATCTCAATCAATAAAATATAATTTATTATTCCTAACAACATTATATACTTTTAATATTTGATTTTTTTGATCATGATTCATTTGAATTTAATATTGATTTTTAGTTTCTAAACTGAATTCAAATAATGTAACCAAATCAAATAAAAGGCTTATAGCCTATTGGATTTATTTTGAATAGAAATTTTAAAATCATTGCAAAAGAAAAAGAATTTTCAAATAATATAGAATAAAATTAAATTCATTCTGTGTGGTAATAAAATTAATTATAATTATTTGTGGTTTTCATTTTAAATATTATGTACTAATAAAAATGAAATAAAATTTTGAACATTAAATACGAATGATCATTTATGATAGAGTCCATGAAGTTCTGTGAAAGTTATTTTAGTAATTTCAAAAGTTTTCACAATATAGTCTAAAGAGAGATTCTTAAAAAAATAGAGATTATAATTACTCCAAATTCTTTAGTTCTTTCAAAAAATATATTTTTTGCTTATCCCCATTTTTCTTAAACTTAAGGTTCTTAAAATTTCTAATTTAATTCTTCATGTTTCTGTTTAAGATTATCTGTTATATCTATTCATTATTTAAAATTTCATACATTAAGTAGTTTCATTATAATGCTTATACTCTATTGAAGGTTAAATTGTTTAATTAACTTTTTATGTAGTATTGTTGCTCATGAAATTTCGAATGCTATTGAAATAAAATTAAATTTAAAATCAATTACCAAAGTTGAAAATAAAAATAATGGAATCTTGCTATTTTGATTAAATCTGATAAAAAACCTGTTCTCTATTTCTATTTTCCTCAAATATATCCTAATACGGATGGAGAAATGAAAGTAAATTAGTTTAAATGTGATTTATAAATTATTATAGTCAGATTTATCAATAAAGGATTAAAATAATGCTCTGAATGAAGTTAGCATTTATAGCAAGTCCTATATTATTGGTTATCAAGAAGCATTTATAAAAGGAGATATTTTAATTATAGTATTGGAATTTGCAGGAGGAGACTTATAATAAAAATTAGAGTATATAAGAAAAAAGGAAAAAATTTTTAGTTGATGAGGAATTAATATGGGTTTTATAGATTAAAATAGTTAAAGGATAATATGAATCTCTCAATCCAAGATATAGTACAGATTTAAATGAATTAATAGCAAGATGTTTATAGATTACATCAGAATAAAGAGCATCTTGTTCAGAATTATTAAAGATGATTTAAATAAGAAATAGAGAAAACTTAATTTCTAAAAGTTCAGTTTCAAATAGTAATTTAAAATTACTTGAAACTATTTGTTTATCCAAAAATTATAAAGAAATACGACTTCCAAGACCTAGAGATTAAACAGAAACAAATGATTCAAATATCTAATAATAAATCAGATGAATCTACTAGTCCAATCAGTAGAAAATTAAAATAAATTATGAAATCATAAAAATTCTACTGAAAGAAATAATTCTTAAAATGATTAGTAATCAAATAAATATATAAGAAATATTAATAATCTTTATTAATTATAATCTAATAATGATTAACATTATCCAAGTTCTCAAGAATATGAATTTAATAATATTAAAAGATAATTATATTAAGAAAATAATTATCTTCTCCTTTGAATTAGAAAAAACATCATTCAAATCAGAAATTCAGTAAGAAAGATATCTACCAAAATTATAAATATAATAAATGATATTTTAAAAATAAAGAACATTCACACACTTTAGAAATATCAGAAAATTAATATGATTATTTTAATTCTTTTTAAATTTTAATGTCAAAAAATAAGCAGGGTTATTTTTTCATTAATTTAAATATCCATGAATAGTCATTATTTCAATGGTCTTGATGAGTATGATCTCGACAATGAAGAATCAATACGTTCTAAATGGAAAGATACTAGAGATGCTAAGATAGGATTAGATTCCTAAAATTTTCAACCTTTTCGTAAAGACTTTTTGCATGTAAAAAATTTAATTATCTTTTTTAGAATAACAAAGAGAATTATACAATGACAGAAGAAAGAATTGAAGCTTTTTATAGAGAAAAAGATATAATAATAAAAACATTTGAGAATTAAAAAGTACCTCCTCCATTTTTAAGTTGGGCTTCAGCTTGTTTTCCACCTCCTATTTTAGATTCAATAGAATAATTATAATTTAAGAGTCCAACACTTATTTAATCAGTAGGTATAATAATAATTTAAATATTTTAATTTAAGTTTTTCCAATAATTTTAGCTGGATATGATGTAATAGGAATTGCATAAACTGGATCTGGAAAAACTATAGCATATTTATTACCAGGATTAATTTAAATTACAAGTTAAAGAGATTAAGAATTAATTAATATAAAAAAATAAAATGGTCCTTAAATGTTAATTTTGGTACCAACTAGAGAATTAGCAATTTAAATAGATTAAGAAATTTAATTATTTACATAAAATTACAGATTGAAAACAGTTTGTGTTTATGGTGGTTTAAATAATAGAAAAACTTAATATTATAACTTAGGAAGATGTCCAAATATTTTAGTAGCAACTCCAGGAAGACTATTAGATTTTTTAAAAGAGAGAGCAACAACATTATCTGATGTGAGTTATCTAGTTATTGATGAAGCTGATAGGCTTTTAGAGATGGGTTTTGAAGATACAATAAGAGAAATTGTATAACAAATAAGATAAGATAGATAAACAGTGTTTTTTTCAGCTACTTGGCCTAAGGCTGTAAAGAATTTAGCATTTGATTTTTGTTAATAGATTCCAATATATGTTTAAATAGGAAAATCAAATTTAACAATAAATAAAAATATAGAATAAGAAATTATTTGTCTTTTTTCTAAGGACAAATTATAATCTTTACTTGATATTTTAGATACATTAAAAATTTCAGATAAAGTTCTTATTTTTTCAGATTAAAGATATCGTTGTGAATAATTAGCTATTAATATGGCTGATATGGGATATTACACAATAGCTTTGCATGGTGATAAGACTTAGCCTTAAAGAGATGAAATAATGAAAGCATTTCGTAGTGGATAAACTCGACTCTTATGTGCTACTGATTTAGCATCTAGAGGATTAGATGTTACTGATATAACTGTAGTAATTAATTATGATTTTCCAAAATATTTTGATGATTATATTCATAGAATTGGTAGAACTGGTAGAGGAGAAAAAAGAGGAAAGTCTTTTAGTTTTTTAGCATATGATAAAGATGAACCTAAAATGGCAAGGGAACTCTTAAAATTAGCTTAGGTTGCTAATCTTAAATATGATGAGTTTGCCTTATAAAATTTTGCAGCAGGAATGAGTAAATAAATTATTTATTCATTTTTTTAGTACCTTAAATAAGAAATGATTTTTAATCTAATAAATTTAAATAATCCCATCAAAATTATAATTAAAGAGAAAATAATAAATTCTCAAAAGATTTTCAAGAATAAGAAAATTTTGATTTCTAGAAATTCAGGTATAATTTTATATTTCAACATAGAAATCCTTAAGAAAATAGAAATTTTCATAATGAAAATAAATATACATAATTTTAAAGTTTCTAAAATTAAAAAGAAAATTCATCATTTAGAAATACTGATTAGTAAATATATTAATTAATTATTAGCAATTTTAATTTATAAAATAATGAGAAATACTAAGACTATGATAATATGTAGAGTAGAAATTAATGGTGTGAAGATAGAAATAAAAAGGAACAAAACTTTGAAACTGAAAATGATAGATAAAATTATTATTAAAAAGGGGATAAAAATTAATTTAATGGGAAATAGGAAAGTGCAGATAGATTAATTAGATAAGAATAATCATATGATATAAGTAATTAATTTGGTAATGATTATCAAGATAGATTTTATGAAAATGATAGATTTGATAAATAAAATAAATAGGATAGGTAGTTTAGATAAAAAGGATTGGATTGGTCTTAAAGATAAGATTTTTAGTAAAGATAAATTGGTTAAGATAGAGAAAAGAATGGATAAGAAGATTTAGTTATTTCTAATAGATAAGATAGATTCAAATCTTAAAATATTTAAGGAGAATTTAATAGATAAGATAGATTTGATAGATAAGATAGATCAAATAAAAAGTATCAAAATGATCATAGAGATTTAAGATAATATGATGATAATAGAAGAGTTTTTCAAGATAAATAAGAAGAACCATTCAGATAATTTGAAAAAAATCGAGAAAATAAAAGAGCAAACTTTATCAACCAAGACGATGACAGATTTGAAAATATAAAAGAGTAAGAAATGTCATTTAAATAATCATAATAATAAACTAAACAATTATTCAATAATAATAATTTATTTAAATAGGATAATTATAAAAGAAATGATAAGTAAGATGATTATTGGTATAATTAAAAATAACAATTATAATAATAAAGAATTTCTGGTTCTTAAAATAATAACAAAAATTATGAAGAAGATTATAAGAATTTCAGATAAGAAGAATGCAAAAGATAAAATAATAATCAAGCTGATATAGGATAAAATAAAAATCGATTTTATTAAATGAATGAGAAAATAGATTAGAATAAGATCTTTCATGATTAATAGGGGAGATTTGAGCAAGGAGGAGATAAAAAACATTTATTTAATAATAATTATAATTCTCATGAATATAATTACAAAACAGATAAACATATAAGATCATCTATTGAACAAAGGTAAGAAGATGATAGATTCTAACAATCTAGAAATTTTGATTCAAGAAACAATAATTATCAAAATCAAGGCAAATATTATTAGGATTAAAATGAAAAAAAAGGATATGTTAATTTTAGAGATAGAAGAAGGTTGAATAATGATTAATTTGAATAAAATAATAATTAAAGATACTAAAATGATTACTAATATAATGATTCTAATAGATTTAATAAAAATCAAATAGAATTAAACAATAATGATAATTATAAATTTAAATCTCATAGAAATACTTAAAGTTTAGAAAGAAATGAATAAGTTAGATTTTACAATTCAAAATAAATTACTAGAAATATCACATCATCAGATGATTATTAAAAATAACGATTGGAAGAAAACAAAATATAAAGAAATTAAAATTATAACACATAACAAAATATAATAAATATAAAAGAATATAAATAAAATAATAATTAAACTCAAAATACAGAAGAATGTAAGAAACATTCTTTATCTATTAATGAAAATTAATAAGGAATGGAGGAGATTAATGAAATTTAAGAATATAATTTTAACTATAATCCTAATAAATCATCATCTAATGATGGAGAAATTTAAGATTAATATCATTTTGATGGTTATGAATAAATTTATTAAGAATAAAAAGAAATTGATTAAAAAGATGTAAACAATTAAAACCAGACTGTTGCATTTAAATCAATTTTAAAAACTAATGTTCTAATACCTGTTTCTGATTAAATTTAGGAAATAAAAGAGGAAGATCCAAATGTTGAGGATGATTTAAAAAATTAAAAATCTCATTTAAATAAAGGAGAAGAAAATAAAGGTGATGGTTCTGATAATGAATTTGATTTTACACGATTCAGTAAATAACTTGACCAAGATAATTAAATCAAATTTGACACAAATAAGTAGTAAAAATTTTATATATTTTAAAGTTAATTATTTAATAATAACACAGAAAGTACTTCTGAATAAAAAGATTCTAAAAAAGACTTATGAGTGCACTAGTGAATTATTTTAAAGGAAATTATAAAATAAATATTGTGCCAATTTTTATATTATTTTAATTATAACGAATTATGAGTCGTCTTTACACATTAGAAGATGAACAACTTGATTATGGATAAGATTATGAAAGCGTTTTAGTTGTGAAAGAAATTGAAAAACCTAAAAATGAAAGAGAAAATGAAAATGATTTATAAAAACTTTTAAGTCTGCAATTTTATAGCAAGAAGAAAAAAAGTTCATTAAAATTAAATGCTATTTAACGATTAATAACAGAATAAAAGGAAAACTTTAAAAAATAATAGGAACATAAATATCTCAATTAAAAACTTAAGACACCATCATCTAAGCCATTTCCAGTTATAATCATTACACCTAAATGCTAAATGAAGACTCCTTAGCAAAGTAAGACTTTAAAATAACAAATTATGATTGCACCGTTAAATTTTTAAGATTCATTTCAGAAAATAAAATTGTTAGTTTCAAAATAATAAAAGCATTAGTTAGATTTTAGTAAATTTAAAAGGTCGATATATTGAGAATTATTTCATATAGAGGCATCTTTATTTTTTTGATTTTATAATTAAAAATAATATTTAATATAATTTTATGGCTGAAGGATAATCTGACACGTTTTGGAAATCCCTTTACATATATTTCAATGAAATGGATTTTGAATCTCAATTGTTTGTGAAAAAGATATACAAAATCATCATTTTGACAGTTGCTGTAATATCAAATTCCGATATTCTTAGATAATTTCATTTATAATTGCATTCTTCTTAGAGAGATTTTCAATATGTGTTTACTCTACAATTGGAGCAAGTGTTCTTTGTATATTAGTATAAACTAATTTGAATAATAAATTAGGTATTAGCACCAGCTTGGCCTATTTGGAAAAAAAATTAACCTAATTGGTAACCAGCAAATTGGTAAAAACAACAATGAATTTTATAATATATATACAAATAAATTCTAGAAATTTACCATTAAAAAGTAATTCATCAATTATGTGCAATTTTTAAAATTAAAGCAAGTGATTTATAAATTGATGTTTAATGAATTCTGATCAAAAGGTTGAAATATATAGATGTGGACTAATTATCTTTTATAATTTTATATTATAATATTAATGAAAAAATAATAATCTAAATCTCAATCCCTTAGAAATAGAAAAGAAACTGCTAAATCTGTTAAAAGATAAGAGAAACTAACAAAAATATAAGAAGCCTTTAATTTCAACAAGGCATCTAAATATATTGTAAATAAATGATATTAAATTAGTTTCAATCTGGATTTTAGGAAAGAGCATGGTTAATAAAAAGAGGTTATTAAGACAGAATTGATTTCAAAGATTCAGAAATAGCAGAACTTAGAAAATATTTTTCTTCTCTTGACGGAGATGGCTCTGGTGCAATTGGAATAGAAGAATTGGAAGATCCATTAATAGCTTTAGGTTTAGTAAATTCAAGAGAAGAAGTAGAAAAGATTATGAATGAAGTTGATGAAGATGGAACTAATGAAATTGAATTTAAAGAGTTCTTAACAATAATGAGGGGAGTTCAAAAAGGAAATAATGATTAAGGTGAAAAGAATCCTATATATGATTTTTTTAAGAGTAAGAAATTTATTTAATTATAATTTTAGAGATGAGTAATGGTTAGTTAGAAAAAGGAATGGATAAACATATTCCTTTTAAATTAAATGTTAGTCTATTTAGAAGAAAATAAATATTAAGTAAAATTTTAATTATATATTAAAGATGCTATTACAAGTGATTAAAAAGAATTAAAAGATAAAGGTTAAAAAATTCTATAAGCATATAAAAGGTAGCTTTTAATTAATAAATAATAAGAACGATTAAATCGTGGAGAAGACCCAAATGGTAAGAAATAACTATATATTCTATAGATATATCTTTAGATTAATTCCCAAACAAAGATAATGGACCTAATCCTAGAAATGGATTTCCAAGATTATAAAGAATAATTTAACCAGAAGCAAAAATGAGAAGTAATAGTAAACATTTAGAAAAATGAATATAAATTGAAATGATATATAAAATCTTCTTAGTAATTTTAATGTATTTGTTTATATTTCAATAATAGTTTTTATCCAGAATTAAGGAGTCAAAATTATCATTACAGGATTGTTAATTGTATTTGAATTTAAATGATTCAAGTATTTGGAATATTAGTAAAAAATTGAAGTTTATGGAGATTTTGATAATTTTAAGAAAATTATAAAAAATAAAATAATTAACACTTGGTTTATTTGAATTTGAAATATTTAGACAATAGGAGGTAATGTTAAATTAATTTGTGCTTTTTGTTTTGAGCCTTATTAACAAGCAAGTATGAGAGTTGAATTATATATATAAATTAATGATTTTTCAATAACTAAAAATTACTTTACCTCCAATTGGTGCTTAAGAAATCGAATAATCAATATAGAAAAGAATGGGAGACTGTTTAGAGACATAATTAGGTTTTGAATATGAGCCTTTCACGTTTCAATATTTAGAATTACACCCCGATTTGGTTACTATTAAAAATCAAGTATACAAACTTATAGTTATATATGCAGAAAATCGAACATCATCAGATTGAGGACTAATAACATGTATAAACAGCACTAGGATGCTTTAGTAAAGAAAATAAGATACGCTTATACTTAAGTGAAAACATCCATGTTTTGCAACGATTAGTGATAATAATGGTCATTGTAAATACTATAGCATTCTGTTTATATGACTATTAAATTAGAGAGAGTGGAAATAATCTAAGTTACAGGAACATAGCTTCAATAATAATTGAAACAATATGCAATGTTTTTTTTGGGATTGAAATAATAATTCAGTGTATTTGTTATGGAGCAATTTTGGGAAAGGGAACATATTTAAGAAATATTTGGAGCTGTTTGAATTTTCTGACTTTTGTTTGTACATGGTCTATTTATTTAGATTAGTCAAATACATTCATTTAATTGTTAAGAGTTATTCGTTTATTAAGATTAGTGAGACTTCTATAGGAGATTCATTATTTTAGAGAACAAGTAGAAACTTTTTTTTCATGTTTTTTGACAATTCATACAATTATAATTCCATTAGTGATAGTAATTTTTGGATTTTCCATAATTGGATTGCATTTGCTTAGAGGAGTAACAGGACGTAGATGCTCTAAAGATGGAATCATTGATTTAAGCATTAGAAATTTATGTGGTGAATGGTAATGTCCTGATGGGTATATATATTTCAATATAAAGTTATGAGTGTATTGACAATTATCATTCTGAAGACTTAAATTATTTAGACTTTTATTATGGTTACTATAATTTTGATACTATATATGATTCATTTCTAAGTGGATATATGTTTTTTAATGCTACAGGTTGGTCTCCTACAACTTTCTATTTTTGGAAAGCTGTAACTCCTCCTGCTACTGCAATTTATTTCATATTTATGCTTTTCATTTTGTATTTGAATTATTTAATTTAGACACTATACTTTATCTGATTTATTATTAGCTTCTTTATATGAATCGTTTGTTATTAGTAGTGCCATTAAAAATAGTATCAAATCTAATAAATCTGAATTATTTACTTAAAGAAGAAGAACAGTTACTTTAGTTAATAATTAAAACAAAGCTTAGATTAACTTTCACAAATTACATATGATTACTTAAATTTCATCTTAAAATAGAACAAATCTTGTAACTCCTGCTGAAATATTAAGGAATGAAACGATAAAATAAAAAGATGAATCTTGGATTATTACAAGAATCAAATAATTTGATTAAATTTTCATCGTTGCATCAACAATCATATTATGTTTGGATTAAGTAGAAAAGCGGCATCCTAAGGAGTATTATGCAGATATGGTTATGAATTTCTTTTTAATTATTTTAACTATTTTAAAATTGATTTTTTTTAAGAAATCAAGGAAAAAATTATATATCATTGTAGATGTAATCTTATCACTTGCTTTAATAATAGTCATTATTTTAGAATTTTTAAGCTTTTAAAGCAATGTATTTATAGTTATAAAAGCATTTAAAGCTTTTAGATTAATAAAATTAATTTATAAATTAGAATACTTTGGAGTTATTAGATTATTACTTAGATGTCTAATTGAAACAATAATCAAAATTAGACATCTTATTATATTATGGGTTATCTTTGCATTTTTAATTTCAATTATTGGTTAAGAATTGTTTGCTCATTATGTTAAAAGAACAGATGAGATTGAAATTCATTTTAATGGTATTGGAAATTCATTAATGGCTGTATTTAATATTTTTTATGCAGAAGAATGGCATGTAACTATGTATTAACATGCACTATATAAACCTGCTTCATCTTTTATTTTTTTTTTGATAGTATTTACTTTATCACATACTCTTTTTATGAGGTTATTAAGAGCTTTATTTTTAAATGAATTTGGAAAGAAATTGAATGAATTAGATCAAAAATACCCACAAACAGATTATTTATAAAGAGGATGGTAGTTTATAAAAAAATAATGTTTCTAGTAAGAATCTACAACTTCGTAATCATAATCTTAAAATGAAGATGATTCAAAAGCTCCTCTTTAAGATATTAATCCAAATGGAACTAAACTTAAAAATAATGCTATTTAAATAAATGTTTCAAAATATTAAAGAATAGTAGAAAATAAATTATTTAGAATTTTTATTCTAGTTGTTGTAACTTTAAGTGCAGTGAAAAGTGCAGTATAAAACCCATTAACAGATCCAGAAAGTGAAGAGAAGGTAATTAATCTATTAATTTTAGATGATACTAGACATAATACAATATATTACAACTGTAATCTTTATGATAGAATTGGTTTTGAATTGTTTAGCTTATGGAATAGTAAAATTCATAAATTAATCATTTCTAAACATCATATCAATAATTAATATAATCGTGAATTTTATATCAATAGGATTAGGCAATCCTGCTTTGTTTATTTTAACTCTTTTTGACTCTCTAAGAGTATTGGCATTTTTAAAAACTGGGGCTGATTAATATCCAATATTAAAATAAGCTCTTCAAGCTTTATTTAATGCATTTACTAAGATGATTTAATTAGCACTATTTAGCCTTCTAATTTTATTAATGTACAGTATTATAGGTATGTAATTACTTAATGATGAATTCTATTATTGCAGCTTTCCTGAAGGTAATTCAGCAGATGCTCATTTAAAATCAAAAATCGATTGTTTTGATTTAGGAGGAAATTGGATTAATAGAACTCTAAACTTTGATAGTTTATTTTAATCAATAAATATTTTATTTTGTGTAGCAACTTCAGAAGAATGGATTCCATTGATGATACCTGCATGGTCAGCTTCAGGGATAGACCATTAACCACATCATGATACAAATCGATATTGGTCAATTTATTATTAAATGTTTTTCTTTATTGGAAACACCTTAGTTTTGGGAATGTTTGTAACTTTAGTAGTTGAAACTTATATAAAAACAAGAGAAGAATCATGTAATGATATTTTATGTATTTATTATAGAAAATCTCCACTTGTTAGATGACAAATAAAGAGAATGGTTTTAGATTAAGGAATAAATATTACATTTAAAGCCAAAGAAGAAATTTAAACCTCCCACTAATTTGCTATTGAATGCTTTATATAGATTATATTAGTTTCTATAGATCCCATTTTTAATTGTAATCCTAAGCAATATCATTATCCTTAGTTTATACTACGCAAGAATGGATAATGAATTTGAATAAGCTTTAGATACAACTAATCAAGTGTTTATCTTTATTCAACTTATTGAAATACTTATAAGTATTGTTTAGGTAACTGATTACACATTTAAGATATATGAAATTTGTGGGATTATTTTAAGTGTAGTTTCTAGTTTTTTAGATTATCATATTCTTCATGTTGTAGCAGTTGCATTTTAAGTAACTAGGATATATAAACTAACTTAACACTTCAAAACAATATAACATCTATTTCATGCAATATTTGCTGTCTTACCAAATACAGCATCAATGCTTCTAATAATGTTAGTAGTATTATATTGTTATACAATTGTTTCTTGTGATTTATTCGCTTATTTACGTCCCTAACAAGCAGTAAATGGATTTGATATGCACTTTAGGGATTTCTGGGGGGCCCTTATGACTTTAATTAAAGTATCATCAGGTGAGAAATGGTGGATAGTTTTGTAAGAAACAGCTTTATAGTAATCACCTGCTGTAGCTTGCATGAATATTGAATCATATGCTGAATTTTCAATAGTAGGATTTAATGGATGTGGATCCAATCTTACTTATCCATTTTTTATTTCATTCATTCTTGTATTTTCTCTAATGATCCTAAATCTTTTGGTAGCAAATATTATAGGAGCATATGAATAATATCATAAAAGTGAATAGAGTGCAATTTCTAAATATTAATTATTAGATGTTATGGAATAGTGGGCATAATTTGATGAAAATGGAGAAGGTTTTATAAGTTATAAACTTTTTTGGAGATTATCATCTTAAATTGCCATAATTTTTGGTTTAGAATAATCAGATTTACTAGATGTCAATAATAAAAAGAAATTCTTAAAGGCTTTGAAAATTCCCATTTATGAACTAGTAGATTCTAATGTCCTTTGTTACAGGTTTCATGATGTGATAGTTAGTTTGACTAGAATTTCAGTTACTATTAAATATGGAGTTGTCAATTTAGAACCTGAAGACAAAGATATATTTTCTAAGGTTTATGGTAATAAACATTCCCATATTGAACCTAGATTTAGAGAAACTCAATTAAATAGTGGAGATATGGTATATATATAATTTTTATAAAGGTTTCTATTATTTTTATTTAACAGAAGTTTAGAGAATGGAAGTAAAAATCTCTTTTAAAAAATACTATCATCTTAGGTGGAATAGGAGATTATAGAAGTTTAATTAAAATCAAATCTAAAACACTAAGTGAAAAAATACATGAGTAGATGAACAATGAAAATTGACAATTGTATTTAAATTCATTTATTCAATATATTCAAACTACAAACTGATAATAATTATTTTAAATTATTATTAAATTGATAACTTATCAAACATTATTTATGAATTCTAATTAGAAATTGAATAGGTAAAGCAAAGTACAATTCTTTTGTACATCAATTGAAGAGAGAAGAAAACGATTAAATCTTAAGAAAATCAAACCATTTTACAATTTGGTTCTAACTTAAAAGAGTTAAAGAACAATCAAAACTAGTAAAATGGAACTTGTACAAAATAAATTTGGAAATACGAGTTGTTGCTGTTCAGAATGTGGAAGGGACTCTAATTTTAAATAGAGAATATTTAAAATTTCTCCATTCAATGGAACCTCATAGTCATTTTAAGAATCTATTAGGCAAGATCAAATTTTATATCGTTACAGAAATTCAGTATATATAAAAAAGTTTAGAAAACTTGTTTATTGTTTACTTTTTATTATTCGATACAGGATAGTGTAGAATATTAGATTTAGATAAAAATAAAGAATAAAAAAAATATTAAAAACTAGAGTTGAATAACCTAGAATGACCTTTCTTAATGTATTAGATATAGCAAAGAAATAAATGAATCCAAAGTTTAAATCTGCTTCAAATTTAGATTTTGTTATAAGTTAGAATGCCACAGCCCTAAATTCTCCATAAGATTCAGATGAGGAATTTTATCATTTAAAACCAAAGAAATCAGTTATAAGTAAATTATGTACAGAAGAACCTTAAGCTCATAAAAAATTATCAAAATCATAATAAAAAGTTTATTTAATTACTGGATTAAATAAAGTTTGGAATTAATATGTAACCTCAAAGTTAAACAAATCAACCATTAAATGCAAAAATTAATCATCTTCTTTTATGCCTCCATTACTGTCTCTGATTGTATCTCCAAGATAGAATTAAAAGATTCATTTGCCCCATATAAGGATTAAACAAAATTAGTGATTATATTTCATATATTACTTTAATTAGTTTTGTATTAGATATTATCTAATTTAATGTTATAGAGTGAAGAGAGAACTGAATAAAATTATAAAATGAACTAATCCAAAAATGAGCCAATACATAATAGGAATAGTGTTACTCAAGTATATATATATTTTACTAATGCTTAATTCAGGAGGACATACAATAGATTTAGAAGGATTGTTATCACAAAGATTGTCTGAAGATAAATTATTGATTGTACCAGAAGAAATAAGTGCTTAAATACCTCCAAGAGTTCCATTGGAAGTTCGAACATTATAAAATAAGGTGAAAAAACTAAAAACAATAAAGATGGCTAAACTACCAACAAAAACATAGTTTATTATGGAGTTAAATGAAAACAGCGATTATAGGGAATTATTAAGTTCTATTGAAGATTTAGAAAGGAACGATTTGAAAAAGGCAAAATCTCGATTACTTAAGATTATAGATAATTCAAAAGAAGGTATAAGAGAAGCTGAATCAAAAATTGAATAAAAACAAAGTTCTCTCATTTGTATTTAAGCTTTTTACTACTTGAGTAAAGTCTAGTAATCTGAAGGTCTAATTGAGGAAGCAGTTGCAACATAGAAAATGATTTTGTAAAATTTTGACATAGCTGATCTACATATAAAAGGATAGTTAATGTTGAGTTTAGGGAATTTATATAGAATTTTGCTTAAATTTTAGGAAGCTGCAGATAAATTTTATTAAGCTCTAATATTATATGAAAGACTGAATTGGAAAGTACAATAGGCTGATTGTTTATTATAGTTAGGGATTGTATATGCACTTTTAAGTAGATAGTTCATGTTATTAAAGATGATTACGAATCTGCTAAATTGATTACCTATGAAGCCTTAGAAATCTATAGGGAAAATATCATAGAGGATAATATTAAAGTTGGGAAAGCATATTATGCTTTGGGAAAAATCTTTTATTATTCTAAAGCTTTTGAAGTGGCTATTGAATATTTGTTGAAGAGTCTAAAAATTCATTCTGATTAGTATTTTGTTGTATAAATACTTAGTTATGGAAATGATTATGATTTTAACTTTGTTTAAATCTACAATCTATTAGGAATAATATATTAGGTTTAATAGCAACTGGAAACTGCTATTGATTATTATACTTTAGCTGTTAGATGTTATAGAGGATCCTTTGATGCTCAATTAGGATAAATACTAAATAATATTGGAGTGGCATATCTTGGTTTAAAGAAATTAGATTTAGCTAGTGATTTTTTTAATAATGCCGATTAAGTTTACAGCATTTACTTTGAGTAAACTAACATATTAAGAAAACGAGTACAAGTTAATCTTGAATCTATAAAAGTTAAATTATGATTATACACTAAATTTTAATTAATATTAAATGTTTAATTTAAGAGTTGTAAAAGGTTTTAGTCATACAATAGGATTGAGTTCTGAGCATTATATTTAGAGGTAAATTCTTGATATATAATAACAATAAGATATCAATAAATTTTTTAAGACCTATACAAATTATAATATCCACTAATTCCTGGCTTTGCTACAATAGATGGAACAAAATAGTATGCATCAAACAACAGTGAGATTCCAGTATCTCATTTCAGAATAAATTATAGAAATAATCTACAATTGTCTAGTCTTGGGATTGGATCTTATTAAGGAGCACCAGATTAAAATAATGATATAATGCTATATGGATCTATTATTGATAGTGTTTTATCAGGAGGAGTAAATGTGATAGATACAGCAATCAATTATAGATATATGAAATCAGAAAGAGTAATAGGATCTGCGATTAGAGCTTTAAATATCCCTCGAGATTAATTATTTATTTCTAGTAAGGGAGGGTATATTCCTGCTGATGGAGATAGAGGAATCTAAGAAACTTAATTAATTAGAGAACTTATTAATAAAAATCTCATTACATAAGATGATGTAGTTGGAGCCTGTCATTGTATGCATCCTAAATTTTTAGAATTGTAATTAGAAGTATAGATTTTCTTTTATTTAGTAATCTTTAAATCATTTGGGACTTGAAACATTAGACTTATTATATTTGCATAATGCTGCTGAAAGTCAATTACCTTTCTTAGGATATGATAAATTTTATGATAGGATTGCTAAGGCTTTTGAATAATATGAAAAATTTGTTCAAAAAGGTTAAATTAAAAGATATGGAATGGCTACATGGGTATGTTTTAGAGCCAGACCAGATGAAGATAGAATTCATGTTCCTTTAGAAAAAATTGTTCAAATTGCAGAAAAAGTAGGAGGAAAAGATCATCATTTTGAATATGTCTAAATGCCAATTAATGCTATGATGCCCGAAGCTTTTTCTTAAGAATGGTAACCATTCAAAGGGGAAAATACTTAAATTTTAACTGTTGCTAGATAATTAAAAGTTAATCTTGTCATTTCATCTCCTTTAATGGGTGGTACTCTTATGTAAGTACCTTTACCATCAGATATTTTTAAATGTTAATTCTTAGGAGCTAAACATTTATAATTTTTAAGATCAATTCCTGCTGAATCTATTAAAAGTAATTAATTATTGTAATTTTATAGCAATTTTAATCGGATAAAAAGCTAATCGCCATACAAAATAAAATTTAGAAGTAATCAGAGTACCACCTTTAACAGCTGATGAATTTTGGTCATTCTTCTAACCATTAAAAAGAAAACAAGTTGTTGATGATGAACTTGATATGTAATGAATAATTTATTATTGTTGTTATATAAAATATTAATAGCTTATTCTCAATTTCAGTACCAACCCCTTTCATCATCACTTAATTATTACTTTTTTATATATTATTCTGATATAAGAGTGCCTTCAGGAACGTAAGGCAATTTTATTTTTTTTTGTTTTAGTTCAAGCCAGTCTATTTCTTAAAACCAGGGATGAGCTTATATTTCTTGGAAATCATTCGAGAATCCTATTCTTGTTGAAGAATCTTGCTTTAATAATTTTGAAATGAGATCCTTGCACTCCATTGAAATAGTAACTCCTTTTGGAAAATGTAAATCTCCTTAACAAATCAATTTAATCGTGACTTCTGTATTTGCATTGTAATATGGAGATATACCCATAAGTAATTCATAAAGTAATATTCCCATTCCATACCAATCAGACATTCTAGTCAAATCTCCATGTTTCAAATATTCTGGAGATACATACTCAACAGAAAAGTTGACGTTCTGTTATTTTTTCTATTCCTAATAAAGTCTTAATTTACCAAAGCCAAAATCAGTTAAATAAATATATCCTTATTCATCAATTAAAATGTTTTCTGGTTTTAAGTCTCCATATGTTATTCCTTTTTCATGAACACTTTATAAAGCCATTCCAACCTAAGCAATAATATATTTGGCTTAAGTTTCTGTAAAAGAGTCTTAATGTTATAAATGAGCAAAAAGATCACCTCCTTTTACAAACTTAAAGAAAAAGTGAATTAGATCGGTTTGTCTTACGCATAATTCCAATTATTCCATGAATGGCTCAATTTCATAATTTTTAAGAAAGAATTCCATTAAATCTATATCTATATCAGAAGATCGAATTGTTTTTAAAACTAAAACTTTTTGACGATCATTTTTATGGTTTAGCAAATATATTTTAGTCAAAGAGCCTGATGCAATAATGTAATTTTTAACATATTCTTCTAATTTAACTCTAAATTTCAATTTATCATGAACAAAGAGCACAGTGATTTTGTGATTAGGATTCAAACTTTTAATAGGTTGATTTAGAATGTTAATATATTGTAGTTAAAAATCATGTGGATAAAGAAAAGATAATTTAGTTTTAGGATGTAATGCAATTTATTTTTAAAGGTCAGTAGCTTTTTAATACAAACAAAATTGTTAAAGATCTTCTTAATCAACAATGTAAATTTTTAAGCCATCCTTATTGTTTAACTTAAGTGAAATTGAAAGGTAATATAATATAATATCTCTATTTTCTTGAGATCTATAGCGATAATCAGTTTCTGAGGGTACATGCAAAATAAATTCAAAACTTGATCTAGAGACTGTAATACCAAAAATTTTTTGGATTTAAATCTTTCTTTTAATTGTTTTTTTATCAATATTATATAAATTTTCACTTGTCACCACAAGGGTTCTTTATTACTCTGTATTACGCTTATTAATTTTTCCAACATTCCTTGAAATTAAAATTAATTCAGATGGTTGTGCCTATTTTTGAAAGAATTTTTCTTAGTTAATACTTAAAAGATCTGAGGTTTGAAGTTTTAAGTCATTTAATAATTGATTGAAAATTTCTTGTGAATGCATAAAAATATTATTAATATTATTATAGAATTAGATAATATATATTAATCATCTTCTTCCAATAGGGCCAGCACTATATTATCTTCTCATTCCAGAGGGCATGCCAGCAGCATTTTTTTGATAACTCTATTATTAGTTTCCTCTTGGAGATTAAGCTCTAGGAGTAATCTATTATTAATTTTATGATGGAACATTTGAATATCTAAATAGAAATGAAAAAAAGTAATACTTTTATTATCCTAATAATCTCTATTCTTATTATTAGACTTTATTGTATAATTATTAAGGAGTTTGAGGTTATTATGGTTTTGGTGGTTGAGCAACAGGAGGCTTAAGTAGAGGAGGTTTATTAAATTATTATTATTAAGGTTGTTGTTATTATGGTGGTCTTTAAACTTATTGAGGTGGTGGTTTAATATCTTCTGGTTATTTTTTAACAGGTTATGGTGTTTGGCTGATATCAGTATTGACTCTAATTCCTGATTATGAATTAGATCTTTTGATTTTATTTTCATAATTAGGTTTTGGAAGATTACCTTTTAATTACTTTAAATTGTAAGGTAACTTAATAGTTTATAAGAGTTTAGCCATTTTTTTGCCTCCTACTTCTTCTTCAACTAAAAGTGAGCCACTATTTTTTATAACAATAGGATTTTTAAGGATTGCATCAGAACTAGGTCTATTACGAGGATTGACTTATAACATCATTTTGATGACTTCAGATAAATCTTTACTGTATTTTGCTGGGATTGAATCATAAACACCAGTTTGAATTCTTCTACTTAAAGATTAAAGATCAGCAGCTCTGAATGGAGGTTATTAAGCTGCTAATTCATAAATGATACATCCAATAGACCATATATCACAAGGCCAAGAATACTATTCACCTTTCCAAACTTCTGGAGATGCATAATCTAATTAATTAATATGTTTATGATACAAGGTGTTCCTGCTTAAGTTCTAGCATTGGCTCCATGAGTGACTTTACTTATATTCAAATCACCTATTTTGTAGATATTCCCTTCTGGTGATTTGCCTATGAATACATTTGCCAATTTTAAATCTCGATGCAAGATATTGTTGTCGTGCAACATCTTTACTCCCAAAGTTATTTAAGTTAAGACTCTCCAAATTTCTACTTCTTCTACTCCTCCTTTCATCTTCCCTTGCTTTAATAAACTATTTAAGTCTCCGCCAGATGCAAATTCCATTATTACATACAGCGTCTTGCCTTCAGAATCTAGAAAGGAATCCTTAAATTCAACTATGTATGGAGAGTCAAGTGATGCTAGAATACGAATTTCATTTAAAGCATTCTCTCTCTCTTTATATGTCTACTGAGATATACCCACCTTTTTCATTGCATAATATTAACCATCCGATTTTCGTTACACCTTAATATTTTCTATACCCATACCTTGTAAACTGAAGAAAATGAACCTTCTCCCAATTTCTCCAAAACATTGAAATCTTAAATGGTACTTCCTTATCCTTATTATTGCATTAATAATTTCAATGGAATTAAATTTTATGATTTTCCCCATACCCAAAAACACTTATAGAGAAGGAGATCTTAAGGTTCATTTTTTATAGTATCTCTTAGGAACTAATTAAAATTCCATTTTATGAAGATATATTTAAATTTCTGCCCAACTCTCCTAAAACCAAAATCTTTTTTCATAAAATAGATCCCTTTAAACCTCCTGATGAAATACCTCATGTAATTCAATATAATATAACTTATTAGGATGTAAGTACTCAATCTATATATGATGATCATGTAGATGAACTTCCAAGTTAAAGAATTCCTCGTATCACTTAAACAGCTACTCTAAAACCTAAAAATTCAATGTAATTTAACATCTAATTATTGTAAAGTGCATTAAGATTTTCCCTCTCTCCTCGTACGAATTATAGTAATCAAATTCCAACAAGTCTGACTAATAGAAGTTGTAAATAGATTAAAGAAATTCCATGTCTTTATTTAAAATCTTACACTATGACTAAAAGAACTATCATTTATTTCCATGCAAATTGTGAAGATCTTAAATCATCCTACAATCTTATTGACTTTCTTAGACATAATATGAGAATGAACATTTTAGCAGTTGAATATCCAGGATATGGAATATATTAAGGAGAACCTTCAGAAGAATTAATCTTAAAAGATGCAGAATATATTTACAAGTATATGGCCTTTCATTCAGGCATAGAAGAATAGAATATAATACTCATGGGTAGATCCATTGGAACTGGAGTAGCTTGTCATGTTGCATCACTTTTCAAACCCTCTGTACTAGTTCTTATCTCTCCTTTCTTATCCTTATAAGAAATTGTCAATGAAAAATATCCTTTACTTAGGAAAATGCTCAAGGAGAGATTCACTAACAAAGATAAAATACTCAAAATCAAATCACCACTCTACATCTTACATGGACTCAAAGATTCAATAGTCTCAGTAGAACAATCTAAAAAACTTTATGGTATATTTAAAATCTCTCTAACTTTTTTAGAATTATGTAAAACACCATGTCTAATTAGAACACCACCTGAAATGACACATACTAAATTTCAATTTGAATAAGATTTATCCTTGCCTCTTATGGGGTTCATGAGATAATTGAATATACTTTGAAATATCCATATAATATCTATTCTCTATTCTACTTTATAAATTTAATTATGATTCGAATCTAGCAATTACACACTTAAATTTCAGAAACTGCTGCTCCTAAATTACAATCAATTGATTAAGTATATTTGATTATTAAAATCTAGAAAACTTAGCATAAATTAGATTGGTTTAAAAATAATGGATGGGGATATAAAGATACCAAATTTATTTTAGAACAAGATGGAGCAGTTCGATTAACAGGCAACAAATACAGGTTTTCTAATTAAAAAATGATGAAATTTAAGGAGTGGGCAGAAGCTAAAGTAGGCATAGATTTAAGTTTAAATTGTGAAGCATAAATTGAAATTCCTTCAGATCCTCCAATAATTAATGAATAATTTATGAATGCCATTTAAGGTTAATTTAATGAAGTTTCATTTGATAATGCATAGAGAATATTACATTCTCATGGACATACAATGCAAGAAGTCTAAAAATTTATACATACTTTAGATTTATGAATTAAGACACGGTAAATTAGCTAGAATTGTAGATTGTGTAATCTATATCACTTAACATGCATAAGCAGAATTACTTGTTAAATTAGCTACTGAATATAATGTAATGTTATGTGTCTATGGTGGTGGTACTAATGTTACATGGGCTCTCTAATGTCCAAAAGAAGAAAGGAGAATGATTGTATCTGTTGATATGTCAAGAATGAATCATATTAAATTGGTAGATAGAAAGAATATGACTGCTTTGGTTGAAACTGGAATTACAGGTAAAGATTTAGAAAAAGAATTATCTCGCTACGGAGTTGTTTGTGGACATGAACCTGATTCTGTTGAATTCTCAACACTTGGTGGATGGATTAGTACTAGAGCATCTGGTATGAAAAAAAATAGATATGGAAATATTGAAGATATAGTTCGTTCTGTTAAAGTAGTAACTCCAACTGGAACTTTATCATAAAGTTTAGATTATCCTAGAGTTAGTAGTGGACCTGATCTAAATCAAATTATTTTGGGTTCTGAAGGTACTTTAGGAATTATAACTGAAGCAGTTATCAAGATTAAAGCTTAACCAGAAGTAATTTTATTTCTATTTTACTTAAGGTTTGTAAGTATGAATCTATCTTATTTCATAATTTTGCTTTGGGAACTGAATTCATGTATAGATTATCTCGAAGTAAAGTTTGGCCAGCATCTGTTAGATTAGTTGACAATAATCAATTCTAATTTGGTATGGCTTTAAAAACTATGCCTCATAATAAGAGAGAAGAATTTATGGATAAAATAAAAAAATATTTTATCACTTAATTTATGTAATTTGATCCTGATTAAATGTGTTTGGTTACAGTTGTTTTTGAAGGAACAAAATAAGAAATAGAATTCTAAGAGAAGAAGGTGTTTGAATTAGCCAAATTTTATAAAGGTTTTAGAGCAGGATCAGAAAATGGAGAACGAGGATATTTTTTAACATATATGATTGCATATTTAAGAGATTTTGCTATGTAATTTTAATTTATAGCAGAATCTTTTGAGACTGCTGTTGGATGGAAAAATGTACCAGCTGTTTGTGAAAATGTAAAAGGATATTTGATAATTTTTATTAGATTTAAAGAAGGATTGTGGAAGAATGTTAAAAAAGAGGTGTTGAAAAAGAACCTTTTGTTTCTTTTAGAATTTCTTAAGTTTATGATTCTGGAGCTACAATTTATGTTTATTTTGGTTTTGGGTATAAGGGAATTGCAGATCCAGTTAAATGTTATTCTGAAATTGAGGATGCTGCTAGAGAAGAAATAATGAAAAATGGAGGATCGATATCTCATCATCATGGTATAAATTATAAATAATTATTTAAAATAGGAGTGGGTAAATTGAGAAAATAATTTATGTAAAAACAAGTTGGGGAAACTGGAGTTGAGATATTAAAAAGACTTAAGTAACAAATTGATCCAAAAAATATATTTGGAAATTAGAATTTAATTTGATTATGATATATGAATGGGTTATGAGCATAAAAATATATTTAAAACTAACAGTTAAAGAATTTAAATTCAATTAATTTAAATATCAATTTTTTAAGTCAATGAACAAGTCTGATACTATTCACAATTAGGAAAATATTGATCCAAACATCATTCGTAACTAATCTTCCTAACAAAAGAAGATTCCAAGAAGTTCAGGATAAAAAACTCCTTGGAGTGCAAAGTATTATTGAATTATTATTTTTAAAAGTACTGGAGAAATAAGTCATTCTACCAATGATGATATTGAAATATCATGCTTTTAAGTAGGACCAGTTAAGGCTACACAACTTTCACCTAATTAAGTGATTGTTTGTTAATCAAGATTAGAGTAATATTTGACTTCAAATAATGTTCCTGACATACTTTCCTATTTAGATGAATTTGAAGACCTTGATTGGGTCAAATCCAATTATATTACTCATATTATTGAAATGATAGTAAAATAAGAAAAGGAATATTTAAAATAAAGGATTGTTGGTTTAACAGCTATATTAACTAGTAAGAATTATTTGCTCACAAGATAAATCATTAAGCTAATATTTAGTGTTTCATCTAGAATTGGAGCATAAGAAGGTTACTATGCTTTACATGAAATAGATAATTTATTAGAATAAATGATTTTAAAGGAAGAATTATAATAATATCATTAAATTTAATATTTACCATTAATATTATATTGTTACACTCATTAATTATTATATTGGGGATTAGTAGCAGAATGTTGGGATTTATTGAAATTTAAATTAAATAGAGAGATTAGTGAATAAATAAAAGATGAATTTGAGAAGACAGCTTAAAAGATTTGTGATATGCTTTTAAGATAATTGATTGAGTTAAGTAATTAAAATAACCATTGGTTAAAAATATTCAATGAAGTATTGACTGAGGGAGTAATAAATTTGCATCCTTCAGATATATTTTTTAATAAATTGATTGATTTTGCATTTAGAAAATAATAAGTAAATATGGCTGAATTTTTGTTAATATTTATGAGAGATCATGCTAAGATATAGCCAACAATAGTTACAATAAATACAATGATTGATTAATATTTCAAGAATAACTAAAAGGAAAAAGCATGGAAAACATTTGAGAATTTGAAATTAACATCAACAAAACCTGATAACTTTACTTATACTACTTTAATTAATGGTTTAAAGAATTCTGATAACATGGATTTGAGATTAGCTTTTTAATTATTTGATGAATATAAGTAAATTAATCAACCTGATTAAATAATATACAATTGTTTATTAGATGCATGTATAAATGCAGGAGATTTGAATAGAGGATTTTAATTATTGAATGAGATGAAATAGTCATAATCAATTTAATTAGATGAGATTACTTATAATACATTGATAAAAGGATGTGGAAGAAAGAAGAGATTGAATGAGGCTATAAATTTATTTGAAGAGATGAAATAGATTGGAATAAAACCAAATAGAATTAGTTTTAATTCATTACTTGATTCATGTGTTAAATGTAATAAAATGAATATAGCATGGAGATATTTTGAAGAGATGAGAAAATAATATGGAATATTTCCAGATAATTTTACATATAGTATTTTAGTGAATGGTATAAAAACTAATCATTCAAATAGAGATGAATTATTAAGAGCAATTTCATTATTAGAGTAAATATAAGAAACTGGTTAATTCAAGCCAGATGAAATTCTATATAACTCATTAATAGATGCTTGTGTTAAGTTCAATGAAATTTAGAAAGGAATGTAATTATTTAAAGAAATGAAGAACAAATCTATAGAACCATCATCTGTTACATATGGAATTTTAATAAAAGCTCATGGAAAGATGAATGATTTGAATGGATCATTTAGAATGTTTGAGGAAATGAAATAAAAGAAGATTCCAATAAATGATGTAACATATGGATGTTTAGTTGATGCTTGTGTTAGAAATGATAGATTAGATTAAGCATTATAATTTATAGAATAAATGAAATCACAAAACTTACCAATTAATACTGTTCTTTATACTACTATTATAAAAGGATTTTGTAAGTTGAATTAAACTGAGGAAGCAATGAAATATTTCAATTTGATGAAATAAAATTAAAGAACATATCCTAATCTTATAACTTACAATTCCCTTTTAGATGGATTAGTAAAAAATGGTTTGATAAATTAAGCTGATAAATTGTTTTAAGAATTAGTTGAATCTACAATCAAACCAGATCTAATTACATTTAGTACTTTATTAAAAGGACATTGTAGAAGAGGAAATATGAAGAGATTGAATGAAACTGTTTAAACTATGTTATTGTTCTAGATTAATCCAGATGAATCATTATTGTAATTAATTTTAGAATCATGCTTAAATTAATAATAGTATCATAATGGTGTCTAAATTTATAATTAATTTTAACATCAAATTCCACAATCAACTCAATTGTTATTGATTATTATAAGATTACATAGTTAAGATAAGCAATTATTATCAGCATTGCCCTTATTAAACAGATTATATTAATTATTGGAGGAAAGTAGAATATAAATTTAACAATTGGAAACTACTGTAAATTCTCTTTTAATTTATCCACTTGATGAATAGACTTATCCAATAATCACTAAAATTATTATACTAGCATTGAAATTAGATATTAATGTCAATAACCTTGAAAATTTAATTTCTATAAACAATTCAGAATTAATGCTCTTATTACAAAATACAAATTAAATACCATGCACTAAACTATCATAAATTATTAATTCATTATCTACTCAAGATTAACAATTGTGCATGAATTATATATCTAAGAATAATAAGAATGATTTAAAAGAACCTTTGAATGAATAGTTTGGTCAAGTCTTTTTATCTTGTAATAGTAGTAATAACAATTAAAATAAGAAAACTAAACCATAAGAAAGATCTTCTCCCTTTAACAACGAAAACAAGGAGAATGTTTATCATCCCAAGAAATAGTACAACAATTATTCTAAAAATGACTTGAATGATTACTTAAACAATAAGTCATATACCAAGAGAAGATGATTAATTAATTAATATTATATAATGAGTAATGATTAACCATTTGAAGATGTCGATCAATTTCTTCATCCTCTAGCTACTTAAAAATCCATTCCTAATATATATCAATAAGCCATCACATAAGACTAACTCTTAGCATAAAATGTTCGATTATTATAGTAATTACATGAGCAATAGAGGATGTTAAATCTCTAAAGTCTTTTTACTAATAGTATGCTCATGAATCCTTTGATTTAACAATAAGTCAACTTAGAAAGTAAAAAAATTAAGAAGGTCAATAAAACAATCAAAACAATACCTTCTACTGCGAGTCTAAAAGATTGTGCCTAGCCGATCTAAGAAATAAAAGGGAATGTTAAAAATGCTTATATCAAGAAAATAACCTCTTTACTTAGTGTAGAAGGTGAAAAACTGCTTGATGAAGATTTATAAGAAGATTTAGAATTAGAGAGTTATTCTGAGATCTAAGATAAAAGCAAATTGGCAGGTCTTTTGGGATCAAACAATGATTTATTGAATAGTGAATCGAAAAATAAACGATTAAGACAAAGTGCTAAAAATTCTAGACTTCGAAAAAAAGTTTATCTGAAATTACTTGAAAAAAAAGTAAAGTCAACTATATAAATATTTAGGTTTCTGAATTGGATTAACAAATCTAAGAATACAAAAAAACAACTAGATCATCATTTGAATATTTAACACAAATATTATAATCACATCCTATTTTAAATAGTATGATAATAGGAAATTCAGCAGCCATTGATTAAGTTTTAGAATGTTCATCACCTGATTAAGCTTAATTAGTTTTGGATTCATATTTAGTAATTATTTTAATACTATATTTATAGATGAGATATGGAACTTGTGGTATTAAAAGAAGAGATTATGTTAAATATGCCGTTAAAAATATCTAAAAGAACTTTCTTAAAGGAAATTATGGACTCTAACTTATGAGTTGGAATTAGTAAATTTAAAATTGTAAAGAGTATTTTATTTATCAAATTAGATGACACTGAATTCAATCAATATGTTGAAATCGTAAAAGAAGAAGCTAAACTTGAAGATGATAATCTTGTTTATAGTGTATTACCTATTATTGATAAAATGCTAAACCATCGCAAAATTTCCTAATAGTATTCATAACTAATTCTAACTCTAGATTATTACTTAAATTTAATTAGGATATTAAGAATTTAAAATAGAATCAATAAGAAATTGAAGAAACAATAAATCAGTTTACATAATCCTTAACTCCCATCCAACATTTAGAACTCATAAAATAGGTAGAGAAAATGGGGACTTTCAATCGTTTTAATAAATGATCAATAATATATTATGTCTTATTGCAAACTTCAAGAAATATCAAAAATATAAGTAAATTTTGATATCATTTATTATTTTTTATATTAATATAGTAATATTAATAATTTTAAATTATTTAATAGAAGGAGTTGTTAATGAAGTTGTAAATTAAATTAAATAAATATTAATTAATTAATAATATTTCTTCATACTTGTGATGAAAAAAGAACTAAAAAGAAAATATTTAAAAGATGGATTAAATTTTCTGAAATTATTCAAATAATTATATAATTAATTAAAATGTCTGCTGTGGGTATTCGTGGTGAAAGAGATCAAGGTTAAGATGTACGTACAAGTAATGTAACTGCTGTCATGGCTATTGCTAATGTTGTCAAAACAAGTCTTGGACCACAAGGTTTAGATAAAATGCTTGTTGATGAAATTGGAGATGTTGTGATAACAAATGATGGGGCAACAATTCTAAAACAATTAGAAGTTGAACATCCAGCTGCCAAAGTTATAGTAGAGTTGAGTTAATTATAAGACAAAGAGGTAGGAGATGGCACTACATCAGTTGTTGTTTTAGCAGCTGAATTACTTCGCCGCGCTAATGAATTAATTAAAATTAAAGTTCATCCTACCACAATAATATCTGGATATAAATTAGCAGCCAGATAAGCAGTAAAATATATTCAATCACATTTGGTACATAAAATCACCGAAGATGATACTGAAATTTTAATTAATGCTGCCAAAACATCAATGAATAGTAAAGTTATTGGTCCAGAAAGTCACATCTTTGCTAAATTAGCAGTTGAAGCAGTTAGATTAATTAAGACTTAAGGTTTAGTATCTGGTAAAGCTAAATATCCAATTTAATCAATCAATGTTGTTAAAAGTCATGGTTAATCATCTAATTAATCGGAATTAGTAAAGGGATATGTTATATAATTATAAAGAGCATCATAATAAATGGTAACAAAAGTAAAGGGTGCAAAAATAGCCTGTTTGGATATAAATTTGAATAAATTTAAAATGTAAATGGGAGTATAAATATTGGTGGATGATCCAAATAATTTAGAAAAAATAAGAAAGAAGGAAATGGATGTATTAAAAGAGAGAATTTAATTATTATTATCCGCAGGAGCAAATGTAATATTGACTTCAAAGGGAATGGATGATTTAGCTAATAAATATTTAGTAGAAGCAGGTGCAATAGGTTTGAGAAGAGTTCCAAAGGAGCATTTAAGAAGAATTGCAAAAGCATCAGGTGCTAAAGTAGTGACAACTTTTGCAAATGAAGAAACTGGAGAATCATTTGATGTAAGTTGTTTAGGAGAGGCTGAAGTAATAATATATATATTAATTATAGGAAGTTTATGAAGAAGCAATAGGAGATAATGATTATATTTTCTTTAAAGGAATGAAGAAAGAATAATCAGCAAGTATAATAGTAAGAGGAGCTAATGAATTGATGACAGATGAAATAGAAAGATCATTACATGATTCTTTATGTGTAGTAAAGAGAACTTTAGAATCAGGATCAGTTGTTGCTGGAGGTGGAGCAGTTGAAATGGCTTTAAGCATTCATTTAGATGATTATTCAAGAAAACTTGACTCAAATGAATAAATAGCTATAGCAGAATTTGCAGAAGCTTTGACTTCAATTCCAAAGATCTTAGCTACTAATGCAGCTAAAGATTCTATTGATTTAATTAGTAAATTGAGAGTTCTTCATAGTAAATCATAATAATTGGAAGTTGATGAAAAAGGATATAAATTTAGTGGATTAGATTTAATTAAAGGTGAAGTCAGACATAATCTTAGACATGGTGTTCTTGAACCAACAGTTAGTAAAATAAAAGCTTTAAAGTAAAATTACAAAATGAATATCAATAGATTTGCAACAGAAGCTGCTATTACAATTTTGAGAATTGACGATATGATTAAGTTGGAACCTAAAAAAGAGTAAATGCCAGGAAGACATTGAGTTCTGAGAGTGATATATAATATACAATAAGAAATAGAGATAAGATTTTATGAAATTCTTTTTGAACAATTCTAATTCCGATTTTCATAAATTTTAACAAATTAATATCTATGTCATCTGACTAATAAGGAGATTAAAAACCCTTAATGCAACCATTTTCTGTCTTGGAGCCTCAAGATAAAAAGGAATAAACATATAACAGTTCTAAATATGAAGGGTATCAATTATTTATACAATTACATTAGTAAATGTGTCGATCCTAGGTTAATGACATTTTGTATCACTAATTTTGTAATCAATGTTGGTATTTCGCAAATTGCTCCATTTTACCCTGGATTAGCTGCAGATAAAGCTGGTCTCACATATTCTTAAATTGGATTAGTGTTTAGTATCAATCCACTAGGCTCAATTCTTTTTAGTTTTGTTATTGGAAGTTTTATTCAAGTTTGGGGTATTAAATATATTTATATCTAGGTCGAAAGAAATGTTTAATGATTGCCTTAGTAGTCTAATCATCTGTTTAAATCTTATTTGGATGTCTCAATTTTATGACAGACAATAAGAATTTATTCTTCTCCATGTCCTTAATATCCAGATTTTTCTAAGGTATGAGTAGATCTGTCTATTCAACTGTGACTTTTGCTTATGTTCCAATATTTTGGCCAGGGGAATTTCAGAAAAAATTAGCAATCATGGAAACTATGACAGCGTAAAGATATTTTAATAATCTATATAGATTAGGATTATTGTTTGGTCCAATGATTGGTAGTGTCTTAAACTATGCATTTGGATATTCTATTCCATTTTTCGTTATTGCTATTTTTTTCCTATGTGCTGAGATTCCTACCTATTCATAATTACCTCCTGATAGTACAATGAAGAGTTTTGAAAAAAAAAAAAAACTTCCAATTGGAAAAGCATTTACTTCAATTAAGGTTATAGTAACAATAATGAATGTCATGTCTATTACTGCAGGTTATACTTATTTTAATCCATTCTTTGTGAACCACATGCAATCCTTTGGAATATCAGAAAATATAGCTGCATTTATATTGACAATTCCTGCTATTTTCTATATTGGTATGGTTAATTTAATACCAAAAATTGGAAAGTATGTTAAAAAGACGTTCATGATGTCTTTGGCTTTAGTAATATGTTTTAGTGGAAACATGATAGAAGCTCCATTTTGGGGAGAAGGTAATACACTAGCAAGTGTGATAATTGGTTTAATATTGGTTGGTGTTTCACAATCATTTTCAATGATTCCTAGCATACCATAAATAAGCGAATTTTTAGGTCCAGTGGTGACAGATCCATAATTCAAGTATTTTTGAGTTTAATAATAAGAAATAACTTGACTGATATGGCATCAGCATTATTCATAATGTCTATGGGCTGTGGATCTTTAGTGGGACCATTATTAGGTGGATCTGTATATGATGGATTTGGTGGTAATGTCAATCTAACAGGATCACCACCCTAAGAAATGGTAGATTAAGAAAGAGAAGCATTTAGAAGAGCTATGATATGTCTAGGTTTATGGTAATTAATAGCTGCAGTGTTATTCTTTTTCTTTGGTGATGGTTATAAAGGTTGGAGTGATTGTTGCAGAACATGTTCTACTGGATAACCTTCAGCTTTAGATAAAGAATAATAATTGACTCAACCATTAAATGATGATACATCAGATGATGTAATGAGTGATAACGATACATTATCTTCTGAAGCATCAGTTGGAAATGATAGTGATTTGTTGTAAGGACCTCCAAAAAAAACAATAACAATTAGAAAAGAAGCTTTATGAATTTGTACATTTAAAATTATTATATATATCAATTTTTAACTTCTTCTATAGGTACAACTGATCCAAATCTGGAAACTTATTCTTTACCACTTAAAAGGTTATTTAAGAATCTATCTACATTGGCTGAAGTTAAAGAACCTCTCATCTTTGAAAACAATTATTTCTTAGGACTTAAAGCCAAAACTGAAGGATATCTATAAAAAGTTAAAATAAAATATTTTACCCAGCACCTGACATTCCAAATTATTCTTCTAATTCATATTAATCTCCTGCTTATGACCAGAAATGAACTAAAGGTTTAGATTTTAATGGTTTAACAGTTTCTCTATATGTATTCAAATATGCATCTCTACATTCTTAATCACAATCATAAATGTGTGGAACAAATAATAAGATACATAATCCATTTGATTTCATACAATTATCTGTAAATTATTATTGATTGACTAATTATTCAAAGAAAAGAGGTTTTAATCTTCTATTAGTTTCTCGAGCATAACTAAGTAGAGTATTATAATCTCTAGCTCCATCAAAACTTTCAAAATCACCATCTACTTTTTCTCCTGCTCCAAAGAATCTGATTGTTGGAAATCCTTCTACCTTATATTTAGTTTTAGCCTTTGATCCTTCAACACTTGCATCAATCTTAGCTACTTTAATTTCACCTTTAAGAGATGTTGCTAATTTAGCCCATTCTGGTGCCAATTTTTTACTATAATGATATTATTTGTATATAAATACCAATGACCACACCAAGGAGCATAAAATTCAACAAACCATGCTTCTTTACTATTAAGAATTGTTTCATCAAGATTATCATCTGTCAATACTATAACATCACTTTCATCTATTTATGGCTCTGGAGTTTTCTCTCCTTATTTCTTTGGTACTTTACCTACTCTTTTGAAGGCAAACTAATTATTATTATATATGTATCATACATCTCTCACTTAATCAAAAGCAAAATTAACAATTTCTTAGGCTTCCCATTCTCCTGGATATTCAATTGCTTATCCATTTGAATATACTCTTAATGTTGTATTCTCTCCATTTTAAACTGCTCCTACATTAATCATTCCTTTCAATGCTTCAGCAGCTAAAGACACCTATGTTCTTTATTCTTAATTCAATTAAGAATATTCCACTATAACCCAAAAGGTTTTTTAATCTTAAACTTTGCCCTTAAAATCATCTTAAGTAAGTTCTTGAACATCTGTTCCTGAAAAGTTAGCTAAAGACACAGCTATTAGTAAGCCAAACAATATTGCTTTCATCAACGTATGATAAAATTATTATTCTAGAAAACTCTTTCTATTTTAAGAATATAAACTAAATGACGTGGTTCTTAAAATATCTTCCATTTTCTCATTCTAATCATCTAATTATCACTTTTAATTAATATTCTTTACAACATTCATTAATTACTCAATTCTACTCATACTTCAAATATATTCAAAATTATATATGTAATTTTCATAGAATATTTTCAATTTATATAACTTTTAATTTTACTTATTTTAATTAATCCTATATTCAGTAATTCATTATTCATTCTTCTCACAATTATTCCCAATATTATCATTTTGTCAATCTATAAATTAAATATTCATAAATATACTTTTAAAATTAATTCTATCATCAATTAAATAAGATACTGTAATAAACATTAACGATTCTTATTTTTAAAATAATCAATCATCAAATTAAATAAAATCTCACTTAAACATCCGACTTAACAACAGAGTATAAAGATTTTTATAAAAATTTTACTCTCTTAAAAATAGGATTATTTGCCATCTAAAAGGAACTATCAGAATCTAAAGTTTTCTTCTTTAAAATAATTAAATATTATTTTTATTGCAAATAGATCTATATTTCAAGAAAAAAAGTTAGTTTCTTAAATATTTACTGTTAATTTCTCAAAATGATTAAAAATTGATCCAATATTGTTTTAATATTTAAAGATTCTATGAATAATATAAAACCTTCTCTAATAAAGATCAAAGAAAATGACATCAATTCATAAAAATAAATCTTTAAATAAGATATAAATAATATTTCACAATGAGAATTTGTCGATAACAGATTAATATACATTTATATCCTTTACAATTCAGATTCAAGTTAAGAATAATTTTTGAATTCTAATTATATTTATTTAAAAGATAAGAGGTAGGTAATTTTGTTATAAAGAGGAAGTAACTATTAAAAACTCAAAAAGAAAAATATCAGCAATTTATTATTTTTATAAATAAATATTAATGAATAGACTCTTGATTACAGAATTAGGAGATACTTTGAGAATAGATTTGAAAAAAGAATTTAATAAAACTCCTACTTAAAATAAGCATATTCTTAAAACAACTTTTCCTGAAATTAAAAATAATTTAGGAAGTTCTTCAGTATTTGCCGATATAGAAAAAAATGAAAATCCTCTCTATTAAAAAAGCCTTTCAGATTAAGCTCTTTTAAACCTCTCAAAAGTGGCCAATCTTTCTTTATTCGGACCAAAATGTAAGGAATAATTGAAAATACATATTAGAGAGGATCTCTCTATAAAAACAAAAAATAACTACTTAAATTAATAACTAGAAAGATATGTAAGTCGAATATTGGATGATAAAAGTAATTATTTAGATGTTATCTATAGATCTGATGACAAAGCGAAAAAGGTAGTTATTAAATGAATTAAAAAGATTAGAAGCTAAAGAGAAATTAAAACATTTTAATCATATGCCTACTGATTTATCTCAATTTAGTTCTGTAATAGAAGATACTGATAGAGAAACTAAATTGATGTCTATTGTAAATGCAGAAGGGAAATTATTACAATTGTAGAGAAGGTATGACTAAAAATTACAGGAAGATGAAAAACTTTAATAACAAATAAAAATCAATTATTGCAAATATAAAGATGGTTAAATTATGCATATCGAAGCCTTACCAGTTTTAACTTAAGAAGATATGTAAAATGATGTGAAAGATATATTTACTAATAGAGATTAATCATCTCAAAGGTTTCATTAAAGAATGAATGAAAAACATATAAGATAAAAGGAATTTATATGGAAGTAACATCACTTTCCAAAGGATCATAGAAGATGGTTATCTAAATGATTATAATAATTTAATTTTAAGTCTTAAAAACTAAATATATTTGAAATAATTATCTCTGTAAAACTTATTTTTTAATTCTACGTGTTTACAATTGTTGAACAACTAAAATTTAACCTAAAACTCATAAATGTTTTATTCTATTAAATCTTCTTTTCTATTTTTATTAAGTTTGAAGCAATTGATGTAGAACAAGAAAAAAATAAACTTTTTCAAAATTGATTAATATAAAAATGCTTATTTAGAAATTTAAACAAATTAGTATAAATTTAATATTTAAGAATTTTTAGTTTGTAACTTCCTTTCATTATTCAAAAAATATATAAATCCTTTTGGGATTGGGATTTTAGTGAAAAAAAAATAAATATTTTTTGTCATAATAATATAATAATTTATTATAATGAATTATCGAATTGAAAAGGCTGATTTGTATATAAGATAACATAGAATTATTGAATTATTCGAAGACTTGACAACAGCAATCTCTTATGAATAACCAGCTGACATAAAGAAGTTTTTGATTGAATAATTGCAGTTAAAATAAAAATTCGGTTTCAAAACAGGATTATTTAAACGAGAAGAGATTGATAACATTTTTACAGTAAATAAATTTAAGAATAATTTTTAGTTATTTGATTTGAAATAAGATGGATGGATTTCGAGAAAATAAGCAATAGATGCTTTTAAAGTGATGGCTGCTTCACAATATTAATTAAAGGATGAATCTATTTTTCCAGAAAAAGTAACAAAAAAGCAATTTGCAGATATAGTTGGAGAACATTTAGGAATAAAATGATCTATATTAAAATAAAAATATTAATATCTACAAGCAAATACTTTTATAGTTTAAAGAAATCATGTTTGGAAATTATTCTAAACCAGTATAGGAAAAAAACATTTATATAATAAAGTTAATGGAAAAACACATATTAATAGGTATTTCTAAAATAAAAAATCAACTTAAGTTTTGTAGTATTATTTTAGAATAGTAAAAAGGGATATCATTGGATAATATAAAGTTAGGATTAAAATGAATACCTTTATAAATTTAGATTTGGTGAAATTGTCTTAATTTAACATCAATATAATAATCACTCTATCATCAATATAACTGTAATGTTTTAATGTTTATATAACAGTATTGATTCTCAACTTTTTTAAAGTTGTTCTAAAAACTTAGTTCTCTCTAATCCATGTCTATTAAAAAATATAAAACAATCTATAAATGAATATTTAAAATGATGAGATATCATTTAAGTAATAACCATATTATTTTTAGATAATACATATTAAAATTCCAAAAGATAATTTAGAGATTGAAAGACAAATTTTGAATCGATAAAATAATAAAAATTCTTACTTTATTCGAAATAACATAAAGGGATTATCATTATCTGTTTCAACTTCATTTTAAAATGAAATTTACTTAACTTCAAAATCAGAATTAAATCAAGAATAAGATAAATGATAATTCTTAAAAGAGTCATCAAAATTAAATTAGTTGTATAATATGAATCAGTAACAAATTGCTTAAGACTTATCAAATGATGATTAAAATAGTTGGATAATTCTATATAAAGACAATTTGTTTAATTATCAGGTTCAAAAATTAAGAAATGTCTTTTGGAGTTCCATTTTTGATTTAACACAATATTAATGAATAATATTTATCAATAGAACTTTAAAATGCTAAATAAAATAAGATTGATGAGTTTTTTGTAGTTTAAAAGAAAAAGAGAGAGCCTGGATCTTTATTGGTGATATTTGATATGAAATGATTCATAAAGAATTTATCATATATTTGTTTAATAAATTAATTAATAATGAATTTGATGGATATTGCTCTTTTTATAATCATAGTGAGTAGCTTGATAGGAACATTATTTTATATAAAAGATCACAGTCCTGGAAAATAAAAATCAAAAGTTGGATTAGGGTGTTCTAGTTTATTTATATTGTATATCCTCATCAAAGAAATTAGTTAGTCAAATTGTATTGAGTATCTTATTTTATGTAGTCGTTATCATAGGATTAACTATATTATTGCTTGGGAAATTTTATTATACTGCTAAAAATTCATTCTAATTATATTTCAATAACTAAAGATTAAATTCAGAATAATCAGAACATGGAATTAAAGTTAATGAACCAGATCATGAATTACCTGCTTATTTACCTCCAATAATGTCTGAAAATGAATCTAGATGTTCAAGTAAATAGAGTTAACCAGAATAAAATACAACTATTAGAGCAAAATAAGGATAATAGTCGTTTTAATTTGGAAGATAACAATAGTAGAAAGACGTTTAGAAAATTGGTTTATAATTAAGTTTTTTGGGGGAATTTAAACAATCTAATTTTTAGAAGAGTTAACTTGGATTGAATTCAATTAAACAAAGTTATATGCAAGTTCATCCAATTAATTGTAGTGTTTATTTCTAGTATTTTAGAAACTGTAAATTTAGTAAAATACCAAGAAGATGGAGAAATTAAAATAGGTATTTTGAAAACCATAAAATCTCTTACTTATGATCTTGCTGAAAAAGAATTAGAGCAATTATAAAAAGAACCTGTAATATCTAAAGCAGATTATCCTAAAATTTAAATTTTATATGAAAGTAGTTAACCAGAGATTTAAAGTTAAAATAATGAATTATAAAGCAGGTAAAGTAAATAAAGTAATAACAATTTACTTTTACAATAAGGACCATTTAAAGAAGTTAAAACAGAATAATCAATTCTATAATAATAATATAAACCTAGTTTTCAAAAAAAAATAAGTTGGATGAAAATATTAAAATAGTTGATAGTTCTGATTGTTTTTTCTCTAAGTGTTACTCAGTTTCCATAATAAGATCTTAAGTCTCATATTTTAATGCTTCTCTATATAATTGGATTAACTTTTTATTAGATATCAATTTTTTCATTATTTTTTGCATAAGGACTGGAAATCAGTACTCAAATAAGAGAAATTGTTGCATGGTCGTTATTAATTTTATTACCTACAACTTTAACTATATTAGTTATACAATTTGAAGTGAATTGTTTACAATTTATGGCTTGGTTATCTATCTTAATTGCAAGCTAAAAAATAAAATACGCATCAAGGTATAATTTAATTAAATTAAATAGAAATCCCGCTCTCTTTAATCCATTTATAATTATATTATGTCTAAGTGCAATATTTTGCTGATAAAATAATGAAAACTATAATAATTCATTAATCACGAATTTTTAATTCCAATCTTGTCAATCTCTGATCAAAGTTTGCTAAAGCTATATTAACTGTTGTCTATAATTCTGAAAATTTTTGCATAATTGACTTAATATTATCATTACTAAGCATAATCACTTACATCAATTTTTATAGATCTTGATGAGTCACACAATTTTATTATTGAACTTAATTATTTAATTAAGTTGTAGGATTTTATTAAACTTAAACTTAATTCATTTTTTATTTGAATACTTATTAAACTTACATTTCATTTTAATAATCATTCTTCTCATCAGATTGAGGAGGAGATGGTTATTATTGATATTGTTATGTATAATTGAATTATTATTCTAATTATTAAAATTGTTCTTAATTGCAAGATGTCATTCTTGGAATCAATTCATTTTATTAACTTATTTTATAAGGTTCTGGTCTTTTTATTTATTCTATGTCTTCCTCATCATCTTCACTCTAAAAACTCTCTTTTTGTACAAATACTTAAACTTTCTATTTATTATTTGATTCTTATAATTTTTATGTGTTTTATATATATGAACTATTTTCTTATCCTTTAAATAAATTCACATTCACTTTTTTTTCTTTTTTTGTTCTTTAAAATACTTCATTAAAAATATCATTTATTAAAATTAATTTGTGTTCTAAATATTGCTCTGACAAAAACTAAGCAATATTAATTGATGACTTATAATTAAATTCTAATTGAAGCATCTTGAAAACTTATTCTGTGAATCTCAAATCATTTTTGGAATACAACTCATATCCTTTATCTACTAAGGCTAACAAACAATCTTAAGCAATAGGTACATTTATAAAAGTTTTAATTGTATTCAATTAAAATATAGTGGAGTATTCTCAAAAAAAAAGTTGGGTTATTATCTTTAACATATTCAAATGCAAATTATTCTTTGTAATCAGCTTTCTTCATTATTTTCTTAAAATTTTCATATTAATTCTATAGATCAGAACTCATTTCAAAATTCAAATTAAATTTATATTAACAAAGTTTTATCAATAATTTTTAAAATATTCAAGAAAATAAATTATATTTGTTACTTAATTATAATTATAAACTGTTAAAACAAAATAAAATCACTAAATATTTAAAATATTTAGTCATTTTTAAACACTTTATAATAGATTGAATAAAATTATTACTTATATTTAATTATGATATAGCTAATAGTTTTTATAAATTATAAAGCAATCTCTCTCTGATTAACTTCTCTTAATTGGGAACATTAAATTGGAAGATAAATGAAATTTATAGAAAACATAAAAAATAAAAATAACACTATTTCATAAATTAAGTCTTACTTAAACTTGGCTATATTTGTATTAATTATAATATTTTTAGTGCATTATTTGATTCTATAAATTAATAATATTAAATTGATATATGAATTTGTATTAAATGGATATAATCAAAAGAACTAAAATTTTATTATGAAAGGTATATTTATAATATAATCTAATCACTCGAAAAAACAGTCAATTTCATCCATATCATCAATATAATGGTAATCATTATGATTGGGAATAGGAATATTATCATAATTCTATATGTCCTTATCCCATTCGTATGGTTTTTTGGCAATCACATATTTTTTAGCATGTTTTCTTCTTCTTGGTAATTTAATAGTTTTAGAATTGTTTGATAATCTTATCCTTTCTTAAACTTTTTCTTTCTTTGGTTTTTCTTCTTATTTAAATAATGGTTAAAATGATCCAATAATTGTGGCATCATCTTCACAATCAGAGCTATTTACTAAATCATTTAGTCGATCATATTAAGAATCATCAATTTATTCTAGATCATAATCTATTGAATTTTTCATAGTAACAATTTAATTGTATAATTCTTATAATAATTGATCTCTTCTATCCAAATCTTCAGTATTATCATAATACTCTAATAATTTACTGATGTCTTCAAGATCTTTCATAGTAAGATCTCTATTATCAAACTTTGTGGTTCTTCCAATATATGATTCCAATATTTTTGAGTCTTCAATTAATTAATCTTTATGTTCAATCATATCCAAGTATTCTTTAGCATCCTGTAATTAATTACATGGAATATGGTGTTTATGTTTGGCAATTTCTTAAAATGGAATTCTTCCAAAAACGATATTTAGTTATAAAAAAATAAATAACATGTAAAAATAAAAAAACTATAATTTCTAATAAATATTGTCAAAAAATTTAAAAGTTTTCTTAAATGGTAGATTTAAACTTTAAATCTAAAAAAAGAAAACAATCCCTATTTCAGATTTAATATTTATATCAATCTCAGTTTTTTTACAGCATTTTAATACTTATTATCAACTTTATTAAAGGAAGACATATGAATTTTATTTATAATGATAAAATACTAAATAAATGGAAAAGAATAAGAATGAAGTTTTGAGAGAAGAAGAAATAAAAATCGAAAAAGTGATTCGTTTAGATAAAACAGGTTGTCCAATTATAAAGGGATAGAAGGCACATAAGATCACATTTTGTGATGAAGTGATAGTTGGGAAATCTATTCATAATATAATTATTGTCGAATGTTATAAACAATTTAATTTGCCTCCAAATGATATAGAAGTTGCTGATGAATGCTGTATATTATTATGAAGAACTTTGAGTAATTTAATGTGTTTGTTTCTTTGAATTCAATTATAACATTCATAATTTCTGCTCCACATAATGCATATGATTACTGTCTATATCTTATATAGTAAGTAAATTATGCAATGTATCAAGGATCTCTTTTTTTTATGATTAAAAGGGTAAATTTTTATCCTTGAGAAAAATTATTAACAATTATGGAAAAAGTTTAAAGCTACTCTTAAATAACTTCACATACTATGTTGAGTCCAATAAATAAAAAGGTTAAGTTTAGAACTGACAAACGTGGATTTCCAATTCTAAAAGGATCTAAATGTCATAGCATAAGTTTTAAAGATTAAATCAAATAAGGGGAACTAATTACTATAATATTGGTGGAGAGTTGGAAACAACTAAATTATGATAATAAACACAATTAAAAAGTAACAGAATGTTGTGTAATCTATTGATCAGTAACAACCACATTGAAACATTATGAAAATCGAGTTATATACTTATTTGTGTTATATCAATTTATTAAAAAAAAATCAGTTTTTTCATCACAAAAGTGCTTCCAATTTATTTATTATTAATTAACTCATTGATTGTTATGCTTGGTAAATTCTGTCAATTACTGATGTTATAATATCCTTTTAAAATTTTATCTTATATGGTTTGAATTAATTTATGCATAATGTATTACATTCTAGTATCAAATGATCTTCTTAAAATGATTACTCAATTGATCTTAAAGGTTATACAAATTTAACTATTGCTGTATTTTATTTTTATTAAAGACAAGCATGAATCAAATATCCTGATTCAACATCAAGAATCAAATACTATATATTTTATATATAAAATTATTACATTTTATGAATTTGGTATTTATATAAATTCACAAACTTAAAGTAGTTAGATTTCCTAATCAATTTAGTAAATATTTTCAACTTTCTTTTTTTGAACATTCTTTACTAAACATTTTATTAAAATCCACAGATAAACATATTTAAATTCAGATAGTTTACTATTATCAACATATGGTTTTAAATCTTCCAATTTAACATCTGGTTAAGATTATTTAAAATCATCCCAATCAAATTTTTCAATTACATCCCAATTAACAGCTAATCCTTCACTTAACTTCTTATTTGTCACTTTAAAATTTGAAATCATTGTAACTAATTTATTTCGTAACTCTAAATAAAATTGTTCCAATTCTTTTAAATCTTCATTCATCATTAATAAGATTATCAATTCTAAAAGCTTTTTTGAAAAAACTATTTCCTCTTTTAATTGTAATAACTAATTAAATAAGAACATTTACCTTGATAATCTAAATAGATGGTATTTGATAATTTTATTATTTTGCAAAAAACCAGATTGATAAATATATATACAATAATGTGTTATGTTTGGACTAAAAAAATAGCTTAAAAATACTCTCAAAAGTTCAATAAATTGATTTTTATATGGATTTTATACTAAATTAGTTTTCTAATTTTAAACGAATTAATTATTTTTTTCTTAATTGTCATCAAATTCCTTTTAAAATATTTATTAAAAATGTTATTCCATATTTCTTGTATCATAAACCCACTTTTACGATTATTTCTATAATATATGATGTTACATAGTAGTATCAATAAAAATTTAATCTTCACAAAAAAAGGACATAATTGAATAAACTAAAGGTAATTTTGTTAGTAACAGATATATTGTAAATAAACCAATTTCATAACCAAGTCTTATTTAAGAATTTTTATTCAATAATAAACTATCTAAAATTGGTTAAATTAATTAATTTAAAATTAATTTCTCCAACAATGTTGATAAAACTGGGCATTCATTTATTAAATCATTAAAAAATAGAAGAGTGCTCTCCAGTTTATCTAATTAATCAAATGATTCTGGATTGATAGATTATAGAATCTCTTAAATTTGCATTATATATTTATTGTACACTTCATTGAAAGGTGATGATGTTAGATAATGTTTAAACTGATTCATAATTTTATTCTAATTTAAGACAACTAATTCTGTTTGTTTTTCACTTTAGGGTTCTGTTGACACTATGATGAATATTATATAATAATATACATTTTGACAAACCTAAAATGATATTTTAGACAGTGCTTTTAACTAATTCATCTGGATAATTGATAAACTTTTAAGCCTACCATAACAAAGGGAATGAACAATATCGCTAATTGAAATAAAGATTTAAATTATCTCTATTAATTCTGATAGCAATAGTTTTTAAGAAATTCACATAATAATCTACAATTTCTGGATTAGAAAAGTCATAGTTATGGTTAATAAATTCATGCAAAACTGGATTACTTAAGACATAATTTAGGTTGAGTGGATTTTATAGATTAGAACTATATTGTCATAATATTTTACATAATCATCGACATCCTTTCAATAATGAAAATAGTTAATTATGGATTTGCTGACTTAAGTTTCTGGTAAAATAAGTTTAATATATTTTGTTCTGCAAAATAACTATATAATTATTATTATTATAGATACTCGAATATTTCTTCTTTTTGATGATCTCCAAAAAGACAGTATTCTGATAATTCTTATATTATTTATTTATATTTATGACTCTTATCAGGCTTTTTTAAATCCTTATGTAATTTTTTCACATCTTTTATTACTTACATTAAATTTATATAAAATTTGAGTAAATTATTGAAAAAAAATCACTCGAAAAGTTTGATGCTTGATTTAAAAAAATAATGGATTATAATATTAGATTAATGATTTAAACTTCTATAAAACTCATATCTTTTACTAATGGATCAAATATTGAAATAGAAAATCTAGTTCATATAATAATACATAAAAAAATATTAGCCTTTAATTTAATATATTAAATTGGTGCCTTTCAGTTGATACTTGAGTTTGTTTATAAATTATAAAGAAATGTTCAATTTAATATTACAAATAAAAAAATATAATTTGATTAATGTTTCTCTGTGGTGGAAAGAAATAAAAAACTTAAATGAGAACCTTAGCACTAGAATCTCATTTATTTACATTACGAAATAATACAGAAGACATTCTAAAAATATTCTATAATGCAGACAAGATGCAATATGAAAGCCAAGATAAGGATATGTTGATAAAAGGAAAAAAGCTTTAAGAGTTACATTAATTCAATGAAGCTACTTTAGTTTAATAGATAGAAGATTAAATTGTTGATATTGAAAAGGCTAAGTTAAAAAAGCAAACAAAATTAGATGAAATTTATGAAATGGAAAGAGAGATTTTATAGAATGAAATAGAAATATAAGTAATAAAGAATCTTTTGAAGGATGATGAAAAAATAGTTAAAAACTTACAAAAATGTGATATTAAATTTGCATTAGATCTTCAAGAGAAATACAGATAAAGTTTGGAAGAAATAGAAGAAGAAATTTCATAAAAGCCACCAATGAGAAGTGAGGGATCTGGTAATCTTCAGAATTAATCATAAGATTAGAGATAATCTTCATCTTCTTGAGTAAAATTATAAAATGGTTAAGAATCTTGAATTTATATATATGTTATAGATCTATATTATCTTTATTGGTTTTTACTATAGAGATAGGAATTATTGTTACTTGATTAGTTTTGATTAATATGAATAATAATAATAGTGTTGTTTAATTTGAAATTGATCATCCAATATCAAGATTAGTTAGATTTGAACGTGTTTTTTAAAGGACCTCAATTTGCATATTGATAGCATATGTTTTGACTTCAGTAAGATTTTCGAATAATGGTTTTTAGATTTATTACACAATGAATTTTAGTTATTCAATTTATTATATGTCAAAATTAGGATGTCAGAAGATACGTATACTATACTTACTAAATATCATCAGTGACATTTTGTTTTGGGGAGCTACAGCTATTTTATATTTAGCAATTAAATACACTTCAATAAGACGATTCCAAAAATACAATTATACTATTTATGCATTAATAATAATTCGATTAGCATATGCATTTAATCTTTTGATAATGGAAGAAGGATTAACTGAGGAAGATGCAACAGATTGTAAATTTACAAGTCATGAAAAAATAAAGAAAATAATATTTTATTTAGTTGAAAACTTGTTCTATGTGATCACAGTTGGCACAGTCCATTACTTGATTTCAATTCTTACAAGTATTCCTTTAACATGAAATTAGACATCAAGGAATAACCCAAGGATTTGCTTACTAATGATGTTAAAGAATCACTCATTATATGATTATAATCTTAATTAAATTTATTTTAAGAAATATTATCATGTTCAAATCAATTTCTTTTATGTTTCCTCTTCCTACTGTCAATCTAACCAATAACAGAATTAAAACTTTGCGTAATTTAATAGAATAACATGAAGGTAAGATGGTTCTAAACTCTCAAACAATAATGATTGTTGGTTCTGATGCTACATTAGAATCTTGTCAGAAATAACTACAAAAAATGAATTTAAACTTTGAATAGTATCGTTAATAGTTCATTAATGCAGATTGGATTTCTTAATCTTTATAAGCCAAAAAGCTGTTAGATTTTAACAAATTTCAATTATTTTAAGAAATATAGAAAAAATAAGAAATATCTAGTCCTTAAAAAACAGATACAAAATTTGTATTCATTGAATCTATAGGAAAGGTAGTTCCATTAAAAGAAGATGAATAAGATTAAATAGATATAGAAAGTGGAGAATATACAATAATGAAACCAGAATTGAGAGAAAAGCATGAGAAACGTAAAATTGAATTTAAAAGATAAATATTGAAGGAGCATCGTTATATGTTAGATTATGAATATGATAAAGATCTTGATAATTATCATCATTAAATAGATGATGGTTATGAATTCTTATTAGATAATATTTAAATTTTAAAAAAAGAAGAACATGATATTTTTAATTAGAATAAATTTTATGGAGATGAAGAATGTTAAATAACAGAAGTTCGTAAACCATAAATAGATATTTTATAAGGATTAGATATGGGAAAGGCAATAGTGAATATAGAATAGCCATTAATTAATGCTTAATTAAAAGAGACAAAACAATATAATCCAGGATCTAAATAATAATAATAATTTTGGGAAAATAAAAGGGAATTTTTTATTTGTGATGCTGGATCTAACTAAAAGTGTTTTAATAATTAGATTATAGAGGAATTAGAAAAGTTGCTAAAAATTTATACAAATGAAAAAGATAAAGGTAGATGTATAGCTTATCGAAAGGCTATTGGTTATATAAAATCATTAACATTTCCGATAAAATCAAGTGATGATTTAAAAGAGATGCCAACGATAGGAGATAAGATAAAAAAGAAAATAATTGAGATCATTTAGACAGGTTCATTATTGAAGGTTTAAAAATTATAAGGTTAAGAAAAGAATATAGCAATAACTTAATTAAGTAGAGTTTGGGGAATAGGACCAACAACTGCGACTACATTTTATTTTAAAGGAATAAAAACATTAGATGATTTAAGAAAAAATCAACATTTGTTAACATAAAATTAATAGGTTTGTTTAAAATTAGTCGAAGAATTAGAGTAACGTATATCAAGAGATGAAGCAACAATAATATATGAAATAGTAAAGAGAGAAATAGATGATTTAAGTGGAGTACCTGGATTATATAAAGCTACTGCTTGTGGTTCATATAGAAGAGAGAAGGAAAGTTGTGGAGATATGGATATATTAATAACAAGATGCGATGGAAAGAATAGTGATGGTTTTTTAATGAATTTGATTTAACGTTTAGAAGGTAAATTACTTACTCATCATCTTACATTACCTAAAAAAGGAGAACATGATAGTGAATCATATATGGGGATAGGAAGAATTAATAATTAAGGAATTCATCGAAGAATTGATTTAAAATTATATCCAAAAGAACAGTATGGTTGTGCTGTTTTGTATTTCACTGGTTCTGATTAATATAATAGAAGTATGAGATTATGGGCTTAAAAAATTGGATATAGTCTTAGTGATCATGGTCTTTATCCAACTTAAAGGGGTAGTCACAATAAAAAATTATGGAAAGGAGAAGTAATTCCTTGTGAAGAAGAAATTGATGTTTATAGAATTCTTGGTTTATAATATAAATAACCAAAAGAGAGATCAATATGATGTTTAATTTGTTAATATAATTACTCTCATTATAATATACATAAACTCAAAATAAGTTTTTCAATTTTAATGCAGATAATTGTAATCTATTTGTGAATTCAACCGATACAAAGAATTCGGTAATAATTAATGATAACAATTTCCAGATTCTTCTGATATACCAACTTCTATTTTTTCTTCTTCAAAAAATGTATTAGTATCAATTACTGAGTATGATTTCTCATAATTTATTGGTACCATTGCACTCTCACTTGATAATTCTTCTTCTTTAACAAGAGGAGAAGATATTGTTTATTAAGTTTCCTTTTAAGAGATTACTGAAAATACTGAGACAAGAGTCAAAAGAGCGAGACCTATCTTCCCTAATCTCGAACAACGACCTAATTATTAGAGTATAGATAATTAATCTCTTATTTTTTAACTCTTATTTCTCAATTTTTCATTACTTCCTTACAATTCTTACAATTATTTTCTCAATTCTCTATTATAGTTTAATTCTTTCTAAGCCTAATTCTCTAATTGTTATAAATATTGCTTCTTTCTATCTCTTGAATTTTATGCACTGATTCTATTTCTTATCATTTATATTGTTTTCTTGTCATTCTCTCTTAATGGATCATCATCTTATTTCTTTCTCTTTATTTTCTTACTACTCTGCACTATTTCTATATCATCCTTCTATTTTCTTTATTTTGCCTTCTCTCTTCTCATTCTGCGCTTCATCTTCTCCATTAACTTTTGGAAATCTTAAAATATATTACAATTTTCTTCTTACTTTATGGGTTCGATTTTTGCATCTCTTTAAGTCCTTCTTAAGATGTCTATAATGTCTCACTCATATACTCAAAGAATTCTTGTTAACTATTACTCATTTTCCTAAAGATTTATATTAAAATATTACATTAAAAAACGATAAATTTTATTCGCTAAATACCCAAACATAGTGAAATAACTCCAATATCATTATATTTTTATATTAACTCAATTTTTGTTACAATTAACTCTTACTTATTTTTTATTTATTACTTATACTTTTGCTATCTAATTTTTAGTGCTTTTCTTCTTAATATAAAAATATTTTCTAAAATATCTCATACAATTAATAGTTTGATACTAACCTTTATAAATCTTCAATTATGTAATTTATTGGTTTCTAAATAAGAAATATTGTAGATTTATTAGTAAGTTAAATTTACTTAACTCAACATAACTATATTATATTATATAAATTCAACAAGATATCTAAAAATTATGGTTTCATTATTAAAGAAAACTATTACTTTATTGATAAGAACTTACTTTTTTACAGAACCAAGATGGTTTAATATAAATAGTATCAGATAGAATTGATTTTAAAATAAAAGGAATTACAAAAACTAAAATAGTTTATTTATTCGTTTTTTCATTATTAATATTATGTAAATACATATTCAATAAATTTCTAATACTAATCGTATCAATTTGCTATAAAAGCTCTTAAATTTTTAATGGCTCAGTTAAGTCTTTACTTTAGAAAGAACAAATTATGATACATGGCTAGCAATTTTTAAAGGTAAATAAAGTTTTTATGTAGAAAAATTACATATCATTAGAGACTATAAGAAAAAGTAGAAGTAGATGCAATTTAAGCCATATTTAAAAATGATGATAAATAAAATGGTTTATATTGAAGAATCAGCAGTATTAAATAATAATGTATTACAATAAATGCAAAAGATTAAAATAACAATTTTGATTAATAGAAATCATTGAAAATCAAGAGAAGATTGAGAATGAGATCTAATAAAATTTTACAATAGATAATGAAGTGCACAAAAATTACCTGAAGTAAAAACTAATTAAATTAATTTTGTGAGATAAAGCAATAATAGTTGATATAGAAGAAGACTAATAAGCATCATAAAACAGTTAAACTAATATTTTCTTGACCTTAGTTGCTAAAGAGAATCATTAAATTATTAAGCTGAAAATAATAAGCATATTTATGTTTATAATAGTATGATTAATAATAATATTAATAATAATAATAATTAACATTGGCAATGAAAAATTTAATCCCAATTAAATTTCCATCAATACCTGGAACAAAGGATCATTATTATTTATCAAATTCTGAAAGTTTGATTGTAAATTGACTGTATGATCTGAATAAAGTAATAATAGAGAAAAGGGCAATTTAGAATTCTTAATATTTATTAGAAATATAAAGCCAAAAATATTTTAGGGTCTGATCTATCAAGTAAATGAATATTGATCAAATATTAATATTGAATATATATATTTTTTTAAAGTTGCAAAAATCTCAAAAATATATAATAATAAATAATGTAATAAGAAGAGAAAAAGAAAGGGGACAGTGGGAAAATGGAAATTATAGTAAGAATATATTAATCTGTAGAAAACTATGAATGGGTTCACTGATAAGGAATGGAATCACTTAGATAAAATAGAGAGAATTGAGCTTACTCTTGAAGATTTTGGGAGAATGAATGTTATTTAAGCATTCAAAAATTTGAAATCTTTGACTCTTATAAATGTAGGGATTGCAGCAATTGAAGTATTAATTGATTTATTAAATGGAAGGGATTGGATGATTTGACAAAATTAGAGGAATTAAATTTGAATGAGAATTCAATAACTAAATTAGGTGGACTAAAGGGAGTTGTAAATATAAAATCAATTTATATTTCTCATAATGCAATCTAAAAACTTGAAGGATTAGAAAATCTAGTAAAGTTAGAAACTTTATGGCTTTGTGATAATAAAATTGATGCAATTCAAAATTTAGAAAATTTAGTTAATTTGAAATAATTATGGTTAGCAGCTAATCAAATAAGTTATTTGAGAACATCTCTAGACAAATTAAAAAATTTACATGATTTGAATATTAGCGGAAATAAAATATGTAGTTTTAAAGAAGCTTTAAATTTAAATCGTTTACCAAACCTAAGAGTATTAGCATTTTATGATCCTCATTTTGGTGATAATCCTATTTGCAACCTTTGTAATTACTAGACATATGTCCTTTATCATTTGAGAAATATATTCAAATTAGATACTCTAATAATATCAGATGAATAGAAAACTTTTGCTGAAGGTACTTTTATGAAAAAGAAAATGTATTATAATATGAGAATAAAAACAATGTAAAGGACATTTTCAACTTTATGCAAACTATTGAAAAAAGGGAAGAAAATAAAAACAGATTCTTTGTGTGAGGATATATCTAATTTAAATATAAAATTAGCATAAGAAGCAGATAAAGATAGACAATAATTATTAGAGAATAAATAAGAAGAATATGAGAATTAAAATGATATTTATAATAGCATAAAAAAGAAGGTTTATGAATATTGCAATTAAAGCATACATAAATTGATAACAGAATTAGAAACAGGAGGGAATATTAGATTAGAAGAAGGAAAAACAAATGAGAAATGGTATGTATCTTGTGTTGACCTTATAAATTCAAGATTTCATTCTGAGAATATGGCTAAATATGGAATTAAAGATATATAAATAAAGAGAGTAGTAAGAATACACAATAAGTTTATTCGAAATAAATTTGAAGAAAAAATGGAATCATTGGTAGATGTATCAAATCAAAGTCACAAGAAGTCATTAGAATATTTATTTTATGGTGTAGATCCTAATTTTTAATCTGAAATTTATAATGTGATTGAGGAAGGATTTAGAGGTTGTTAAGTAAATTAAAATATTAATTATTTTAAAGGAATCTAAATAAATTGGTTTAAGTGCTTACACACCATTAGTAAATAGTATTTTGGGAGCAGATGCATCAAGAATTTAATATATTTTGAATGGATAAGAACATAATTAAAAGTTAAATAAAAGATTTATAAAAAGAAGGTAATATATTGATAATTATATATATATATTAGATTGTTCTATTAAAAGTATAATGTGATTCCTCCTGGAGTGTTACTTATTTGTAAAGTGTTGATGATTAAGTCTGTTCCAGATTCTAAATATCCTTATTTTAATCCAGAACAACCTTGGAGTGAGATGTTTTAAAAATAATCAATTGATGGTAGATAATATTAAGATGAATACACTGTTTATAGAGTAATGGAGAATGATCCAAAACATAAATTATGGTTTGTTTTAGATAACAATTTAGTATTACCTGAATATTTTGCAGAATTTGAATATGTTATGCAATCTCCATTACAAAATAAAATTGCTGATTTTGGTTATTCTTTAGGAGTTCTCGAATAAGAAGAGGATGATTTCATTACTCCTGCTAATATTAATTAATAAAAGGAAAGTATCAATGATATGTATAATTAATTGGCAGATGATTTGAATACTTATTAATTTGAAAATTTAGAAGAATATCCTACTTATGAACTTAAAGCATAAGATTTAGATAGATCAGAATGTGCCTCTTTAAAGCCAGCTTTAATAAATTATTTTAAATATTGTCTTAGTAGATCAACTTTATATGAGTTGAATCCAAATCTGGTTGGCACCCCTAATTTAAATGATATTCTTAAAAACTAGACATAATTTCTAAATTTAAGTAATTGTTGTGTATAAGATATTACTTTTGTAAAAGGATAATTTCACACGTTGATATTAAGTTATAATAAAATAAGTACAATAACTGGTTTGAATGAGTTACCAAATTTGGTTAGATTAGATTTATCACATAATGAGATATGTAATTTAAATGGATTATAACATTTAAATAGTTTAGAAGTATTGGATTTAACTCATAATAATATTTAAGATATCGATTAAATTGCTTTACTTAAATATAATTCATAATTAAAGTATTTATGTGTTGTATTTAATCCACTTAATGAGTATAAAGAAACAAGAAAAGAAATAGTTATGATTTTAAATAACTTGGCATTTCTGGATCATTTACCAGTAACTGATGAAGATAAAGAGAAAAGTACAAATCAAAAACAATTAATTACAACTGCCATGCTTTAAACATTTAGTAAAGTTTAAATGGATTGGAAGTAAAACATTTAATCAGTAATGATCACTCATTAAAAATTAAGTAGTATGAAGGGATTAGAAGGTTTAGTTCAATTAAGACATTTGAATCTTGGTCATAATAAAATTACTTAGATTACTTCAATTCAAGATTCAGTTCTGTTGGAAGAATTAAATTTAGAAAAGAATTCTATTATATAAATTTAAGAGTTAGATAATATGTAGTATTTAAAGAAGCTAGAATTAGGAGGAAATAGAATATCAATAATAGAAGGAATCTCAAATCTAATAAACTTGATGTAATTGTCATTGGAAGATAATGCAATACTTCATCTCAGAGATTTTCCAGATCTCAAAAGTCTTATGGAAATTTATTTAGGAAATAATAATATAACAAATTAAAAGGAAATCAATAATATTAAACATTTACAAAAACTAATCATTTTAGATCTTTCTGGAAATCCATTTGCTAGAGATACAAATTATAGAGCATATGTTCTTTATGTTATACCTAAACTTAAGGTTTTAGATGGTATTTCAATTGAAGCCTCAGAATAATAAATGGCTAAAAATCTTTATACAGGTAGATTAACAGAAGAAATTTTACATTCTAGATTGTAAGGATAACCAGCCAATAAAATAACTGAATTATGCTTATAAAATTGTGAACTTAGAGATTTTGATGATGTTTTCAATGCTTAATAATTTCCATAACTTGTTGAATTAGATTTAAGTCATAATTTATTTACTTCTACTAAAATGCTTGGCTTCTTACCTTAATTAAAGATTTTGATACTTGCTTCAAATAAAATTGATACTCTTCTTTGCCCTAATGATATTAATTAAAAAAAAGGATTGAATGGATGTTAATAATTATAAATTTTAGATATTTCATAAAATTGTTTAAAAGAATTTAATGGATTATAATTTTGTCTACTTAGGGAATTAAAAATTATGAAATGTGAAAAAAATGAAATAGTTAGAGTTGATTACCTCGATAATTTAAAATAATTGAAAGAATTGGATTTAAATCAAAACAAAGTTAGGCAATTCGATCCTTAATCATTCGCAGGATCAAATCCTATTAGATGTTTGAAGATAGATGGCAACGGTCTTAAGAATTTTTAGAATATTTAGAAATTATATAAATTATTGGTAATCTTTAAATTCATTAAACCTAGCATTTATTTGCTAATTCAAATAGAATTAATGATCTACCAGACATTGAACATTTAGTCCCATTAACATAACTTAAAGAATTAGAATTAGTTGGAAATTCTTTAAGTCGAAGACCTGGCTATCGCTAAATGGTATTGAGGAAATTGTCAACTATACTCTATTTGGATGGCAGAGTATATGAATCAATCTATTTTATTATAGGAAGTCACTCAAGAAGAAAGAGAGAGATTAGAGTTAGTTGATAGGTAAGCTGTCCTTCCTACGATGTAAATCTAATAGTAGCCTAATACAAAAGTTCCTGTTAAATTAAGTTCAATCAATTTTGATGGAATCTTTAGCAAATGAAAATATCAATTAATTCTATTTTATATTCACCAAGTAGATTTTCAATTAATAATATAATTAATTATAAAATAAATACTATTAAAAGTCTTATCTGGTTAATTACTTGTATTTCTAAATAGCAAAAGTATTATATTAATTAATATTTAATAATTAAGATAATCCACCTAAATACTATATATATTCCTTGGTAATAAAATATTAGAAAAACTATATTAAATTCGATTAGTTTTTCTAAATTTTCATATATTTTAGCTTTAAAATCAATAAAAAAATTGTAAATTTATTCCTCTAATCCCTTATTTTATCCTAATTGGTTATTTAAAATAATTTTCTCTAATTTAAATTGATTAACTGATAAAAGTCTTGTTTCTTAAAGTAAAACTTTAATTATATCAAATTTTTATTTTTATTTTGATTGATAATATTATATTCAAATTTAAAAAAGTAATCTATATGATTAAAAAATATTTTTTTCCTAACAATAAAGAAATAATGAGAATTCAATTGTATGTTTATCTCTAATATAAAAAGCTTTAAGATTTGAAAGCCTGAATATGGTCTATAGATTGAATTTTTTGTTTAATAACTTGAGCTTATTTTTAATTAAATCAAAATAGTTCAGAATTTACTTATTTTAAAGTTTAAGGAAATTTAGAATGAAGGTGATTATAATGATTTGTATTTTAGATATAGAAATAAAAGGGTTTTAAGTTTAATTATATAAATTTTTAGTTTAAATTATATCTTCATATTTAAAATAGCTCTAATAATTAATATAAGTAGTTAGATGAGATTGAAATGATGAAAGCTTGAATATGATCATGAATTAATTTCATTGATATATATTAATTAAAGAGCATCTTTGAATTTATTTATTAATGCAATAAACGACAGGAAAATTTATGGAGTTTATTAATAGTTAAGATAAACTAAGAATAAATGAGTTAAAACATATAGAGTAGGAATAATACTATATTAATTAATTGAAAGAGCAAAGAGAGAGGGTATAATTATATTGAAATAGAGTAAAGATGGAAGTATTAAAAGTGGAATTTTTAAAGAAGGATTTAGCGATTGGAGAATTGTAGATTCAAAATTAAAATTTGACAGAAGATATTACCCAGTTAAGAGTTGCTTTTTAAGAACAAATGAAATATCAGGAAAAAGAGATTCAGAGATCGAAGAAATAGATTTAAGAAAGGGATGATTTATTGAGAGATTTATAAGAGCTAGGTGATTTGGTTTTACATTTAAGAAAGGATAATGAAAATTTGAATGTAAAAGAAAATTATAAATTTAGTCGTTACATTTAGAAAAATAGAGTGAATAAGAAGAATAGAAAATGAAATGGGAGATTGATAGCAAGCAATTGAAAGGTGAAATTTAAAAGCTAGATAATTTATTATTTGCTATGGAACCAATAAAGATGGAGAATAAGAAATTGAAGGAAGAGATGAAGAATTATAAAAGTGAGAGAAAGAAAATTTAAAGTGAAATGAGATTGAGCAGAATAGAAATAAATAAGTAATTAGAGGAATTAAAGCAAGTGATATAGGATTAATAGTAAAAGATAGTTAAATTATAATAATTCAAGGAAAGTCATTACAAGAGGAGATATTAATAGAGTGAATTAGAGAATAAAGTGTTATTAATGAACTAAGAGAATGAAGACTTGAAGTAAGAATTGAAAAGATTTTATGAGAAGGAGGAAAGTGAGATTAAAATTAAATCTTAAATTGACAGAGTATAATTATGATTTAAACGTTTAGGTTAGAGAAGATTTGATTTCAGTAAGAAATTAAGAGGTAGAGAAATTAAATGAACTATTTAAAGGTATTGTATCACAACAGTTTATGAAAACATAATCTTTTTGTATCTAATGAATATATATTAATATTATATTTAAATTTTGGAGTAATGTATTTTTAAACTGTTTATATATTTATTTTTTTATAAAATATTTATGGATTTGATAAATGTTAGATGAGGAGAAAATAGAAATAATAAAGATATTAAATTTTAAAAAGACGAATGAGAAATTCATATGAAATTTGATATATATTTGATTTATGAAATCTCATTTGATGTTAACATATAATTTCTTAACTTATTCTGGTAATTCTTTAAAGAAGGGATGTTCACATGCAGCCTTAGCTGTGATTCTTTAATCAGGGTTGATTTTAAGCATTTTGACTAATAAATCTTTGCCATCTTAATCTAGTCTTGGGCAAAACTTAGCCAAATCATCAGGTGGATATTATTCAAAGTTTTCAGGTTTCCAGTTTGGAAGATCGATCAATTTAGGATAATCCTAAAATATAGATATTAGATTACAATAGGATTAGGAGTTCCTAAGACTCTGAATATCTTTTTTAATTAATCAGTTTCATTGCTACCAGCAAAAAGAGGTTTAAGATTTGACATTTCAGCGAAGATACATCCAACACTCCATATATCAATAGAAGTATTGTAGTTTTTAGAACCTAACAAGACATCTGGTGGTCTATACCATAAAGTAACAACTTCATGAGTGAAACTTTTAACTGGAATACCACTAGCTCTAGCTAATCCAAAATCTGCAAGTTTGAGTATGCCATCCTTTGAAACCAAGAGATTTTAAGGTTTGAGATCACGGTGTAATATTTTTTATTAATGACATGCTTAAATTCCTCTTAAAAGTTAATAGAGGAAACTTTTAACAATGAGTGGTTCCATTCCTTTCTCTTTAGGGAATTGAGCAAAGAATTTCTTAAGATCCATTTCAACATACTCAAAGACCAGTACTAGTTTCTTATTTGAATGTACCACCTCCATTAATCTAATTAGAACAAGAATTACTTAACAATGTTTGGATGATTCAATTCTTTAAGAAGTGAGATCTCTCTAATTGCAGTACTTGGAATACCTTCCTCTTCAGACTCAAGTCTAATTTTCTTTAATGCCACATATTCACTAGTATTACGATCTAAGTATATAATCTAAACAAAGTTTACTTACCTAATGCTTTATACACTATTCCGTAAGTACCTTCTCCTAACTTCTCTTTCTTTTCGTATTTCTCTAATTTATTAGATTTCATAATATTAAAATATTAATGTACGATTTTTATTTTCATTTCAATCAAACAAACCACCCATATCAACATCCTCCTCTGGTTCTTCAACTTTCTTTACTTCTTTAACTGGCTCTGCCTTTTTACTCTCAGCAACTGCAGGTGTTGATGATGTTTATGTTTATGGAGCATTGACTGTACTTCCACTACTACCATGCAATAAATCGCCAATTCTTTTTCCTTTAAGAGCTTTCTCAAAAACTTTAGTCCATATTGGTTCAACTCTTAAATTTGAAGCTTTTATAATCTTAGCTAATTTTGTGGCATCAATCTTTTATCACATTTTCAAGTACATCTTAATTATCCTCATATAAAATAAGGGCTGCATATGTACATGCTGCTTCTGATGTTGCTTAATCTGCTATTGGTCTTGTGTCTTTTGCTGCTCTTGCCATCTGATTTTTAAAATATTAATTAAAAAAGATATATAAATTTATGCTCTTCTCAATCTCACCTTAACCTCCATTTTAAATTCATCATAGAAAACAAACAACTTTTCAAGTCATCAACATTGTTGATCATCCAATCCTTTTTAGATTCAAAAATGATAACCATATTAGAATTATGCCTTCTTATGGTATGATCTCTCCAAATGAAAGGAAATTAATTTCTGTCACTAATAAAACTAGTCAATCTGATATTGATGTCTTACTTGAAGCCATTAATTATGTTGAAGAATATCTTGATATGCTTGAATTTTCTAACCCTTAATTATGGGTTGAAAAACAACCTGGTCTCTTAGCCACTCAAACACTTTCAATTAGAATGAATGTCAATTCAGATACATCTAGTACCCAACAATCAGATAAAAAAAACAATTTTGAAGAAATCATGAAATAAGAGCCATAACAATTACAAAGATCATAACATACTTTTAGTCGATTACAAGATCACATTCTTCATAAAAATAGTCTTGATGGATAAGAAAGTAGGACTTCCAATATATTTAACAATAATCCTAGTATTAGTCCTGTTCTTTAGGATGCTAGTAGATTAAGTGCTAATTTGAGTAGAGAAGTTAAATAACCGACCTTTTTCACAGAAGCAAATGAAATTCCTCAAGAACCCAACGAATAATTTGAGGATAAAATTGATCCTGAACAAAGTTATAACAATGAACCTTATTAATCTGGCAATTTTAGATGCAATGATGAGGAAAGGTCCAACCATGAAGTATCAGGAATACGATCATAAACTTCCATCATGAAAATTGAACAAACTTAATACATTAGCACTCTTAAATTAAAAGAACAATAGATTCTCAAACAAATTGATTAAATTAAGACAAGCAAAGATTAATTGAATGAAGAATTAGAAAAATTAAAATTTAAAGCAATGTTCAAAAACAAAGAAAACAATAAATGTATTTTATATTATTTTATTTTTTCTAGAAGACTAACAAATATTAATCGGCCATTTGTTAATTGTTAGTGTTATATGTTTAATTTTAGGAGCATTGTTAAAAAAGATTTAATAACTTTTTTGATACTAAATGAACAATAATCACTATATCAATACATTCCTTCCATTCCTCCCATTCCTCCCATATTTGGGGTTCCTGCTTTTTCATCTTTTTTTCCTTCAACAATCATACATCTAAGATAAAATAAAAAATTTACTCTGTAGTTGTCATTAAACTAGCTACAGATGCAGCATCAACAAGTGCAGTTCTTACAACTTTAGTAGGATCGATGATACCTGCCTTGATCATGTTTACATATTATGATTTTGATGCATCATATCCAAATTCTTCGTCTTGTCCTTCTAATAATTTTCCTACAACAACAGCTCCTTCTTCTCCAGCATTTTCAACAATAGTTCTGCATGGTAATTCAATAGCTTTTTTAACAATTTGGATTCCAATATTTTAATCAAAGTTGTCTCCCTTAAGTTTATCTAAAACTCTGGTAGCATACAATAAAGCACATCCACCACCTAAATATTATTAATAAAACAAATTTACCAACAACAATGCCTTCATCAACAGCAGCTCTAGTAGCATTTAAAGCATCTGTGATTCTATCTTTAATTTCACCTACTTCAACCTCTGAAGCTCCACCAACTTTGATGACACCAACTCCTCCTAATAATTTAGCCAATCTTTCTTTGTATTTTTCTTTATCATAATCAGAAGTGCATTCTTGTAATTAAGCTTTGATTATTTCACATCTTTCATTTATGCTTTCCTTAGTTCCAATTCCATCCATAATGATGGTATCATCTTTATTAACGATGGCAGATTTGCATTATCCAAGAACAGTGTGATCTGACTTATCTAAAGTCAATCCAACATCTTCTGTAACAACTGTAGCTCCAGTTAAGATAGCAATATCATTTAATATAGCTTTTCTATTATCCTATGAATATATAAATAATTATTACTCCAAAAGCAGGGGCTTTAACAGCACATACTTTGAGCCCACCTCTTAATTTATTAAGCACTAATTAAGCTAAAGCTTCTGATTCAACATCATCAGCAATAATTAAGAGTGGTTTATTTTCTCTAACTACATGTTCTAAAATAGGGAGAATAGTTTAAATAGAAGAGATCTTTTTATCTGTGATCAAAATATATGGTTTTTCAAATTCTGTTTTTTATGTCTTTGGATCAGTAGCAAAATAAGGACTGATATATCCTCTGTCGAATTTCATACCTTCGACAAATTCAATTTCATGATGAAGTGTTTTTCCATCAGAAACAGTGATGGTTCCATGTTCTCCTACTTTATCCATAAGTTCTGCAATCAATTTTCCAATTTCAACATCTCCATTAGCAGAGATTGTAGCAACATTTTCAATCATTTCTTTAGATTTAACTTATTTAGATCTATTTTTTAAATCTTGAACAACAGCATCACATGCTAAATTTATTCCTCTTCTTAAATCCATAGGCTAATTAAGATTAATAACTAAATCTTACATTAAGTCCAGCTGCAACACTTTTTACACCCTCTTTAAATATGGCTCTTGCTAAAACTGTAGCTGTTGTTGTACCATCACCAGCTTCATCATTAGCTTTTGATGCTACTGATTTTACCAATTATGCTCCAATATTTTCAAATCTGTTAGAAAATTCAATAGCTTTTGCTACAGTTACTCCATCTTTTGTTATTTTTGGACCACCAAAAGCTTAATCTATTACTACATTTCTTCCTTTTGGTCCAAGAGTTGTTTAGACTGCATCAGCTAATTTGTCACAACCTCTTAACATCTATTATCTGCATTCTTATCCAAAACTCAATTCCTTTCCTACAAAGAAAACTGGAGTAGTAACAAGGGATTTTCCCAAAATTATGTTGCCAAAGAGCTTTCTAGATGAAGAAATCATTAACAATTTATAAACAAATAATTTATTTGTCAAAATTACCCACAATTAAATTAAATAGTCTCTCAATAGTAAATTCTAGAAATTCTAGATTAAATTTATTTATTATTATATACTCAATATCTCTTTGATCCTCTATGTTGTTTCTTTTCTTACCTCTATTCTTAAACTTAGTATTCTTTTATTTCATTATCCTCCTTAGGAACATAAATTTCATACTAAGCAGCTTTTGAATTTAAATTCTTTCTTGTTTATTATTATTTGTTATTATTTTATTTCTACTAATACTACTATCCTTAATTACTCTCTTGTTTCTCCTCATATTCTTATTATGTCTTTGTTTTATTACTTCCAACATAACCACCATCTCTATTTCTCTCATTCTATAGAACCTTCTTATTATGATTGCTATTTCCTTAAATTCTATCTTCTCTATCATAATCATCTCTTTTATAAGAATCATCATTCCTTGAATTTTCTTAATTCCTAGTTTTATTTCGATTATCTGTCTTCTGATAATTACTGTTGTTATTGTATTTCTTTTGATTCCTTTGGTATTCATTATTATTATTGTTGTTGTTGTTGTTGTTATATTGATTATCTCTAACAAATACTTTCTATGTCTTCTCTTAAAAACCACGGTTATCATTATAACTGCTTTTATTTTTGTTATTCTCAAATTGATTATCCTCCTCATCACTAAAACCTTAATCATTACGTTATTCTTTATATTATTACTATTGTTTATTTGGTTTCTTTAAAATTTTTATCTACTTATCATTATTACTATCTAAATTCTAATAACTCAAACTATGTCCTGAATTAACTTATGAATTTAATGACTTCTTAGAAGGTGGCTATGCATATCTCATAAAATGATCATTAGGAACATAATCATCTAATTCATCCTCATCACTACTTGTATATTCCTTCTCTGGTCTTTATAATGCTTCTTAATAATCATATGTATCATCTGGTTCATCATTATATAATTTTGCTGTTATCTCTGCCATCTCTATTCTATCCTTTAATGGCTGATCAAATGTTAATTTTTATTTCTTTTTTGATATTATTTCAACTAGTTTCTCTTCTACTTATTTCACTTCCACATTTCCCTCCTCTTTTACATCCTCTTCTTAATCCTCCACCTCTTATTTATCTTCCGCCTCTAAGACTTCCTTTGGAAGAATAGATTACACTGGATCAAAGTTTTCAAAAACATCGAAATTCTCTTATTCATTATTATTCAACCTATCTTTAAGTCTCTCTCTCTCATCCAATACTGTTGTCATTAGAAGTGTTACTTCTTCAATATCATCTTTTGGTAAATTAATTTAATTCCATGGTGTATTCGTTAATAATTCAATCATGTTAAAATTATTTTCATAAAGTGCTTCAAAAAGAGTCCATTCTTTATTCTAACTTTAATTTCCCTTTTTAGATTTAAATTTCCTTTTTATTGTACCAAAATTCTAAATCAAATACATCATATGTTCCTAACATTGTTTTATCTATTTTGTCATTATCAACTCTTCAACATATTACATGTATAAAACAAAGAAATCAATCAATCTTTAAATAGCTTGTTTCAAAAAGTAATGTAAATTTTATAAAAATTATGGTTTCCATACACCTGCTAATTATGTACTTCCTCTATTATATCCTTTTGCCATAATCAATTCATAAAATATCTATTCAAAACATTATATGATTTCTGGCTTAAATAGATATTACTTTTATGGAAAATACTTTGCCCAAACTATCACTGTCTCAATTGAATCTAAAATTAAAGTTAGCAATTCCATTTTTTATTCAACATCGGTAATAATTATTTCATTTTCATTTGCTGATTTATTGTTAATTAAAAATATCTCCTCATAGATTTTTGAAAGTACATTTTTTAAAAATGAATCTATTGTTGATTTATAATCATCTTGATATGCTTAATAATTGAACACAAATTAACAAATTTTCTTTACAGCATCTAAACTTATAGAAATTTAATTTATTACTCTCATTTTAATCAGCATATATTGTGCAAATATCAGTTAATTTCATGACATCAAAAATCCATTTTTAGTACACTAATTCATGTGCACTAATTTACTCATAAAGAATGGCATCTTCATTTTATAAATCTATTAATCGAAGATAGATAGTAAAGACACATTTAAAAATTTCTTTAATAAGTACTCCATAATATCCTGTGAAATGAAGAGGTTCTTTGAGAAAGTATTTTCTTGGAGCATACCTCAAAAAAAGGTCTAAAGAATTTTAGAGGTTTAAATTGTAGGAGATGGTAGCCCAAAATTTACTAGCAGGGTACTCAAGAAGTGTTTTGTAATCTCCAAGTATTTTCTAAGCTACTTTAATATTATCATTATTCTATTATAATTGAAAATAATGCTTACTTCATAATCATCAGCAAGAAGGCAGAAGAAATGTGATTGATCGCTCTCATTTATGTCTTAAGATAATACTTTTTTGGTCTATTTTTGAGTATGCTTCTGTTTTTTTGACATAAATTAAAATATTAAAGAATTTACGATGATGAATTCCTCAGTTGATAAAACACCATTGTTTAAATTTATCATAATTGGAGAAAGCGGTATTAATTAATTGAATCATTGAGGTGTCGGGAAGTCCTGTCTACTATTAAGATATACAAAAGATGAATTTGCCTCTGAATATAATGTCACAATCGGTGTGGAATTCTCTTCAAAAACAGTGGAGATTGATGCAAATACAAAAATAAAGTTATAAATATGGGACACAGCTGGATAAGAATCATTCAGATCTATTGTAAGATCCTTTTATAGGAATGTTACTGCAGTATTTTTAGTCTATAATATTACTAAGTAAAATTAAATTAATATCAAATAGACGAGATACTTTAGAAAAATTGGATGGATGGTTAAAAGAAGCAAAAGAAAATGCCTCGCCAAATATTGTGACTGTTTTGGTTGGTGCTTAAAATGATTTGGAGGAACAGTATAATTCTATATCATTTTAGACGCCAAGTCTCCTATGATGAAGGAAAATCGTTTATTGACGAAAAGGGCATAAATTTATTCTTTGAGACTAGTGCTAAAAGCAATCAAAATGTTGATTTGGTATTGAGTGAATTCTATTATATGCATTCACCGAAGCAGCCAAATTAGTTTTCCTAAACTATATCAATGAAACTATGCGTAAAAACGATAATAAAATCTCTATTGCACTATCTGAATCCCAAGATAATCAATAATAGTAGCTCTAACCATAAAAGAAAAAGAAAAAAGACGATTCAGGGTGTTGTTGAAAAAGTGTAAAAACACCAATACATATTAATATATATATATCTAAATATAAATTCACATTGTATGCATACTAATTTCAGAAATTTAATTTGTTTTAGGCTTTTAGAAGATTGGTCTAACAAAATTCTATTCTATTCCTCCCCACAATCCTTTTTTAGATAAGTTTTTTTATTATTATTTTTATTCCCCTATAGTTTTATAATAAGAGACACTTGAATCAGTCTCACTAGATTGACTCAACATAAATTCTTATATTTAATTTAATTCTGGATCAGCTCTCTTCATACCAATCAGTCCAACAAAGCTATCTAATAAAATTGAACCAAAGATTGTTGTTATTAAGACTATCACTAAAACACAACCTTAGATTATTTCACTATTTGCTGTCTTGATTGTAATACAAAGTGCAAATGCTATTACACCTCTTATTAAACCAGAATACCAAACTACAAATAGTTCTTAAGTATTTAATTTAAATTATTTATTCATCAGAAAGTAACAGCATGGTAAAATAAAAACTGTAACCAATCTGGCTAAAATTACAGATAATAGCAATAACAATGAAAAACCCCAAGGAATTTATTCATAATCAACTTATAAAGTTGTGATTCCTAGATATGCAAATACAAAAGCTTCAACTAAATAGCCAATTGTATCAAAAGCCAACTAAGTACCATGTTATGCTTATAAAGATATATTGGGATATGTATAAACTGCCATTATAATTCCACAACAAAATAAACTTAAAATTCCACTTAAATGTAATGATTCTGATACTAAATATGATGCATAACCCAATAATAATATTAAGGATGTCTCTTTGACAGGATGATTTAGTAAAGAATCACAATATTTAAATAATAATGATGATAATGCTCCTATAATAACACCTACAAGTAGGGACATCATTAGCAAGTATATGAAATCGACACATAAATGTATAGAAATATTCATAGATAAATTTGAGAATCCACCATCTTCTGAAAGGTATTTTTTAACTGATCGAAAAATTAGAATTGATACAGCATCATTAAAAATTCCTTCACCAAACAAGACTGAATTAAGTATTGGATATTCTGTTTCTTTGATTAATGTGAGCGCAGCAACTGTGTCCTAAAGAGTAATATTTTAACACGTTTACAGTTGCACACAGAGTAGCTGTCAATAGGAGTATCTCATCTTATCCCATTTTCTATTATACTAAACTTGTTTCATTCATGAATAAAGCAAATGCACTCAAAATAACAAATGTCAAAATTGTGCATATTATTCCATGATAAGAGATTAGCCAAAAATTATCAAAAAAATGATTTCTATGCATATTGTATCCTGCTGCAAATATGATGGGAGGCAACAAAAAGTTAAAGAACAATTCTGTATCGAAATGAACATCTTCATTAAAAATCTAAATTCAAGATTATCATATATACATATTTAATGAAAAGAGCTGCAAAGATGCCCATCAAAATGGCAACTACTGATTCATGAAGAAATTTTATTCTTTTTACAGCAATTAAATGTGCTGTAAGAATATAGCACACCAATATAATTACAACAATTAATGCTTCCACTTAAAACATAATAATTAATATTAAATTAAATTAATGGAGTAGATAATTATTAGAAATAATTAAAATATTTTCTTTTTCAAATATCATTCTAAAATTGTTTAGAATTATTATTATTAGATCTAAAAGACAAACAACAAAGTTCAAATTCAAAGATTGTTATAAAAAGTACTCTTATTCAATATAAGTAGTTTTTAATTAATGCAAGCAATAGGTTAAGATTTGAAAATTTTCAGAAAAAGTGAAAATATTAGATGAATAATATAAAATACTATTAAAAAATATTTACTCTTCTATTATTTAATCTTTTTAGATTTAGAATAGATTTTGAATGATTTTATTTTTTTTTGTAATATTGTATAGAAAATTATCAAATTAATATCCTTCTATCATATTTGTGTGTGATAGTGATAATTATAAGGATGAATATATTAATCATAATAAATAAGTATAAATATTAAAATACAAGTATGAATGATTTAATGACTCTACAATAATTGGCTGAAATACCAAGGAATTTCATAAAAAGAAAAATACTTATCAACTTAGAATGTATAAAATAGTATCGTAAATCTAGAAACCAAATATAAAGTAATAGAAGAAGCAGTTCAGCTGTTAGAATGGAAGGTGTCACCTTCAGAGATTGAATGTCATATCTTTTGGAAAGACTGTTATGTAACTGATGAAGAATATCGTCGTTTATTGCCATACTAGAGAATTAATCATTTTCCTGGATCTTATATGTTAGGTAAAAAGAATGAACTATGTCGAAATTTGAACAGGATGAGGAAAATGTATCCTGATGATTATGATTTCTTTCCAAGAACATGGCAATTACCTTATTAAAGTGAGGAGGTAAGATAGAAATAGGGAACAGCAATTTTTATTGTAAAACCAGAAGCAAATTGTTAAGGCAGGGGAATATTTTTAACTAAAAAACTGGATCCATTTTTAGATAAACATTATGTTGTATAAGAATATCTGAGTAATCCATTCTTAATAGATGGATTGAAATTTGATCTTAGGTATAAAATTATTAAATTATCAGAATCTATGTACTCTTAAAATCCATTTATCCATTAAAGATATTTATGTATTAAGAGGGACTAGCAAGATTTTCAACTAAAAAATATGTAAGGCCATAAAAGAAAAATTTAGGCAGTGTCACAATGCATTTAACAAATTATGCAATTAATAAAAGAAGTAAAGATTTTGTATTTAATAATGATACAAATAAAGATGATGTTGGACATAAGAGATCCTTATCGTCTGTTTTGAAAGTATAAATTCATATTTTATAAAAAGTATTTACAAGATTAAGGTCATGATGTTAAATAATTACTTAATTAAATAAAACAAGTTATTGTTAAAACTATTCAAAGTGTCTAAGGAGAATTGTCTCACTTATATAGATCATAATAGCATAATAATGATGGAATTGAATAATGTTTTGAATTGTTTGGATTTGATATACTTTTAGATTCTTCCCTTAAACCTTGGTTATTAGAAGTCAATCATACTCCTTCATTTTCAACAGATACTCCTTTAGATAAAATTATCAAAAGAAATTTAATACTTGATACCTTAATCTTACTTGATGTCAAAAATAAACCAAAAAAAATATATTTAGATTCAAAAAGAGCTCCTATATATTAAAGACCTCTTAAAATGAGTTTAGAAGAAAAAGAAAAACAATCAAATAAAATCAGTCTTTAAGAAGATAAACACTTAAATGGTTACATCAAAATTTATCCAGATGAAGTACATTTATATCTATTAACAGGAAGAATAAAGATTATTATGAATAATTTATGCCGCCTAAACCTAAAGAAAGAGACAGTATGATTAATTAATAACTTGAATAAGTTAAGAATTTAGAGAGAACATTAAAAGTCTAAGTTGATGTTAAGCCTTCTTAATTAAAACCTATTAAAAGATTATCAACCAACTAATCCTTTAGTGATTTGGATGGTTAATCTTTATAATAATTAACAGGAAGAAATACTGTCATTCCATAAACCAGAACAACTTCATAATAACGTCCTTTTAGTAGCATAACAGCTATAAACAGACCTATTAGTGCAGTAAGAAAAACAGTATTTGCAAATTAACACTAAAATTTAAATACATCTTAAAATCAAAAAAGATTAGTTTATCCTCCACCTGCTGAATTACCCCCTAAACCTGTTTACAAAATGATTCCTATTAAAACTTTTAGTTTTCAGAAAATTGAAAATAATCAAAAAAATGAATGAATTTCATTTTTGTACTATATATATTTATATTAATCAATTTTTAATAAATTAAAAAATTATTAAATACTTAAAATATCTAATTTAAAATATTAAATATATTAAGGGCTACTACTAGATAAAATTATTCATTGCTGCATTTATACAATTTTTTAAATTTATTAAGGCTTTTAACCTTGGTAACTTTATAATCGTTATTGAGGAGGCTAGTAACTTGAATTAGTTTAAGTGATTTTTGCTTATGAATTATAATTGACAGTAGTGCCTAGCCTTTATTATTGTGCTGACGAGTTAATTTATGAAGTTTAATCTAATTACATAGAGGTATATATACTTTTATCTAAGGAATATACATCATTTTCTTATTATTGCATATAATCAAGATCATTTCTTTGATCATTAATTCTATTTGCATTTTCTATTTCTGTTTCCTTAATTACTATATTCTAATCATTCATTGTTATAATATCTTTTTGATTTTTTACTCTGTTCTCTGCAGTACCCTGTATTGCTTGTGCATCTTCAACTTGACATTTAATAATAACATTCACTTTTGCATATTTAATCATATTATCTCTTTATTTTTTAATTTTATCAAGTTCTAATAATCTGAAATATTTTTACCAAGCATCTTAACTTCAACTAAGCTGTGCTTATTATTACTTTTATATTCCTCAATTAATTTTTCTAAATGCGTTATCTATTCTTCTTTCAATGCCAGCTACTGTTCTATGTCATATTGCTTAGGAGGAGGTTCCTAAGAATTTTGTTTTTGTTTTTATGCAGAACAACCCATACTATTAAATATAATATTAAAAAATTGAAAGAATTGAATGAGTTTATAAAATATAAATATTGAATTTAATGAATATAAAATGATATAAAATTATAAATAATTTAGAGTATATAATATATAATATTATTTGTTATAATGATGATGAATTGCTATATTGCAAGAACAAAATAGAATCCAAAAATAGAGAGACAAATCAATCATTAACATGCCCCTCCGGATTCTTTCTAAGGATCATTTAGTGGTTGAATAATGTTTATTTATAGTAGATTCCAGTATATGTAATGTTGATGATACATGTAGAGAGTAACAAGCTATTGAAATAAAGGAAGTTACTTTGTAGAATTTCCACTCAAATAACATAGACATTATATTACCTAAAAAGAAAGAGAAAATATTTAGTTCAAAATTAAAAACATGCTATGTTGATCAACAATATGAAGAAAACTTTTCATTAAGTAAGATGACATAAGGAATTTCAGAACATAAAATAAAAAACCCGTTTCAAAGTACTTAATAACCAATTAGAAAATTGAGTGATATATAAAGTGTTACTGACAAGGAATCAATTTCAAGACAAAGTAGTTAAAAAGATTTAAATTCACAAAAAGAATCAAAATAAAATATCAATGCAATTAAATAAGTTTCTATAGCAAATAAAATAGATAGATCTAAAGTTGCTGCAAGTTATAGTTAATTAGCTTCAAAATTATACTACGCAGATTAATCACCTTAAATCATGCATAATCCATAAAAGTTATAATAACAAGCGTTAGCTGTTCATTAATCATTAAATAAACTAAATACTGTTCAAACTAATTTATTATCTTCACCTCTTAATAATAATGACATATCACATAAATCTTCTAATTAAAAATATCATTTGTCTGAATCAAGTGAATGCTTTTAAGATATACTTAAAGATAAAAAACATCCTTATTAATCAACTTAATAGTCATAATCTTAATAGGATCAATCACATTAATAAATTGAAAAAATCTTATCTGAAAATGAAATTTTATTTAAACAATATAATCAAGGCAAATAATAAATGCTCACCTAAGGAATTAAGAGTGAGGCTAATATCATTAGATAACCAATAATAGCATTTAAGAAGCATAATACTATAATTAATTTTAAACATATTATTTAAAGCTTGCTTAATAATGATGTATCTAAATTCTTATCTTTAATGAAAGGTATATTTATTATTATAAAGATAGAAAGTAAATTTTAGTATTTAAATTAACATGATATTCTCGGTAATACAATTTTAATAACAACTATTAAATTATATGGGTTTCATAAAAAATATGATGAATTATTAAAAGAAGTATTAAAAATGAATCCAGATCCATTTATTAAAAATAAATTAACAGGATGGTCAGCAATGGATGAATCACTTTCTTAAAGATCAATTTATGCAACAGCTTTATTATTTTAACAATGTTATAAAATTAAAAGAAATGAATTTTTTAATTAATTTCACTAATTATCAAATATCCTTCAATAGGTACCCAATTTTTAATTAGATATGAATTGGAATTTTGACAGCCCTTTACCATTTATAAAATTATTAGCTCCTAATGACACAATCAAATTATACAAATATAAATAATAATTAAGATTAGATAGTACATTAGTAGGTTTCTCTAAACTTTAATGTAAAAGGAGAAACATGTCTCTATTGTTTATATAAAACAAATTATTTTAAATTAATAGATCTAATTAATTTTATACTGATCCTCTAGAAGAATTAGATACTGAAGAGAAAAAACTAATTATATATGATATTTTACACAGTGAACCTGTAAGTGGAGCATTAGATATAACAAGTTGTAAAATTAAACAATGCATGGATTGGAGAGGTAGAAAGATAATTGAATAAGTAGGATAATATTCATGTGAAAAGTATACATTTTTATTAGATAGAGATTTGATTTAAAAATTACATATAAAAGTTCTTATTTGAAGAAAAGTAATGATACTCAAATTAAATTTGCAGTTGAAAGAGATCTCTATGAAGAATGGATATTGAATGATGTTTTACCTAATACTGATTTATTATTAAATTAGAAACCAAAGGAGTAAAATGAAGCTAGAACTATATCTCTATGGATTTGTAAAAACCATTAACTTTAATTCAAAGATTTTGCAAATATAGTCTCTCTTTTAGCAAAAGGTAATGTTTTAATGGAAAAATTGAATGGATTGTTTCAAAGACCAGAGATGCAAGAGATAATTGAATTAAATGGATTTCCTATTAAAGTATAAATACCATTTTAATTTTCAATACATGCTACAATCTAATGTTGCAATTTTGTATCTCTAGATAATGCTGATGAATTATTTACTATTCCGAATATTAAATAAATTCCAAGAAAAGAAGCATAAAAAATACTTTAGACTAAAAAAAAAAGATTGTTATTGGCAAATCTATATCTATGATTATAATTTAATTCAATTATAAACAATTCATGACATTTTTCTATTTCGATTATGTTTTTTCAAATTCTTTATTTCTGATTTTCTATTATAATAACTAATTTATATATTTAACGTATGCATAAAACATATCAATTTGACTCAAACTAAAAACCAAAAATAAAAGACTTATGTTAGGAAGACAAAAAGAAAATAGGAAAATTAATCAAAAGATTAGCACAGGAAAGAGAGGAAAAAGAAATACTATTAAAAAAATTAGCAGACATGCAATCATCTGAATAAAAATAATAAAGATTACAAACTGAAATAGAAAAATTAGATGAAGAAATATCTCAATTATAAGATTAAGAGAAGTAGACTAACTATTAAACTCCTTAATTATAAACTTAAAGCAAATAAAAACTATTGTATAAATTTGAAAATGATGATGAAAACTTACAAAATTTACATTAAAGTCCAAACTTTAAAGTTTTGAACTAAATTAATGAAGATTAAAGTTCCTCCTTTATAATGCCAATAACATAAAGAGAGTCTCCAATCAAAGTTGATCAATAAATATAAACTTCTATTTTGCAATAATAAATTTAACAATAACCAACAGGATAATAAAAAAAGTCATCCAAAAAGAAGAAAGAGATTTTGATGAAGAAGATTCAAGAATTTGAAAAAATAGTGAATAGATTGAATTTTTCTAATGAATAAGTATTTAATTTCACTTATTTAGAGTATTGAATTAACTACCAATAGAAAATCTGAAGATTAAAATTCTCAATTAAATAATACTAGTTATCTTCAAAATGTTTTTTAAAAACTCTTAAACATTGAATAATAATCAATCACAACCTAATAGACTGTAAGATCTGAATAGTAAAGTGAAATATAATAAGTATAGTTTTAGTAACAACAATATAATGAAGATGATCTAATTATTTAGTTATTAAATTCAGATGCCTCATCTTATAAACCCTAAAATCAAAATGTTTTTAACAATTTATCAAATGTTTCTAAATAATAATAAAAAAAGTAATAGCAAAGTAAAAATAATTCTACGATTTTACAAAATGAGAATAAATAAAACAAATAAAAAATAACATTTGATTAAATTCCTTCACCTATTGTATAAGATGCTTACTGTAAGAATGTGGTTTAGAAATATAACTCATTATTGTAAGAGTTAAATAGATAACAATGAATTAATTGATTAGTATAATAATTCACAAAATTAAATATAAATGAAAAATCTATATGATTTAAGGGAGAATAAAAAATAATCTATTATATAAATTGATTGATAATGAATGTTCTTCTTCTATTTTCGTTTAAGTCTTTATTTTTAATGAGAATGATAGATATAAATCTTTGTTAAGCAGTAATTCTACATAAAGAAAAAAGCGATAATAGATAATGAGAGAAGAATTATCGAAGACAAAAAATAGATTGATATCCAAAAAATCTAAAATTATAATTTTCTATATTTTACAGGATAAATGAGGGATAATTTAGAATATTATATGATAAAATTAAATTATTATAACATATGATATCTCATATTGTATACATCCAGATTTCAAGATAGTAAGATGGATAATATAAAAAAGAAGTTAATATTTTTTTGAAAATAACACCATCATATTATATTAAGTATATATAAAAATTTAAATATTTAGATATTAATTTTTTAATGGTTAATCTCCGTCTCTAGAAAAGATTGGCAGCAACATAATTAAAGGTTGGTGTGAATAGAGTTTGGTTAGATCCAAATGAAGCTAGTGAAATTAGTCTTGCAAATTCAAGAATGTCAATTAGAAAATTGATAAAGGATGGTCTAATTATGAGAAGATTGAGAACAATTCATTCAAGAGCAAGAGCAAGAAGATTCCTTGAAGCTAAGAGAAGAGGTAAGATTATTAATATTGATTAATTTGAATAGGCAGACATACAGGTACTGGTAAAAGAAGAGGAACTAGAGAGGCTAGAATGCCAACAAAAGTACTTTGGATTCGCAGATAAAGAGTATTAAGAAGATTATTAAGAAAATATAGAGCTGCTAAAAAAATTGATAGATAATAGTAAAATAATATAATAATTATTGCATAGATATCACGAATTTTATTTAGCTTCAAAGGGTAATTAATATAAAAACAAAAAAGTACTTATTGAAGCAATTCATGAAACAAAATAAGAGAAAGTTAGAGTAGATAAGATTGAAAAGGAATAAAATGATAGAAGAGAAAAGAATAAGGCATAAAGAGTAAAGAAAACATAAAACAAGTTAGCAGCTGAATGATTTATAAAAAAATAAATAGTACAATAATAAACATATACATTATTCTTATATTTGTTTGATTTCTATTTTTTTATATTAAAAAAAGATTTAAAATTTTTAAGGTGAATGGTATGTTAAGCAATTTAATTTAGGCTGATAATAAAGAACAACCTGCTGCATAATAAACAAAAGGAAAGAAAGGAAAAAAGAATTAAGGAGAAGATTAACCTTAATAAGTAGTAGCTACATTAGGACCAAATGTTGCTGGAAATGAATTAGTTTTTGGAGTTGCTCATATTTTGTCAACTTGGAATGATACATTCATTCACATAACAGATTTGACAGGTAGAGAAACACTTGCAAGAGTAACAGGTGGAATGAAAGTCAAATCAGACAGAGAAGAATCATCACCATATGCAGCAATGCAAGCAGCTAAAGATGTATATGAGAAATTGAAAACACTCAAAATAAATGCTTTACATATTAAATTAAGAGCTAGAGGAGGTAATTCTATATTTATACATATATTTAGGTGTTGATACTAGATAACCAGGTCCAGGTGCTTAGGCTGCTCTTAGAGCTCTTGCTCGTTTAGGTTTAAAGATTGGTAGAATTGAAGATGTTACACCAATCCCAACAGATTCAACTAGAAGACCAGGTGGTAGAAGAGGAAGAAGATTATGAAAAAGTTAAATTACATTAATATTCAAATACATTAATAATCACTTTTTTAAAGCATGTATGTTTTCTGGGTATTAACAATGTCTCAATAAATTTTAATACCTTGTTATGTCTGTCAAATCTTATTATTAATGTTCTAGAATAAATATTTTCACTTCTTAGAAGTAAGTTTCCATAGAACCATCTTTTTTTATTATCAATTCATGTAACAATTTCTATATAATTTAAAATAAACTTTTTACACTAAATAAATAATTATCCACAATTAATTTATTTTTTTCTTTCTAATCGTTTATTTCTTCTTTGTATGCAGTTCCATCCTAAATATAATTTATTTCCAATATGAAATCTAATATTTCTTTCTTTAAATAATTGTTCTTTTTCAAATAATCATATATGTATTTTTCATAAATACTATTCGTGTTATAAGATAAAGAAATCCATCTTTAATTAGGCCCCTTCAAATCTATTATTAATGATTAATCTTTAATATCCAATTAATCTTTTAATATTTCCATTTAACAATCTTTTTTTATTAATAATAAATAAGGAGCTTAATTGCTAAGTCTATCATGATATAGATTCGCATATATAAAATTATCTTCTTAATTGAATTTGAACGCTCTAGCATATAATCTTAATTAATTTGAAGAACAAAATGAAAACTCTTTTGATATTTTTTAGAGTGATTTTTCTATCATTTTTTCTTCCTCTGTTGTCTTTTGTAAAAAATTTGATAATCCATAAGACTTTTTAATTGTTTTTAATGTTCTCAATTTACACAAATAGGCTTTAGCTTAATCATCATTTGCTCTTTCTTTAATCTAAATTTTAGTTTAAATCTTTTACATTTGTTATTATTGGCTTGCAAATTATTTATGTCCTTTAATTCAATGTGTCCACTAATTCCTTAAATTCAAGTAAATTTCTCCTTATTGATAATAAACAATTCTTCCTAAAGATCAATAACACAATACATTTATTCAGCTTTTTAATCATGTACAACATTTTGTTATTCAACCTCCTCTGTTTTATATGCATTTTAATCATCTAATTCATCATAATCTTCAATTTATTAAGGGTTTTGAATATAATCAAGTGGTACTTATTAAAATTTTTGTTTTTGCATTATCAAATTTTTATATTAATTAATGTCAAATTCCAATAAAAAATAGTAGAGCTAAACAGATATTAAATAAAAGCTATTAAATATTTTATCAGAGAAAAATAATAAGGTAACTACATAGCAAAAACCATGTTCAAGTTTAGATTATTATTCGTTATAAAGAAAATTATCATAACGATCCCATAAATTACCTGTTGAAATGACTAAATTTGAAAGAGAGAGATGGCTATTTGAAATGTTAAACACTTAAGATCATACATAATAAGTATTAGTCTATTGATGAAAGTAAAGGAATAAAATTTGAAGGAAATTTATGCAAGAACAACAAAATTAATTACAAGATATCGAAACAAAGAAATTAAATGGAATAATAAAAGAGAAGCTTTATAAAAAGAGATTGATTTACTACGATAATTATTATAATAATATTGAANCAAATAATCATATATGTATTTTTCATAAATACTATTCGTGTTATAAGATAAAGAAATCCATCTTTAATTAGGCCCCTTCAAATCTATTATTAATGATTAATCTTTAATATCCAATTAATCTTTTAATATTTCCATTTAACAATCTTTTTTTATTAATAATAAATAAGGAGCTTAATTGCTAAGTCTATCATGATATAGATTCGCATATATAAAATTATCTTCTTAATTGAATTTGAACGCTCTAGCATATAATCTTAATTAATTTGAAGAACAAAATGAAAACTCTTTTGATATTTTTTAGAGTGATTTTTCTATCATTTTTTCTTCCTCTGTTGTCTTTTGTAAAAAATTTGATAATCCATAAGACTTTTTAATTGTTTTTAATGTTCTCAATTTACACAAATAGGCTTTAGCTTAATCATCATTTGCTCTTTCTTTAATCTAAATTTTAGTTTAAATCTTTTACATTTGTTATTATTGGCTTGCAAATTATTTATGTCCTTTAATTCAATGTGTCCACTAATTCCTTAAATTCAAGTAAATTTCTCCTTATTGATAATAAACAATTCTTCCTAAAGATCAATAACACAATACATTTATTCAGCTTTTTAATCATGTACAACATTTTGTTATTCAACCTCCTCTGTTTTATATGCATTTTAATCATCTAATTCATCATAATCTTCAATTTATTAAGGGTTTTGAATATAATCAAGTGGTACTTATTAAAATTTTTGTTTTTGCATTATCAAATTTTTATATTAATTAATGTCAAATTCCAATAAAAAATAGTAGAGCTAAACAGATATTAAATAAAAGCTATTAAATATTTTATCAGAGAAAAATAATAAGGTAACTACATAGCAAAAACCATGTTCAAGTTTAGATTATTATTCGTTATAAAGAAAATTATCATAACGATCCCATAAATTACCTGTTGAAATGACTAAATTTGAAAGAGAGAGATGGCTATTTGAAATGTTAAACACTTAAGATCATACATAATAAGTATTAGTCTATTGATGAAAGTAAAGGAATAAAATTTGAAGGAAATTTATGCAAGAACAACAAAATTAATTACAAGATATCGAAACAAAGAAATTAAATGGAATAATAAAAGAGAAGCTTTATAAAAAGAGATTGATTTACTACGATAATTATTATAATAATATTGAATATTAATAATACAAAAAATAAGCTCATATCCAAAAGTTTCTTCAAAAATATAATTTCTTATAGATTATATTATTCTAGTATTGCTGCATTAACATCTAAAATTATGTATCGAATTGTATTGGTTATATAAACCCTTTTTTTGAATAGATACTATATCCTTTTAATGCTCCAGTCTGTTATTGCTAAATAAACATAGGTTGTTAGAAATATTAATTTTTTGGTCTTTAGATAATTAATAATGGTGATTGTGAACGATCTTTCTTTGGACTTTTAGGGGTTGTTACTTCGCTAATTCTTTCATGAATAGTTTTCAAAGTGAAGTTATCCTTTCGAAATTAAGAAATAACGTCTGATAATCTTAATCCCAGATTGCATCTCACAGTTACACTTACCTTTTTCTCAGGAGTAGGTTATCTTAATTAATTTAAAACTAACTCAGTAAATAACAATTTCATACATTTTATATCATCTCTTAAAATTTTAGCTTTAATATCTTCATCTAAGAGTTTTTCTCCATTGCTACCTAACTCTTATTATGAAGTTGGCCCTGATCTTGGAGTATTTAGAAAAAAGTTTTTGTTTATTTCTATTGTGCGTTTTCAAATATAAAATTACCTATTTTGAGCTCTTTATAGAATAACGGATTAGCTTGCTCTTTCACTTTAGTTATCTCCCTCTACTCTGGGAGTTCATTACATTTCTTTAGTTTATCATCTGTCTTTTGGGTTTTTTAGATACTACAATCAGAATTTGGAGAAGTAGCTGAAGTAGATGAAGTATTGCTCTTTTTTAATGAAGACATTGAAGAAACAAATAAAAAAACATCGCTTGCACTTGTTGAAGGGTCACTTAATAGCTTTTTCAAAGGATTCCATTTTGAGTTGAATTATTCCAATATTGGTTCTGTAAACACAGGAGTTACTTTGATTATAAATTCCAAGAAGGATTCTTTTAGTAATGTTATTTCTTGAATCAATTCCATCAATTTAAAATAATTAATGAATTAAAACAAATTTTTTTACTTTCCTAAATAAAACAACATAATAATTTTTTTTCAAAAATCAACTTCAACACTTTATAATAAAGTTGCATTTCTTAAATAAATTAATTATCAAAAGTATTTTAATATAGATAAAAGCTTAAGTAAAATAATAATTATTTTTTATTAAGTAATCAACAGTAAGTAAAAAATATAATAAGTAAAAAAAATATGATTATAATTAAAATAAAAAAAAATAGTTGAATAAAATTGTTTGATAATTTGATATAAAAAAAAATGAAACATACATTAAATTAAGAAATAATAGTTAATTTTGATATTAATGATAATAGTTATCACTCATTTTAATAATTGTTTCACATAAATTCATTAAAATCTGCCACAGTAATTAGAGCAACATCTTTTTCATTACTTTTTTTATTTTTATGTGATTTTTATTTTTATTTTTTTTATTTCTTATTTTTGATATGTGAAGATTAATGGATCAAAGTTTATGATGATGCAGTAGCACAAAGACCACTATACATTTTAGATCGACCTAATTTACAACTAGCTCCTACTGGTCCTGCTAAGAATGCTTATTTAGCACCTGTATATTTCTAGATAGATAAAAAAATTATATTTACTTCATCAAAATAACATACAATATATTCTGAAGAATTATCTTCAGCTTTTCCACATCCAAAAGCACTTGATCTGGCTGTAAGTAATTGTTTAGCATTTTCAGATTCTTTAAACCATTTTTCCATAACTTAATTTGTTCTCATTTATTAATTTAAGTGTCTCTTATAAAAGAGTACTCCATAATTTTAAAACTAAAAATGAAATGTTGATTTAATACCTAACCACAAGTTGATGCTTTTAGAGGACATTTTTCAACACAAGTTTAAGCCATTTTAGCATATCCATTGCTCCAATGAATAACATTCATATTAGATGCTGATTATGATCCTTCAAAACTTATTTAACCAGTTGCCACTTAATTTCTAATCTGATTAAGTGAATGAGCAAGTTAATTAGCCAATCCTGAATTGACTCCTTTATTATGTACATTGCAATATTGATTTTGTGCAGTTACGAAGAAGAGTGTCAGAAACGATAATATTATTCTCATATAATTTAATTTATGAAAATAGCTAATTTCATATCAAGGCTTCAAAAATCCATCTATTAATTTAGTTAAATCAATGCTAAATTAGCAATTGTAGTATTTACCAATGGTCAGAGAGATGAAAACTTCAAATAAAGATTTCCAGGAGCTAAATAAATCTTTTAATTTGATGAATAATAGAAGGAAAGAGAAGTGAAAATAATAGAAGACTAGAGAGAAATCATAAGTATATAATATTTAGTCATAAGAGTTTAATGATTCTAGTTATTTGGGATCATATGTTAACAAAATCTTCAAAAACCCAAAATAAACAGCAACAAGGTTTCATTTTGCTTAAGTTGAATTTTTGAATAAAGACTATTGGTACCATTTATATGAAATTATTGGTACAATGGATATAGAATGTATTAATTTGAATAATTGAAAAAAGAATCAATGATAGAAATAAGAATAAAATAAGATGTATTGAAAGAATGCTTAGAATTCTAATTGGAAAATTTAGAGTAATACAGGGGTTTATTTGTTTAAAAAATTGTTAATATAGGAATAATTAGCTAATTTTAGATAAGTCTTAAATCTTATTAGACAGAAAATGATTAAACTGAAGTATTTACATTGAATTGTTTGAATTCCAAAGAAGACAGTTTCTATTGGGGTTTAAGAAAGTTGGTAAAAAATGATTGTTAAACTTAGTTGTATAAGTCAGATGGAAAAATATATGAATAGGTAGCTTAGAGAGCGATGAATAAGAAGCCTCAAGAAATAGTTGGTGAGGTATACCCTTAACTGGAATGATAAAAATAATATAAATTATTTTAATGGGATCGATCCTCAATAAAGAAGAGGTTTCATAAAGAAAGTTATCTGAAATGCCCCAAGAACAAAAGTCATACCACTAAACTTATGAAGTTTAGGAGAACGAATAAGCTCGGATAGTGATTCAAACTTATCGGGACACTAAAATAAGTCGAAAAGTCCATAACTTAGATCCTGAAGTTAAATTAACATTTAGCAAGTAATTCCCAAAGAAACAAGATCTCTCGAATGCTCAAGGTCAAACTAGTTAAAAGGAAACATTTCAATTATCTCCTCGATCACCAGATAAGGAAAGTGAATGTGATTGGTAAGACATTTATGGAGATCATTGTTTTACATTAAGCGATGGTCATGCAGCTTAACCTTGATTATTTTAATTTTTTTTTTATTTCTTTATTTCTTTGATGTCAACAAATAGAAAACTAGAAAATGAATACAATCATTGTATTTACAAAATGATGTATACTTTATCAAAGAGATGTGTGAAAGCAATAACTGGAGGTAGAAGTTGATAAGTAAATTCTAGAATCAGTTGATCATTAGAAATTTGCTGCATTGATAGGCAAATAATTTGGAATATTAACTAAATTAGAGGAAGAGAGATTTGTTTAGATTAAATTTTCAGATTCTTTAAAAGAATTAACAGAGTTACTTGGATTATAGGGTATAAATTTAAATATTATAGAGGAAAATCATGTTATCATACACAATAATTAATAAAAATAGAAAGTTCAAATCCATTAGTAACCAAAGAGATTGGAATTAAGTCGAAAAAATTTAAATGTTGTTAAAAATGTTTCAAAATCAATTGATTAGACAAATACAAAATAAATTGGAGTTTCACGTCCAGAAACAGAACTAAAAGAATTAAAAGAGAGTAAGGATAGAGATAGTTTTAATGTAAAAGAAATGAAAGAGATAAATTAAAATATTCCCAAAAATTCATTTTTTATATAGAGAAGATCGATCTAATCAGAAAATGGAGTATAGAAAACATTAGAACAGAAAGAGAAAGAATTTTTAGAAAGATTCAAATAGAGATTAGATGATTAATGATTAATTTAGAAAACTATTTAATTAAATACATTCATACTTAACCAATTAAAATAGTGTCTTCAGAGTATTCTTAATCATCTTCAGTTTATTCATCATAAAGCATTCCTAACATCTTTCTTTTTCTAATGATTTATCTTTCGATAGGTTAGTTTTTGATTTTGAATTCCATTAATTAATCATACATATCATAACTACAATCAATATCTTCAGAAAGCCACTATAAAAATTTAATGTAAAATATTACTAATATGTTATCATTACTAACTATGTTCAATTTGAATTTCATTTTTTGATCATATACTCTTAAACTTTTAAACTCCTTCCAAATATTTGTTAATTTAACAGTATCATCACAAACATAAATTGGATCACCTTAAAACATACATTCTGTGTAGACCTTAGGACACATTCTATAGGTAGGCTCATAAAGTTTTGCAACCTTCACAGTTAATTCAATTTATTTAGGGAAAAAGGATTTGTCATTCAACATTTGTATTTAAAGATTATTACCGAACAATTAGAAAGATTCCATTCCCATAATTAATGTATCATCTAGATATGTTCCCTTTTAAACCAGGGCTTTTAATAAACTAATTAAATGTACTTGCTACTTCAGTATCATTAAGTGTTGTTGAACTCATGTCTTAAGCTAGAATATAGCATACATACACATATTAGAAAGTAGATTCAACTTATATTGTCAGATTTTAATTATCAAAAGAAGAATATAATTTTAGCATTGGTTTCTTACCACCATATTTAAAGAAACCAGCAAACCCAGCTATGAAAACTGAATGTTACATAGGAGAAGTATAAATTTGTTCTAAAGTCACTTAAGCTCTCTCTTATAATGGGAAACATCCTGAATCATAAGTATCTCCTCCAAATGCATACCAAGTATAAAGCACAGACTTTGTGCAACTTTTCGAGCAAACTATTTGGAGTGTGAATCCTAATTAAATTTTCACTTTCTATTACCTGTTGTATTGACTTTAATAAGCTCAACATGAATATCTAATGCAAAATCAGAGAACTGCATTTCATTTGTGTAATTACTCAAAACGAAGATAACTTATGGAACATAAGCTTTGTAAACATTTAAGAATCTGATATGTGTAATTGTGTCTTTTTCGCAAGCTAAACCTCCAGCTCCAATTAGTAACTAACCATTTTCTAGAATTGGATATCCATATACTAGAATGATTAATTGAAGTAGCAAAACGTACATTTATAAATTAATAAATATTAGAATATAAATATTAAGACTCCCGTACTATTTATAAATATTATATAATATTTTATTTTTCATATGCTAGCAGGCAAAGAAGAAAAACCACCTCGACTTACACGAGTAATCTCACCTTCAACCTTAGTCAAATCGCGGTAATCTTGAGAGCGAATAATTGCCAGATTATTTAAGAAGCACCTTCTCTGAAGCTTTCAAAATGCAAGAGCCCCCAAAACTATAAAAAGGAAAGAAAATCTTACCTCAATATGCTTTTGGTAATTCTCTCGAATCACCTTCTTTTTTCCGTAATTCTAACACTTTGATTTGCAGAGAAAGTTATGATAATCCATTCTTAAAACTAAAAGCTAAACCTCAAAGTAAATGGGAAACCTTACGTAGCAGTACTCTCAATAATTTTGAATTTTACAATGTTTCTGAATAAAAATTTGCAAATCTTCCAAATAAAGGATATAAAAATGTCAAAATAGTTAAGTACTATCTTTATTAATCATTATAGTAATGTAACTAATCAAGTACATTATGTTTAGACTCCTTAGATTAAAGGTGAAGAAACTACATTTCATCTTGCCTATCGAACTCTTTAAAAAACAGGCTTTTTTGGTAGAAAGAATGGTAAATATCATATCTTAATTCCTGATTAGAATTATTCACAAATTTTATTGAAAAGAATGATAATCAAAATGTTTATGGACATCTCAATGATAGATAAAGACCTAAAGGTCGTTTGAGAGATGTTAAAAATTTCAGTTTTACTCCTTAAGAATTTTAAATTCATAAAAAAAGATCTAGTCAATATCTCAACTCTAATCTTAACAAAGGTTTGTAAAAATCAGATATGACAGTTGTAAACTAAAATTAATTTAAAAAAGATTAATAAGTTGAAAAGTACTACTCCAGAGATTAAAGGTATTATCTTCACTAACTTTAGTTATCTCAATTCACTTAATAATTCCATTATTATAACTCAAATAGATAAGTAATTAAAAGGAAAAAAAAATGATAAATATAAGTATTTTATTTTCTATATCCATAAGTGCTGATTTTAAATTATTGGATTATAGAGAAAATGAAATAGCTTTGATTGACAAATTTGTAGAGCAATTGGAATTTGAAAAATTATATGGAAATTGATTAATTTAATTAAGCATGAAATCTACAATTCTCCCTGAATCTATTCATAAACAATATTTTGCCAATCATATTAACTCCCTCAAGTCTATTAAGGCAAGGAAAAATAAAGTTGAAGAAAATTCTTTAGGTGTAATTCGTTAACGTAAAAATTTTTATATCCTTAAGTTTCTATGATTAAAAAGATAAAAACTCAAGTTTAAGCTTTCGAATCGCAAGAAGAACAAAAAAGCATTGCATATAGTAACCAAAAGATACACTAAGCTATTATGAGAATTAGTAATCAAAAGCCTTCATTTCCTAAATTGCCACTATTAAATAAAGAAAAAACAGAAGTTTTTGATTAAATTGAGAGAGAGAATAAAAGACTCAAAAAAAGCATCGAAAACCTTTAGAATAGTCTTACTTATAGAACTAATCATTAGAAAATTAAAAAATCCTATCAACAAATACTGAACTAGTATTGTTAATCAAGATTGTAGTAATAAAATGAATAATTATAATAATGATTCCTAAATTGTTAATTCTTCTATTGGACCATTAGCAGTGCGAAAAAGTACTCTCAATTTCACTTTCACAAGAGAATATGATTTACCATCTGAATCATTTGAAAAAGCAGTAGAGATTTTATCAAAAAATTTATAATTGAGTGAATAAGCAGCAAGATTCTATATGTAAGATATTCTCAGGGAATTCAGGTAAATTAATAAAATTATAATTTCAGTTATTTTAAGGCATTAGAATCTTAAGGGGAATATTTTGATTACATTGAATAAACTATTTCTAGCATGGAATACAAATAAGTTAAGAAAGGAAATATAGTTTTTCATTGTGGAGAAAGAGGAGATTATTTTTATCTCATTCTAAGAGGAACTGGAATAGTATATGCCCCAAAGAAGTAATTTAGATTCTTTGATATTTTAGAGAGAATGAGCTTTCTCAATAAAAAACAATTTTATTAAAAATAGAAAAATGCAAGGAAGATCTAGCGTATACAAAAAAGAGAGATGAAATAAAATAATTATAAAAACAATTATAAGATCTATAAACTTAATTGTAAGAATATTAAAATCCAGAAGACATTTTACTGTTCCCTTTTAAAAATAGATATTATTAGAAACTATAAAATGGACATATGATATGTCTCTATAAGAAAGTAAATGTAATGAGAGAAGGAGAATGTTTTGGAGAAGTATCTCTATTTAGAAATGAACCTAGAGCAGCAACTTTGATAGCTTCAGAAAATTTACATCTTGGGGCTCTTAATAAATCTAATTATTTGAGAATATTTGAGAGTAAATTAGAAAAATTAAATTTTACTCTTGGTATGTTGAGTAAATTGTTTCCCTAATCATCAAAAGAAAATGTAATTTAATTAAGTTTTGATTTTCAAAAAAAAATATTCTCAATTAATTAAACTATTTTTAAATAAGGTGATATTGTAGATGGTTTATATCTTATTTTTTCAGGGATTGTTGAAATTATTTGTGATAATGTTCGTGTTAATTAATTTTCTGAAGGATAATTTGTAGGATTATTCGATCTTTAAAATCCAAATTTAAGAACATATACTGCAATTTCTGGTTCATATGAAACAATCATATTTTTTTTACCAAGAAAGAATTGCAATGGTTTAGATAAATTTATGAGAGAAAGAATGAATGATTTAAGAATTAGTAGTGAAACTTATAGATAGGAATGGGTTAAGAAATGTCATTATATGATTGCCTAATAAAAAAAAGAATCAAATAGAGTTGTATTAAAAGGTGTAAACCCTAAAGATATTCTTTAACAATGTATACTTCTTAATAGAACAAAAACTAATTATAGCACAATCTCAAATGATAGGATCAATGAAATAGTTGAGTATAATAATGTATAATGTTCACTAAAAGAGAAATTGCATAATGTTAAATTATGCTTATAAATGAGAGATTTTGATAAGGAAAAGGAGTTGGTTAAAAAAATGATGAGATAATAAAATTCATTGCTTCCTCGTTTAAGAGATAGACCCAGAAATTTTCTAGAGACTTATACAGTATTAATGTCATAAGTTTCAAAAGCATCTCCTTAGACAATTTATGAATCATAAAATAATAGTGAACATTTACCAAGAAACATTCATGTTGAAAGACTTAAATATTAACTATAGAAGAAAAAGAGTGAATTTATTGTTAATAAAATCATAGGAATATGAATATAGTAAAATATCACTTAAGATATTTATCAAATATTTCAATTTAATGTTTTTATAATCATATTTATTCTAGGCTAAAGATTCAGTCAAATTTTTTTAGTAATATAATTTTAACAATATCTTGGAAGGAGAGTAATAAGATCCTTTAATCTAATGATATTTTAAATAAGACTCAATTTGCTTTTTTCAGATTGAATATTATTAGAAAAAGTTTTCTTCAAAATTGAATAGTTCATTAATTAATAACAAAAACTCAAGTTTTATTTCATGTTTTATTTTTAGAAAAAAAAATCTAGATTTTCCTTTTGTGGTATTCATGATTATGCATGATTGCCATAGCTTACATGGCTGAATCTTAGTCTTAATAACGGATTAGACATTTATTTTTGTTTTTTTCTTCACAAAATATTCTAAAAAATAAAATAATTTTATTTACTTAATTTTTTCAATTTATCCAAATTTAGAAAAAGTATCATAAATAATTCCTTCTTCGCAAAATTCTTTTTTCAAATTTGTCAACATGATTTATTATGAAGGAGAGACCAAATATTTGAAATTATTATCTTTATATCTAAAAGATGCTTCATTTCCTAAATAAAACTCTTCCTCATCAGTATTTTTAGGTAATTAGCCTTCCTCACAATTTCTAAAGAAAATAAATTCATAATTAGAAGGATACACCTATATGGTTTAAATAATAAAATTACTTTTAATTTTTAACCAAAAAGAGTAGGATTGCCTTCATTAAAATTGGTTAATAAGAATTTAACACTGACTTCTGTAGAATATTCAATTAAGACATTGCATTTTGTTTTAAAGTAAATCATTTTCTAAATATTTCCAAATGTACTAAAGATATTATAAATCATGGTCATAGATGTTTATTTAGGATCAAACCAATTAGCATAGAGAACTTTAGTAATTAGTTTTTCTAGATAGAAATGATTGTAATTACTTTAAGGAAGTATTTCAGATTAAAATATTTATTTTTCTACTTATACATTATTTGGTAATTGTTATGATGTAGAAATACGTTATCCTGGTGAGAACTGAAAAAGTTAAGTTAAATTGTCACCCATACACTTAACAAATTGATTAGACCTTTTTAGGAAATAATTCACAAAAATTTTTACAATTCTTCTTATTTATCTTCAGTTGCTTCTTCTTAAGAATCATAATCAGATGCTCCATCAGCTTTATCGAAATTCAAAGCTTCAGCAAATTAAGTAGGTATAGGTGGCATCCCAGTTTAAGGTGGTAACATTTAAGAATGAGGAAGCCATTGGTTGATAGGATCAGTCTTTGGTAATTCTGTTGAATGTACTATACCCTAAATTTGTTAGGCAGTGTAATCTCTTAATAAGAATAATCAATATACATCTAGCATATTAATTACGAGCTTAAAAGTCAAGACCTTTACGATTAGACTCATAAACTAATATAGATAGTCCATGCATTATTGTATTATTTAATTGAAGAGCGTTTAAAGCAGATCGGACACTCTCAAACTAAACCAAAGCTTTCCAAATCGGCTTATTTCTCTCAAATATAAGTATCTATGAATTTTATCATCCAATACTTTTTCAATCGTTCCAAACTGTATAAAATTTTGATAAACATGGGTCACTGTTATATTAATGAAATCGGGATTTTGTATACAGATTAATACAACAGAAGAATTGGCCATTTTAAATAACTAAATATTTTATAAGATTATTTTCTTTTTAAGGTCAATATAAATAAACATCTCTTAATATTATTATATGACATTTAGGCTTTGATATAACTCTATGTTTTATATATCTTTCATTAAATATTGTTTATTAATATTTATATTTTTATTTATTCATTATTATTATGCCCCCTAAAGCCAAAAAGATAGATCCAGAATTACAAGCTGTATTTAATTATTAGTTGAATATTTTAGAAACAATTTGAACAATGGAAAGAAAGTGATGAATACAGAATTTGGTCAGAATTGTAAATCATATATAAATCCATGGAAAATAATATATCTGAAACTTCCAAAGATTTGACAGGCAATTGGCAAGTAAACACTTCTTAATAAAAATTCCTTTCATTTAGGTTTATCATGATAAATTACTTGAAGTTTGTTAGACATTCAAATGCAAATCTAAGATTAAATAGATAGAACATTGTCATATGAGAAGTGCATTCTTTGCAGTTGAAGATGTTGAAATCAATAAAACAGTAGTGAAATAATATCTAGATGGATTTTATTATTCAGTTGAGAAATAGGATAAAGACAGAGCTAAACATGTTAAAGAATTATTTGCTAAAATTGCTAGAAGTATATGAATGTTTAATAATGAAAGCATTGGAGGATCATAAATTTTTTGACATTAATGCAGAAAATTATATAGCAGAGAGAAAAGCATTTGTTGGACTTTTAAATGATTTTTTGAAAAAATTACCTATTCTAATTAAATCAAGTCATAAAGTAATTGAAGAAAAGCTAATGCTCGTTTTGGGGCCTTTAAGAGCATTGCTAGAAATAAATAAAAAAATGATGTTCTTTGATCTTGTTAATACATCAAATTAAGCAAGATAAACAAAGGACTTTATTTTAAAGGTTGTATAATATAATACTATTAATTTATAGGCTGATATTGAACAATATTGTATATGCCTATAAGAAGCATAAAGATTATTATTAGAGTCAAAAGCTATATCATGTAATCCAAATGTTAAGTTAATCTTTAATAAATTGGGATATGAAGGTTGGTAATAAAATAAGATTGAGGCTTTCTATTTAACACCTTTGTAAGAAGCTTTTGATAAAATGAGAAATAATTTACTTTGTTTGATGTTGAAAGGAATTAATTACTATAAGGCACCTTTGATGGATAATACTGTAATAAATAAATAAAATCTTATTAGTAATTTGTTGAGGATGTAAAGGAATTAATAGATGCTGAATTAATAGCTGAACATCTTATGGGAACATCTTTAAAAAGAGATTAACTTAATTTTACTTTTAATGTATTAAGTGTGATATTTAATTCAAATCCTCAAGCAAAAGAATTTCTTATTAAGAGAGATGATAATTGTGTTAAAGGAAGTATTCCAAAATTAATTACTTATCATACTATTTTATATATGAGATCATGGAAAGATAGAAAAATAGCAGATGAATTGAAGGAATAAAAATAATAATAAAAAACATAAACTTTAGCATAATCAAATTTATTTGAAGCTTAATCAGCAATGTCAGCTATGTCACCAGATAAAAAGAGATAAGCTGATGATGATTTAAGGAAGAAAGAAGAAGAAAATATGAAAATTTAAGATAAAATAGATTTTGAAAAATATGGTCGATTTTGGATGTGGGAATATTATGCTTAAGATTAAATGAAAGCTAATTTTGAAGAGTGTGTAGAATTAATTAGACATATCAATAAGGCTGTATAATAAGATATAGAAGATGTTATAATTAAAGAGGGAATGGTTCCAAAGTATTTTAAAATATTAATCTTAGAAATCGTTCACGTTAAATACAATAGAATGATCCAAGTCAAATGTTTAATAAACTATAAGAAAAAGACAATTCAAACATTTATGTGATTCAAAGAAGACCACCAGAATTATGGAATTATCCAAAAATCGTAGAAGAATAACATGAATTTAGAGCTATTGCTAAACCTAGAGATTGTTATAAAGATGGCAGAATTTAGGTCTTAGAAAGTAAAATGGAATAATTGAGTGCTCATTTAGAAAATAACAAACCTCAAAGTTGGAATGAATTAATTCATAGAGTTATCGATGCATTAAGCAATTAATACAATAAGAAACCTAGTGCAATTGAACCAGGAAAATGATTTAATTTAAACTCATTATATAGAAAAGAAATCAGATAGAAATCTTTATATATTATTAATTAATAATATCTCTTAGGTTCCTTTATCTTCTAGAATATATCTTTCATTATTTACGAATATTGAATCATTTTATAGACTCAAAATGTTTTTAAATCATATTATAGGTTTAATCTAAATTGAGTAAATTACATGAGAAAACTATAAAGAATGATTTGTTATAAAATTTTTATTATTTTTAGATAATCTTTTTATATAAATATTAGCATATAATAGATAATAGATTTTTGATCATCATACATAGTCATAAAAATGTTGAAGCAGGTCTAATAATTCAATTTCTCCATTTAAACATTTCAATATAATGACTCTAGCTCTCTCTTATAAAGCCTCTGAATCAGGAGGTAATAGAAATTCTACATTTGTAGACTAATGTGGATTTATGTTTTAAAAGGCTTCCAAACTTAAAGTTGTAGAATGACTAATAATTATATCATATTTTACTGTGATTGTTAAAATCGAAATTCACAACCAAAAAATAAATAAAGTAAAATGCATCCTATTGAATAAATGTCTGTCTTTTCAGTAAATAAAGGCATTTCTTCTTCTATTACTTATTTAGCCATATAATTTATATCTAAGTATTCTTTATCAAACACTAAATCAAAATCAATAAGAACAGGAACATGAGTATCTCCATCAATAAGTATATTGTTAGGATGTAAATTACAAAAGATTATTTCATGCTAATGTAGATAATAAACAGCATCAATTATTTATACTGCCAAATACCATTTCTCTTTTGTTGATATCTTATTTCTTTGAAGAAAGGTTCTTAAATTATAATCATATTTATATGTTAAGATCCTGACTTATCCACTTAAATCTTATTCTTAAAAATCTTCTATATTATACCCAATTATCGTCCTGATGTTTTAATGTTCCAAATTTATAAACTTTTTTATTAATTTAAAATATTAATTTATCTGATCATAGTTCATATAAGCTAACGTTTTAATTTAAATTAATTATCCTTAATATTTCCCTATGCTTAATTAACCATCTCGGTTGCTTTTACTAATAAATTTAATCTCAGAGATATCTTCTGATTAAATCAGATTTAATTTTGTATATCTAATTTTATTCTCTAAATCAACAAATCGTGATTTCTGCAATTATTATTATTCTTCTTCTTGTGGTAGAATTTAAGGTCCTTGAATAGTTCTATCAAAATTTAACCTTTTAATACCACTATTCACATAGATACTTTATGTTTATTTAATAGCATCTATGATTCTTTTTTCTGGTGATTGATTCACAAATGATCTTCTAAGTTCTATTTGACTTTAATGAATTGCTTAAAAGTTGCTTCTAGAGAGATCTAATTATTATATTTTTTTTTAATCAAAAATAGTTTAAATCTGTTTGTTTTTAAATGTAATTTTATCTCTTTGTTTATCTAATCTACGACGTATTAAATAAAATTAAAATGTTCTAACCTATTTAAAACTGATGGAATTTCGATCATAAAATTGTTAACATTCATCAAATAAATTTTAATCAAGCAATTTAGTATAGCCGTCATGATTTTAATGATGTAATTCTAATTTAGCCTTATAGAACATATAAACAAATAAAATAAAAGGATTTTCTGGCCATGGATTTTTTAATATTTCTTTAGCTTTACATAATAAACAATTAGTTGACTTATCTTTTTATCGTTTGCCTAATAAATAAAGACTAATCACTGAATTTTATTATTCTATAAATTTGATTTCTTCTTCTTTTAATTCATGTTCCTTTAATACTTTGGCTCTTTTTTATAAAATTAAGATTTTATGTATTACAGGTTGAATTCCTCTTGTATAGAGTTGTTCAATGACTAAAGGATAAGGTTCTGGTCTATGAAGAAAACTTAACTCAAAAACAATCTAACGAATAGAGTTTAAATGAGAATTATCAATCATCCCATAAAGGGATATATTATATAAACACTATCTTGATATCAATTTTATATAAATACCTGATTTAAAAATGGTTCTGGATTGACTAATTGACATTATTTAAAAACAATATCAGGACATTTATCAGGATTCTTAGTTTATTAAGTAAATTATTTAATTAGGATAGGATAAGCATGAATTTTTGCACCCATTTATTCATAGTTCATTAAAAGCTAATCAAAATGTTATTGTGATTCATTTTCTCTATAAAGAAAAAGAGCCATAAGAAAATGGCTTAATTAATTTAAAGGAATTTCCGGAGTTGGTGCTAATTCTTATAATGCTTCGTTGTATTTATCGAATTCAACTTTTTTAAGAGAATGTTTAATTTCATATATTAGATCAATAAGTAAGTAATAGATAGATTTGCAACTAAAATGTTATATTTAGAATATTTACAAGGAAGCTAATATTTTATTCTTATTTTTAGTATAATATTGCTCTAATTAATAAGCACATAATGGATCTGCAAAGAACTTGAGTCCATGTAAATAGTGAGGGATAGCTTAATTGATATTAGGTTGAACTTGAAATCCAATCTCTAAACAATAACCTTGAAGAAAGCATCTATATAAAATTGAAACATCTTATATACATTAGTCCAGTTTAATGGTTTAATTGTTTTTATTTATCTGAGAGAGTGAGATTGTCAGTAATTTAAGTTTTTAGTAACGAACTTACAAATTCTTTGATTTATGGTTCCATACTAAATAAAATTTATTTATTATTGAATTAATTAAATCAAACTTTCTTTTTAGGTTTTTCTCCTTTCTTAGGTTTTAAGATGGAAGTGAGTTTTTCTTCATTAACTTTTTATTCAATGACTAATTCTTTTAATGTTGAAGCAGGATCTTTACTAGCCATTACTTATTAAAAATTAGATTGAATGTTTTAACTATATTTCTTTAAATCATATCCAATAACAGATAATTTATTTTTAAGAAGATGTGAAGATGAATCTACTCCATTATCCATATCTAGAATCTCTCTATAAACTTTTAATGCATATTCTCTTTCTTTTTTTACATTTTGATCAATAAGTTTTTAAAATTGAAACATGTCTTCATCTATCATTTTTTTCTTTCTTAATAAAATTTCAGAATCAAACAAAACTTTTCTATCTAAATCTATATATTCCATTTTCTCAACAGAAACAAATATTTTCTTATGGAAACTAAATTTGCCTTCAGTTATTTAGATTCCTCCAAAAACATCTGCATAATGAATCATTTTATAAACCATATACCTACAATATTATTCTTATGATAATGAATTTTCATAAGCTTCTTCTCTCACCATAGGAACAAAATCAGAGGATGCTCTTGCTATTTCTCCATTTAATATTAAAATCTCAATTCTTGCTTAATCAAATTCTGGATATTTGGAATCAAATGAGTGTTTGAATTCATAATGTTGTAATTCATAATTCTTATTTGAATTAAAATTTTGAATATATAAGATTTATGACCAGATTGGATCTATTTTTCTTTTCATCATCAAAATAGTAAACTCCATTTCTGTCATCACTTGCATATTGTCTACTTAAATTCATTTGTACTATCAATATATCTAATTATAACTGCTAAAGAATCAGGAGGTCTTCTCTCATTCATAAACTATTTTGTTTATTAAAATGTTGGCTTTTAGATGAATTTTATGAAACCTTCACTCTCATCAAAATATGCTATAAATTTGATCTCTCCCTCATTACAAACACATGTTTCTGGTATCTTTATTCTAACACTTCTAGTTAACTTATTTGGAGCCTACATCTTACGCAATAACAATCCTAAATCTTTATCTTAAATTTATTATATTGTTTTCTAAACAGCTACCTTTTTTGGTTATATCTCCTCTCCATATTTCACTGCATATTCACAAGGATCACAATCACAAGAAAAATGATCTCTTGCATTTTATGGAAAGTTTAACATAATTTTTATTATTAATAAATTATTCTCATTTTTTTAATTACATAACTCAATCATTTCATTCTAAAAACTTTTATTAATTTTCATCCTTCTATTCAATCTCTGTTTTGTTCTATTACTCTATTCGGTTTCATTAATTATTATTTAATCTGAATTTTAAAATATTATAATCAATACTAATTACAATTCTTACAGATTTTATTATTCTCTAAAACATCTATTTTAGAACAAAAATAAATTACAATCCAATTATAAAAACAATATATATAAGTAAATAATATATCCTATTTTATAAATAATTACTAAAAATCACTATTTAAGATATTCTTTAAATTTCAGTGAATTGTTATTATTAATATTAAAATATGCCTGCTTAAAAAATAATTATACGATCATCTAGTTCCAATAAAAATTCTAATTCATCCAAAGGATTTAATTAAACATAATCAAAAGTATTTTTTTTATTTATTGAAAGGTCTTTGAAAAATTGATAAGTCATCAAAAGAATCGATATAGTCAAGATGATGACAAAAATCAATAATATTTTGATCATCTTGGAGGTAAACAATAATTTTAGTTTAATAGGACAATGTTTGTGTACTTTATGTAATTGTGGAAAACATCATTGTAATGGAAAGAATTGTGTAAACAAACCAAATCTTCATCTTAATAAAACTATTTATTAATAAGAATTCGTATAAAAAATGCCTGATAGATGTTCACTATACAATTAAAACTTATACTTAAACCCTAAACAAGAAGGTGAAATAAAAAGAGTTTCAACTTATAAAGTATGTTGATAATCATCAAAATAGCATGATTATCCAGGATATTTGTCTAATGTCCAAATATAAAAAGGTCCTAAACAAAACAATACAAATTATGGTTCATTTTCAGGATTGTCTACATACAATAATATGTTTAAAAATTGGGGAATTGGAAATACTCCATAATTGATGCCCCAAAACAATCCCACCATTATTAAAAATCTTCCCTTTTCTGGTAGAAGCAATTATAGAGATTAATTTTAAGAATTTATTGTTGAACCTGTTAAAAGTACAAAAGGACTTTATCAACATAAGTAATTATAAGTATTTAATCATTAGATCACCTTTATCCCCACCTGATATTAAATTCACTGCTACATCAATAGCCAAATCTTCATACGTTCCACTTGAGTCCGAAAGAGCTTAGTAAATTTAAAACTAAAAACTACCTTAATTACCTCTTAATCCATCTTACAAAGGATAATATAATACTATGTATTACAGAGAATTTGATTCTAAATTTCCCAGGCCTTGTCCTGCTAAAGAAGTACTTGATGAAGTTGAAAAATAATTTTGATTTTTACAGTATTATTATAAAATATATATTTACAATGTTCAAGACATCTAATCATTTACCTGAAATAGACAAGAACAGTTTTAGAGACTAAAAATAAATACAAGAGTTGAAAAAGAAATTAGATGAATAAAAGGAAACCTTAAAAGAACTTGTTTATTTAGTTAAAGAATCCAAAACAGAATCTTATAAACCCAAATTAAATAATCAGTTCAGATTAACTAATTAAAATTAAATTACTTTAGAACTTTTAGAAGAAGTGAAAACTCTAAGGAGATAAATAAATAATATTGAATCTGGGCCAAAAAGTAATCAAATTTAAAATCCCATTATAATACCTCAATATCTACCTACTCCTCAATAACCTTAAATATAGTCAATGATGCCTCCTTATATGTATATGAATCCTTATTTTAACATGCCTTAAAATTTGATGTACTAGCAATCTAAGAATCAAGCACCAAAAAAGAAGGTTGATCCTTACAAAAAGTTAGTTCTAAAGATATTATAAAACGGAGAGAGAGAGAATTATCATAGAAGAGACTCTACTTATAGTGATTATTCAGATGATTATAAAGATAGGCCTAATTCTAAACAGAATAGACATCATTCACATTCACAGAGGAATAGACGTAAAGATTAAGGTCGTGATTTGTCATATTAAAATAAAACAAGTAAAGGATCTCTACATGATAGTTATGTGAGCAAATTAACTAGATCTTCTGTGAAAATTAAAAAAAATAAACCTAAGTAATTTACAGATCAAGAAAAATTAAATTTGAGAAGAAAATTATGTGGAGTTTTTTGGTTCATTAGAATTGGGTTGGTTTTAAAAAAATACTTAAGACAAGTTTGGTTGAATCGAAGACAATAATATTACGAAAATGAGGCTTAATAGTTAATAGACAAATTTGATCATGAATTTGTAATTGAATAATTAGATTTAGATAGAACCATAAAGAAGTTTTCATATTGTTTGTTGTTGAATGTAATAAGAATAGATATTTTACTAAAAACTGGAATATCTTTGACAATAAAGACGTTGAATTAAAATCCAAAATAGTTTTTTAAATTCTTACAATTTTGTTGAAAAAGTTGTCCTTTTTAACAAAAAACTCCTTAAGTGATGAACATAAATAATTTATAAAGAAAATTTCATCATAAGGAGGATTCTTATTGCCTGGACATCCAAAGTTTGTAAGTGATCGAGTATATTTAAGGCCAAATGTTACAATAGGGTAAAATTTAAATGTATTTAGAGATAAATAAATGCTGAAGTAAGCAAAATGATTTAAATGGATTATATTTATATCTAAGTAATAGTGCAAAGAGTTCTATTAATTCATGAATGGTATTCATAATTCATAAAGATCCCTAACCATAAAGAGGCTATAAAAATATTAGTGTCAGTGTTACATTAATTATTTATTGATTAATTTAGCAATCTTAAAGTGTATGAGAATAGTGATGCTATTTATAATGTAATTTTAATTATTACTCCAAAAAGAAATAGCAAGTTGTTTTTTGTGATTTTACATAGTTCAATTATGTCGATGTTGCAATTACGATAGATGATAAACATTAGAGATATGAAATGACAACTAATTGTTGTATTCTTGGTTTGGCTACTAAGGAATAAATGCAATAATTATATGATTAACCAGGCTATAAAGAAATATAATCAATGTTTAAAGATTATTGTGATTATTTTTATTCATAAATTAACTTTTGAGTATTTTATAAGAATATCAGATAGTTCTTATTTTTACTTAATCATAAAAATAAAAATAAACATATAAGATGAGAGTTTAGATTAAAAAGGTACTGATAGATATTACCAAACAAGAAGTCGAATTTTCTAATTATAGTTTGTGTAATAAAATAAATAATTAATTTTAAATGAAGTGATCTATAAATTATTTTTAGGAGCTTAGGTTTCAAATATAATGTTTCAATTTTCATTATCTCCAATAACAAAAGAAATTTCAGTTATAAATGGAGTTTCTTAGACGTAATATATATGAGAAAGAAGATAGATGACTCTAGTTTGTTGAGTGTAAGTTTTACGATATTTTCAGCATTCATGATCATTTCTGGAAATATTTTAAGCGAAAAATACGGAATATAATTTAATAAATAATTAGGTATATATATTATATGAAAATATGTAGGTTTGTAGAATAAGATGCATTTAATGATTACTCTCAAGGTAGAACTTATGTTTTTTAACTGATGGCATTTTTTGCAGGAATAATTTTAATAACAACTGTTCCTTTATTTTTCTTTAAGGCAAAATCAAAGCATCCTCCATTACAAAGTGCATCTGAAGTAAAAAATAAATTTCAAATTTTGGTAATGTGTTAGGGAAAATTATATAAATATGTTGTAAAACCTTTTGGATACAATTTAGAATAAATTTCTAATGTTCTTTTAGGAGGAGTAATTGCAGAATTACTGGGAGATATTTTGTTGGTTCTTTTGTAAAATTAAAAGGAAAATATAAAATAGTATTATAAATTTTTAATGCATCCACAACTTTTTTTATGCTTTCCTTATTTTAAATCTTGCTGTTAAAGCTCATTGGTTATTTTATATTAGTTATTTCTTTGTTTGTCTATTTTCTAGTATTTTGGCATTGAAATTTTAATTTTCATGTGAAATTAGTTTTTCTGTAATTGAAACTTCTACTATAGCATTTTTAGATTATTTGGAAATGGATTTAACTTTATATGAGGTATTCCTGAAATTCTTATATTTAAAGTAAATATTAATTTAAATTTAGATTGGTAATGAAAGCAGTTCCATAATTACTTTACAAATAATGTTTGGAATTGGATTATTTGGTAATTATTTTGTTACTTTATTAATGGAAGAGACAATCATTGAATAATCTTCATGATACAAAATAAAATTTTCATATGATACTGATTGATTTTATTTTTACATTAAATATCAATAATTTTGGATCAAAATTATAGATTATTATTATTCAGTAATTTATATTTCATTCAATTTTCAACTTAATGAGAAGGTAAAATTACCAATGTTTTCTTTATAAAGTTTTCGTTTTGCATATATAAATGTATCATCTTTTATATTGATGAAGCATTTTATGATTTAAATTGTTCTTCTTAGTCTTTTTGTCATTATTATCTTTCTTTTTATAAGAGGTTCAAGGATTTTTATTCTTTTGCACTCCAAATTCAATCTACCAATTCCTTTCAAATCATCACAGTATGTTTAAATTCTTTTTTTTTACTATTTTTTATCTCTAATTTTAAGGACTGTTGATATTCTAGAAACTCCAATTCAAGTAGTAAGTTTTCTATTGGACTTAAAAATTTTATATTTTTTCATCAAAGGTTACCCATTTATAATTAATTTCATTAAATAATGAATAATTATTAGTCCTTGTAAATTATATTATTCATATTAATAGTTCCAATCCTACATTTGAACCAATACAAACACCTGTAACAACGTATCTTTAAACTCTTATTTTAGAAAATATGATGTAGTCTTTTCATCTTAAATACAAAATACTATTCCAAATGAAAACATTGATTAATTTAAATAAGACTCAAATCAAAACAATGCTCTTAGAAAGAGTGCTTAATTTGGTAATTAAATGAGATATACTGCTGATGGAAGTTCATTAAATGAAAAGGAATTGAGAAATATTGTTAAACATAAACGATATGTTGCTTGTCAAATATTTTGAATCCAATTATAAAAAGATTAAAATACATATAATCTTAATTGATAGAGTAAATTTAGTTCTAATTTTTCGAATTCTTATAATTGCAATTGTCAAATTATATTGAAAATTTAAAAAATAGAAATTAATTTTATTCTAACATTCTTATTTGCAACTTTTTTAGAAACATAATACAATTAGGATTGTTTTATTGATAATATAAATATACTTATTTAACTCATGTAATAAATGTTATTACAATAATTTGATCAAAATAATGTAAAATACATATCAATACATAATTAGTGCAACTTAATTCAATGTTTGGTTAAACTTTTATAATAAGCTTGTTTTAAGATTGACCACTAATCATAATCATTTACAATTTTGTCTACATCAAAATCATCGAATTCTGATTATGATAAACTTAATTCTTTTAATTAATGTTAAAACCCATCTGGTAATGTCTCGAATTCCATACTATCGATTGAATATAATTCTACAACTGGAGTTAAAGCTATTAAACTAACCAAAGCTAATTTATTCTTTTTGTATCTATTTGTAGCTATTATTTCTTATGGAGTTAATAGACTTGATCCTCCAAAAAATTCTCCAATTTCTAAATTTTTAATATCAATATGAATGTTCATCTCCATTAAAGGATGATTGTTTTTATTCTTTCTTAAAATTTTACCACAGTGATCAATATTTTTAGTTGTCTTTACAATTTAAGTTTCTTCTGAAAAATCAAACAAATCTGTTTAAGTTGTTTATGTCAAATAATTATATAATTCTCTTTATTTTCTAGTACAAATTGTTACTTTTACTCTACCAGATTTTATAAAATAACAATGTTTGATTTCTTATTAAGCTGATATAATTAAATCTCCAAATTAATATTAATGATAATGTAATATTGCTGCCAAAGGTCTTAAATCTTTATTACATCCTAAAATCTTTATTCTTTATAAAAGTTCAATCTTTTCTCTCATTTCCTCATCTATTGCATATGTTAATACATTATCATATATTTCTCTACTGATTTCAATTAATACAGATTTCTCTTATGCATATATTTCACTCTTTACATATTGTTATAAATTTGCCTCTGATATATTATTGATTTATTTTATATCATCTATTTTTTTTTCAATTAATAAATTGTCAACATTTATATGGTATCCATCATATATTGATCGGATAACCATTTTACCTAAAACTTCTTAATTTTTGTTGAATGAAGTCATTACAACCTTGCATGATCCCTAAACTATTGCAAATACTTTATCACAATTTATTTCATTAGATAATACAAGTTCGTCAGGCTAATACTCTCTTAATTAACATTATTGAATAATAAGTTTTCTTATGATTTCATTAAATCTAGCAAAAAATTTATTCTTTTAAAAAATAGGTTCTAATTTTTAAATATCTCTATATGTTGGCTATTTAGATAATTCTCTTTTTAATATAGTTATTTCATCAGTATTTATTCTATTTATAATTGGTCTTTAATTATTCTTCATTACAATACCTTTACTAAATTTAACTCTACTATATTTACGAGTGTCACTTTATTAAGATATATTTTTGGATTTGACTGCTTACATTTCAAAGAAAGTTTCAAATAGGGATTCCCATCTTTTATCCCATTCTTAATGTAAACTTGGATATCCCAAACATTCTTATTCAAGAATAGGTTCCTTAATTATTGGTTGAAGTTAAAAAGATTCTTCATAAATTGAATCTAATTTCTTTTTTGATATTGGAGAAGATACACTTTCTTCAAAAGATGATCTATGTAATATTTTTCTCCCTGTCACAGATTGTCTTTTAATTATATATGCCATTTTTAAATCAAATGGAATTTCATTATGCTATGTTTGTTATCTTCTTTGTTATTAAATTTAATTTGTGTATTCTATAGTCCTTTTTGCTTTTAAATATTGTTAATGTGTTTATGGTAAGAATTATTCTCTATTCCTTTTTTTAGATGGTTCAAATTAGCTTACTTCTGGATAATTATGTTCAGTATTAGCTCTCTTTGATCTACATTATAATGACTTTCTTGTAGTTGATTATGTTGAAGGGGTGTTGATTTATTTCACTTAAAAAACACTTTTTTATCTCAACGTATTCATTAATAAACAAAATATAAAAAAACTTCTATTAGAATTTATTTTATATATTTATTTAGCATTTAACAAGTTTAATAGATTATATAATATGTATATAATATGAAACCTTTGTTAAACTAAATATATGTGAATTTTAAAACAATTTTGATCAATTTTTAGACAACAATTCAAATCAATTCTAAATTAAAATAGAATTAAATGATTATAAAATTTATTATTTGTAAATGATAATAAGATAATAACTATAAAATTCTTAATTAATCATCGTATAGGATTCCTAACAGGATTAAATTTACAAATTTATTACTTTTAAGATCTAATATTTATAAATAATACTTATTGAATAATTGAAATGAAATAATAATAATAAAAATAATTGTCATTATTGAAGTTTATATTTATTATTTTATCAATTCCTTATTCAAATCTAAAATCAATTGCTACAAATAAAGTTTTTGTCATACAATATGGATTTATCAATGAATGATGTATTTCTATTGTTCTTTGTGTCTAAATTTAAAGGAAATCTAAAATGATTTCTTGATTTTAAGAAATGATAATTAATATGAATCAACTTTTATATTTTAATGATATACAAGAGATGTAATTTTATGCTAAAAGAAATCAACTATCATTATTCGTTTATAAGAGGGCAATATACGATCTAACTGATTTTATCACTCAACATCCAGGAGGTTAAATGGAAATTAAACAATTTGAAAATTAGGATGTCTCTAATATTATATTTCAAAAATCTATTCATAAGCACAAGCCATATGTTATAGCCACATTATAAAATTACTTAATAGGATATATTGAAAAGCGTACTGAGCCAGTAATTCGACTAAAATCATCTTAGTTGATAATTGAAAAAACTAGAAAAATTTTACAAGATAGCACAATACCTCAATAATAATGTGAGGATATACCAGAAGATTGTTCAATCGAAGAAATGCCAATTCTTCAAACAAATAAAAAACTATTTCATTCTTAAAAATCGATTTAACTATAAAAATGACTGTAGACATTGTATTATGATTTAATTTATTATTATTTGAATATTCTATAATTCTTATTCTAAATATATATTAATAAAAGAAAAGGGTAAAATTGAGTTATATCTAATTTAATTAAATATTACAACTACGACAAACATTTTGTTATCCACAATAAACTAATTATAATAATTAAATTAATTAGAAGTATATTTAAACATTATAAAGATATATAAAATCTATTTAATAATCTCAATAAGTTAATAATTTAATCTCAAAGGATATTAACTATTCAATTCAATTAATATAATATGATATGAAAGAGTGTATTGAATTTAATTAAGTTAAGAATTGAAAATAATTATAACTGTTAGAGAATGTTTGAAAATTAGACAATCGTACTTATAAATATTATAAGAATGATTTAACATGAAGATATTGTTGTTCAAAATTCTTCATGATTTGCAGAAAAGCCATCAAAATTCTATTCAGTTTAGGCCACTTAAGATTATGGGGTTTCAAGGATTTTTTTAGGAATTAAAACTTCTTTTGCGGGTTAATTTTAGAGAAGATTCATTTCTAAAAGGGGCGATTAAATTCTTAAATTAGCAATATCATCCCAATTTAAATCATTAAAAAAAGCATGATCTTTAATATCTTAAATGGATTTATGACCTTAAATATCATCTATATTAACCTAATCTTTAGATTGGATCTTTATTCAAAAATTTTAAAATAATATCTTTAGAATTTTCATCAATATAATCGGTAAATTAAATATTTCCATCTTATATTAATTTTTGAATATTTCTAATATTGTTTTCTTTGTCTTAGAATGGTGTTCTCCCTGTTAACATTTCATAAATCAAAATTCCTAAACACCACCAATCTACAGTGTAATTATGTCCAGAATTATTTAGAATTTCAGGAGCTAGATATTCAGGAGTACCAGCCATCTAAACTATTGATAAGGGTTTATTTAAATACTGTAAAAAATTTCATCTCATCTGATTCATATTTTTTAGACAATCCAAAATCGGTTAATTTTAGATGACCATTTTCAGTGACTAAAATATTTTCTGGTTTCAAATCTCTATATATCACTTTGAGTTTTTCATGCATATATTCAAGACCGAGTACTACTTCAGCTGTGCAAAATTAAGTTTAATATAATGTAAATCTTCTTAGGGGTTATTTATTAATTAGTTTCAAAAGTTATCCACCATTGACTAATCTTTTTAAATAAATATAAAAATTATACTCCATAACTAAGTATAATTTATGTTCAGATTGAAAAGAGTATTATAATCTGATCACAAATGGGTTGTTACTATATTCTAGTACATTTTTTTCTAACATTGCATGCTCTTTTAATCCATAATTTATGATATCTTATTTCTTGATAACCTTCATAGCATATTCTTTTTAATTGCTTTTCATTTTAACTTTAAGTACTTTACCAAATTAACCCTTAAATTTATAATTTATTAAACCCTCCCAATCTCTCCCTAGCTTAAAAATTCTTTTAAACTTATCTTCCCTCCATCTGTCTCTTTCAAAGCCTAGCTAATTACACTCTCAATTTTCTTCATTGTTTTTACTGATGACTTTGGATTCTCTTCTTAATCGAAACAATTTCCCATATTTAATAAAAAATTAAATCCTTTTTTAAAATATGTCTTAAAAGTTCAAAGTCAGAAAGCTTAGAGATTAAAAGCCAGAAGATCTTCTTAAGGATTTAGAAAAACTTAAAGGTGAGCTCATTCAATTAAGAACAGTTAAAGTTTCAGCAGGTAATGCTTAAAAACTTGGAAGAATCGGAGTAAGAAAATAATTAATATAATCAGCTTGTTAGAAAAAGAATTGCAAAATTTTTAACAGTCATTAATGAATAAAGAAGAAATTAAGTTAAATCAACTACAAAGCATGCTTCAAATCTTCCTGTTGATCTTAGAGGAAAAAAAACAAGAGCAATTAGATAAAGATTAACTAGAAGTGAAAGAGGTAAAGCTTGACCTTATATTATTCTAGCTTAAAAGACTTTGAGATAATGGAAAAGATAAAACAATTTCCCTTTAAGAAAGTTTGCTTTAAAAGAGTGATTCAAATATAATATTAATAGTACATTATTCAATGCTGGCAAAAAGATTATTATTTATTTAAGCATTTTTTATTCTTTTTATCCTTTATCAAATTACATATTTTGGATGCTTGTCATGAAGTCCTTTATCCCTGTAATTAAATTTTAATATATAAATTTAATCATAAATATGAATAAAATTAGACACAAAAATATTCAAATATTTTTGACTTTCCTTCATTATTTATAATTCTAAGTATGATTCTTTTTAACTTTTACCATTATCATAAATTAAAATTCTCCATTTTTTAAATTTATGTTGTGAAGAAATATTTTGAAAAAAAAATAAAAGGTTCAAAGTTTTCATTCTATTACTTTTATAATTGCTATCATAAATTAGAAGACAACACAAAGATTAATTTATCATTTCAGTTTTATTTTTCTATTTTTGTTTTTTATCAAAAATTTTCTCCAAATAATTATTATTTTATTTTACTTAATTAAGTTGATATTGCTTAGTTCTTTCCAGTTGAGACTTTTGAAAAATTATAAATAAGTTTATGAATCTTTCAAAGTATTTATCATAGTTTATAAGTGATAGAGCTCTTAAAGAATTCAAAAATACAAAATTATTATTATCTAATAAAAAACTTGAAATAAACCACCACTTAATAAAAATTATAATTTTAGCAAACGATCCAATTTACTAAATAGTTAAATTATTGTTTTTATTTAAGAACATAAATTATTAACAATTTACAAAAGTATGATCAAGAAATAACTAAAAATTTTTAAATTTATCAAAATAATTTATAACTTAGAAAATCGTCTTGAGATGATTTTTGATTATTTTATGGTTGAGTAAATTAATTAAGTAAGAATCCTTCTAAGTAAACTGAAACAATCAGTATAGTTTAAAAATTAAATAATTCAAATTAAAATTCAAAGAATAGGAATCATATTAGAATAATTTAAAAAATTAATATTATGTGAATACTTTAAAAAAAGAATAATTCATTAAGTAATATAATAGTTGAATCATAAATATTAGAGATTTCAAATATTTTATTATTAATAAAATTAATTAATTTATTATAATAAAAATGTTTATTAATTTTTAGAAAAAAGCACTGAAAAGCCTAAAAAAAGTAGACATTTTTTAATAACCTGTTCAACTCTTGATCAAATCAGAAGAGGGACATAAAACCTTATTTGGAGCCTGCTTAACTTTGGGATTGATTTCCTTCTTTCTTTATCTACTTATTGTAAATCTATATACTTTAGGGGAAAGAAAAAATCCAACTTCACTAACGACAGAGGTTTATCATGCATAACCAGAATACTTTAAATTTAATGAATAAAATTTTACCTTAACTTTTGCTATTTAATCTCCAGATTATGCTACATATATAGATGAGTCAGTCTATATAGTAGAAGCGAAAATTACAACAAAGATGACCAAAATGTATTCATTATATTAAGCTAATAGAGTTGATGATCAAAAAATAGATGAATGGACTTCAAAAGAGATACCATTAACTCCATGTTCTTCAAATCTTATAAGGTAGGTTGAATTATAAGAATATTTTTCTCATTTAAATTTACCTACAAATTATTGTATTGACTGGGATAAAATAGACGAGTTAACTTTAGAAGGCACTTTTGACTCTTCATCTTATAGTTTTATTTTATTATAATTTAAAATGTGTAACGATTAAACAAAAAAATCAAAAGAATGTAAATCTAGAGATGAAATTAAATAACTTTTAGAACAAAATTATTTTTCTCTTTAAATGTCATCATATGTTATTGATGTGAAAAATGAAGAATAACCTACAATTTCTAAAGGTGAGGACATTTTTACCACAATATCTAGTAAGATATTTAAAGAAATTTCTTTTTATATGTAACCAATTACCATACTCACAGATTTAGGTCTAATTACTGAAGATTATTAAATTTATAAAAGTTTAAGATATAAAAGACATACAGAAATGATTGATTTAAATGAAAGTGATTTAATTATGAATGTTGTGATAAGATTAGACTAAATTGAATAATAATATTATAGAAGTTACACAAAAATTCAAATTATTTTAAGTTAAATGGGAGGACTTTGGTAAGTATTCTTTACAATAGCATTTTTAATATAGAAACCTATTAATATGTTATCATATTATGTTAGAATTTTGAATTCATTATTTGAATTCGAACTAGAAAAGAAAAAATCAACAATTTAGGGAGAGGAAGATTAAAATCCAGAGATACCATAATAAGAATTATTATCCAGAAAATAGTTATCAACAACCAGAGAAGCCTTATTTGTTGAAAATAAAAAAAAAGCCTTTTAAAGATTATAATCTATAAAAATAAAGAAAAAACAAATGGAAGTAATTGATTCTATGGCTGCTGACCCTCAATCAAAGGAAGAAGCAAAATAATAATTAACCAAGGCTATATCATTTTCAATCAAATAATATTTTCATAGTATTTCAAAAAAATTAAAAATGAAATGGACTGATTATTTATATTTTATAAGCTGCTTTGTTAAGTAAATTATAAATTTTATTTAGTTCGAAAAATTATAAAAGTCTTTAAATTGAATATTCAGTCAAAAAAATAATTAAGTAAATGGATATTTTATATATTATGAAGAAACTATAAGAAATTGATAAATTAAAAATGATATTATTAACAGAATCTTAAATTAAGGTTTTTGATTATCTTTAAAAACCAACAATTCCTTTAAATCCAAATTCAAAACAGTTTAGCATAAATCAACATTATTATTCAATATTAAAACCGATGAAAAGTGATTTTTAAAGAGCTGTAGATGCTTAAAATGCTTTTAAAGAAATAGTTGATCATTTAGAAAATCCAATTAATGTGAGATTAATTAATTCTATTGATAAATCTATTGTGGATTTATTAAAAATAAGAAAAAATACGTTGGATTTAATTTCAATTGATGATGCCTGTATTAGTGAATAAGGTTAAGAAAAAAATTAGGTTTTCGCCATTGATATCAAATAGAAACATTCCTCATTAGCAAATTGTAAAATTTGAAATGAAGTTTTGATGAATAAAATATAATAAATTCAATTTAGTCAAATTATTTATTTTTATTAAACATTTTACTTTTTCAAAGCCTTAATACAGAAAATCCATCGTTCTCATAAGGTATTTCTTTTCTTCTATTAAAAATCTTGGAAATTTCACTTGAATCTCTTCTTAAATTATGCTCTCACATGATTTTTTTTCAATTTAAATATTAATTTATTAATTTTTTTCTTTAATCTAATATTTTACCAAAATATTTTTTATCCTCACATTAAAATATGTGTTGGCTTTTCTTATAAAATTTCTTTTATTTTATCTTGATTCTGTTTTTCGTACTTATCCCAAAAAAAATTTAACATTTAATTTAATCTTCTTTTCTTTCTCAATTTAGTTTTTTTATATTAAGTATTTTATTGCATTCAGATTTTTATGATATTGAATAATTCTTTAAAATTACTAATCTTAAGTTCCTATTCTTTAATTAGAGCTGAATTTTATGTGTTATAAAAATAACCTTTTGAAATTGTTTTTTTAATAATTAATTTATCTTTACGCTCTATTCAATTATTCAGATTTTTCCATATTATCATCAATCGAATTTTTACTTTATTTTACAATTTGAATAGTTGCAAACATAATGAAAGCAAAAAATATTAAAAATAGTTAAAATAATAATCAAAATGTTTTGATTTTAAAAGCTTTAGTAAGATTCTGGATATAGTAAATTGACAATTTACTTAAAGACTTTTTTATTTCTTTTTTGAATTTCTCTTTTTTCTTGAATTAATATTTATATATTATTAATAAAAAAATTAAATTTAAAGAACAAGAAAAAGTAAAGAAAAAGAAAAAGAAAAGTTTGGTTCTTATTAATTTTTTATTGAATTGTATAAATATTTAACAAATATTTGAATAAATTACAAATTTTTGAAATAGATAAGTTAATTTGATGATTTTATTAAATTATATTAATGATAAATAATCCACTTAAAAAAGCAATTATTTAGTTGTTCTGCCCATTTGGGTTAAGAGGGTCCATATACCATTTCTCATATACATATAGATAAAAATCACACTCATCAAGATCTTCCTATTAAGGATCATACAATTAAAGATCTAATATCTCATTTGGCGAATTTGCAAAACATTGTGAGATATTGAAGCAAGAATAACAAAGTGATGTTCTAAAAAAATTTAATCTAATACCTGAAGCCCCTATTGAAGATGTTATGAATTTTATCAAAGCAAATAAGATTTAAGGAAAAGTGTTTAACATTGCTTAGAATTTTGATTTTCTACCTCAAAACCTATAAGAAGCCTTAAAAACAAAAAATATAACATCTCCATCTCCAATCCAATAAGCCATAATTCCATTGATTTTTGATGGTCATGATGTAATTGCAATAGCTGAAACTGGATCAGGAAAAACATTAGCATATGCTTTACCTGGAATAATGCATATGTAAGCACAACCACCAATCCTTGGCCCAAGAATATTGGTTATGGCTCCGACTAGAGAACTAGCTTAATAGATTTAAACTTAATATGATCTATTCGTCAGAACTTGTTGTTTATATGGAGGAATTCAAAAACCTTCATAATTTCCTGGTTTGTTAGGAAAATCTAATAGATTTGCTAGACCAGAAACCCCTAAAGTAATTATTGCTACTCCTGGACGATTGTTAGATTTCATTAACGATGGCTTGCCTTTAAAATCAATTACATAAGTAGTTTTGGATGAAGCAGATAGAATGCTTGATATGGGTTTTGAAGATTAAATTCGAGATGTCTTGAAAGAAGTTAGGAAAGATAGATAAACACTATTCTTTAGTGCCACTTGGCCTAAAGAAGTTTAGAGATTAGCAAATAGTTTATGTAACCAAGATCCAATCTTTTTACAATTAGGCGAAAGAGGCTTATCTGTCAATAAAAATATCACTCAAAGTTTAATAATCTCTGGTGGAAATAAGTTTGATCAATTAATTGAATACTTTAATTAAATAAAGGATAAAAAGGTCTTGGTGTTTTGCCAAAAAAAAATTGATACTTAAAAGCTTGAATATAAATTATCATAGCATGGAGTCAATGCTCGATATTTACATGGGGATTTAAAATAAAATTAAAGAGATTATATCATGTAAGACTTTAGAAATGGAAGAGTAAATTGTTTAATTACAACCAATTTGGCTTCAAGAGGATTAGATGTTTCAGATGTTGATGTAGTGGTAATTATAAATAATAGTATTTAGATTAATTATGATTTTCCTGAAAATATTGAAGATTATATTCATAGAATTGGAAGAACTGGTAGGGCTGGCAAAAAAGGAGAGGCATTGAGCTTCATTGAGCCAAGAGATTTGGATTACAAGTTAAAAGATGAACTCATTAAAGTTTTTAAATAATCCTCATAGGAGATTCCTTAACAATTATTGAAACTTAGGGTATATTGATAAAATTTTTTATGTTGTCTAATTCATTTATCAATATTGTTAAGCTCCACTTATAGACTATTCTATATATTGGGCTTTAATTATAGAACTTTAATTTCAAGTTTATAAATATCAATGTACATCAATTAAACTAATCCCATTTACTACTTTGTTCCTTATTATCTACCATTCTAATTTAATTCTGTGGTTCCATAAGAAATTGTTAAGGCTGAACTTCATTCTGAGAGTGAAAAAGAGTAAACAAAACCACTAAATGATGAGATTCATACTAACGCTAGTGGAATAGTAAGAGGAAAAGGATAATTATGGACTTAAAAAGAAATAAATAATCTAATTTCTTATTATAAAAAGTACAAAGGCAATTGGAAATAAATCATTAAACACCTTAAAGGCAGAAATATCTCTTAATGTTCTCAAAAATATAGAAAACTTCAAAATCAAGAAAAAAGAACTAAAAGAAAATGGTCTTGTGCAGAAGATGAAATTTTGATTGATGCCTATAAAGAATTTGGAAAACAATGGATCAAGATAAGTAAAAGTAATTATTTTTTTTTTATTTTTTTAGAATTGCCAGGCCGAACTTCAAAATAAGTGCGTGATAGATATGTAAATTAAATTGACCCATCTATTACACATGAGGAATGGTCAACAGAGGAGGATAGAATTATTTTAGAAGAATATAAGAAAGGAGGAGCTAAATGGGCTGTAATTTCCAAAATGCTTAAAAATAGATCTGTAATTATGATCTTTCTATTTTTAGGAAAATTAAGTTAAGAATCGGTTTTATTACACAATTCTAAAAAAATACTAAGGAGAACAACATCCATACTTAAAAGTATAATAATGAATTGTAGGTTGATTATTAAGTTTGATTAATAAATTTCTCAAAATTATATAATTTTATTTATTAGAATCAATCATCAAGGTTTTTATTAATATAAATTTTCGATTTAATTAGCAAATATTTATTTGACACCGTAAATTTTAAAAAAGTATAAGGCTCTAAATAAATAAATTTTGCCTAAAATTATATATGTTAAAAATTACGCAATTTTAATTTTGTTCTGCTTCGGTGTTATATTTTTAATTTTGAATCAAGAACTATAGATTATTCCCATTCTATATAGCTGGCACTGAGTTAAGCAGCTCATATGAAGGGCTTTATTTGAAACTTTAGTACCATGTCATATATATTAAAAGTTCATTTTAATATTAGAAATAACAAATTTTTATTAAATATTTTTGGTATCATATTTAAATTATCTAATTTAAATAAAAAAGATTGAAAGATAAATTTTTCAATAAAATTGGGAAAAAATGAAACCATTATATTAGAAGATATAAATCAAGCATATATAAATAATAATATGTAAATTTAATGATCAAAACTTGATTATAAAGGATAATATTTTTTTTGAATGTTAAATTAATGTATATTTAAAAACACACAATGAACATAAATCAATCAACTTCTTCCATCTTTGATTTGGTGGCTTCGGTGTTAGCATCTTCCTTTTTCTAAGAAAAATATAAATAATAGAAAATACCTCTAATTATGGAAGTTTTTCATCTTCTTCTTCAATGCCAGCATCATCAATAGATAAACCAAGTTTGATCATCTTGTGAATTCTGTTAGCAAAGTGAGTTGGGTCGTCAAGACTGAATCCTGAAGTAAGGAGAGCGGTTTCATAGAGCAACCAGATGAGATCTTTAACTGTCTTATCGCTCTTATCTTTGTCTGACTTCTTCTTTAATTCTGTAAGAATTGGATGATTAGCATTGATTTCTAATGTCTTCTTGGACATCATATAGCTACTCATTGATGGATCTCTCAAGGCTTAAGCTTTCATGATTCTTTCCATATTGGCAGACCATCCATATTCACCAGTGACCAAAACACATGGTGATTAATCAAGTCTTTATCCTAATTAGACTTTTTCAACTTTATCTCCCAAGATTTCCTTGATCAATTTGCATAATCCTTCAAAGGCTGACTTTTATTCTTCAAATTTCTTCTTTTCATCTTCAGTTTGATCTAAGTCTAAACCTTCTTTAGTGCAATTCTTCAACTTCTTTCCATCGAATTCTTTCAATTATTGGATGACGTATTCATCAATTGGATCAATCATATAAAGTACTTCATAATCCTTCTTCTTCAAAGCTTCAACAAATGGTGATGCAGCAACTGAAGCCTTAGATTCACCTGTAATGAAGAAAATATCCTTTTATCCTTCCTTCATTTTTCCTACATAGTCTTTGAGTGAAATCAATTCTTCACCACTCTTTGATGTGTGGAATCTGAGGAATTCACTCAATTTTGTTCTATTGGCTGAATCTTCATGGATACCTAATTTAAGATTCTTTGAGAATTATTCATAGAATTTCTTGTAATCTTCAGCATTTTCAGAGATTTCTGAGAACATCTCAATGCATTTCTTGGTGATGTTTTTCTTGATGACTTTCAAGATCTTATTGTGTTACAAGAATTCTCTTGAAATATTTAAAGGCAAATCTTCAGAATCAACAACTCCCTTAACGAATCCCAAATATTCAGGGATTAATTCTTCGCAGTCATCCATAATGAAAACTCTTCTAACATATAATTTGATATTGTTCTTCTTTTTTTTTGTTTCAAACAAATCAAATGGTGCCCTCTTTGGAATGAAGAGAACAGCCTTGAATTCCAAACCTCCTTCTACTGAGAATTATTTGACTGACAAGTGTTCTTCCCAATCATTTGTCAATTATTTATAGAAGTTAGCATATTCTTCCTTGGTGATCTCTTCTGGCTTTTTCATCCACAATGGCTTGTTCTTATTAACTTATTCAAATTCAGTGCTGACTTCCTTGATCTTCTTCTTTTTCTTTTCTGCCTTGTCTTTCTCTTCTTAGACTTCACCTTCTTCAGCTTTCTTTTCTTTATTTTCATCTTCATCATCGCTGACTTCTTTTTCTGTTGTTTTTTCAATTTATAATTCTATTGGGAATCCAATGAATTCTGAGTGTTTCTTAACCAAATCCTTGATTCTCTTTTCCTCCAAGAATTCTAAGTTGTCTTACTTCATGTGTAAGATGATTGTTGAACCTCTTGTCAATTAAACTGGGTTCTCAGCATCATCATAAACAAAGAATGTTCCTCCAGCTTATGATTCCCATCTGTATTATTATTCACCTACAGCCTTTGAGATAACTACGACCTTATCAGCAACCAAATAAGCAGAATAGAAACCAACACCAAATTGTCCAATCATAGAAATATCTGCTCCTGAACTCAAAGCTTCCATGAAGGCCTTGGTACCTGATTTTGCTATGGTACCCAAGTTGTTGATCATTTCATCTCTTGTCATACCAATACCAGTATCCTAAATTGTCAAAGTATTGTTATTCTTGTCTGGAATAATCTTGACCTTGAAGTTTGGCTCAATGTTCAAACCAGCACTGTCTGGATCTGTTATTGACTTATATCTAATCTTATCTAAAGCATCTGAAGCATTTGAGATCAATTCTCTTAAGAAAATCTCCTTGTTTGAATAGAATGTGTTGATAATTAAACCCATCAATTGTTGGATATCTGCATTGAAGTGGAATTACTCTTCTTTCTTTTACTCTGTTGCCATTACTTAATTTTAAACTTAAAATTTATCTGTGAATCGAACTTCATTTATACTCAAATTTTTTTCTAGAAATTTCGAATTTCATTAAATAAAGAAATTTTAACACTTTTATCATTTTGTTTCAAATTATTCAAATTTAATTTCTAAAAAGATTTCTATTAATTCTCGTTTAATTTTAATCATTTCTCTCCCTAATAATACTAAAATCCTAAAAAATCGAAAAATATTTTATTGGCTCATTCTATCCCTATTCATAAAAATATAAGCCATTAGCATCTATATTGATCCCAACTTATCAACAGTCAATAAATCTTTGTAATTTTGTTAACTTTAATTAAATTAAGTTTAGGGATAGGTTTATTTAATTGAAATTGTTTCATATTAATTTTCTAAGATATCTTAATCTCTTTCCTTTCTTCTAAATTTACTATAAAAATAAAAATAATAAAAAAATTCAAAACAATAAGTAACCCTTTCATATTTCTAAATTTTATGTAAAATATTCAAAATTTGAATTCTTAGTTAATTTTTAGGCCTCTAGATTCTGCTTGATTTGGAGAGCCTAAAAAACAAGATGATTTGAATAGATTGTTATAAAAAAGGTCTTCTGAATTATTAATAAAAAAAGATTTAAATAAAAAATCAAATTTTTATCAGGAATGGCAGCTAATAAGTTTTGGAAAAAGACAGAAGTAAATTATTTGTTGAATTATAAGTTATCAAATTTGGAATAATAAGTTGGTGTTGCATTGACTCAAATTGAGCAATCACTAGCTGATACCAAGAATCTTAAAGTTTCATCAGTGGTTGATTATACTGCTAAAATTAATGCCAAGAAGCAAGTTTATTTGGTCTATATTCCTCATCCATGCTTATCCGTTTTCAATAAAGTTAGGTACTCTAAAGGTCAAAATAAATTAGCTCAAAATTATTACCAGAATTAGAAAAAAGACTTAAAGCAACAATTCTTGTTGTTGCTAAAAGAACAATAGAAAGCAAATGGGTCAAGAATCACAGATCATAAACAAGACCAAATTCAAGAACACTCACCTCAGTATATGATGCAATCCTTGAAGACCTCGTAGCACCAACTTTCATTTTAGGAAGAAGAACAAGAGTTAGAGTTGATGGCTCCAAATTCTATAGAATGTAAACACAAGAAAATTAATTTTAGTTTCTTGGATGAATAAGACAAAGCAGAACTAGAGCCTAGACTTGATGCCGTCAAAGCTGTCTATAAATTGTTAACAACTAGAGATTTAGAATTTGAATTCAGAAGAGATGATGTTTTCTATTCAAAAAGAGGTGCAAGTAAGAAAGTATAAAGAAAATAATGAGCAATAATATTTTAGTACAATACAATAAATACATAAAATTACAATGAATTCTTATTTGTTTTAACACTCTTCCTATCAAGATGGAAATCAATTAATTTAAACTAATGATTATCACAAATTAATTATACTTCTTATTAGAATTAAAATTTTAATTTAGAGTCTCTGTTGTTGTTTTATTTTTTTAATTTAATTGTTGAAGTTATTGTATATATATACTCAAAATCCTCTATAGATCAAGTTTCTATTATTTAAAATATTTATAATTACTAATTTTATTTTGATATGTATTTTCATCTTTTTAAGAAATTAATAATATCAAGAATAAAATCATTTAAAAACCAAGTACACAAAAATGCTCAAAAATTTAAATTCTTTGGCCTAAAATTTAGAATTTGTAGCATCTCTAATTTGTTAACTTTTAATTTCACATCTAATCTTTCTTCGACAAAGGTAATTTTAATACTTTAAATTTATTTTTTCTATAATTAATTTTTTAGAATTCTAAAAGTTAATTAGGATTGAAGTCACTTCTATAAATGTCTTACCATTTTTAAATTAGTATTAATTTTAGATAAAGTAATTGTATGTTTTTTCTATTAATACGAAAAAGTCAATTCAAATAAGCTGATAATAATAAAAGATCAAATCAATCTTTCATTAAAATTATTTATTTTTTTTTATGATCAGAGTTGAGAAATATAAAATAATATCTTAATATCATCAAAATCAATCGATACTAGGAGGTTCATTGTACTATAATAAAATTTTCCTTTTTTATGATCTAGCCGATAATTTTTATTGATCAATAAATTTTGAAAGTTTAAAAATAGCTTGAACTTCAGGACCTAACTTCTTAATAAGCTGCTTGTTGATAATATTTTCTTCTTAATCTTAGAGAACTTCATCATATGCCTATTTATAAATTGAAATCTACATTATAAATATCCTAATACAATTATGCATCTCCTCTTAAATGCATCCCTCTTTGGATAGGCTGTTGATTTTATTCCTTTTTTTATTTTATCTCATTCAACCTAAAAATAAAATTGTTTTTACTAAGTTTCTATATCACATTTGGATCTCTACTCAAAATACGACCTATTAATTGTTTTTTTAGTCAGATCTAATGAGATCATCGGTTTGGGTGTAAAATTAAACATTAATAATTGTTCAGGTGTAAAAATAACCTCTTTCATTTTGTCTAATTCATTCAATTTTGTAAGTATATTAAATAAATCTATCTGATCGGTGATCTAATCTCTAAAATTTAACTTCACTTTTACATAGCTTTATTCATTAATTAAATATTTTTTTTATTTGAACAACAATGATTGCAAGTAATGAAATTAATAATCATACTAAAGCTTAATAAAATTGGTTAAGATCTATTAATTATTGTAATAATTTATTATTTGAAATATTATAGACCATTTTCAGGTATAATTTTATTTGCAAAAGGATTCTTTATTAACCTAGTTGATGTCCTCTAAAATTTTTTTTGAACTTCTTTAATATTTCTATTTTCATCATCTTAATCATTGATTTCTTAATCAAGTTCTTATTGTTTAAAACCAAATTTTAAAATTCCATTTTTTTCCTTCTGCTTAATTTGTGTTGGATTAACAAGCTTAATTTCTAATTCCTATTCAGTTAATCTTCTAGTTCTTAAATCATCTTATCTTTCTGTTGTTAACTGATTAATTTATTCTAAATTTTCTTCTTGAATTTTTTCATGTTATAAATGAATCAAGGAAAACTCATATAATTTATTTGCTAATTCCACAAGTACTATGATTTAATTTAAAAATAATACGTTGAAATCTGTTATACAGTGACAGAATAATACCAAGAAAAAAAAAGAAAATCTATTAGATTCCACCTAAATTTGATAATAGTTCATCTATTTTTAGGTAGCTCCTATAAATAGATGTTTTATAAGGACTTTTTCTAAATTATATTGTGGCTATTTCATTTGATGTTTTGGATTGAAATTCTACTCTTTCTTTTATTTCCGACTAATCTAAGATATAAAATTTTGATAATTAAATATCGCTGAATGGAGTTAGACTTAAATCATTTTATACTTCATATTCTTTTAAAAAAACATCTACCGTTTTGAATACATCTGAAGGTAGAAATTTTAGGTAAAATGAATCGTCTATAAAAGTTTAAAGATATTTATCATCAGGATTTTATGGATTCAATATCTAATAAATATGGATATTTAGTAAACTTAATTGACAGTGTAGAGTTTTAATTTAAATGAGCCATTCTTTAGGATTTCATTTTATCTTTCAGTCTCAGAAGCACAAGATTTATTTGCAACACAATTATTTACTGAAATTTTCAAATACTTAAATTGTTAATCTTTAAATTATTTCATTATATTTACTTGAATTTGTACCTTGTATAGAAAATGTTGAATTATAACTAAACTAATTTATATTTTTACTCGAAGCACAAAAAATTCTCTAAATCTAAATCATAAAATTATTTTGTTATGTTAACATCATATTTGTCAAAAATATTATGAAATCTATCTAATGTGCATGGAATAAGATTAATTTATGAAGAATTCTCTATTTTCGACCCATTCAAAAATCTAATTATATGCTTCTATTCAACATATATATTAAAAAAGGGTTTTTGAATAAAATCGCTTTATTCAATTTGAATAGCAAATGCAAAAGTATTATCATTCAAAGTGGCTAAAGATGGAAATTCTTCAAATGTGGTTAATACCGTAGCAGTTAAATTTTCTTTGTTCAAAAATGAGATTAAATTTTGAGAAAAAATCAAGAGCATTGTAATAAATAAAATTAGAGATACACACCCTCCAAAAGCAGTCTTATAAAAATTTTATTTATTCATTCTTAATGTAATTGTCTAACCAAATAAATCACATTTTGATAACCCTAATTAGATTTTAATGTATATCTACCTTTCATAAATTAAGACATCACTTAATAATAATACTTTAAAAACTAATCAATTTTTTCCAAAAAGAATATTGAGTCTCTACCAACATAATAAATAATAATAATATTTGATCATGAAAGTTTAATAAATGAAATTTTAAAAATTTTGTTTACTTTAGACTTAAAGGAAACATAATTAAATCCAAACTGAAAAGTCGTTAAACAGTACATGAAGAACAATAAATATATTAATTATTAAATTTTGCTCAACATTATATTTAGAAATTTAATTAAGAATAAATTATGAAAGACTTCTTAAATGTGACGAAGTTTTATTATTTTGTGAAAATGTATCAGAAATAGAAAATCATCCTTTATTTTCGATAAGCATCCAATTTATGAATTAATCAAATGAAAATTGATAAATTTTGAAGATAAAACTAATTTTATTTTATTGGAAACTAAATTATAAGTTATAAATAGCTAAATATTTCAAACTGAAAAATGCAAATCATGTGTTATGAAACTAATTACATAAGCGTTTTCCATTAACTTGTCAAATGGAAATAGAGTTAATAATTATTTGCTTTATTAATATTGTTATTTAACTTTTTCAATTGTAATTTTTGTGGCAATCAATGAGACACTCATAATGGTACAAGCAAAAATAAACATGATTGTGTTTACTAAAAAAGTTTAATCTATCATAGATATAATTTAATTTGTCAATAGTTCAATAATTACTTAAAATCCATATTATGCATATAATCTTTATACTTGAATGGCGGGATCTTAATATTATTATTTTTAAAAAGCACTAAAGCTACTTGTAGAGATTGCTTATAAAAAATCAAATTAATTTGAAAATAAATCTTAAACAACGGAACTTAATCCCTGATCAAGTATTTATATAGATTAACATTGATCAAGAGTAAAAAGATCTTTATAATTTTAATAGCTATAGGATCTAAATTTTCAATGTATTTTTACAATTCGCTTAAAAACAAACTGCACAAATTTTCAACTAAAATTCCATAAACTTAAAAGTTTTGATCTTCTTAGTATAAAGAGAGATTTGTCGTTAATAAACCTAATTATTACACAGCAACATCATAGTATTTAGCCTACTCAGAAGTTATTGTTGTATGTAAGAGAATGGTTTATTAAGCAAAAGTAGATACTAAAGAATTGAAAGTTATTGAAAATTATGTTTTTTCTTGATATCTTGCAGTTACATTTTGCGAGGTAACTTATTATAATATCAAACTTCCGACGAAATAACAAGAACACACTAAGGCATATAGAAATATGAATAAAAAGAAAAATATTTAAGCTGAGGTAGTTTCTAAAATAATTTAAATTTTATACATTTAAATGAAATTTACTTTCCAACTTTATTATGTTTAACTAACATAGTAGAACTTGCTGTTTTTTAGTATTAACGCATCATTGTTGATTAAAATTATTCTTCATCAGTTTCGTGATTTCTAAATCTTGTGTTATTTAATTAAGTGTAAAGAGAACTGAATTAAACAAATTATTCTTAGATTACTTCTTTAGAAAAAGTGCAAAATAATTTGTAGATTTTCTATTTCATTTTTATAATTTGAACATAAAAATAAATATATTCTCCAAGTAAAATAAATAAGATTATTTCTTCAACAATTACACTAATTTTATAAATGAAATATTTTACAATATTGATAAACTGAATAAGTTTTTTGTTGAATTGGTGTTCTCAATTTAACCTATTTAGATATTGAATGAATCAGTATTGTTGTAGAATTCATTTTGATTGATTGAATTATTCATATTTAAAACTTTTGTAAGTTATAACATTATATTCAAAATTCTTGTTTCCATAGTTAAGTTACTAATAATATTAATATGAGGTAGCAAAGCAATTGTTTTGTCGATATTTTTAATATTTATCATATAATATTGAAATGCTATCTAACTTAATTAAACAAAATTAAAATAATCATAATTTAAATATGATTAACCAATAATGAATTCATTATAGTAATAGGAGAATTGAAATGGTAAATTTTCATATTGTTAGTTTTCATGGATTTTTTGAAAATTAAAATAAAACATAAAATAATTAAGAAAAAATCCTGACATTATTACGATATAAACTAAAACTAAAAAGAGTTTTGTCCGCATGCTTAATCCCTTCTAATCATATAAACACTCTTTAATTTGTCTTTTTAAAGCATTAGTATTATTTTATGAGGATCGACTTCCAACAGATCCATTGTATTGTATTTTTTAATCTTAAGCATTTTCTTTAAAATCAGAATCTGCTTCACTAAATTCATTACTTTATTCTGAAGGATTTTTTTGAAATTCAATAACTCTCCTCTCAAATTAATTATCGCTATTCTAAAGTAAAAAAGGATCATTTTAATTGTTTTGAGTAGTACTATTAATGTTAATGGTGGCCAATTAGTTTTTTAATTCTTCAATCATTTTAATTTCTTCTATTAAATTTTGATATTCCAAATCACATTCATTAGTAATGCCCCCAAGAGGAGAATTTAAAGAGGATAAGATAAGATCTGCTTTTTAAGTTGGAATGTCATTTTATGAAGAACTATTTATTAATTATGATGATCTACTTCTTAATTAAAGTAATTACTTACTAGTTATTTTTTGATTCATCAATTATTTATATTCAGGTATTTCTACTATGACTAATCTAAATTTATATATATATAAAATATTACTTAAGATTTATAGTAATTAGACTCATTAAATGAAGTGTAACTTAGTAAACAACATTTTCATGAGGTTAATTTTCAAATTATTTAGCAATACTTGTTTGAAGATTTGTCTTAGAAAATTGATTAGATCTAGAACGGATTTGACTCCTAGATATTTATTTAGTGATTAATGGAAGAATTAATTAGCATTCAAATCTTTTGTCTAATTTTTCAAAATCATCATCAAATAAACTAGGCCAAATTTTACCTAATTCTGGAATAAAAAATAAACAATCTAATCCTCTTACATAATCAAGTTCTAATCCCAAATATTTTTCAAAAACATTCTCATATAAATTCTATGTCAATTCTTCAATCTAACCTGATTCATTCAACATCATATAGCCATATTTTAGATTTACTGGTGTAATTAAAGCTGTAGCTCCAAACTCAGTTAGACTTGCCTCTATTCTTAATCTAGTATTTATTGGAACTACAAATTGTGATTTAGTTTTTCCTAAAATTACTCTTACTGCATTTCTAACTACATTTATTCTTCCTCTCTCTACAAAGTTATCAAGATATAAATCATGATCATTTGCTATTATTTGAGGCATAAATCTATTAATGTTCTGATCTTAAATCTCTTCATCTTTATATCCTATTGCTTTTTAAAATGATCTCGTATATCTTATGACATTTCCTCTTGGCTGTAATAAAGTTATTTGTATTACACAACTTCCAGGATCATAAATTATCTTTTCTGCCGACTATAAAAATTACATCATTATTTATCCATCTCTTCTGTATAATTTTGGCCTAACTTTATTATAATTAACATATTTTTAAAAAATGTTGAAAATTGTATCGCATTCATTGTTTTAGGGGTTTGTTTTAAATAATAATTAAAATTGATTTTCAAGTATTCTAATATTTTTTATTAATTTAAAACCAAAGTCTAAAAGAGTATTAATATCAATTATCTAAGTTAGTATGCACCCATAAAAATCCTTTTATAATTATATTTATATACCTTTTCTAATTTTACTACTAAACATAAATTGGTTTTCAAGACATTCAATGATTCTTCATATTGATAAACTTTTTTAAAAACAAACTTTTAGTTTACTAGATCATTTTTTTTTACTAATTCACTAAATTTTTAAAGGGCATCCTTTTTTAATTTGTAAATAATAGCTTGTTACTTTAGAGGTTGATCCTTAAGAAGTTTAATCATATATAATATACTTTTTCAATCATAGAGAATCGAATAACTTCATATATTGCTTAAGTTGGTACTTTTTTAATTTAAACCAAAAAGTATATATAAATTAAAATTAGGTTTGAATTTGCTTTTTCAATGATTTCATCTTCAAATGTTTATCCAATTAATCCTTTTGCGAATTATTTCATTGATTCTAGGCTCTAAAAGGAATCATCTATATCTTTAAAGAAATCTTAACAAAAACACTTATATTTTAGTTTGATATTCCTGAGCAATTTTCTTTCTCTTTATATTTTACATTCTCTCAAATGGCTTGATATAAATGTATAAATTTCAAGTGATTATTGAGGATCAAGTAATCTTTATTATTTTTTCAAATCAACTTATTATTTAAAAATTATGTATAATCTTCTGATATATTTTTCTAAATCTCTGGTCTAATAGTTAGTATTTTTTAGATCCTGTCTGATTAGAATTTCATTGGTCAGAAATATCAATGGCGGATAAAATAATAAAATTAGTAAAACTATGCTAATTTTTAAAGTTGGCTAACCAAATTAGCATATCATTAATAAAATTTAATAAATTACAGTAAACACTACAATTCTTAGATTCAATCTAGAAATCCGATAATCTATAAAAACTTCTTAATTAAAGTCGCATATGATTTGTATTACTGATTTAATTATTCCTAACAATTACACTATCAAGACTGATGCTTACAAACCTGACAAAAATATCACTCTAATTTTCTATTGATTATAAATATATACAATAATTAAAATGCATAAATAAAATGAATTTTTTACTGTTAAAATTTCCCCAGAAAATCAAAATTTTTCATTCGATGATCAAACTAATGCAAATTTATTAATGATCCTATAATGATTTGTTAACCAATAGTCATAATTCCAAATATAAAACCAACCCATTCAAAGTAGTTTATACTTTCTGGATATTTGTTATTAATACAAAAATTGAATAAATCAGTAATTAAACTGAAACCACAAAAGATTAATGGGATTTACAAAATTCCGTGATAAATCTAAAAAAACAATGACAAAATCAAATTTGTGAGATGATTTTTTTCTCCTTTTGTTTCGAGATTCTAATTTAATTTTTAAGTTTACTTGTTCTATTGACAAAAATTAGAGGTCTTAATTTTTAGTCATCATAAGTTTCTATTTAAGAATCTAGCTTAGCAGCAATAAAATGACTAGGTATTACAATAAAAGTCCTACTATTACAAATATTATTCTTAAGTTGATCGAATTTCCAAACAATGTATAAAATCTAAAATATATAAAACAAAACTTGACCTAAAATAATCTATAAAATTTCTGATATGATTTAAAAATTAATCATATTCAAAGTCATTTATATTCTAAGTATAAATTGATAACATTTGGATATTCTCAATCAATAGAATCACAACAGATATTTTAAATGATTTCCTCCATGTTTCTTTGACATTCAAAAATTCTTGAATATAATAGCTTTTCATCTAAACAATAATTTTGTTCATAAATATATGATGGATAATAAATTAAATTATATATTCCAAATAAACTCATACAAAAGTATCAATCCTTAAATATCATGATTTGGTATTCATTCATCAATTAAGTTATTTGATTGCTCATTTTGTTGAAATTCTTTTTCTTTCAATTTAATTTAAGCGTGTTTTTCTTATAATTTTTTTTCTTTAATTCTCAAACTAATTAAATTTAATTTTAGAATGTGAATTACATTATCTCTTTTAGAGATATCTAAAATAATCATAATTAATTTTAATCTTGCATACAGCAATGAATTAATTAATTAATCAAAATCTATAAGAATTCCAACTGAGATTCTATCAACTCGATCATTTTTATTTTTATAATTAAATTCAAAATATATTTCATAGATTCAAATGTAGGTTCCAAAGCTGCTTATTTATTAATCAATCATCCACAAGATTAGATATAATTATTTTCATCATAAAATGTTTTTTTGATTTATTTTGGAGACAAGTCATAAAGTGTTCAAACATAAGTTTTCACTCTAAATTTTCAATATTTTCTTCTTAAAAAATATTAGTAGGATTACAAATAAATGCAAAATTTTTGATGTTATATTATGAAATTCATTGATACCAAAAGCAATTGTGCAAATATCTTTCAAATTGCATCCTCTTCTTTTGTTATTGAATTTCTTAATTATTTACCTAAAATTTGCCCCAAAAAATTTCATTAATGATATACATTTTGTTTTATTTTATTTTTTTTTTTGATATTTCTAATATATCTATCATCTTGATGATTTCCATAAGAATATGCTTGAATGCGTAAATTCAATTAATATTTTAACTTTATGAACTTATTAGGTTTTAAGTTTTCAGCAATTATTTTAAAATCAGTTCTTTATAAATTATTATTATTATTTTTAATCGCATTTTTTAATCACTTTATATTGAATCCTCAAAAGAGTTTTTGCCTAGAATATTCATTTTCGTAATGCTATTCATTTTAAAATTAAAATAATAATTAATAATTAGAGAAAAAGGTGATATAAAATTTTTAACATTAAACTTTATTACTTATTCATTAATTCAAATTGTTAAAATATTAATATGGATTGAATAAGTTAAAGTGATATTTCTATTTTATTATAAATTTGAATATGAATAAATTTCAAAATTAGATTTTACCTGTGCCTTCTGATGCAGGTCTTACTTGTGTTGATTTAACATTTCTGAAGCTTTTTTTTAGTATCCTGCTTCTTCTTAAAGTATGTTCAGAGTCTCCTATTGAATCTCTTCTACATTCTGAGTTATTAAATTTTGGAATGATGATCTATTAATATCTATACTTTTCAAAGAAAATCTCTGGATAAATCATATATTTCAATAATTATGATTAGCATTCTTTAATTTAATTATTTAATTAGTGCTGCTACTTATAAAAATACATTCTTTCTATTATCGAATCTAAGTTATTTTGAATTTGGTAATGTTTAAACTTTTTATAAGATTCCATTACAAATTATTAATCTTTTTTTTAGAATTCGTTTAATAGATTGATTTACATTTTTAATTTAATTTCTAATAGCACAGTATCTGTAATATCTTTTTCAGATAAGATTTACTTTTTACCATCCTAAATCTATTTTAATCGAATTCTAACTTTGTTTAAAACTCCTTTAATAAATATTTAAGTTTAATTAATTTCAACAAATAAATTAACAATTTATTTAGTCTCTTTTTTTTGTTTTTACTTTTTTTTAATTCTATTCATATTTGTGATTGCTTTAACAACTTTTTTCATTCTTTAAATATTTTCTTTAACTCTCTATAGATTTAATTCAACAGTTACTGAAGGTCTTATTTTTTTCAATTAAAATTAAGAAGAACGTTGCTTTTAATCTTCCTCTTGAATGATCATCAGATTATTGAAGATATTTTAATTTCTGGCTTTACTTATTAAAGATGCCTTTAAAGATTTATCATCAATATCCATTAATTCAATTGTTTTTGTTCTCTATTGAAATAAAGTTGCTTTCTTTTTTGTAATTGGAGGTTCTAAATTTAATTTAGGGGATTAATCATGAAAGAATGAATTTGGATTCGATATTTATTATAAATTAGGTTAGGTTAATATTTGTAGATTAGAACTACTTTATTCAAGGTGACCTTAATTAATTTAAATATCACTTTTTTTAAGTATTTCATCATCAGGTTCTTCATAAAATTCAGCCCATTTCCAATTATTATTATTAAATGATTTTGCTTCTTATTCTATAACTTCTTGATCAAATCGAGCTGCAAAGTACCCTCTTTATCTAAATGGATTTCTAAGAAAATGTTTATTTCTTGTTTAATTCATACTAAATTAGTATCTTTTGATTATTAATTCTCTATCTGGAATATAATGTAATAATGGACATTAAAGAACTCTATGATAATTTGAATTGCAACTAAAACATTTCATGTATAAAGCACTTACATCATCAAATTAAACACTATCATAAAGATTCCTAAATCTTTCATAATCTTCTGGAAAATCTTAAATAACTTTTAAAAAGTCATCTCGAGAAAGCATCAATAATTTAGAAAATCCTATACTTCTAAATCTTTCTTATGATTATTTCCCACTTATAAAACTAATAATACCTAGGCTTGAGCCTTTTCCAACTTTACTAACCTCTGCAATCTATGGATTTTCTAAGATTGAATCATTTTAATCATTTTAAATGAATATCTAAATATCTCCAAATTCAACAAAACAAACAAATAATTAGCCAACAGGTAATTAAGGGAAAATTGAGTCAAAATTGATTATGTTCTCTGGTTATATAACTGCAGGCTTAATTTTATGAACTAATTTTGATTTTAAAGCATCACTGAAATTATTTTTAAATAAAGGACATTCATTTAAAATCATAGAATTTGATTGATTCATTAATTTTTCTCTTAGATTTTCTGATAACTAATTAATTATCTCATTTAATTCATCATTTTCTACTTGATTTTATGATTCCCAATAGTAATTTAAGTATTCTCTAATTTAATATTATAATTGATATTCAATTTTTCTATTTTACATATATGTATTAATCTTCCTCATTTTGCGCATTTTTTCTTATCCATAAGCAGATATTGTATCGATAATTGCTCCTACAGTGCTGACACTATAACTAAGTTAAATACTACAAATCATCATATAAAGGATAGCAACAATTCTTTCTAAATAACTTATTGGTACAACATCTCCATAACCAATTGTAAACATAGTGACAGTAGAGAAATAAAAGGAATACAAATATTAAATTTGCCAGGTTTCATTTTCAATGTGATAAAATTCTAACCAGCTTCCCTTCTCTGAATACAATTAACTATAATAACCAACCTAATTAAGTTATTAATATTATAAATTACAAAGTACCAAAGACATGAATAACAATGTAGAACAAAGAATAAAACTAAAAGCAATTTGAATAATTCTAATAATGAACTACTGGGTTTGGATAAATTTAAAGTTTCTTCAATTTAACTAATTAATTTTGGAATATTTCTGCATTGTACAAAAAACAATAACATAATTAGATCCCACCAATTATTCATTAGATTTAAACTTTGATTATTAGAATTAAAAATAATAGCATAAATAACTAAAATAAGTATAGAAATAGATTCTAAGCCATAGCTTTTGCTTATAACATTTTTAGCAATGGTGACTCTGTTACTAACTATTTATCCAAACTAGTAGAATGAATTGTTAAAGCTTAATATGAAATCTAAAACTAAGAGTAGAATCATAAAGATGGTTGATGCATATAATTGACCATATATGATTTACTAATGATTCCAAGCTAGATCCAAAGGTATAATAAATAGAAAATATAGTCTACTCATCATGATTACACAATCCCAAACTATCTTTGATCGTGATTCTGGTGTGATTAATGGTATTTTCTCTAATTCTAACTCTATTTTTTTATATAAATTATTAGTGCAATTTTTTAAATCTGAATAATGTTTTGATAATTTTTATGTGAAAATCCTAGAACTTATCATAAGTATTACTTCTTTTTGAGAGTTTAATTTAGATTATCATTGGAATTGCTAAATTGACTAATCATGGGTTTAAGATTAAGGGCACTATCTCTAAATAGTTTTAGATTAAATGAGGAACCTAAATCTTTGAGGATATTGTATTAATAGAAATTAAATTAAGCATTTATTTTCTTTTTCCAACTTATTCGATTAATAAACCTTTTTATGAAACAAAATTGAATAACACTAAATATTTGTTATTATTGATGTAATTGTTGAGAATGTTCAGAGAATTTAGTAGTCTTTTTATTAACTAAAAATAGAGTAGAGGGACTATTAAGTTTTGAATCGAACTAAACTCTTTTAACTTCATGAGTTATTTAATTAGAATTTTAATTGTTCTATTTGTTATTAGTATTTCTTTTTGAATCTTGTATAGAGAAGTTAGCTTCTGATAAAGAATAATTGATAAAATCATGAATTTCACCAATAGGTTCATCAGTTAATATTAATTAATTCAATTTTGAACTTGGCTCTTCAGTGTCTTAGTAAATTTAATTCATATTTAAATAATTGTCTGAAAATCAAATATTATAATATATTAAATTTTTATAACATCTCTTGACAAAAGGATTGTTATAAGTTACATATTGAAGTTCATCTTTGAATGTAATTTTGTATATAATATAATTCATTTAATAATCTTGATTATTAAATGTTTGTAAAACAATCTTATCTTACAACACGATTAACAACATAATTTGATGAATAAAGTGTAATGGAGATAAGAGAATCTTCAAAAAAGAAACATTACCGAACAATTACATCAACAAGTTTAAATTAGGCAAAACGTCCATTCATTCATACAAGGTCAATACCTAAATCTCTAATTGATGAAGGTATATTAAAATGTTGAATTCTATTTTTAGGGTTTAGATCTAAGAGTATCATATATCATATGTCATTACTCTCTAATGAAGTTAAAATTAAGATAAGACCAAGTAGAAGAGAAAGAGAAAGGACAATCTTATTTACAGATAACATGGAATTATATCATCATAAATCAATCAAAAGAATTAAAGAGATGAGTAGACGCAAAAGTTGTTCATGTAATGGGTGTGGTGCAAAGACTAAGTTTGAAAAAAAACATGATGATTTTGAAGCAAGAACGCAATAAGCTATTAGTTCTGATTTGAAATTACTGTAATTTACTAGAGCTGGATAAAAGAAAAAGCAAACTATTATTAAAGAGTTTAAAATGAGATAGATTAATGAAAGAAAATGTAAACTCTCTTAAGAACCTACAAATCATTCACAAATTTAACTTAATTTACCTTCCACAAAAAGAGATAGTTTATAAATTGAAAAATAAGAAATTGAAACTAATAGACTTAAAACCAAAGCTGATCTTCTAAGAATGCTACCTTCGATAAAAAGCATTGTCTCTCTTACTGTACTAAAATAACTCTACATAGGAGGAAGATAACAACATTAAATGTCATCAAGAAAACCATCTCATGATTAATTGATCATTAAAACTTATAGAATAAAGTCATGAATGAGTGAGTTTCATGTATTTACTTACAGTACTTTTAATTGTAAGATTATACTTTATAATTTTTGATTATTATATGTACAATAATAATATTATTATTTTTTCACTTTCTAATAAGCTTTTTAATGCAAATATGATTATGCTTTGCTTAATTTAAAAGAGTCAAACAAACATCACACTTTTCTTAATTAATTTATTCTTTTCTCTTATCAAATTTACATAAACTCACAATTAAAATATATATATAATATTTTTTTTATCATCTATATAATCTTCTACAATTAAAATTTTTTCTGTCAAACATTGTTGATAATCAATTTGTTTAAATATCTTTATGATTTCAATTTTTTATTCATCTGTTTTTATTTTTTTGTAATTATATAAGTTATCTTCTCAATTATTTAAAATAAATTAAAAAAATGAATAACAATTTGTCAAACATGTTGTCATATCAAAATTTATAATTCAGAATATTAATTTCAATTTCATTAACACTCTACCTATTTATATTTCTTTTATTTCATCATCAATAAGTAATTTTTAAGGAATGATTCTCAGAGTTCCAAACTTGCTTCCCTAATCCTAAATAAACCAACAATTGTTATTAAATGAAACTCTAGCATGATTTCTAGATACTGATATATCCTAACATCTAACTTCACTAGTATGTCCTCTACCTATGGATATAATATTTGTTCCAAATGCATGCATAAATATTAAGCTTTTTGATAAATTCTCCTAACGGGTTATTTATTCAAAAATAATGTATGGTCCATTGAGTCTCTCAATTTAAATCAATTGTAGTGGTTAGGTTTAGTTTTCAACATAAATTCTGGCAGGTAAAGGAACTCTGCAAATCTATTTTTTTTTGATAAAATTTAATATTACCTCACATTCTAATGCTTTATTCCAGTGATATTAAACTGTGTTTTAAGTTTGCTTGCAAGTTATGCGGTTACTATAATTAATCCATGATTTTAAGCATTAATAATGAACATATGAAATATGACCTTGACAACCACAGAGATTTGTAAGATATGGATCTTTTGGATCCTCTGCTACTTCTAAATCTTCAACTAAACAAATTTTGCATTGTCTTATTATTTCACTTTTTCCTAATTTTATGTGACGATCCAAATGATAATAGTCATTAGCTATTTAAACCTATTCTCCATTATTAAGTTCTGAAATAAAGTATTCTCTAATTCATTTATATGTTCTTTACATTCTACCGAATTTGAACAAATCTCCAACCTATATTATTTATTTTTATTGAGAGCCCAATTTAACATAAGAATCAATCGATTCAGAATTATTGTAAAAATCTATACCTTATCATAAAAATATACAGATCTATTTATTCTCAAAGACTATTCTACCCAAACATTTTTCAGATGGAGTATTTGATAAACTAACTGTGTCTTCTATTAACAAAATAATATTATAAAATACAATTAAGGATCAAGTAACTAGAGTTCTCAACTATCAATTTAGAAATTTTTAAGTCTTATGATTCATAATCGAAAAGCCCATGATTATTTTGAGTCCAAGTTGCAATCTCTATTGAAACTTACATAATTAAATATATCAATAGAAAAATAACTTTAATTTCAACATATACTCTCACTATATAGTTCCTAGAATTAAATTTCATATTTTCTATTCCTTTATTAGAAAGAACCATATTTTATAGAATCCTTAATATTAAGGAAGAGTCAAGAAATATTTAAATATTTATGCATTCCTTTTCAAGAGTATTTGTTACAAACAAATATTTTTCATAAAATTGAGAAATATTATGATTAATGAAACCTGACTTATTTTATTTGATAAGTCTATTGAAATGATTTATTTTGAGAATGCTTTTTAAATGAAATTGAAGTTTATTTGATTAATAATCAAAAATGGTTGTATAAATTAAAGAAGTTGATGAATAATAGAATACAAAAGTACAACTAACGTAATAATAGTAAATGAACTTAAATTTAATGTTATTATAATAAGTATAATAGGAGTTATAAAATGATGAGAAGTGAAATATAAATTATTTTTATTATTTTATATGGGTAGTGGATAGAATCGATAATCAAATGTGCCAATTGTCTTTCTTGAGAATCATAAAAATGTTGGCAGTTATAGATTTGTATAGAATCAAAGACTAAACATTCCAAAAGCATATTTAAAAATAGAACCAAATTATTCTAAGATAGAAAGATTAGAAACAATAAATAGTGCTGTAGTTCATGGAGTAGTTGGACTAAAGAATCTTGGAAATACATGTTACTTTAATACTGCAATTAATTGTATTAGTCATACTTAACCTCTGGTGGACTATTTTCTGTCTAAAGCCTATAAAATAAATTCTTCTTGTCCAACATCTGGAAATATTACAAAAGCTTTTGTATCTCTGATGGAACAAATATGGGATGATGAAAACTGTTTTGCAGAATCTAAAGATTTTCGTTTACTTGCTTATAGTTAAAAACCAAAACCTTATAATAAATGTATAAATCCAATAAAGCTTTTAAATCTCTTGCAAAAGTATAGTAAGCGATTTGCACTAGGAGGTAATCGAATTCTCATTATATGTCAGATTAGGAAGATTGTTAAGAATTACTGTCTTATCTTCTTGATTTGTTACATCAAGAATTAAATAGATCCTAGCCAAATTCTAAAAGTGTAAATAAAGATTACACAGGTTAATATATTGATCCTTAATGGGCTGCAGATAGTTGGGGTGAACATTTAAAAATCAACAGAAGCATTATTGTAGATTTATTCTAAGGATAATTGAAATCTACTTGTGAATGCTAAGCATGTGGTTTCTAAAGTCATAAATTTGAACCTTTTCTTTTCCTCAATCTTCCTATTCCTAAACAAAAAGTTTCTATTTATAAATGTTTGGATCTATTTCAAGAACCAGAACTTTTATCAGGTTCTTGCCAATGGAAATGTCCTAATTGTAAAATAAATAGAGATTTCAAAAAATAAATGCAATTATGGAAATTACCTAATTAACTTATAATTCATTTCAAAAGATTTGAATTTAATCATAGAAAATAAATTAAACTTAATACTATAATAGAATTTCCATTAGAATTAGATATGGGAGAATATTGTGTTAATTAAGCTATTTCATAATATTAGTTATATGCAGTAGCCTAACATGATGGTTCTTCTTATGGTGGACATTATGTTGCTCTTTGTAAAGCATAAAATAATAATTGGTATATGTACAATGATGAATAAGTGTTTCGAATTTAAGATATTAAAAAAATGATTTAAAATGAATACGCTTACATGTTATTTTACTAAAGATATGATAACATTTATAGATAAACATTAAACAAACCAGAAGCATGGCCTCATTTTAGATTACCAAAAATTGTTTAAACAACTCATTTAATGGTTTAAACGGATCGGAAATCACAAGACTCAAGTCCGTTTTAATTCGAATCTACACCTTTAGATAATCAAACAGGAGTAGCAAGTTAATAAAGATCATAATAAGATATTAAATTCAACTCTATTGCATGATTATTAACTTTTTAATTTTTAAGTAGTTTCTATTTAATAAAATCATTTAATCTATTTGATTGAAATGTTTGATTTAAGTCTCAATTCTTAAGAACTCTTGCAATTTGTTTATTTTGCAAACTTATTAATCAGATAAAGATTAGATGCATCTTTTGTTGGTGTAATACCTTTCACTATACTGTTATTAAAACTAGTTACTGTTGGTTCTTTTCTCATTTTTGTAAATTAGTTTAAAGACTTTGATATTGCCAAAATACCTCCATTTGAGCTTTTTCTATTTACATCAACTCTTTATGGTGATTTACTAAATTAAAACTAAACACCTTCTAATTATTTCTTCTATTCTTATAATTGAGTTAATAGATTATTCAATTATAATATCTCTTATTCCAATAATGCCTTGTTAGGCTTACCTTTTGATAATAATTATTCTTGAGTTGTTTCTATTGCTTGTTTTACTAAATTCAATTATTTTTAAATTTCTATCTCTTATTCATTAAATTACTCAATCTTTTTTTTAAATTCCTATTCTAGTGCCTATATTTCCTATTCTACTTTATTTTATTTTTCAAAAATCTGTTTATCATTTCCACTTACTTTCTCTAGATCTTTTTTCGCTTTCTAAATTTATTATGAAATATTCTTTAGTTGAGGCAGTATTTCTTAATCTACCATTTGAATATTCATTTTTATTGCTTAATCTTAAAGGTAATACTGACTAATTAATTTCATTGTATTATTAAATTGTTCCTAAATTCTATTGATATATTACCTCTTCTTAATCTTGCATCAACTTTTACATTTCCTTATATGTTTAATCAAGAATCGATTTATATTCTGAATTCCCATATTCTGATTTAATACAATTTAATTTATCTTCGTTTTGTTCCTAATACTAAAGAAAAGCATCTTCAGTTTATTATCGAATTCTATCTTGAAATTTCTCATAAAATCTAAATTTAATAATATTAAAATTTATTACATTTCTCTTTTGTAATCTAATGAAGATTTATCATCTTCCAGTTCTCTAATTTATTATTTCTTGACTTCAACTTAATAATCAATTGAGCATACCTCATTTGATAACAATAATTCGTCTCCATGTTATTTTAAAGCATTTTTCATATCCTAAAATTATTTTTTAATGTTTACTGATAATTAATTTAAGATCAATTTTTGTTAAAGAGACGCTAGTATAAATAATTCTAATTAAATTACAAACTCTTTCATGCTTCCCCAATTATTACCTTAATTGCCTTATTTAAATAAATTATTTCTAAATTGCTAAGTAAATGTTTATAATTTAGTTTAAAATTCAATAGATTCTAAATGAAATTGAGAACCTCCAAAAGAATTTATAAATTCATTAAGAATTGAGTCAGGATGCTATAAATTTAAACTCTTCTGAATTGGTACAATTTTATTTTTTAAAGCTTTTACTTTTTAACTTTACTGATGAAATTAAACTTCAAGTAATGTAGTTTGATGAAATGATGCTAATTATTTTTTTTTATTTTCTTGCTATTATTATAAATTCTAAATATGATTAGCAACTGATAATATATTTTAATCAATATCTTTAACTTATTAATTGCAATTATAAATTTATTCAACCAGATCTGTGAGTTAAGGGTTTTCATTTTTAATTTATTCAACAAATTCTTCAAGTTCTTCTTTTTAACCAACAAGTTCAGCCCTTTATAATAGTTTACCATTTAAATCCTCTTACAATAATGCTTTTGTTTCTAAATACTGATTATAAGTATCTTAAACATTATTACGCTCTTTAAGAAATTATTGATGTTCCTAATCAATGAATTCATATTGGGTTTTAAGTTTATTAAACTCTGTTTCATAGTAATCATAAACAATTGTTTATTGTCTATCTAAATCATTTTACATTTGCTGATAACTAATTTATTTATTATTCATACTTTTATTCTTCAATCCTTAAATCCTATAGTTTTTTTTGATAATTTGATTAATCTTAAGATGTAGTTGACTCATTTAAGAGAGTTGTAATTTTTTATTTGATATTACATTAATATTGCATAATTTTGAGATCAATCTGTTCCATTTAATCATAAAGATAGTCTGATCCACTATTCAAGACTTCATTGATTATTTTATGTGAGATATTGCTTTATCGAGTGATAGAGAAATATTTTGGAGAGTTCTCCTTATTTGAACGTTTTTGAGAGGGACTGTCTGTTATCATATATTTTTAACGATAATTAATAAATTTTTGCTCCTTTTTTTCTTAAGAAATTTATAAATTATAATTTGTTTTTAAAAGCAATGTCCTACATTCCAATGATTGATCAATAATCTAATAGTACTGATCACTCTTTTGAAAATCTGTCTGATTAAAATTCTGAAGAGTCCTTCGAGATTGTTGAAAGAAAAATAAAGAACAAAAAATGCTATTAGGAGGAGGAACCTTTAAAAAAGAAAAAGGACCTTTGTCGTAACTATTAAATTAATGGTTATTGCAAATATGGAGATCAAGTAATTTTGTTTAAATCTTAATTAGTGCTTTTTTATTCATACCCCCGCTAAAATTGAAAATATCATCCATACATCAGCTCTTACTAAGACTAAGCCTTGTAAACGTTATTTTAGTGGTTTTTGCTGTTATGGCCCTAAATGTTAATTTTTACATCATTAATGTATTGATCTTGAAGAATAGAGGGAATATGTAGAAAAATAATTTAAAGAGTTAAAATTGATGGTTCCTTTGCACCCAAGTATATTTTAAAATGTTAATATCAAGAAAAATTAGATTAATCTATTAGATTTGATTTATAAAGATTCCATCATCTTTATAAAATTTTTGGAAGGAAACTAAACTTCAAAAGAGATGATTTAGTTGTTAACAGTTGTAAAAGGTACTTATTTTAACTTATAATTAGTCGATTAAAAATATTTATATCGATTTGTAGAAAATAAGATCGATTTGAATAGTTATTAATGTCTAATAACACAAGTAGAAAGGAGAGTGAGCAATGTTGATTACTTATACAACTGTAGTTAATTTATTATTAACTCTAATTAATTCATAATTTAAATGACTTTGTTAATGGATACAAATTTAATCCTGATTCTTTAAGGTCTTAAACTTATGATTAAGCCCAATTACTATAAGCATCTTTCTCTATCTATGATCTAAGTTCCATTTATTTTGATTCCTTTAGTTCATTTAGAAATTAATTTCTTCTCATCTGTTTTTTCAGTTCCTTTATTATTTATTATAATTACAATTTGCATCTTTTAATACTCCTGAATTTCTTTGTTTCTTTTTTTCAATATTTCTTTTTATTAATCTTCCATAACAGACAATTATTATAAAGCACTTATTTTTAATTTATGTTCCTACTGTAAAACTTCCTATTCCTTTTCTTTCTATTATTCTTTTAGTATCTTTTATTATTATCTAAATTGCTCTTTTTCTTATATCATTAAAGATTTTTCCAATTCCTTTTATTTAGCAACTTCCTCTTCATGTTTTTACAATTCTTCTGCATGTTTTTAAACTCTTTACATGTAATCATCTTCCTATTTTTTTAATTGTGTAACTCTTATATCATATATCTACTCTCTAATTTTCAATTATCTTTGCAATTTTTCTGTTTCCTATTTAAATAATTAAATGTTACTCTTTCTTTTCTCATTTCAAGTACTCTCTCCTTTTATTTTTCATACCTCTCCCTTTATTGGAATTCATTCTCCTCTAATTTTTATTCATCTTGAATAAGTTTTTATTTTATTTCAAGAAACTTTTAATGTTCAGCTAATAATTTTTACTTTTTAATTTTATCATCTTCTTTTTGTTTTCTAAAATTGTATTACCAAAAAATTTTACTCTTTCTTTAATTCCTCTTCTTGAGCTTATTTTTGTATTACTTCTCCTTCTTGTTTAAGTTTTACATATTCTTTAAGATACCTTTCTTTAACATCATGATGTTGTTTGGCTAAAGTATCATAAGTCTATTTTTTCAATTATTCTTTGATTTAACTTTTTTCTAATTCTAATTATTCTAAAAATGATTTTTATGTATCAATTTCTCTTGTTTTTAAAGCATCATACATTAATAACATTTCTTATTTTTCCCTATTTAGTTAAATGAGTTATTAATTTGCTTAATCTATTTCTGATAATAGTATTTTTGATTTCATGTTTCTTACACTGAAAAATATAATCATTACAATACTCTGCTCTTTATCCAAAAATCTTATTGTTTGCATCACTAATTTGATCAAGTTTAAGTTTTTCTTAATAATTTGCTTCATCTCTATCAATTTTACGTCTTTCTTCTTCTTCAATCATGAATTTTTGGAATTTTTCCTTTTCTTTTTATTATCTCTATTTTTAAATACGTTATGCCCAGACTTTTTAACTATCATAAGTCTAAAGCAATAAAAATTAAGTTATACTTTTTTAGGTTTTTAATCTGTAAAGTGGATATGAGATTTAATTTATTCAAGTTCAGCAGCAGTGATAATAGTGTGTGATTATTTAATTGAAGGTAATTGGAGAGATCTTGATTTTATATCACTATTCTCTGATTAATATTTAGACATTATATAATTATGATTTATAATTATGATTAATAATTCAAATCAAAGTTAAATTTCTTGATGTCTTTGTGAACGTCTAACCGAGGAACCGCGACGCAATTCTAAAATTCCAGAAGGTTTTCTTTATTCTTATTCTGTGGATGGTTATTCAATCGATTCTGGACAGATCTTGAAAATATATAAATTATTATACAGCCTATTCTGGTATTAATTTTAATATAACACTAACAATCCATCCAAATGCCCCAATAAGTATAGAGATTAACCATTAAATTATTGTTAATCCATAGTAAGTATAGCATGAGAACGCTATACCAGCAAAAGTAATTAAAATAATTTAGAGTCCAAAAATAAAGAATACAATGATAATAAATAGAGAACTAAATTAAATAAGATGTAATACTTATTACCAATATTTTAGAAAATATTGAATTCATCATTTAATTTTCTACTATTTAAGAAATTAAATAATTGCATCATAACAAACATATTGAAGATAAAAGTAAAATGTCTACTAGGAACCATAAATTCTCTATAGACAGGTTCATAATCATCTTCACCTTCTACAGTAAGCATTCTTCCACTTCTAATCATAAGTGAATCAGGATAATAATCCATATTATATTTTGGATGATAAAAACTAGAAGGTAGTCTCTCATTCATATGTTCCTTCATAAATTTATCAATTCTATCATCAAATTCATCTCTATATTCTGGAACAAAATGTGGAGCTAAAAATACAGCAATTAACATAATAGTAATTTGAAAGGCAGCTTAACCAAATATATGTTTAAGCATTTTTCTAGTAATAATGGATTAAGCTCTTGAGTATGGTTTATCATTTAATAGAATAGGACTAGGAGGTTCAGTAGCTAAGGCTAATGATGCAAAAGAGTCCATAATTAAATTTACCCACAACATTTAAATAGGTTTTAAGACTTCTTATTTAAGTACAGCAGAAACAATTAAAGTCAATCCTACAGCTACAACATTTACAGTTAATTAAAATTATAAGAATTTACGAATAGATTAGAAAATATTTCTACCCCACATAACAGCTTTAACAATATCACTGAAATTATCTTCCATAAGAATAATAGCAGCTGCATCCTTAGCTACTTATGTACCTGAAATTCCCATAGCAAATCCAACATCAGCCTTTTTTAAAGCAGGAGCATCATTTGTACCATCACCAGTAACTGCCACAATATGTTCACAATCTTTTAATCCTACAATCATTGCATATTTATCTGTTGGTCTAGAACGTGCTAAAACTGCTATTTATGGATATAATTTCCTAAATGAACCCATATCACCTAAAGTATCTACTCTTAATTAAGTTTCATTCTTTTCAGCTTCACTTTAAGTTCTTGCACATTTACAAGATTCTGTATGACAATTCTTGCAAACTATTCCTCCTATCTTATTCATAAATTCAGCACCTTCCATAACTATTGCTCTACTATCTCCAGCTTCAATAATACCACATGATAAAGCTATTGCTCTTGCTGTTTCAGAATTATCTCCTGTAACCATTCTAACTTTTATTCCTGCTTTCTTACATAAAGTTACTGCTTCTTTTACTCCTTCTCTTAAATTATCCATTATTCCTAATAGACATAAAAAAGTCAAGTTTTCTTTCTCTACCTAATAAACTTTACCATCATTAGTAACTAAATCTTCATTACCATTTAAATCTTTATAAGCCACACAAATTGTTCTAAGTGATTACTTTGCCATCTCACTTATTATATTCTCTATCCTTTTTATATCCTATTCTTATAATTCTATTATTTCATCATTTAAAGTATGTTAATGAGTAAGTCCTTTTATTATTATTTCACTTGCTCCCTTAATATATAAACGATTAACTGGTAAACCATTCTTTTATGTAGAAACAATTACACTCATTCTCTTCCTACCAGAATTAAAAGGTATCTTCTGTAGATATTTAACTGAACTTTTAATACTTTTGTAGTCAATTTATCCTCTTCTTATGTATTCTAATAAAGCTACTTCTGTTTTAGATCCTTATTCTGGATCTAATTCAGCCGATGAATTACAGCAAATTGATTCAATCATCAATTATCTAATTTTACCAAATACTGTCAAGTCTTACTCTTTGGCCAAATAATTGACTTCAATATAATTCTAATTCCACATCTTAGTAAGAGTCATTTTGTTCATTGTTAAAGTTCCTGTTTTATCAGAACAAATAGAGTCAGCCCCTCCCATAGTTTCACAAGCATACATTTTTCTAACTAAATTCTTATCATTCATCATTTTCTAAACTGAATATGCTAAAGAAATTGTAACTGATAATGGTAAACCTTCAGGAATGGCAACAGCTAAAACAGTAATTCCTAAAATGATGAAATTTAGAATTTCCATCCAATGTTTGCTATGATCCCATTCCCCTTCAATACCTCTTTCAATAGCCAATCTTATCATCAACACAATCACTATCAATATAGCAGCATATAATCCTAGTTTGCCAATATCTTCAGCAATAATGGTTAATTTTTATTATAACGGTGTTTCTTCATCATCATCCTATTCTAATGAAGCTTTGATTTATCCTAAGCATGATAGATCTCCAACAACACATACAAGAAATAGTCCTTCTCCCTCTAAAACTCTAGTACCAGATAAAAGAGCTGGAGATGGAATTAAAAATCTATCTTTTTCTCCAAATTCAGCTCCTTCACTAATTAATTCTTGTTTTTTGTTTAAACATTGTTATATAGTACCTTTCTTAATTGAATTAGTTTCTCCCGTCATTGAGGATTCATCCATTTTTATTTCTGAAGCCTCTATTAGTATTCCATCAGCTGGTATTTCCATCCCTTCAACTAATTTTACAATGTCTCCAACTAAACAATTTTCTTCATGTAATCGATGTTCTTTTCCATCACGTATGATAGTTACAATTTTAGACTATTCACTTACAGCATTCAACTTCCTAAATTACTTTTCTTTAGAGTAATCATTCAATGCAGCAACATTAGTGCATACCAGTACAGCTACAAAAATAGCAAATCCTTCTATCCAAGCTAATGATCTATGATCGTCATCAGATGTCGCAACTTAAATAACAATGCTGGCAAATGCAGCAACAGTGAGTACTCTCATAGTAAAGTCTCCCATAGCGTCCATAAGTAATTCACAATAAGTTTAAGGGGGTCTAACTACTCTTTTATTGTGACCATATAATTCTGTCCTTTTGCTGATGTCATTACTTATAATGCCATCATTAATAGATGTACACAATCCATCTAATAAACTATCTAATAAATGGTTTGAAACTAATACTTAAGCCTCCTAATTACTCAAGGAAGTCTATTTCTTCACACATTCTTCTTCTTTGATTCAATGTGAATATATTTTATAATTGTTGAGCAGAGAACTTGAATCCTCCCATATTGAGTCTCATTTCATCGTCTCTAACAGTGATATTGACATCAGTTTTTAAAGGTGAATGATTCATTAATTTAATGATTAGAAAGAAACTTGAAATTTTGAGAAGAGAAAGAACTAAAAAAATGTAAAATCTACTTCCTGCTCTCGTTGCAGATAGAATGGCCCCTTCATTCTTTTATTATATGTTTGAGCCTTATGTTGATTTTAAAAAAATAGCAAAATCAGATACAGGTTAAGTGTAATTTTCTACTCCTGAAAATGCAATATCTAAGGGTAGAAGATGTGCTGTATAAGCTGCTCGTAAATCTAAAGCATTGTAAATGATGGGCAATCAATTAAAACTTACAGTAGATGAATAAATTGAATCATATACTAAGCCAGAAGAAAAGGGAAATCCAATAAATTTTGAACCTTATTCTCTTTAAAGAGCTGCTTTGTATGATAAAGGATGCATAACATGTGGTGGTCCAAATATAAGTGTTACATATCATGGAGAAAGACATATATGTTTAAAGTGTAGAGATCATATCACAACTCTAGATGGAGATCCTGTTGTTATATTCTAAGATGATGATGGAGAAGTATGCGTTGTTGGAATCTCAGATAAAAAAAAACTATATTTTGTTTAACTTGATGAACTTAAAATCAATGGTTATAGATGCTATGTTACATTTAGTAATGAAAATGAAATTATTTGCTTGCTTCATGATTCTTTCAATGATAAATCTAAAAAGACTTTACTTTCTCCTAGTGCTTTATGGTAAGCAGAAAAAGAAGATTAAATTAGAAAACCTAAAGGCAAAAACTTTGTCATTCTAAATAAACAGCGTTTTCTTAAATGATTATATACTTCATGATTAATTATAAATGAGAAGCGTCAAAAGTGCTAATTCTAGAAGACCATTATCTACCCTTCCTAAAGCTTAATCATAGATCATGGAAATTACCTTATCTCCTCAAATAAGAAGATTCGTTCCAAGTATGTAAAGCCTTCTTGAAAACTTATATGCTAAGAAATGTGAAGAATTAAAGATTCAGTTACAACCAGAATAAATGGTAAGATTCTAAGATAAAGTATTGAGTTAATACTCTGGCCATACTATTGATTTATCAGAACTATCCTTACCTGCTAATTGTATACCTTTAATCAATAAAGTTATCAAAAATGTTCCTTTTGTTATACTATCATAAAATCCTCTTTATGATGGCATAAAGAATCTTTAACTACCTATGGTTAGTTTGACTTTATGCAATTGTGGAATTGGTCCAAGAGGACTAGCAGTTCTTTTCTAAACTCTATCAATCAATCAAACTCTCTATCACTTAAATATTGGCAATCCATTTTCTAATGAGAGGAATAGACTTGGATTATCTTTAAATTAATTGTCAGAAGCAATTAAAAAAAATAGAATCTTAGCAATTTTAGACATAAGTGGTTGTGGTATTTATGATTTAAGAAAATTAAACTCTGCCTTTGCAGAAAATCGTAATCTTTTACATATTAATGTTTCTGATAATGAACTTAAAGATACACTAATCTTACCACCATATTTAGAAAGATTAGAAGCATAAAATAATATGTTTGGATAATAAGTTGTCTAAATTACTGAATAATTAAGATAAGGTTCTGATGCTGTTCATGCTAGAGAAATTAATCTTAAAAGAAATAAATTAACTATTCATTAATTATTTGCAATTTTAGAATAAATAGAAAGAAATACTCATCTGAATAAATTAATATTAGATGAAAATACTTTCATAGGAGAAAATAATATTTGTATATGTAATTATCTTGTGTATAACAATCATTTGGAATATCTTTCTTTGAGAAACTGCTCTTTGACTTAGAATTTTATCGAACAATTAGCATCAGGTTTGTGCAGAAATGCATGTTTAAAAACTTTAGATATAAGCAAGAATATCATTGGAGATTAAGGAGCTTTAGCATTAGTAGAAGGATTCTAAGGTTCATGTAATCTCAAATGTATTATAATGAAAAGATGCGGATTAACTGATGTAAGTGGTTTAGAACTATTTAAAACATTTCTTAAGTCTAATATTTAGGAATACGATTTCTCAAATAATCTTATGGGAGATTAAACTGCTATGTATGCAATCTAATTGATAAAAAAGAATAAAGACATTGTTAAAATGAATTTCAAGAAAAATCTTAATTCATATGAGACTAATAAATAAATTGAAAAACTGTTGTTTGATAATATCTAAGATAGAAAAAGAAATATTATACCTCATCTTCGCCATAAAGTTTAAGGAATGACAGACTTTAGAGAATAATAAGAATATGTTGATAAGAAGAAGGAATAACTTTTTGTGAAAAAGGTTCAAGCTGAAAAAGACTTTAAATTTGCTTAATCTTAAGTAGTATTATGCTAATAGGGAGCCAAAGAACGAACTTAAACTGTTGAAGATCGATTGAATAAATTAAGAGAAGAATTACATCATTTGACTGTCAAATAAATGAATATTGATAAATTTCTATGGAATTAAATTGCAGTTATTGAAGATGAACAGAAACAAATTACTGACTAAATTAAGAATGAAAATACTTTCATTGTAAATTTAAACAAATAAATTTAAGAAACTTAAGTATTTATTCTTATCATATAAAGAGTAAATAAAAATCTATGGTTTAATTTTATAAACAATAGATGGAAAATCTGAGATTGTAGGATGGAATTACTAAAAGAAAGTTAGATTAATAATAATAGGAATATAATAGTATTTAATCATAATTAGAATTTGTTAGAAAATAATAGAAAGCAATAATAAAAAAATGATAATATAATTTGATTATCTATAATTTATAATAAATTGTAAAATGCTTATCACATCTACAATATATTAGCTAAGATATATTTCTTTGAATTAATCACTTTATAAATGAATAACTGCAATTAAAAATCTTAATTTAAAATAATGAACAGAAAAATCACACTTTTGATTTTATTAGCATGTGTTGTTTGTGTTGCAACATTCATGTTTTCATTTGCCCCATCAGGTATTTTATTAAATTTATCAAAGATGCTGAATTGAAATTGAAAAAGAGTCACTCATTCTCAGCTTCAAAAAATCATGAATGGGGATTTGATGGATACACTTCTTATGATAAAGAGTGCCAATAAAAATGTACAGCTGCTAAAGGTATGAGTTGTGGAAAAGCTTAATAAAATTGCTGCAAAGCAAGCGAATGTAAGGAAGAAAGCAATTGGTATGGAACTTCATTGGTCTGTAATGCTAGAATTCCAGTTGAAGGCTGCACTAAGCCAAAGTGAGAATGAAAACATTCATTTTTAAATATTCAAAAATCATAAATTGTTATTACATCTACTCTGATACAACTGAAATCTTAAATAACATAACAATATTTTTCTTCATATTTGTTTATTACATCAAATTCTAAAATATTTATTGCCTATATGACGTTCATCAAGCAAGAAAAAAACTAATTGTTAAATTATTTCTCTCCTTCATTCATAATATCTCTGCTTAAAATGTGTTTATTATAAAATTTCTTATACAAAAAATAAAAATAAATATTTATACTTTAAATTCACATTGAATACATTTAATTTAAAACATTTTTGATTAATAATATACTTTGTATTAATGAACACTTAATTAATTAAACTGAAAATATTTTTTATGTTAAAAAAGTAGACCCTCAAAACTATTCAATTAGTAATTAGAGAAAATTGATTACTTCATTGAATATGCTTTGAATGGATATTTCAAACTATTCTTATCTCAATGATGTTAAGATTCAAATTTGAAATTTATCATAAAAAAAGAATAATTAATTTCTAATACATAGAGAACAATTTTAAAATTGATAAAATGAATAATTATTCTAAAATTGTTAAAAATATTTGAATATAAAGATAAAAATTTTAATGAATATCAATCTTTTAAAAATTAAATACTCACTCAATAAGTTCAATTATATTACTTTTGAATCAAGATACATTAAATTAAATCATTTTTAATTTCGTTAAATTATAATCGACTGTTAATATTCTAACTCAAAATCAAGTTCTTTAAGAAAAATAAATTAATTTATTTTTATTATAGAAGGATATGTTGCTAGATTTTATAATATGTGATTACTGTATAAACAAAAAAACTATTCTTTTATGATTTGTTTATAAATAAGATTTGATTTTGTAATTTTTAATTCTGTATAGTCAAAAGAGAATATATTCTTTATTAACTTTGTTTCAATAAATTTAACTTGAGCAACACAATATTTATGCATGATGTAATTGTTAATTGGTTTAGATATGTCATCTGCCTTCATAAAAATTCTATCTTCTTTATTTTTGATTATGAGCATTATATAAAATAATTTTATTTTTGAAATGTCTTAGTTCCATTGATTATTACTCGAGTCGTAAAGAATGTCAAAGCCTATTTTATAAATTAAATGAGTGTTTAAACTTTTAATTTTAAAAATTGCTTGCCTCACCCTAAGATGAAATATTTAATTTAAAATAAATTAAGAAAGTTANTATTACATCTACTCTGATACAACTGAAATCTTAAATAACATAACAATATTTTTCTTCATATTTGTTTATTACATCAAATTCTAAAATATTTATTGCCTATATGACGTTCATCAAGCAAGAAAAAAACTAATTGTTAAATTATTTCTCTCCTTCATTCATAATATCTCTGCTTAAAATGTGTTTATTATAAAATTTCTTATACAAAAAATAAAAATAAATATTTATACTTTAAATTCACATTGAATACATTTAATTTAAAACATTTTTGATTAATAATATACTTTGTATTAATGAACACTTAATTAATTAAACTGAAAATATTTTTTATGTTAAAAAAGTAGACCCTCAAAACTATTCAATTAGTAATTAGAGAAAATTGATTACTTCATTGAATATGCTTTGAATGGATATTTCAAACTATTCTTATCTCAATGATGTTAAGATTCAAATTTGAAATTTATCATAAAAAAAGAATAATTAATTTCTAATACATAGAGAACAATTTTAAAATTGATAAAATGAATAATTATTCTAAAATTGTTAAAAATATTTGAATATAAAGATAAAAATTTTAATGAATATCAATCTTTTAAAAATTAAATACTCACTCAATAAGTTCAATTATATTACTTTTGAATCAAGATACATTAAATTAAATCATTTTTAATTTCGTTAAATTATAATCGACTGTTAATATTCTAACTCAAAATCAAGTTCTTTAAGAAAAATAAATTAATTTATTTTTATTATAGAAGGATATGTTGCTAGATTTTATAATATGTGATTACTGTATAAACAAAAAAACTATTCTTTTATGATTTGTTTATAAATAAGATTTGATTTTGTAATTTTTAATTCTGTATAGTCAAAAGAGAATATATTCTTTATTAACTTTGTTTCAATAAATTTAACTTGAGCAACACAATATTTATGCATGATGTAATTGTTAATTGGTTTAGATATGTCATCTGCCTTCATAAAAATTCTATCTTCTTTATTTTTGATTATGAGCATTATATAAAATAATTTTATTTTTGAAATGTCTTAGTTCCATTGATTATTACTCGAGTCGTAAAGAATGTCAAAGCCTATTTTATAAATTAAATGAGTGTTTAAACTTTTAATTTTAAAAATTGCTTGCCTCACCCTAAGATGAAATATTTAATTTAAAATAAATTAAGAAAGTTATAGATTTTAACGAAAATATCAAATTAAACAAAGAATTATAACAGAAGTGGAAAAAAATTTATTTTTCATAAACAAAAATAGTTAATTAATATCATTCAAAATATTAATTTTCATCAATAATTTATAAAGAAGAAATGTCAGAAAAATTTGAATTTTAATCTTCCTTTTAAGGTTAAGCAACTGCAACATTTTATTGAGGGACTACTTTAAATTCTTCAATTTATGTTAATTATACCTTGATGTTCTGTAAGGATTTTTTAGGGGATTTAATATTAATGAAAGGATGATTTAATAGTTCTTTAGCTCTTTTTCTTTATTTAGGTTCATATTATAAACAACAATCAAGAAAATCTTTTAAATTGTCAGAAATATTGCTAGGTATTAAAGGAGTGCATTTCTTTGAAGAGATTTAGAATAAAGCCTATAAAGGACTATCAAAATGTCCCCAAGGAGGTGTAGCAGTTAACATTTCTAAAACTACACATCCCAAACTCCATATATCAGAGTATCTTCCAATTTCTTATTGATTTAATACTTCAGGAGCCATCCAATTTGGAGTTCCTTTTAATGAATAAGATTATTATCCTATCAAACTACAACCAAAATCAGCTAATTTACATCCTCCTCTAGTGTCTACTATAATATTAGCACCTTTGATATCTCTATGTATAATTTTTTTCTGATGTAAATAGATTAAACCTTATAGAATGTCTCTTGTATATTTTTGGATCACACTTTCAGTCAATTTACCAAATTTTTTTAATATCTATGCAATTGATCCCCCTAAATTCTATTCTTTAATAATTACCTCCAGCATATTCAAGAAATATACTTAAATGAGTACCATCATTTGAACAACCATAATATTCAACAATATTTGGATGTTTTAATTAACTCAATATCTAAATTTCCTAATAAAATGAGTTTAAAGACTCTTTGTCAACAAGAAGAATTTCGATCTATTTTATTGCAAATACTCTTCCTGTTTATAATTCGAATCCTTAATATACTACCCCAAATGATCCTTATCCTAAAAATACCCCTTTCTTCCAAGATTTTATTGTAACTGGTTCTTTCTGAATTGTTACTCTCTCTTCAAAATCAGAATCATACTCATCTGAATTATTATTAATTATAGTTCTTTATTTTATTGATAAAGATATGGCTGTAGGTTATTATTAAACTTTGCAAAGAGCATCTTTTTTAAAATATTTGCATAATTAAGAAATATATTATCCCATAAATAATAATAATTTCATTTAAAAAATTTATCTCACTTATTATAAAAATATATATCTCAAGTCTTTTTTTTAAAGAAAATATAACCCTAAGCTTATAATAGTAAGTGATATTTCAAAAAAAGAATCATTTCGAACTTTAAAATTCTTATAAAAAATTAATAACTCAGATAATAATTATGTTATGAAGAATTTTATATTTAATACGTTTGCGACAAATTTAAATCTAATTCTAAAATGAGAATTGTTATTTTCGAGTGGATGAATTATGATTTTATCAAATACTCAACCGTGATACTTTTTTGATATTTTGAAAGGATGTCGAAATCGATTTTTGATATTCGAACCTGCAATCAGACCATCATCTTATTTATAAAAACTTGGTTCTATTTCAGGATAGGGATAATTCTTATCTCCTAAGAAATGAACTGGAATTCTTAACATTAACTAATAATTCTTACAGATTCCTTTTCTTTTCAAAAGTAGGCACTCGAGATTTTCTTTGCATTATTTCTTCTAAGCTAACCAATCCATCTGTTTCTTTATTTGCTTGAATAAAAGTTCTCTTTCCAATCGATAAATCTTCATGATGTTTGCTTTCTTTGGATGTGCAATGTTTTTTTTATTTTTCTAAAACAAAATAGAGAATATGTATTACCCAACTAATCAGATGGACCAGCAAACCAATCTAATCTTGTCATTCTTTTGTCAGAGTTGCAGGGTGTCAAACTTGGAAATCCTCCTAATTCAACACTTGGCTTAAATTTAAATTGAAACCGCCCTGTTGAGCTAGCTTAATAAAATTGCGATTTAGTTGTAAACATGTTTTGTTATTATAATTAATTTAATTAGGCTATGTTGATAAATATCCAAATATTGTTATTTTTCAATTTGAATGCATCATAAGCCTATGTTCCATTTTTAGGACGAGTAAAACTTAAAGTAATGATTTAATATTATTAACAAATGAATTGAAAAAAATTATTCTTATTGTAGTTCTATAATTTATTTTTACTTCTACTGTTTAAATGCAATATAGAATCTGTAATTATTTTACCTCATAACAGTTTCTAATCTGCTCTATTCTCATAGTTCCTTATTGATTAAATAAATTATCAAGACAATTTTGATAAAATAAAAATTTCTTTCAAACATATTAAATTCTTCATTTTTTATTTTTCTTTACAACAGATTCTATTTTCTTTTTGGTTTAAACATAAAGATTGTAAAATTTTAATGTTTTTTATTTTAACAATTATGAATTAAAATTTTTTTTTATTGGTAGATTTGTATTAACAAAAGAGATTTTAAAGACTACAAGTTTATTGAACAAGGTAACATATATTTACTTTTTAAGTTAGGATTTAAAGCTAAATTATATTAAAAATTTTGAAAAAGCTAAATTAATTAGNTTTTTTTTAAAGAAAATATAACCCTAAGCTTATAATAGTAAGTGATATTTCAAAAAAAGAATCATTTCGAACTTTAAAATTCTTATAAAAAATTAATAACTCAGATAATAATTATGTTATGAAGAATTTTATATTTAATACGTTTGCGACAAATTTAAATCTAATTCTAAAATGAGAATTGTTATTTTCGAGTGGATGAATTATGATTTTATCAAATACTCAACCGTGATACTTTTTTGATATTTTGAAAGGATGTCGAAATCGATTTTTGATATTCGAACCTGCAATCAGACCATCATCTTATTTATAAAAACTTGGTTCTATTTCAGGATAGGGATAATTCTTATCTCCTAAGAAATGAACTGGAATTCTTAACATTAACTAATAATTCTTACAGATTCCTTTTCTTTTCAAAAGTAGGCACTCGAGATTTTCTTTGCATTATTTCTTCTAAGCTAACCAATCCATCTGTTTCTTTATTTGCTTGAATAAAAGTTCTCTTTCCAATCGATAAATCTTCATGATGTTTGCTTTCTTTGGATGTGCAATGTTTTTTTTATTTTTCTAAAACAAAATAGAGAATATGTATTACCCAACTAATCAGATGGACCAGCAAACCAATCTAATCTTGTCATTCTTTTGTCAGAGTTGCAGGGTGTCAAACTTGGAAATCCTCCTAATTCAACACTTGGCTTAAATTTAAATTGAAACCGCCCTGTTGAGCTAGCTTAATAAAATTGCGATTTAGTTGTAAACATGTTTTGTTATTATAATTAATTTAATTAGGCTATGTTGATAAATATCCAAATATTGTTATTTTTCAATTTGAATGCATCATAAGCCTATGTTCCATTTTTAGGACGAGTAAAACTTAAAGTAATGATTTAATATTATTAACAAATGAATTGAAAAAAATTATTCTTATTGTAGTTCTATAATTTATTTTTACTTCTACTGTTTAAATGCAATATAGAATCTGTAATTATTTTACCTCATAACAGTTTCTAATCTGCTCTATTCTCATAGTTCCTTATTGATTAAATAAATTATCAAGACAATTTTGATAAAATAAAAATTTCTTTCAAACATATTAAATTCTTCATTTTTTATTTTTCTTTACAACAGATTCTATTTTCTTTTTGGTTTAAACATAAAGATTGTAAAATTTTAATGTTTTTTATTTTAACAATTATGAATTAAAATTTTTTTTTATTGGTAGATTTGTATTAACAAAAGAGATTTTAAAGACTACAAGTTTATTGAACAAGGTAACATATATTTACTTTTTAAGTTAGGATTTAAAGCTAAATTATATTAAAAATTTTGAAAAAGCTAAATTAATTAGACAATCTAAAGAGTTTTAGCTTAAATATATAAGTTTAATTCTAAAGGAAATATTAATTTGATCATTATCTAAATGGATAAATTATGAATGAAAGATTGTTTGATGATTGAAAATAAAAAAATTGAAGATTCCTAAATTAATAAAAATAAATTATTTATAAATAAGAAATTAATTAAATACAAAATTTATAAAAATTAAGTTCAAATTAGCTTTGTGATTGTAAGTTCTAATAGAAGTTTGAATAAAAAATAGTAATTAAATTAATTTAAAGGTTGCTAATTGAGATGATAATAGATTAAAAATGATTAAGGAGAAAATATAACTTTTTGTTGGTTTATAAAATGCTTAGAAAAATAAAAATGAATAAGTAAAGGGGCTTTGAAGAAAATTAGAAATTGATGGAACATTATATTATTATTATTTTTTTACGATTGATATTGATGAATTTGTTTAACCATGATGAAATAAATTTATTGGAGGTATCCAAATAGAGGATTGCTAGGCCGCATAAGATGGAAAGTTAGAGTTCATAAAAAATCAGTTAATATCTTTGACATCAAGACAATTATAGGATGCTTGCAAAAAGACAGATTATTATGGTAGAAACGCATTACATTATGTAATTAGTAAACTAAAATAGGCTGCTTATAGAGGACATTATGATGTGGTTGAATATTTTCTGGATTTGTAATGTATAGACATAAATTCAAAAGATAATAAAGGTATTTAGTAAAAAATAATGTTAAAGGGAATACAGCAATAATGTTAGCATGTGTAAGAGGATATAACTAAGATATAGAAAGTCTGAAAGAAGGTTCTAAGTTTGCAATATGTTCACTGCTTTTAGAAAGAGGAGCATAACTACATGAATTTAAGAAACAAGGCATAAACAACCCTTTGCATTGGACTTGTTTTTTTGGAGACTTAAAAACAACAAAGTTATTGATGTTTGTGGAATCTAGCTTAAGTAAATGAATGAAATGAGATTCTAGTGTTGTATTCGAATGATAGAGATTAATTTCCAATTGATTTGGCATTGATGACAGGGAAAGAGTTGGATGATAGAGAATAAGATGAAAAAGTGTTAGAATTTATGATAATGAAGTTCTTAGCTTAATATTTAGATAATGATGAACATAAAAAGAAATTGGAGTTATCTACAGATGAACATGAATCATATAGATATTTATAGTAGAGCAATATATTCATTAAGTCAACAAAACAATTAGCTTAAGTAGGACTTCGATATTTATTTTGGGCAAGTACATTAGGAAGATTGGATTTAGTTAAGCCTTTGATAAATTGTAGGTATTCTCCTTTTGAACCATCATATAAAGGGAGAAATGCATTACATGCAGCAGTTTATAATAATAGAAAAGAATTAGTTGAATATTATTTGGAGTCAGAATCTGTAAAGGAATTTAGAATTGATAATGTTATTAATAGAATGACAAAAGATAAACCATAGACAGCTTTACATGTAGCAGTTGAGAGAGGTCATATAGATATTGTAAAAGCATTAATAAAGAAAGGAGCAGATCCTAATTTATATAATTTTAGAAATCAGAAAGCTTTTGATTAATCAAGATTAAATGAAATCAAATTTTTGAGAAGAGAATTATATAAAAATTCTAAAAAGAATTATTTAAGATCAGGATATAATCATGTTTTAGTTGGATGGTAAAGATGTAAAAATCAATTGTTAGAATAATAATTCTACAATATTCAATAAAAAAAGAATTTTGAAAAAGGAATGTTTAAATATTTACCTATTGAATCTATAGATAAATAATATACATATTATTGTTTAAAAGTTGATGAAAAACTCAAAAATTTAATAGCTAATGAAACTAAAATGATGATTTATAATTCAAGAGAGGCTTATTTATGTCCCTTTAATATTTAAATTTAAGAGTAATTTGAAAATTTTCATCATGTTCATGATTAATAAATATTATAGACATTATTGTATGATGAATTTGATATTGATTAATTCATTAATGATGGTTTATTGATAGAACATTTCCCTTTACATGATGAAGAAGAGAAAGAATTGATTTTAAAGTTTTGGAAGAATGAACGATTTCATATACTATTTGAGCCATTTTAATTAAGAAGATCATCAAGTAGAACATTTAGTGCTTTATCTTCATATTTTGGAGCAGAAATAGGAATGTTTTTTGTTTTCTTATGTTTTTTTACAACATGGTTATTTTTACCTGCTGTTCCAGGATTATTGATTGGAATATTTCATTTTATAGATGGAGAATCTATTAATGCTGTTGCTCCTATATATACTTTATGTATGGCTGTTTGGGCAACTATATTTTTTGAATTTTGGAAGAGAAAATAAAGTGAAACTATGTACAATTTTGATATGCATGTTGCTGAAGAATAAAGAAGATGGATACCTTAATATAAAGGAGCTTTTATTATTGAAGATGTAACTCATATCATTGAAATTAAAGATACAAGAAATGTCTAATGGAAATATTTCAAATCTAACACTCCATTAGTTTTTTTAGCCATTATATTTATTGGTGGAGAATAATTTGGATATTTTTATCTTAAATAAATAAATGAAGGAGATTAATTTTATGATACACTTTGGGCATGTATATTAGCTATTTCAATCTTAATTACTAATGAAATTTTTAATTTCTTTGCAAAACATACTTTAGTTTATGAAAATCATTAATATCAAGACGAAAGAGAGAATGTTTATATCTTAAAAGTTTTTGCATTCACTTTTCTAAATTCATTTGGTAGATTATTTTATAGAAGTATTATTCGACCTGATTCTGAAGAATTAGATTTATTAAGTATATCTTTTACAATAATATGGTCTCTTGTTCATTTGATTAGATATACTCTTCTTCCACTTTTATCTTTCTTTTTTATCTAAATAAAATTTAATTGGGATTTCAATAAATTCAAACAAAATACTTCTAAACAATTTGCAGCTGTCTAAAGAATAAGTGTTTATGATACTGAAACTAGTGCTATCAATAAATCTTTTGATAAAGGAATGTCCACTTAATATTTTCTTTAATAAATAGAATTAAACAGAAGAATGATTGATCCTCCGAATCATGTAGAATAATTTACCTATTTTGTAAATCATGATATTAATATAGATGACATAATTTTGCATGGCTACAATGTTTAGTGCAGGGTCTTAAATAATTCCTATTGCTATTTTAATCTTCAATATTCTTAATATAGAAGGTCTTCTATATGGATATAGAAAATTTGTAAAGAGACCAATAGCAGAACCAAAAAAAAGTATAGGTGTTTGGAATGATATTCTCTAATTAGTTGGATATATAGGAATAGTGTCAAATTGTTTATCAATTTATTAAGCTAATTAAGCATAATTAAATACTTTAATAGGATAAGATCCAGATATTTCAGAAGATTAAACTGATGTATTCTTAAAAATATAAATAGCTTGGACTTCGAAACTTTTTATTCCTAATTGTTGCTGAACATATTGTGATTGGAATCAAATTTGTTATAGAAGGAGTTATCCCTGATGAACCTGAATGGGTTGAATTAGTACTCAAAAGAGAAGAATTCTTATCTGAAAAGAATAAGGCAAAAAAAGGGGAATAGACCAAAGCCATCGAAATCAAAACAAAAAAAGAATGAACTTTGTTGTTTTATATATATAATTAATTTAACTGATGAATAGTAAAACTAATTTTACATAAATGATATCTAAAAGAACACCTTTAAATGAAAGAGTAAATAGAAACCATTATGATTAAGAAGTTAAGTATACAAATAAATCATTCACTTCTGGTAAAAAATAATCAGCTAATAAAATCAACTCAATCATAAGTGAAATGCTGTCAAAGCGTTAAAGTTCTTAAGATATCTAAAATCCTAAAGCATCTCTAATTAGATTAGATACAAGTAATCAAAATGCATCATAGAGATCTATATCACCTACTAAACTTTATTAAATGCCTGAATCCCTTAAAAAAATATATAATTAAATCCATCAGAAATTTTCTGATTCATCTAATTAAAAAACATTTCCAAAACAAAAATCCAAAATTCTCAAGTAAAGAACAGAAGAATCTAAATTTTCAACTTAATGTACACCCACCTCAGATTATACAGAAAAATATTTGATCAATTTAGTCAATCAAGAAGAATGTGTTTTTACTATTTTAGCAGTTGTTACTAAATAAAGAAAAGTTGTAAAATTATGTTAAAACTTTTTGAATGCTATTCCTTAATCTTAAGGAGATTGCAAAGATATAATTTAATAGAAAATCCTATGTAAATAAATGCTATTAGAAAGAATGGGAATCTTTGTGATTATGCTCTAAGGATTAACTGAAAATTATGATGAAGAATTATAACATATTAAAAATCTACTACTTTATATTCATAATGGAATGGTAATTTATTTAGAATTTTTAATAAAATAAAATCTTACAATAGATTAAAAGAATATTCTATAAAATCGATTAAGCAAGATAAAATAAAATAGAAGAGCAAATAAATCTGTTTAAGATATTACTTAATTAAAGAAACATGCAAATGTTGTTCATTCATTATTGATCTTATTGTAATGAATATAAATTAAAATTTTTAGTATTGAAAATTCTAGTGATTTAAAGTGTGCAAGACTAGAAAAGTTGTTATAAAATATAGATTAGATTTCTTTGTAATAAGGAACTATGCTTATAAAATAATAATTTGATAAAGTGATTTTAGAAATAAATAAATTGAGAGAAACAATAGATATTAATGAAACCGAAAAGACTCTTGAATAGGAAGAAATTGAAAAACATTTGGAACTTAAAATACCTTACTTACCAAAATATATAGGTTATACTTTAGTAATTGATTTGGATGAAACTTTAGTTCATTATTAAGAAGTATATTTATATGATTGATCAAGTTAGTAGATGATGGCTAATTTTTAGTTAGACCTTATGCTGAATAATTTTTAATAGAAATGAGCAAATATTATGAAATAGTTATATTCACAGCAGCCTTACAAGATTATGCAGATTTCATTTTAGATTTGATTGATAAGAGTCATGTTATTTCTCATAGACTGTACAGATAGCACACTACATTAATAGATGGAACACATGTTAAAGATTTGAAATTTGTTGGTAGAGATTTAAATACTACTATCATAATTGATAATATGGCTGAAAATTTCTAACATCAACCATAAAATGGTATTTGTATCTAAAGTTGGTATGGTGAAGAGGATGATAGAGCTTTATATTAATTGGCTCCAATACTTTCTCAAATAGTTATTAAAAAATGTAAAGATATTAGAAATGCTTTACGATGTTTAAGAAATTAAATGCTAGAGAATATAGAAAATGGCATTGAGGATCCTCATTTACATTTATCTTTGAATTGATATTTTCTTTATGATATAATTTTATATAATTAATTTTGTATTATTTAATATTTATATTATAAATTAGTTATGTATATTTTATTTTGCTTATTACTTGAAGCTTTACTTACGAATAGCTTAATTAAAGAATTTTAAGCAATTCAGAATTATTTGCTTATTGAAATATTCAGTGATGATTGGCTTAATATGAAAATTGAAGTTGCAGAAAACTAAGTTATAATGAGTGAAATAGCATAAGATAGCACTCAATATTTATAATTGTACTACAAACTAAAAATTGGATAATAATATAAATTGGATATTTTTACTTTACCAGATAGCAATGTTACAATTAATGAAGTGCCTTTTAGAACTTGCCCCAATAATTGTTCGAATTATGGAGATTGCTAAAACTTGGAATGCCGTTGTTAAATTATGACTGCAGGGTATTATTAATTAATAAACATTAAGAGAAAGATGTTAATTTTAAGTTGTTTAACTTTATAATAAAACTCAATATTCCGAAAGCCTAAAATCTCATTAAACAATAATAATTGCGGCTTTTTATTTGCAAGCTCAACTATTAGATGATTAGGAGTACTAATTTATAAAATTTTGAGTTAGACAAGAAATCTCCAAATTCAGTCATCCTCCTCTATAGATTCAAAAATTTATTTACTTTAACCTTTTGAATATCCTTCATAAAAATTAATTTAAGAAAAACTAATTTATGATGGATAGTTGTTATCTATTCCTGTTGAGTTAGATTATTCTAGTAAATTTGAAAAATATCATATAAAAGCCAGCTACTATTCTTTTATTTTAGTATTAAAAAATACAAATTCTTAAACATAAGATATGGTTCTGAAATATTAACTACTTGATAATGATTAAAAATTTTAAGATTTTATTTTAGTTGCAATATTGAGTGTAATTTCATTCATAATTCTTTTAATAATAATCTATATTGTTAGAAGAAGATGTTAATATTTATAATCAACTTAAATAAAAGAAAATTAAGAAGATTAATCAGAAAATATTGTTATTTAATTAATGCCTATAGTGAATCCAGTGAAAGATTAAGATTGTGTAATATGTTTAGATCCATTAGATAATAGATTATGTAGACAAACTCCTTGCAAACATGTCATGCATGATAATTGTTTAAAATAATGGATATAAAAATAATTGACGTGTCCAATGTGCAGAGAAACATTAAATGATTTAGAATATGTACCTAGGACATTCAAATCAAGAAATCAAACATCAAATACTTTTATTCTCAGTCATTAAGGTTAGCCAATTGTATAAAGTGATAGAAATTCAGTTCGTTCTATGATAATTACTAGAAACAGATCAAGTAGATTGGCTGTTTTTTAATGAAAATTGATTATTATTTCATAATTATTATAAGATTAAAATATATAATAAAATCTCAAATTGGATATAGATATAATTGGATTCTTTTCTCCATTATTTACATATAAAAACATTAAAAAAAATTAAATCTTTTTTTAATGCCTCCTAAAGTTGACCCAAATGAAGTTAGATTGATTAACATTAAAGTTTTTGGAGGAGAAGGTGGACCTGCCTCAACACTTGCACCTAAATTAGGTCCTCTAGGACTTGTAATTATTATTGCATAATATATAAATAGAATCCTAAATAAGTTGGTGATAAAATTATTCTTGAAAGTGGAAAATGGAAGGGTATTAGAGTTATGGTTAATTTGAGATGTTAAAATAGAAATGCTGATGTAACAGTCATCCCTACTTCCAGTGCATTATTAATTAAAGAAATTGGAGTATTAAATATTCACAAATTAATTTATTTAGGGTTATGAAAGAGACAGAAAAAAAACTAAGAATGTTAAACACAATGGAAATTTGACATTAGAATAAGTCATTAAAGTTGCCAGAGCTGTTGAAGAAAAGTCTCTTGCTAAGACCTTCACAGGAACAGTCAAATAAGTATTAGGTACTGCATAATCTCTTGGTGCTACTGTTGATGGACAACCTGTTAAGGCAATTATTGGAAAAATTAATTCTGGTGAACTTAAAGTTGAAAAATGATTGTGAAAATATATTATTTCATTTTATACACAAAATAATAAAATAATTTATTAAAAAATCTTATTCATTTTTTTTATATATTTTTTTCATCAACCATTTAAATAAGAATAATTTTGAACATACTTGAAATAGAAAATCATAATATTTATTTTATTCTTCAAATTTTAAATTACATTTTTATTTTTTTTTACATAGATATTTGTAATATAAAATAGGCAATCTGCTATTGAAAAAATATATTAAAATTAATGAATTAATTAATGTATAAAAAAAAAAAATTAAATTTATCAAAGAATATAACCAATATGGTGATAATTATTTAAGATTGAGAATTTATAAAAAAATATTAGCTAACAATAAAGTTTATATCAAATTAATTCATTACATTCTATAACAAACTCTACTTAAAACTTAGTGTGAGCAATCTGAAATGAATTAGCATTTTTAATATTCGATTAGAGTGATTTGAAATTTTGGTGACATTCCTCTTTTAAATTCTAATTTGCTGAATCCACTTCATATAATCAAATTAATAATTGACTTATATTTTATATGGTCTAGAAGAATTTTCTTTATTAATCCTTATCAAATTCCGATAAAATTTTCCAGAAACATATTATTTATTAACTATTTTGTTATTTAAATTTATCAAAATCTACTACTGAAACTCCATTATATACATCTCGAGTTCTTCAACAGTTAATATTTGAAGATATCCTTTTGAAATATATCTGTATAAATTAGTTTAAATTTAATTTAATTAAGTTTCGATTAGTTTTTCTGTATAAAATTGAGTAATGAGCTTAATAAAAGTCAAAACCATTAAACAGCAAATTGTAATTTATTTTTATTATTGAATAGTATTAAAATAGGTTTCCGTCAAATTAATTATGTAAAAGATATTTTCAACTTAGATATAAGCTTTTAATATAAAATTAAATATACTCAGGTGATTTGATATCCTAGTAATTTTACAATTAAATGTCAGTCTAACTCAATATAAATGTTGATCCTTTCAAATTTAGCTTTAGCTCTTTCTAAACTTACTAAATCAAAATAGGGAGTCGCTTAGCAAATTTTTTATAAGAAAAATCATTTGTTTAAATTAGTACAAATATGCCTTTACAAATTACTTTTTAAATTAAAGTCAACCATCTTCTTAATTTCTTAATATTCACCTTATTTACATTTAATTTATCATGATATCCAAGAATTTTCTAATTGCATATTAAGCAAAACCTATTTTTCAGCAAAAAATCTCTTTTAGATATTTCTAATTCGAAGTTCTATTTTTTTATATTTATCCACTATTTACTTGTGATTAAACTCTATTCAATTTATCATTTTCTTTGATCCAAATATAATTATTTCCTAATTGAATTTGGAATTTAGAATCCCACAATGTTTTAAACTTTGACTATTTAGAGACTTTGATTTGATTTATAAAAGAATTTTAAAAACTTTATTATTTGTAGATGATCCAAATTTATAATCACATTTAATAAATTTAATATCTTATCCAATTTTCTAATTCTGATGATTTGAACTTCTCTTGTCCATTCCTTCAAAAATTATTTATAATCAATATGCAAAATTATAAAAAATAATATAATCATATAGAAATTTAGAATACAATTTATGCTATTATTATTATACAATAATAAATCCAATAAACTGCTTCAAAAATGAAATAAATTCTAACTTTTTATTTTCTTAATAATAATTATATAATGATCTAATGATTTCAGAATTAAAGGGCTTATTTTTGGAATATATCTTAAGCCTTATTAATATCACCTGTGACAAATAAACTTTCTAGATTATTAACATCTAACTTCTACTATATAGTTTATTAATATTAACTTATTAATCTACTAAAACTGAATCATCAACGACAAGACTATAATTCCCATAATATTGAAGAATCTTTTGAACTTTATTCAATTTTTCTCCTCCTGTTAATACTGTATTATATCCTCTTTCTAATCCTCCCAAAACTATTACTAAAATCTATAGTTTCTACCTATAGAAAAGTTTGTAACAGTTTAAGGATCTCCAGATACAATTACATGTTGTGATCCAGATACTTTTTCACTCATTTTCAATAAATCTTAATAAGAATAATTTTATAAAGATCCATTCTTTAATACTGCTGCTATTGGACCTGTACTTTATGGAAGTGATAATCTATTAAAGTTTCTTGAAGCATATACTAAGGATTCCTAAACATTCATTATTATTATACTCTAAATTTATAAGTGCCTGGGTATGAGTAGAATCCAGTATGTATCAACCATTTAAGATTACTAAATTTATTGCTTTTTAAAATTGAACCAGATTAAGCTTAAAAATTTATGAATAAATTTTCATACTTTACCAAGCTTCTGGTACTAAATTCTTAAGTACTTCAATAAATTTTGCTTCGTTAATTAATTGATTTGGAGAAAACACAATTCCTTTTGGATTAATTATATTTATTGCTTTTTCAATGTCATTTTGATCATTAGATCTAAATGGTATTACAGTAATTCCAGCTTTTGCAGCTCCAATAAAAGCAGCAGCTGCTTCACTAGTATTTGATCTGCCTAATAACAACAAAAGTTTGTCTCCTTATTTCCACCCTTATTCAATCAATCCATATGCAAATGCACTTGAATGAGTCTCATAATATTATCAATTTTTACGTCAAATTCTCCAAATGTCCAAGTAAGATTTTGATTCTCAAATCTAAATCCATTTTTTAGAGGATTAGCTTTTGCTAAATTTGAGAATCCTTATTAAATGGATCGCAACATTAATTATATAATTATTATTATAATCAATTTTCAATAAATATAGAAATCATTATTTATCTTAAAAATTATATATCCTTTGAGAACAATACTAATGATAATTTTAAGTATATCAATTTTTTTATAGAATATATAATTATTAATTGGTCGATTGGTTATTAAGTAATAAATTAATTAATAAAGGTTATTATTTTTATAAGTAATATCACCAGAAAATACATTTTTATTCATTTCTAAAGTTGTTATTATAATAAATAGTAAAAAACCTATACTTTTTTTCGTTTAAAAAATTATAACTTCTAATTCTAATTTAAAATCAAAAATATTATGAATTGTAAAAATTAATTAATCTTAAATATATGAAGATTATTGGCTAAATTTAAATAGATATATAGAAGATTTTTTATATATATCTAATAATGTATTCCTATTATATAAATTAAATTATAAATGGATCTGATATATTGTAGCAAATATTCTCTTGTGAATCAAATACATTATACTGCTTCCATTATAATAATATAATTAGATTTAAATTAGAAATAAATATTATTTATTATGATCAGTACAAACATAATTGCAACTCAAAATTATTTAACAGTCATATTTTGTCATTTATACACTAAAGTTTTGTTAGACATTTTTCAAAAGAGATGTAATCGATTCTTTACATTTTATGGTGCCTTTTAATTATTGGCAGTTAAAGATTTATAAAAAAATTAGAAACATTATATGTCGAGGCATACTTTCTATATATTATTATTAAAATTAAATGAATTGATCAAGATGAGACAAGAGATAAAGATTAAATTATTGCAATTTTATCATTGTACCAAACTTAGATTCATTTTAATTAATTAATCGTGTTTTATAATAATGAAAAAGCTCCTTTTTAAAATAAAAGCATTTTATGTTAAAGACTTCTTATCTATCAAAGATTCAAAAAGAAAAACTTTCAAAATGGCTGTTGCATTAATAATTTTAGAAAACCTTTAGATTTTATCAGTGTACACAAACAGTTTGAATACCATTTAGTATGATCAATTTCCAAATTAAGTTCAATCATGGATGAATAATTTTAAGTGAATAAAATATAATATGTATTAGGATATACTCTTTATTTGGAAACTCAATTACTGCAAGAATTATTTGTGTAATGGTTGGATTTTCAATATAAACTTTATTTTTTTTAAGAATACTTTGCTTAGTGTTTAGTTAAGATTTATTCCTTAAATAAAAGTTAGCTCTTCATGATTTACCATTAAATCAGGTAAATTTAACATATAATACTAGAATAATAAAAATTATCATTTTGAGAGATGTTGGCAATCTAAATTACTTTCCTGGTATATGTAAATTAATCTTGAAGTTTTGTAAATACCAATACTATTTTGCACTGTTAGCCTTATCACTGATATTCTTGGTCTGGGTATTAATTATTTTAATGTAGAAAGCTTGAATGAATTTGAATAAATTGGATTGCTTTTAAGCTTCATACTTATTATTTTATAATTACTAATAGGGATATTCCTGCATTTTCATTCGGCTGATTATAGGATTAAAAATTACGATATTTTAGGGAAGGTTCAAGGTTTAGAAAATCACATTCTATATGCATTTAGAATATTGTAATGCGTATTATTATCACTATAGTATAATATTTTTATCTGGAAGTTAATCAAATACAATTGTTACTCAAACTTTAGGATTATTGATTAATAGTATATAGGCAATATATAATTATAGAAAATTGACGTATATAGACCATAGAATTATAAATATTACTTTAAAAATTAACACACTTATGGTTTTTTATCAATTGATATTGATTTTATGTGAATTTGGATATCCAACTATTAAAGTCAGTGCATCACTGTTAATTTTAATATTTTTCCCTTTCATTATGGTCTTAATCCATTAATTATCACTCTAATCAGAATTAAAGAATAATTATAACAATTAAAAGTAATTCTTAAGAAGATTGTATTGGAATGCCAAAAAATAAGTTTAATGTAAAAAAAGGTAATAAAATTTGGATTAATAACAAATATTTTAAATATTTACAGTTGTCAGAAGCCATTTATAAGAATGTAAATAAATGAGAATGAGAAAAATGTTAAAATATGCTAGTTTTAAATAACAGTGCTTTTGTTAAACTTTTTTACAATAAAAAGATTCTTTTTAAAACATTGAGCAATGTAAAGAATTTTTGAAATTGTTACTTGGATAAGTATTAGAAGATGAATTGAAAGAAGATGCAAATATTTAGAGAACATTAGCATATATATGTTATTTAAATGAAATAAAAAAATCACCAATTTAAGCAATTTATGAAGTAATTAAAGTATCAACTCTAGAATAGGTAATTATTTAAAAAAAAGTAGATTCCTTTGAGACTTTAATAGATTATACATTAACTTCAATGTGATTCTTTATAAAAGTTCAACTAATTAATAAAGAAGTAAAATTTAGTGAATTAAATGTTTGATTTTAAAAAAGCTTACCTATTTGAAGAATCCTTAAAGATTTTAAAGCATAATTTATATCTTATTGTTAAATAAGAAATAGTAAAAAATTTATAATAAGTTTAGGAATTTTATGAAGCTCTATTTTCTCCAATTATAGATGCATAAATTATTTAAGATAAAGGAATGTTACTAGTTAGTAATATAAATAATTTAGAAGAATAGATATAAATTATTTTTAGAACTAATCCATAAAATGGAGAGTGTGATACAATTTACAAGCTATTTTAAAAATATATAAACTATAACAAAGTTAGACCAAAGTTGTTTAGAAGAGAAGGTTAATTGATGGCTGAATTTATTTAATCATTAGATAAAATAATTTATGATTAAAATAGTTGTGTAGTTTAAATTACTTTACTTTAACCTAGAGGAAATGTAATTAGATATACAAGATCTTTTTAATAAGCTGTCTAATGCAAAGATGATGAAATATTGGCTTAAAACATAAAAAAATTTATACCATCTATTATAGCTAATGATCATGATTTATATTTAAACAATTTTGTTGAAACTGGAAGAATAAATGTATTAAAAAGAGAATTAAGAATAATTTTAGTAAAATTAAAATCCTAATTTGTAATTCCTATCAATACTAGATTGAGAATAGAAGTAAATCCTTTTGAATTTGGAGCCTAGGCTTTAATGACTCCTGTAAATTAATCTTATGGTTATTTAATGCTTAATGAATAAGGTCAAATAGAAGAGATTACAAAAAATTTATATGAAGATATATTTAAATAATATTTAGGATTAGAATTAGATTTTGTAAGAGGTTTAGATTTTTTACTTATGATTCCTGAACTTTCCAAGATTTGGTCTAGTTTATTTGATGATAACTTTGATAAATTAGATTATTATTTAGAAGGATAATTGATCATACCAACAATTGAAAAATAAACTGTTTCACCAATATTTCCAAATAATTATGGAAATAAATAATAACTTAATAAAAGACTTTAAGAGTATATGAAAAACTTTACTTAAAATCTTATTAAATATTAAATTAATATTCATCTTACAAGTTTAACAACAATAAAATTAAAGTAATATTTATTATTATAATATATAGAGTAGTTATAGTAGAAATTCCAGAATATAAATAAGCAATTAATAAATAGTAAGCTAGTTAATTAGAATTAATCTAACCATAGCCTCCTAAGACATCTATGAATATGACATATTAATCAGAATTACCAACTTATAAATCATATGGAATACATTCACCTTTAAATACACCTCCTCCAACTAAAACTTTAATGAATGAATGTGATTTAGAGTATGATAATTTAATTGAAGAAAAAAAAATGATTGAAGAGTTTAGAAATTAATTAGCTTCAGTTACTATGAATAATACAATCTAAAATAATTCAAAAGAACCCTTTATATAATAATAATAATAATGTGAAAATGCCTCTGAAATTAAAATTATTATGCCCAAACATGTTGTTTCATACAAAAGTGATGAATTTGAATAAAAACAATTTTAATAAGAACAGATATTTTAATAATAATAATATAATGGATCTGTAGGTAGTAGATCTTCTTAAAATAATAATAATGCATTTAGACTATAAATAAAAGATTGTCTTTAAAATAATAAAGGATTAAATTTTAAGATTAAGATTTTTTTATTAATATTTTATTCACTCTTACTAACTGGATATGTCTTAAATTTTTGCATTTTATTGTTTAATTTTCAAAGAATTGATAGCAATCTTAATTTTGAAAGTCTACCTTATTAATTTGCTTATTATTATAATGAATTTGTCATAGCTAATCTTTATCGATAATAAAATGAATTTTAATTTGATAATCTATGTTAGGTTTCAATTAATTATTACTAATAACATTAGAAATATATTGATGAAGCTGTATCTCTTATGCCTGAAATAAACGAAATTAATGAATTAACAATGCAAAGAAGAACCATAAATATTCTATCACAAATTTATGAAATTTATGATAACAATAAAAATCTTAATATTTCAGATTTCTTAAATAATTCTTATGTATTTCATAAATTATTAGCTAATTTTGAGGGAAATCATCCATCTTCATAGACTTCGAGTCTGCTTAGTTAGTAAGATTTTAATATTTTATATATTTAGCTTCATTCTAGAAGAAATTGTTTTATTTTTACTTCTATCAAGTTATGCATATTTTTACACTTCAATCTTAAGGATGAAAACAACTTTTTATAAATTATTTTGTACTCTATCTAAAGATTTTGTTAAAGAACAATTTATTTAATTTCATTCCTTACATAATTAAATTAATCATGCTAAATTCAAATCTAATGAAACAAATGAGGAATCTTTTGAAGCATCAATGATTAGCTAATTTTAGAAAAATTCAACTTAAGCAAATTTAGAAAATCAAGTCAGAGTTGGTAAATAAATAATAACTCCATGTAATAATTTATTCTTATATTTAGAAATTAATATAAATTTGATTTTTTTCTTTTTTATGATGCTTATGCTGACTGCTTTTAGTTCATCATATTATTTTGGAACTTATTTGTTGCAAACTTAAATTATAAATAAAATTGAAATAAATTCTAATCATAGAACATATTATGAAAACTTAGCAAATCATATAACATTTGCTTATGCACATTAAGCAGCTTTTTACAATAAAACTATTACAGAAGAAATGATATAATATTAGAATTCAGTGGCTAAAGAATTTAGATCACTTTTAACGAAAATAACTTAATAATAAGAATAATCTAATGGTCTAATTGATAAGATATTAATAGAAGAAATTTGCACTATTTTTTAAGAAGGAATGTAAAGTTCTTTAAATTTTTTTAGATTTTTACAGGATAAAGATTATTAAGATTTGTTTACATTTGAACAATGTCAATCTGTACCTTCACTTTAAAAAGGTTTGATCTACGTTACTTAAGAATTGTTTACAATCTATTATGATATTGTTTAGAATGTATAATCTACAAACTAAAATGAAACTTCTAAATTTGAACAATTAGCTTAAGCTAATATATAAAAGGAGAGAATTTACTTATAATTTAGTTATTAACTTATTATCGAGATTCTTTAATAAGAAATTAAAAAATTAATATCATCAACTATTTACTTGAATACATTGATGTTTATCTTAGCAAATATTTTGGCAAGCATGACTTTATTAATTGCAAAAGTCTTGATTGAAAATGCACATTAATAATATTAAGATAATAAAAAAATCTTAACATTATTTCCATTTGAAAGATTAATGGAAAACGCTTATGTTCATAGTTTTATAACACAGGATTTACGTTTTTAAATTTGATATTTAATATATTTGTGGGTTTTTTTTTAATGAGAATCCAAAGTTTTACTTTATCTATCACCTACTATTATTTAGAATTTTTATATTACAACAAAATTATATTTCCAAAAATAAAAATATTAAATTTACAGATAAAAAACTTATTCTTATTATGTATGTGTTCCTTAATTTTACATAAAATTATAAAATCAGAATTTTCATTCAACTATAGGATTTAATTATACAAATATTTGTAAAATTAAAAAATGACTATTTTAGTTATAAATTTAAAATTCCATCAGTCTGAAGCTTCATTATGTTTTTATAAATGAAATTATTTTCATTAATAAAATTTCTCAATATTAAAAATTTCATAAAGAATGCTGATCTCTTAGTTTATCGATTTCAGTTTTAATACATTTAATATAAAGAGATGTCATTAACTCAATTAGACTTAAGTCCTTTTTTATTCAAATGGCATTATTAATATATTTATTTTTATCTTCACCTTAATTTTTATATTTAATATTATTTATCTATATAATCAAAATTAGATTTTAATGAATGCTGGAATTGGTCTGAGGATAATTTTGATTTTAAAATAATAATGTAAAAATAAAAAAGGAAATTAAGCCTAAATATAAAAATCATTTAATGTACTTCAATAAAATATTATCATAAAATCTATAAAATGAATAAGGAATTTTAATATCAAACTTAATTCTTTAATAAAATACATACTTTTATTTTTGAGATTTTGAGTTAAAAATTGCAATTAAAATCTTCAAAACTATTTAGTTGATAGAGGAAATGATTAAACAATGATATAATTACTCAAAGCTTGTTGATTCTAAATAAAAAAAAATATATATATCCAGTCTCTTAGTTGTTCTAATTTTTATTTTTTAAAATTAATAAAAAACTTTCATGAGATATCAAAACTCTTAAAATATAAATCAATATTATAGAGAGAATAAAATTTTTAAATGAAGAGTTTGGAATAAACAAATATTTACTGGAGTACTTGTTAAAAAATAAAATAAAAGTAAATAAGAAACAATTTTATTATCATGATTCACAATATTATATTTGACTCTAAAAAATACAATGGAAGATTTATGATATTGATTAAATAATAGATAGAATAATTTAGCATAGAAAAAAGATGATAATCCTTTTTTATATTATCTAATTTAAATAATAAAAAGTATTTTAAAATGAAATAAAAAATGCTTCTATTTGTATAAGTGTATTTGATTATGATTGAGATAAAAGTTATCATTAATATAATTAAAATATGTCATCAGATTCGGATTAGCATAAAAAGGAAGAGGCAAATCGGATTTATGTGACAGGATATTCAGCTAAAGAATCAGAAATGGATATTAAGAGTGCTTTTGCAAAACATGGAGAGATTCAGGAATTTTCATGGAAAGGACGTTTTTGTTTCATCGTAAGACGTGGGAGTTGGCATTAGGGTGCAGGCTTATACCAAGCCTGAAGAGGCAGCAGATGCTGTTAGATTGATGAATTAATAGGAGATGAATGGAAGAAATTTGATTGTTGAGCTAGCACGAGCAAAGAAAAAGGATGGAGCCTGTTATTAATGTGGAAAATAGGGGCATTTGTAAGTGAATTAAATATAATATTAGTGCTCGAAATTGTCGTTTAAATAGACGCTCTTATTCTGACTCCAGGTATAAGAACATGTGACATTAGGCGCCATTCAAAGAAGAAAAAGAAAAGAAGAAAGCATAGATCTTCTAGCTCTTCCTCGAGTAGTGAAAAGAAAAAATCAAAAAAGAGAAAGAGAAAGAGCAAGAGCAAGAGTTCTTCTTCAAGCTCTCATTCACGTTCAAGTGATTGATAAATAAAGATTCAAAATATATTTTAAATCATAAGTAAATTATATTTATATATAATTTTCATTCCTAAAACCTTTAATTGGTTATATGGGATAATATAGTTGTCATTGTACGATCCTCATTTCCAATTTTCATATCTTTTTTAAATGTTGGCATTTTAGATAGATTCCTTTTTATATTTTATTATGTCGCATCATTATCTCTTACAAAAAGTCTTTTATCCACTAAATTAATAATTTAATTATTACAATCTATAACTCCAAAACATTTTTCATTTTACAAAAGCAAATTACTTTATATCATAAAGGTTTCTAAAATCTTATGTCCAAAAGTTACAAATATTCTAACAGATTCTTCTGCACAAAAATTATTAATCTTTTATGCAATTACATCACTTTCTTATCTTACAAATGTTTTTATTTCAGTTTACATAACTCTTGTTTTTAAAAACATTTCATTTAGATTAACAGTCTTAAAACATGATGCTTTACTAGAAGTACTTCCACTGTTTTCTTTGCATTATGGTGATAAAGGTTCTTAACATAATAAAGTTCGTTTAGGTTTTTAATTATTTATAAAAAATTAGAAGCAGTTATCAGATAAGAATGGATCTAATGATTAAACATGAACAGAAAAATTCCATAACATTGTTTACTGATTTATTCTATTAATTTCCAATTTTGATTTCATAACGTTATGAGATCTATTTTTAGAATCAATCTTCATTCCATCTAAAATGATAATATTATTTACCTGGACATATCATTGAATACTCAAGTTAAAAGTTATTTTTATTTGGAACATAAATCAAAATATGGTACTAATTTATAAGACTATAATAATCTGGTATCATTGGAATGCTCAATAATTATCCAGTTGAGTTTGCTAGTACATCAAAATCATAGGACACTTATAAGAATCCTTTTCGTTAAGCATGTACTCTAACTTATTTAAACATAAGTCCTGGACAATTAAATAAACCCTATTCATTTGTTATCCCAATAATAGGTTCTTGGTCAGCTTAATCTGACTAAAATATTTCTAATCTACAGTTTTCAATATCTTTATGCTATCCACTTTTTAAAAGTATATTATAGACTTTAAATTAAAGAGTAGTTTCTACACAACTCACTAAATCAAATTCAATTTTAACATCTGCATTTCCTTACAAAAATACTGTTTTTTTTTATGAAAAACAATCTTTTTTTGAAACATCAATAAGATATTCTTGTTTATCTCTTCCATAAAAAATAAATGCTTATTCATTAATATCATAGGTTATAGTTTCAGTAATGTTTTTAGTAACATTAACAGTTGCATCTTCAGAAGCTTTGATTATACATTTAATTAAATCTGTTCTTTCTACTCTAGTAGATACATATACAGTATCAGTATTCTCATCCAATAATTCATCAACATTTAATTATGATTTAGTAGTTTGTATACAATTTCCAGTTATTTCAATTTCATAAGAATTGATTTATTAAACTAAATCAATAAATTTAGCTTCTTCAAAACAAGTTATAGGAACTGTCTATGAAAATAACTTAACAGTGAATTTTTTTTCTGGTGATTAAGGTTTTTATTTTGAACCAGAAAGATCAATTTATGATACATTTGTTTAAGTCATCCAAGCCTGAGATTTCGTAGGTGAAAAATAAACTCTTACTGATTTCTCCATATCTCTAATATTTTCTGTACTTTTATAAATATCTAATTTAGATGCACTTTTTTAAGCACTTCCAGCTTATTAACAAATTGAAGTTCTAATTACAATCTACTTTGTTGGAGTTTATGCTTATTATAATGTTAATGCTTCTCTCTAACGGACGGTTACTTATAGTCCTTCTAAAATGCTTTTTTAAATTCCTTCCTCACAAACTGGTACAACATGTTTGATGGGACAATCAACATTAACTGTTAAATTAAATTTCTTTAAATAAAGCCAAACTAAATCTCCTATCAATTTAGGTGTTATTTATTCCTTTGAAAATTAACGAGAATATAACACAATTGAATGAACATCTGCTTAAAATAGTTAAATCTATAAATAATGATCAGGATGATTTATTTATTGATGAAACACTTTAATAAATGGAAATCTAATCATTATTTTTCTTAAATCAATACTTTCTATTTAATGTTTGTTTTATTTCATCTAAAAGATCTTAAAATGCTTCCTTTGTCTCATCTACTCCTGAGCTTTTAAACTTTGGATTATAACAACTTTATATAGAAACAGCCATTTAATTTGGCTTCAATTAATCAAACTCACTCAAATTAGCAAATGATGCTTTATCTTATAATGTTGATAACATATTTCTTAAAAATTCTTTGTATTGCATTGTAATTTTAGTTGTGGTAGCTGGCATTATATTGTCATTAAAAAAACTAAACTCACATAAACTACATACCTGACTTTAGACTTAAACTTAAATCTATTCGGAGATTGCTAAGAATTTATACTGCTAGTTGTTTAAAACATAATTTTATAATTGATCGTTAAAAAATTAAAAGAGGTTTTTGCGGGGTTTATAATTCAATTTCTTATCATAGTTTTCATCATTCTAAAAACTTTATATCAATTATCTATATCATAGATTCTATCTACATTCATCCTTCCTTGCCTTTTATTCATATTATCTAATAGAAAAATATATAATTATAATTTCAAACATATTGTTTAATAATTTTTTCAATAAAGCAGGCATTTTTTAAAATGATTGTGAGCTTATGTTATTGTTTAATCTATCTTTTCTTTAACCAATTTATTTAGACTAATATTTAGTAAAACTTATAATACATCAATTATAGTTTATCTAAGAAAACAATTTACAAATTGCATCTGATCAATTTCTATTTGAATCTTTATATTTAAGAAAAAAAAAGAAAGAATTTTTTGGAATCAAATAACATTTTACTTTTGATCTTTTAATTCAGTCGCCTAATATGATCTCCATAATTAACTATACTTTTCAATTGAACATCAACTAATAATCATAAGAACTTAAAAATTGATGAAATTTCTGTATTTTTAAATTAAACTTATTAATTACCTCTCCTTCTAAATTTTATTATTTTCATTATACCTATCAATTGTTTAACGATTACAAAATTATTTAAGAAAGAAGTTTAAAATTAAGACATTTCAAAGATGTTTATTAAGCCAATATAAAAAAATAGTACTTTTAAAGATTTTCTTTTATTTAAGAATAACTTATTGGAAGTTATAGATGCATATAATAACTCTATTATTAATGAAAAAAGTATTTTTTATTCAGAATATTGGTCTTAATGTATTAAAGTAATTTATTAAATTTGCACTTAATTTTTATGAAGGAGCTTTAAAAAAATTCAATCTAAAAACAATGGCCTCACTATAAAAAAATATTGAAATCTTCAAATTATTCATAATGGAAGGAAAATGATTTAATTTGTAAAAGAAGCATGTTTTATCATATGGCTATCGCTCTAGGTGTATTTTATGTGTTAATTAGCTTAATTGTAGAAATTATCAAATTAGAAAACATGATAAATATTATACGATTAACACTATTTATAGTCTTAGAGATCACAATTTTATGCATCTACTCCTTTTATTAGAAAATATAGATTTATTTTTTTGTATAATACTGCCTGATTACAATATATATCTTGGTAACAGTAGAAAATGAAGAAAAAAATAAGATATTCATTTACCTTTATATGATACTTGTAAATAGCCATTCTAACTTACTCATAAAGATTTTGCTATATTTTTATTTTATCTTTGTAATCATATTTTTTTACAATTTGGAAACCTTTGAAATATGTATTATATGTTCAATAGCTTTAATTCACAATTTTTAATTGGAATCTCACTTTATTGCTAACTATATAAAATAGTTGAAGCTACTATCTATTATTGAGTAAATGCCAAGTGCAGTTTGCATCTTAGATTAGAACACCAAATAAATAACATATTCAAATCAATTATTTGAGAAATTAGCATAAACTTTATAAATATCAGATGAACTTGCTCAGTCTATGAATAATTAAAGCAAAGAATAATAATAAATAGATTTTATAAGGAATCTAAATCTAGAAGAAATAAAGAATGATGGATTTTAGATTTCTGATTTTATTCCTTAAATAAATGATGAAGGTATAACAGATGATCAATATAAAATAATAAATGTAGATTTTAAAAGATAACCATCTTAGAATACATTACAAAATGTGAGTTTTATGTGTCCAAATTCAGCTTCACTAAAAAAGAAATCTAAGGACATCTTTAGTGATATAAATACAAATGATTATTTGCTTAATTCTTCAAGAAAAAGCTATATAACAACGATACATTTGTAAATATAAATTAGCCATTAACCAAAATCTTTTATTTTATCTGCTAAAACAAAACGAAGAAAAAAGTCATCAAATAATATGAACATAAGTAAATAGAGTTCTAGAAATTTATGTTAATTTTCAAAGGCATAAGAAATACAGAATTCTATTTATTGCGAAAATTTGAAATTGTCCCCTAATCATACTGAAACTATGAATCATAATTTAATAGAAAATAATGAACAATTTAAATGTATGAATGATGGTTTTGGATAATAATCAAGTACTAATCATAAAGTGAGACTAATGGTAAACTTGATATAAATAAGTGATGTTTTAAATGATGAATAGGATTTTTAAATATATTGTATAAATGAATTAAGTCCTTTGCTTTTGTAATACACAGTAAAGAAATTGGAATAAGCAAAGAAAACTATAATGAGATCATTATCTCATGAATTAAGGACTAGTTTGAATGCAGTTAATGGTTATATAAGTGAAGCTTATGAAAGAATAGATAATATATAAGAACTTAATAAAAATTTAGGATTGTCATTAAAATATATTAACTTAATGTAATTGAAATTATAAGATTTTTTTGATTACAGAGATATATTAGAAGATTAATTTGAATTAAATATAGAAAAATTTGATTTGAATAGTGTTATTAATCTATGCGTAGATTTAATCAAAGTTTAATGTTATGAAAAGAAACTAAATCTTAACATAGAATTGCCATCTGAGACAATAATAGTTATAGGAGATAAGAATAGATTCTAATAAGTTTTAATTAATTTACTGACAAACGGAATTAAATTTACTTAATAAGGAGGAATAACAATATAAGTTAGTAGAGATTTTTAATTGGATTCCATATCTGGATTGGAAGAGATTAAGGAAATTAAACAATAATAGATAGTATAAATAAGGATAATTGATAGTGGTATAGGAATGAAAGAAGAATTGAAAGGAATACTTAATAAAAAAGTAATCTTAAATAGTATTTAGTTTCTCTCTGTAGATGATGATCCAAAAATATCTAAAGATTCAGTTGGAATAGGTTTAGGTTTAAGTGTTAGCCAATACATTATAAAGGCTATGGGTCCTTAAGGATTAAATAGTTTATTTTTAGAATCTATTATGGGAGGTGGATCGTAATTTTACTTTTTTTTAAATTATGATTCTATTAAAAAGTATCATAATGATGACGATATTCCAGAACCAGAAAATAAAGAAGAAACTATTGTTAAATTAAGTCCAACTAAGAGAAGTTTGCTTAAAAGGATTGTATTTATTTGTTTATTTGTCATTTATTAGGCAACTTATCCAAACACTGTTTGTAATTCAAATGATATACTTATAGTAGATGATGAACATTTCAATTTAGATATATTGGCTAACATTATTCGAAACTTGAATTCTAATCACAAAAAGTATTAAATTACTATGGCTTTTAATGGTTTTTAAGCTTTAGAAATAATCCGCTAAAAAAGAATATAAAATTGTTGTTGTTGTCTTGGTTTTAAAGCAATATTAATGGATATTAATATGCCTATTATGAATGGATGGGATTGTGCCAAACAAATTAGAATATTCGAAGATTAAATTCAAGTTTAGAGAAAAACTCCTATTATTGCTATTACTGGCTATGATGCAAAAAAAGACATAGAAAAGTGTCTTAAATATGGCTTTAATTATGTATCTACAAAACCTACTAATAAATAAAAAATATTGAAGATATTTTAAGAATTTAACATATGATGTTATAAATGTTTATACTTTATAAATTTACTATATTTAAGACCTCTGATATTACAGTATTAAATCAAAATTCTCAAGATCTAATTTCAAATATGAATTAACTTTGATTTATTGGATTATGAATCTCAAAACCTTTGAATTTAAAAAATATTAAGTCTAAGAAAAATAAAAAGTGAAAGAAGAAAATATGATGCAATCTTAAAATTGTGCTAACATTGATAATAAAGTTCACTTTAATCTATTCTAAAAACTATCAGGAGATTAATTTATATCTAGATCTTTAAATGATTCTTTACTACCAAGTANATAAGTTAGTAGAGATTTTTAATTGGATTCCATATCTGGATTGGAAGAGATTAAGGAAATTAAACAATAATAGATAGTATAAATAAGGATAATTGATAGTGGTATAGGAATGAAAGAAGAATTGAAAGGAATACTTAATAAAAAAGTAATCTTAAATAGTATTTAGTTTCTCTCTGTAGATGATGATCCAAAAATATCTAAAGATTCAGTTGGAATAGGTTTAGGTTTAAGTGTTAGCCAATACATTATAAAGGCTATGGGTCCTTAAGGATTAAATAGTTTATTTTTAGAATCTATTATGGGAGGTGGATCGTAATTTTACTTTTTTTTAAATTATGATTCTATTAAAAAGTATCATAATGATGACGATATTCCAGAACCAGAAAATAAAGAAGAAACTATTGTTAAATTAAGTCCAACTAAGAGAAGTTTGCTTAAAAGGATTGTATTTATTTGTTTATTTGTCATTTATTAGGCAACTTATCCAAACACTGTTTGTAATTCAAATGATATACTTATAGTAGATGATGAACATTTCAATTTAGATATATTGGCTAACATTATTCGAAACTTGAATTCTAATCACAAAAAGTATTAAATTACTATGGCTTTTAATGGTTTTTAAGCTTTAGAAATAATCCGCTAAAAAAGAATATAAAATTGTTGTTGTTGTCTTGGTTTTAAAGCAATATTAATGGATATTAATATGCCTATTATGAATGGATGGGATTGTGCCAAACAAATTAGAATATTCGAAGATTAAATTCAAGTTTAGAGAAAAACTCCTATTATTGCTATTACTGGCTATGATGCAAAAAAAGACATAGAAAAGTGTCTTAAATATGGCTTTAATTATGTATCTACAAAACCTACTAATAAATAAAAAATATTGAAGATATTTTAAGAATTTAACATATGATGTTATAAATGTTTATACTTTATAAATTTACTATATTTAAGACCTCTGATATTACAGTATTAAATCAAAATTCTCAAGATCTAATTTCAAATATGAATTAACTTTGATTTATTGGATTATGAATCTCAAAACCTTTGAATTTAAAAAATATTAAGTCTAAGAAAAATAAAAAGTGAAAGAAGAAAATATGATGCAATCTTAAAATTGTGCTAACATTGATAATAAAGTTCACTTTAATCTATTCTAAAAACTATCAGGAGATTAATTTATATCTAGATCTTTAAATGATTCTTTACTACCAAGTACTTCAGAGTTAAGTTTTGCTTCATCAAATTCATCTGGTATATCTAATTTAAAATTATCATTTGATTATTTTTATTAATCTTAATTTTGATCAGCTTCAACTTTTAGATAATTTTTTTGAACCAAACGAAACAAACTCTAATTCTACATAGCAAAATACATTAATTATTTATTTGCTTACCAATTTAAATTTTTATTTTAAGTAATTTTTAAAAAATTTTCAACCAAATCTTCTGCATTTTCAGCTCCTAATTAAGCTTTGAAAAACCTTGTTAATTTAGCCAGTCTTACATTAATTGGAACTAAAATAGAAAATTTGAATACTTGCAGATGTGGCAGCATATTAATATACATTCTAATTATCTACATTGCCTTATTAAATAGCTTATTATTAAAGTTAATTGATAGATCTGACTTATTTTGCATTTGCTCTTAAAATATCAAATAGTTCTTTTTAATCTGACATTTAATCTTAAAAGACGGGAGAGCTAAAAGTATTAAATAACACTAATTGATCATCATCAAATAAAAAAAGTTTCAGACAGTCAATTTCATATAGTTTTTTTAAGATATTAGTTAGATCTAGATCAAGCTCAATTTTTTATTTTGCAATTTAAGAAATAACTAGTTCTTTTTCTTCAGATATATGATAACATCTACCAAAACAATTTTTGAATAATTTACGAATTAAATAGAGTATATATTTATAAAAAGAATAATTAATAGTATAATCTAGTATCTATTTTATGTAGTGTCAATAATATACCTATTGTAGTTAAATTTTGGAGTTTTTGTTTGAAAAAGAATTAGATCTGTTAGGAATTTATGATTAGTGAATATGAGTTTATTTTTTTTATTACACAGCCTTAAAATCAAATTTAAAAACAGAGTTCATCAGAATTTCTAATGTTTTATGCTCATTATAAAATTTATAGACCATTTTAATGATTTGCATAATAGCTAAACATAAAGCAGTGGCTTCAGACACAGCTGATAAAATAATTGAAGGTAGATCCTATTAATTGACAAAATAATAAGATGTATCAGGTGATGCTCTAATAAAATTTAATTATTATATACCTTAAATAGAAAGTGCATAGAGCTGCTCCAGAAACTATTGATATAGGTTCTTATCTTCTCTCTTATCTTTAAACTACAGAGCTATTATATAGTGTTTCAGTGTCTTCAATATTGAAAAGATCACTAAAAAATTGAATATTTCCTATGTTTAATTTAAATTTACATACTTAAATCCATTTATAAAGGTTACATATAAATATCTTCATTATCTCCAATACCTGAAGTTAATCTCCAAAATATATTGGTAGAAAATATATCAGCTGGATTTGTATGATTAAGTGATTGTTTTATTTTAGATCCTCTTATAAACATGTCCACATTAACTCTATTGAATACTTTAAATGTTACCCTTTGTTTATAAAACTTTCAATTTCTTATGCTGATTTGCATGTATTGCTTGTTCGATTATTACACACACTTACAGTTAATTTTACATAAGCAAAATAAGGTTCATAGAATTATCCCTGTAAAGTAAAATCTCCATTAAAACAAACTAAATTTTATTATTGTTCTTCAGTCATTGAAGCAGAATTGAAATTGAATTTTTTGATCAATTCCTCAGAACATTTTGTTTAATTTAATTGACTATAATTTCGAGTAAATCCTATCTTCTCTTCTATTCTTTGTTACTAAATATATTATGCAGAAAAAGTAAAGAAACTATAGATATTAATTTTTAGTACTTGCTAACTTCTGTGTTATTTTTCAAAATTGTCCCATTTAATGTTGATAATTCAATTGCGAATATAGTGTTTTCATTATTTAAAATAAACTCAGCACTTTAATCACTTTGAGTTCCAGCATAAATTGCAGTTTAATTTTTGATACTTCTTTAAAATACGCCTATAATGTAAAAGGATGTAAAAATTAAAAGCAATATACTGATAAATCCACCTATATATCAATGTATCATAGAACCTATTGGAGTTAAAGATTTCTATTTATGTGAAATATTAAATTCATAAGGATCAACAAGCAAATCAGCCTTTCTTATCAAATTGCTTAACATACTTAATAAAAAATGTAATTTGATTAATCGATAATACAAAAAAAAACTTAATAAGATAAGATCCTATAGATAATATTATATGTTATTTCATGCACTCGGTTGTTCTTTTCTTTACCTCATCTAAAATAATAGAAATATATACTTACTTCATTGATAATTGATTTAACGAAATTAGGATATACTTTCCATAAGAGTAGACAATAATCTAAAATTTTCTCATTATATTTGAATTCTCCATTGTCGTCAATTGTGAAACCAATCTCAGATAATTTCTGGTGATTTTATTTCATATGATTTTTTAATTAATTGGGTTTTTTATAACCTTTTTAACATCTATGATAAGGACACCTGAAGAAATTTTTATCAGCATTATAAGGCTATGATTTGAATTATTTAATGCGAACTTCTTCAAATAAACGTTTAATCTTTTCTTCAGAAGTAGAATTCTCTAAAATAAAATTAGATAACATACTTTTTTCAAGTGCTTCTTTCTATCTCTAAACAAAATCTTCGCTTACTAAAGGAAATAAATTCTAAAGATCTTTTTCTGATATTTATGTAGGTTATTCTACTTCTTCTTATTATTATTCTTTTTCTGGTTCTTATTTAACTTCAGTTTTTATAGATTATTTTTTATTTAAATCTGGTTAGGAAAGAATAGGCGGTTATTCTGAACTTGGAATCTAATTATCAAAAGCCGTAAATTTCATTTTTGGTAACTATAATGATTTAAAACAATCTTGAAGAGCTTTTTTAGCAGTAAATTGATTATTTCCTAATTTTACATACCATTCTCTTAAGAATTTGATTTAAATTTAAACAATTTAAGCTTCATTTTTATCTATTTATAAAATTATTGAATTTTACTAATAATATCTTAATTTACGCATTAGATTTATTTTTTATTTTAATCATTCTTTTATTATTTAATTTATCCTTTAGTGAGTATGGTTATTAGATTATCATTTCCATTTACTTCAATTTCATCAGTATCTTCTAATTTAAAATCAATTTTAAGTTTGTATTATTATTAATAGGAATAGGCAGATGATATATAAGAATTCATACTTTGATCTTCTTCTTTTTATTCTCTTAAAGGCCTATCCAAAGTAACTATTTATATATTTCTATTATTTGGTGAGAATTTCAATAATATGTCTTATTAGTCATTTGAAAAGATTGTACTATTTAAATAATATGTATATAAATACTTGATTGAAGGATTGGATTATAAGGTAAATGTAACTTTTTCTTAGAATATGTCTTTAATGATGATGGATAAAATTTACTTAATGTTTAAGTTCCTGGAGGTCTAATAGCTGTTCCAGGAATTAATTAATAAGTATTTGATATTCTATTTCTAGGTATGGTCCCTTAATTCTTTTGAGATTGATTGAATGATTCAATTAGAGTTTATAGATTCTTATCTGGAGCGAATGAATTTTAAAACTTAGAAAGCATAATAAATTAATCAAATATATTATTATATATTCGATTCCTTATTAATTGTTTAAGATGAAAAAAGGAATTTATGGATATGAATTTAATATTTTTCTTATTTTATTTTTTTCAATTATTGCTTTAACTCTTCTACTTACGAACATGTATCTATTGGACATCGGGTTAGACAGATAGACTGGAAAGTCTAGAAAAAATAAATAATTTAATATAAACGCCTTCTATGATCTAAATTAATCTTCATTAATGATTTTAGATTGTTTCTATTTGTAAATGATGTATTCTGATTTAAACCAAGAAATTACATCATAAATGTATAATTCTATTTATTTGGAAAGAATCCATCTTATTCAATTTAATAATCCATTTTTAAAGTTCCTGTTTCTTCTTTGAATTTAAGATTGGCATTAATTGAATCCTGTGCTTTCTGCTTTTCTTATTCATTCATAATCTAATATTAAAAATTCACTCCTATTTATTTAGCATATCCTAATCTAAAATGAAGCCAATTATCAAAATGAGACGGATTCTAAAGTCTTTTCAAACTCCATTATTTACCACCCGTGATGCTTTTATTTTTTAATGACATTGTCATTTTTGTTTTATCAATTAATACAGCATTCAAATGATCACCTACTTAAATTTTCTCAAAATTTATGTAATATGTAAAAATGGAAAAATCTTCAATCTTTTTTGTATCAATAATATGTATTACCACATCTTATTCATAGATTACTCCTTTAATTCTCATGACATTGATTTATGTTAATTGTGAGAGTAAATGCTTTTATTTTTTAAATTACTAAAAATCAGCTTATCTCACTTATTGTTGGGAAGTGATACATTTATCACTAAAGGCCAGGAATTTCTATAAAATTATATCTAGCCTTCCTTTGGCTATATTTTTTTTATTTACAATAACTTCAAAGATAAATCCAGGTTGTAAAATCTAAATTTATTATTAAAATCTCTTACTTCATAAACAGATTCATAATCCATGCTTTCATCTGGAAACCCTACAGATGCAAATCCTATATCTAATGCCTTATTTATATAAGGGATTATTTATTATTACTTCTTCTTATCTTTTAAGTTTGCTGTAAGAGGTAATCATTTCAGATTTTCTCTAATAAACTCCTTCCAATAGTGAATTGGCTTAGGTTTCAATATCTTAAATTGTTTATTATTACATAATTAAATAAATTATCCATAAATTAAAGTAAAAAATTTGTATATCAAGATTAGAACATATTCTCTTTGTCTCCTTAAAAAATTCTTTACTTTTACAAGACCTTAACATCACTTTGATTTCTATGTTGCATAAGAATTTATCCAGTATTAATAAAATTAATAGTGTCTGCAGGTTTTTGAATTGTATCATCAGTGTTATCTAGTAGTAATTCTTCATCAATATATTTGTTATTGTCTTCTTCATTAATTTCTAAATGATCTATATCAGATTATTGATTATCTTAATATTGATTATCTTAATCTTGACATTCTTGATTTAAATCTTCTTATTTTGAATTTTAGATCTCTACTTAAATTGGTTCATCTGCAATGTTATTAACAATAGAAATGATTGGATCCTCTTATACTTGTCTATTACTAGCTTGATTTGATTGTTTAGAAATTGGTTTACTAGATGAACATGCTCCCATTTCAAAATCGTTAATTATTTTAAAATTAAAAATATATATTATGTCTAATAATTTGTCAATATTAAAGGAAAGCAATAAATAGATATATTGTTCCTATAATAAAAGAATTACTATCATCAATCATTGTAGTATTTGTAGCTGTTGTTCCATTACAAGCCAAGCATTTATTGGTAGTTTTATCCCAATAATGGCTTTTAGCACTATTTATGAAACAAGTATCTTCAGTTAAATCAGAAATCGAAGCAGATTAACATGTCAACTGGATTTCAGCACATATTTCATATTGAGTTTCACCAAAGGCAAGTAAAGGAAGACAAGAACCGCCAGAATTTTTACTTTGACATGTGTAAGGTTTACAAAAACTAGAACCACCATTACTAGGTTTTGGCGTCCATTTACAAATATCAGATTTCTTCTTACATCCTTTTTCAAAAGTATTAGCATCTTCACATTTTGTCATAACTGAACATGTATTATTACTCCATGTACAAATACCATCTGTTCCATCAAATTCACAACTTTTTTCAGTCTTATACAAAGAGCAAGTAGATTTGGATACACAATTTGATGTATCTGGTAAACAGTTTGGTAATGTACTACATTATTTCACATCTGTGATATCATTACATTATTTTAATCTACATTTACTATTAGCTGTATCATAGATACAAATACCATCTGATCCAAATTTACATAAATCGCTTACTGTATATCCATCACATTTCTATATATCTATACATTTGCTTGCATCTGTTGTACATTTAAAATTTGCTAATTAACAATCTATATGAGTAGTTTTAACTATATCAGTACATTTTTAATCTCTACATTTTGTTGTTGAAGTATCCCATTAACAATATTTGTTATCTGTGGTTATTTAACAATTATCTTATATAGTATATGAGGAACAAGAATTTGATAAATCCATGCAGCTTTTTTTATCTATATTAATAGTACATGTCTAATTCTCTCGATTACATTAAAAATGAGTTGAATAATTCATTTATGAACATTTTGTAAATTTTTCACATACTGTATTATTATTTTTATCAAGATTCCTTACACAATCTCCATCTGTGCCAATATAACATCCAGTTTAAGAGGTTTTAGCACAACTTGTAATTGAAACACATTTTGTACCATCAGTTGTACATTTAGTATTTGCAAAATTACAAAATTAATGAGTTATACCAGGTAAAGTAGAGCAACCTATGAAAAGAAAACATTAACTATCAGTCCATAAACAAGGTCCTTGAGAAGAAATGACGCAACTGAGTTAGATTTTATAATCACTACATTAAGTAGCTTAGTTAATACATTTGATTCCATTAGAAGTACAAGTATTTAATTCATTATTACATTCAGAATGACTTATATAGATTAGATCAGAACAAGTTTTAACTTTGCATGCAGAATTAATCCAAATACATTTTTGATTTAATGAATCAATGGTACATGCAGTTTGTGTTTTCATGTCTGTACACTTACCATGAGATGAACAACCTGCTCCAGTTGTGTAACATTTGTCTAAATATTTATTACATGCATCATTTGTAGTTAAAGATGTAGGAGCATTGACACATGTATAAGAGACACATTTGTTATCTTACCAAATACATTAACCTAATTTAGTACATAATTATGAAGTGATAGCATCTGTGCATTATTTTTTAACACATGAAGTTAATTCAGTATTAGCGGTGCAAAGACTCAAGAATTTATTACAATTATCAATAGTATATGAATCAACTTAAGCATTTTCACAATCATAATTAATGCATTGTTATTAAGATTTATTCCAATAACATTATTATTAATTGATAGTTGAAACACATTAGGAGACCTAAAGATAAGAAGTACATAAAGACTCTCTTATTTTACATCCAAGATTATCATCATCAACAGTACAAGTATCTAGAAATTTAGTACATAATTAATCATTAGTATAATCATCAGATGCTTAAGAGCAATTATAATCAACACATTTTCCAGCATCTTTTCCATCAATTTAAGTGATTAGCCAAAGACAATTTCCTAATAATCCAATTTTGCATGTTTCTTTGAATTTATAATTAATACATTCATCAATATTTTTACATATATTTGATATACCATCTTATGTTTCTGCTAAAACACAATTTTTTTTGTATTTCTGACAATCATCAACTGTTTTACCGTTTCCATTCTCACAACTATAATCATAACATTAATTAGTTGTCTCATTCCATTTACACTCCATAGTTTAATCTATATTAGTTACACATTATTATTTTATTTTTTGATCGCTACAACTCTTACCTGAATCTATACATCCTCCTGTATTACTTTCATTAACTGTACATGTTAACAGTTGCTATCTACATTCTCCATCTGTTTTTAATGTTAGGGGTAAATTCTTACAAGTTGTAACAGTTTTACATTAAGGATTTGCTATATCACTTTCATCATAATAACAATATTAACCATTACTATCTATCAAACATGAAGTTTTACTTTTGTAACTATCACATGTAGATAATGCAACACATCTTTCCCCATCTGATGTGCATAAATCAGATATTTTATTACATACATCAAAATTCTTACCTAAATATGCTGTACACCCAGAAAATGCTTAACATATATTCTCATATAAAGCACATCCATCTACTGGACATTTTCCTATTGTGCTTTCTAATTTACAATATGTCTCTAATTCTCTATCTTTACATTCACCATTCTCATATTTGCATTATATCCTTTTACAATCATTCTCGCTCTTTATCTCATTACAAGAACATCCTTTATCTAATACACTATCACCACAACTTATTAATATCACTAACAATAATAAGATTAATTTTGATAACATTAATTATTATCTCATTCAAATTATATCTTATTTATTATATTCATTTACATTAATTCAACCTTCAATCTTTTACTAATACCTAAATCGTTTTTAATTATAATATAATAATCATTTATCATTCATTCAGTCTATAACCCTTTATTCTAGTCTCCTTACACCTCCTTCTTATCCTCCATATCAATTTATTTATTTTATCACTAATCTTTTTACTCACACTCAACTTCTTTATATCTTCAGTATTTACTATTTCAATTCCAATTAATTTATTATCCTATCTAAATAATCTCACTCATTTTATATATCAATATAGAATTTATGATCTCCAAAAATTCAGTTACGTTATTATTTAAAGCATGATACATCTCTTAAAGTTTCTTCTTACATTTTGATAACTTTATTCTTATTCCTACTCTAATGCTTTTGCTGACTCTTTTTTTATTTTCAATTAATCTGCCTTCTGTTTGTTCTAAATACTCCTGATAATACTAGATATTAAATTTGTTTTGTTTTCATTTATTACTATTCAACCTTTAAGTTTTTTATCGCTTAAAAATAGTCCTTAATCAATAAGGACATCAAATATCAACAACTTTCAATGTTACTTTTTTATGCGAAAAAATTTACTCATTTATTTTTTTCTAGAATTAACATAACTATAAAAAGTTAAAACAAACAGATTTCTTTTTCAGCTGATACAATCAAAAAAATTAATCTTATTTAGGAATCATATTTTCAAATAGTTTATACCATAAAAGTCAATTCTGTTTTTCTTAGAATCTTTGCCATTAATTGAGATTATATTAAATTTATTTTTTAATGTTTTTATAAAAAGTATTATTTAGTATTATTGATAAAAATTATGGCTTCAAGAGAAGATTTGATATATATGGCTAAATTATGCGAACAAACAGAAAGATTTTAAGATATGATTACCTATATAAGATAAGTTGCTATGATGGAATAAGAACTATCAATCGAAGAAAGAAATCTGCTTTCAATTTCATATAAAAATTATATAGGAAATTTTAGATTCGCTATGAGAGTCTTGTTTAAATTAACTAATTATCCGTAATANATTTACATTAATTCAACCTTCAATCTTTTACTAATACCTAAATCGTTTTTAATTATAATATAATAATCATTTATCATTCATTCAGTCTATAACCCTTTATTCTAGTCTCCTTACACCTCCTTCTTATCCTCCATATCAATTTATTTATTTTATCACTAATCTTTTTACTCACACTCAACTTCTTTATATCTTCAGTATTTACTATTTCAATTCCAATTAATTTATTATCCTATCTAAATAATCTCACTCATTTTATATATCAATATAGAATTTATGATCTCCAAAAATTCAGTTACGTTATTATTTAAAGCATGATACATCTCTTAAAGTTTCTTCTTACATTTTGATAACTTTATTCTTATTCCTACTCTAATGCTTTTGCTGACTCTTTTTTTATTTTCAATTAATCTGCCTTCTGTTTGTTCTAAATACTCCTGATAATACTAGATATTAAATTTGTTTTGTTTTCATTTATTACTATTCAACCTTTAAGTTTTTTATCGCTTAAAAATAGTCCTTAATCAATAAGGACATCAAATATCAACAACTTTCAATGTTACTTTTTTATGCGAAAAAATTTACTCATTTATTTTTTTCTAGAATTAACATAACTATAAAAAGTTAAAACAAACAGATTTCTTTTTCAGCTGATACAATCAAAAAAATTAATCTTATTTAGGAATCATATTTTCAAATAGTTTATACCATAAAAGTCAATTCTGTTTTTCTTAGAATCTTTGCCATTAATTGAGATTATATTAAATTTATTTTTTAATGTTTTTATAAAAAGTATTATTTAGTATTATTGATAAAAATTATGGCTTCAAGAGAAGATTTGATATATATGGCTAAATTATGCGAACAAACAGAAAGATTTTAAGATATGATTACCTATATAAGATAAGTTGCTATGATGGAATAAGAACTATCAATCGAAGAAAGAAATCTGCTTTCAATTTCATATAAAAATTATATAGGAAATTTTAGATTCGCTATGAGAGTCTTGTTTAAATTAACTAATTATCCGTAATAAAATGTATTATACATTAATTGATATTAAGTAATCCGAAGATTAGTAAAACAAAATTAAATTGATTTCAAGTTATTAAAATTAGTTAGAAATTGAAGTAACTGCATAATGTTAAGATCTGATTAACGTAATAGACTTCAATTTACTTAAAAATAATTACAAACCTGAGGATAAGATTTTTTTTTTTTAAATGAAAAATGATGCTTTCAGATATCTTTAAGAATTTGTATCAATTGATAAGTTGTAGCCAATACTAGATTAATCAGAGGATACATAGAAATAAATTGTAAATTTATTTTAAAAAGAAATTTCAAAAACTGATCCAATTTGGTTAGGATTAGCTCTAAGCCAAGCTGTATTTACATATGAAGTTTTAAATGATAAAGTTACAGCTTTTTAAATAGCTAAAAACGTATTTTATATAATTATCTTAAGGCTTTTGATGGTGCAATCTCAGAATTGGATTTAATTTAAGAAGATAAATATAAAGATGCAACCATAATAATTTAATTATTGCGTGATAATTTAATTCTTTGGTAATCTGATTGTAATAATTAAATTAATTAAGAATGAGATGAATGATATCATTACTATTTATTTTCTATCATTTAATTAGTATTTCAAAATCTTATTTTCGAAATAAATTTATTAATAATAAAAATAGAATAATTATTTAAAAATAATAAATCACTATTAGAAAGCGATCAGAAATTATGTTAATCCTAATTAGTGAATTGGATTCTTAATTAAATCTAATGTCTAAAATTTATAAATCTATTTGATTAAATGAATTGTGAGTTTTTTAATATATCTGAAAGATCAATAAAATAAATATACGTTTTACTAAGAGAAAATATGATGATCAAAGATTTTTTTATATATTTTAAATTTTAAATAATTCACATTTGTCATAATTTAAAAAGGAAAATTTGAAATAAAAAATTTATATAATTCAGAATCTAGATTAGTCAAGGATTTTAGAAGATTTTTATATAAGAAATGTTTAAATCATGAGAAATTTCAGATAAATCAATATTTTAATTCAACCTTTGGTAATTAGAATTAATAAATCAAATGAATTGGTAGTCTATCAAAATTTCAAAAGCTTAATGTTATTAAAGTAAATTCTTTTTGAATTTCTATTTTTATTAGGATACTTTAAATAAAATTCGAATACTTTACTTGGATTACATGAATTTTTGTAAGTAATGTAAATAGAGGAATAAAAACCTCAAATCAATATTTTAATAGCATACTCAATAATCTTCTTCTATATATTTGTTATTTTCTTAAGAATTTGAGAATTTCGATATCTTAATGAATGAAATAAAATCTATTTTACGCAAATGAAATTTAGTAAATGAGAAACAAAATATAATGAATGATAATTAAAAAGCTTATTAATAATCAATATATATTTTGATTCAATTCTTAATTTGAGATTTAAATAATTAGAAGCCAAATTAAATTTTCTTAAGTATTCTTATTAAAAGAGAATTAAATAAATAAATGAAAAAAACAAATAATTAAAAGTCCATCATTTCTAACTTATCAGAAATATGAAAATACAAACTTAAATAGTGTCCAGTTTTTCATCTTAATTTTAGTGTTTTAAATCTTTTTTATTAATACTAAGAAAAATAAATAAGCTTTCTTCTAAGACAGTTTTAATGTTTTTATTTATTGGATTTTACATAAAAAAAATTACAACAATACTACTATTTAATAGAAAATTTCAAATATCTTGATAGCAATATATAATTACCTTGGAATTATAATCTAAAAATATTTTAGTAAATGTATAATTTCTTTTAGTAATGTATAATTTCTTTTAGTTTTTATAACATTTTTTATAAGAAATTAAAAACAGAGATTATGCAAACCGATTTAACTAAATTTTGTAATATTTTTTTGAATTAAAGTTAGATAAGTTATAAAAGTGTTAAAAAAGGGTCGTTAAGAGGTGTGAAAATTTTTATTTGATTAAAATGTATAAATAAAAATTGATCTGTATTATCATAAATTGATAAGTAAATATAAATAGTTTAAGTCATGTTGGTGAGGAATAAAAAAGTTAAAAATAGAGAATATAATTTAATAATGAGATTTATATAGTAAGTAAGTAAAAAAAAAATATTTGGTTATTAATTAATTAAACTCGGTTTATAAATCGTTAATGAAATAAGAATTATAAAGAGAATAGTCTGCGAGTACATGTGAGAACAATAATAGATATAAGAAGGTTCCACATAAAAATATTAAGAGAGTAAAAATAAAGGAGGCTTAAGAGCTATAGTAAGATTTGTCGAAACATATTCGTAAAATAATGAATTTTTCTTTATCGGAATAATTTGGTAACTTATTAAATTAGGAGAATCATGAGAAGTATAATGGTGAATGTTTTTTAAATCCCAAAAAACCAGAGATGATACCTAACTTATCAAGGATGAAATAGCATTTTCTAAAATAATATCAAGATTAATTTATTTTTGAGGGTATATAAGAAATCCATAATCATAAACATGCGGTGTCTAATATATTATATAGTGGTTTATCTGCATCAGCATTGGCATCAGCAAAATGGCATTCTGTATTAGCAATGAGAAGAATGAGAGCAGAGAGACCTTAATGTCCTGAATTTAGAGAATATCCACTAGATAAGGAAGCTATTAAAGAAATTGAATTGACAAAGAGTAAAATAACATATGATAACATAAGATAAAATAAATAGAAAAAGAAGAGTTAATTCAGAACATCATCAAGTGAATGAAAAATTAATGTTAGATAGATAGCAATCATTAAACAAATATATTGAAAACATTAAATAATCAAATAAAATATATATTGATGTTTATGGTTAAAATAAGGGAGAATATGATTTAATTTTGGAGTTTGCTAAAAAATAAAATATAAGTGTTTCATAAGCAGAGAATGATATTTAATTTATTAAATCAAGGTAAAATAAACGAAATCAAACTATGTATGTTGAAAATAGATAAGTTAAGAGAATGTAGAGAAAAAGATATATAGATGATGATGAAGTATATGGAGTTAGACCAAATAAGATATCACCATCAGGAGTTCATCTTAAAAACAATTTGATAATATGAGCTATTCAAAATTCATAATCCCATTCACTATCTTTGGGATTAGGTTATGATTTTATGAAGTATTGAGCATCTTTATGCATCTATTCATACAATGGTATCTTTTTCATAACTTAAACTTGTCCATTTGTTATGATTTTATTAGCTCCTGGTTTATAAACTGGTTTTATTTTCTTGGCTATTAAATTTTCCCATTAAAAATCTTAAAACCAAACATGTTATTTAAGAGTTTAATATGAACCTCCTAAACGAAGTTCTGGTATGCGATTCAGCAATTGTTCAATAAACAATTTCGCACTCTTATCAGACATATAAGTAGGATAACATAATTTTTTTTTTGTGATTTCTTTATAAATCTCAAAAGGATCTTCTGCATCTTCTCCAAAAGGTAATCCCCCACAAACAAATTCAAATAGCATTACTCCAACACTCCATAAATCAGCCATCTAATTATATCCTTTACCACTAATAACTTCTGGTGCCATATAATGAGGAGTTCCAATTATTGTAAATGTTTTCTATCCTGGCTAATTTAATTTGGCTGTTCCAAAATCAATCAATTTCAAATAACCTGTATCATCAACAATAAGATTTTCTGGTTTATAATCTCTGTACATAATTTAATGTACTGTATGCAAATATTCAGTTTAAAGGATCATCTAAGCTAGATAAAACTATGAATCATTTTTATTTAATAATCCTATTTCTCTAATAGCATCAAATAATTCGACTCCTGGAATATATTCATTTAATAAATAAATATTATTTTCATCCTTAAATGATCTATAGAATTGCATAATGAAAGGATGATCCAAAATAGATTATACTCTTCTTTCATTTGCTACATGTTTTGCTATTCCAAATTGTTTGATATTTGCTCTTGTCATTATTTTTAATGCAAACAATGATGTTTCATTCTTATACTAGCACAAATACACAATTCCAAATTACCCACAGCCTAAGGTTTTTAAATAATTTAAGTCTTATAATTTGTAGTCTTTCGCTTTTTTTTATCTACTATGAGCTTCTTATACAGAAGCCTCTAAAATTTATTACTAATCTATTAATTTTAATTACTGATTCACCAAACTACTTTTTTACTATATTGTAATCAATGGCTGCTATTATGCCATCTTCTTACATGATATAATCTTAATCATGTTTACCATTCGACTCTACAGTTTTGTCTAATAATATCTTTCCCTTTTCACAAATTGTATGTTAATTAGACTACAGATATACAAATAATATATACATCACTGACTTTGCCATCAACTAAGATAATCAATTCTCCATATTATTAACCTTTATTAATAACAATATCTCCTTTCTTTAATTTTCTAATTGTCAATAAATCTAAAAATTTATCTATTTATATAATTAAATTGATTTTTGATTGTTGTAGTATCCATTTACATTAATTCTTATAAATTATCATTTACACTCCATCCCCCAATATTTTAGTTAATGTTTCTCTAGCTAAAGCCAATAGTCTTGATTCTTCTATTGCTTTTACTGTTAATCCTCTTACACAATTATCCTATAATAAGGCATTTTCTCCAAAATATTCACCTTTTGATAACATTCTAATTAATAGTCCATCATCAGTATACACACCGACTTTGCCCTTATTTGTATTTAAATCCTTACCTCAGCTATTATGAAAAGTGAATCTGCTTAATCTCCTTTATTAACAATTATTTAATTCATTTAAAATTTCTAAGAAATTAATACTCCACCTATAGCATCTTTCTATTCTTTAGTTAAATGATCTTTTTATAATTATTTAAATTACTAAAAAATGTTGCATTTTCTAAATATTTTCTATTTCTTTCATATTCGCTTTTCATAATCTATTCGACTGTTTTACGAAATGTTGTTCTATCAATTCCCCATAAATAACATTCCTCTAATGCAGTACATGTTGCACTCCTAATAATTAAAATCTATTCATCACCTTGGTGCATCATATAATAAGGCTAATTCACCTAATCCATTTCCTGATATCAATTATTTTTTAGGCTCTCCATTTATTGTTACCTAAATTTTACCCTTTTCTATATTCAAAAATGTTATATTTACCTAATATAAAAAATGCATTTGCACTATCTCCTTATTTAATTATAGTTTAGCCTTTCAATAATTTACAATAAAACATCTAATTTGCTAAATGATTCCTTTTTATTTAACATATTCTAATACAATTAAGCATCATTCAAAAAACTGAAAACAAAGTGCAGCTTTAAACACATAACTATAAAAATAAGATCTGATCTTTGTTGTTATTTTTAACATTAGGTATAAGTCTCAAAGATCTAATGTCCCCCAGAAGATTACTGTATTCCAGCAACTCTTTATCCTTTTCTTTGTGGTATTTATAATATCTCCTCTTAAGACTTTTTTCTATGTTTAGGGTCCATTAATTAATTAAATTTAATGATAATTGTATAATCATTCATTATCATTAATTTTTATTTACTCTGCATTACTGTTTTATTTATGTTTCATTATGTGTCTATAATAATAAATCATAAAAATTATTCTCAGAAGCTATAAACTCATTTTAATATTAATAAAACTATATAAAATTATTCAAAAACATATTTAGAAAATTTAAAATCGATATATATTCCATAAATATAAAATCTCAATTCAAAACCCAAATGTATTGTATTCGCAATATTATATATAGAGGAATTTGTCATCATCTTAATACTTATCGTAAACTTCCTTTATACTCATATCTAATAACATTCAATATTACCTCCTCTCAAAGCAACTTTATTATTAACAAACAAATAAACTGCTTCAGCTTTGTTTAGGTTTAATTTACTTCTAATCAAAGTATTCAATTAAAATACTCTAAAGTTTGAAAGGAAAAGGTATCTAAATTAGTAAAAATTAAGACTTCTAAACATCTAAATCAGGAAGGCGTGAATTTTTATCTTTTTCAATTATGATAGGGACTCTATCTTAATAATGTTTGAGTATATTTTCACTCTCTTTAAGCCTTTGTTCTTTTGAATATTGCTTTTTAAATGATTCCTTTTGCATTTTTATTATTTATTTTTTATTGGATAATTAAATAGAAAAAAAAAAACAATCACGAAATAAGATCTTTCTATTTCGTTTATATATCTATTATATTTATAGAATATATTACTATATTTTAAGTTTATTTAATTAAATCAAACTCATGTAATGTTTTTTTCAATTTTTAAAGTTGTTATAATAATTTTGATTAAAAATAAATAAATCACAATAGGCAAAATTTTCATTAGCAAAAATAAATAAATAGTTTGATACTCTTAATAAATTAAAAGAGAAAAATTCTTGTTTAAATTTTATTATTGATTTGAAAATTATTATTAAGATTTTTAAATAGAACTTTGATGGTAATTTTAAATATTGTCTACTCTTGTATGGTGATTAATTCAGATAATCTTGATTACTAAAACAAAAAAGTTAATCATTTTATTAAACTTGATTATTTTATCTAAAAATAATCACACTTTAATAAATTTTGAAATATCATTTGCAAATCTATTATTAAATAATTTAAGTATTATTTAACATATAAACATAATATATTACTCGTATTTTCAAATTTTGACCTTTGATTAAAGAATACTGTGACCAAATTGCATAAAAAAAAATAAAATTTAAAATTATTTACTATTAAAATCTGAAAAATTTTAGGAGGATTAAGACAAAGAATTACTTTAATTTACAAACTACTTTATTTTTGTTTAAATTTTTATTAGAATTATAAAAAATAGTCAATTTATCAATTAAGCCACCTAATTTAAGCGTTTATTTTATCCTGTTTTGACAATTGAATTTATTCAAAAGTCATATTTCTTTTGTCTGGATTGTTATACTATTATCCATTTATAAAAATATCAATTGAAACTTTTTTACTAAAATACTCAAACGAATTACATTGAAAGTGAAGTATATTAAAGAGTATCTTTTGCAATTTCATCAATTTTTGAGCTATTTAAAAACAATGCAGTTCGTTCTCGTTCGACATTGTTATCTAAAATTGTATATGTGAGAGTAATAGTTGATATGTAATTTAACAGACTTTCTTCTGTCTTAAGTAATTATTATGAAATTAATAAATATTATTTTTGAATATGAAGATTGCCGCATGATTAAGTATGCATGAGTTGATGAGTTTTAGGTTTGTTAGTTTTAATTTACAATACTTCATTTTCTAAACATCCTACTTATTCGCAAAATTTCATAATTCTATTTTATGTTTCTGAAAAACAAGACCATTATTAGACTTCTTATATTTCTCTAAAATAATTAATCTTATATATATAATACATTTTATTTTCTTTTGCTAAGTATTCCAATAACTCTTTGATTGTTGTTTAATCTTCTATTTCTAAACATTATTATAAACCATCTAGAATGATTATTTTTTTATATGAACAATTCTCCTCAGATCGATGTGTAGATTGTCTATTTGTGGATAATTATGAATTTAAAGTTTGTTCTTGCTTTTATTAATCAAGATCTGAAAAATCCTCCTTTATTTCATAAAAGACTTAAAGTTCTTGATTTTCTTGGTTTTTAAACACATATTGATGATTTAACACTTATTTTTTAGTTAATGAATAACAAGTCCAATGCTTTACTTTTTTTTGTATCCTAAACTCTTCATAATAATAATTACTAATATTAATCTTACATTATTTCTAAGATATCTTTAACATTAGTCCCTTCATCAATCTTCATTTTCATTTAACCATTCTTTGAATTAATCTTTAGCATTTTTATTTTAAATAAAAAACTAATAAATAATTTTTGAACTCAAAGCCTTCAAATAAAAGAACTAAATAAAACTAAAAATATTCTCTTTAATGTCTTTGAGATATTACGTATTTTTTTAATTGTGGAATACATCATGAACCAGAATTATTGTAAATATAATAATCTTATATTTAATTTAAGTTAAATTAGAATTTTCCATAAATATATAATTCAAATAAATATTTTTATTTTTCATTCTATTTATCACTTCATCTCATTTATTTTTATTTTTCAATATCTGATTTTAAGGTAATTGATATTACAAAAAAAATAATAAATTATTCCTTCTAGAAACATTGCATTTATATATATCGTTTCTGATA